GACCCCTTGCTGTATGGACCACCTCCTATTATTAACATGTTTTATAAATCTCATGCCCCAATCTAACTGTTCTCTAAGTTTTTCTTGCCTTAGTGCGTAGATGTTTAGGGCTTGTATATTCTACTTAGCAGCCGATTCTTCAATCTCTTGTTCATCTCTAAGAAATCTTAACAGTTATAAGTATCTGCTTACATAATATTAAGTTGGACGTTCGATTAAAACAATCTTCTGCATTAATCATCACCCGGATGCATAAAAATCAGGTCAGATTAGGAGGATAACACCTCTGCCCTCTATATCCACCATAGGCACTTAATGCATAACGGACGACTTAGCTAACTCTAGGAACACTTTTTTCTAACACAAATGTAGTAGTGTCGGTACAACAAAAACCCAGACTTCTGCTACACCGCATGAAATAGAGATCTTACATCTTCACCAGCGCATCTAGACTTCCCCAATTTGCCATCGTGGTCTATACTCATTAGCATGCAGTTCGTTGCTATATTAATATGAACTTTTTGTGGAAGCAAGTGGATACATCAGGTAGACGGCAGAATGCAAGAAAAACTGTGAAATTGAACGCAAGGCATCGGAAGATCTGGAGAAGGACTTGAGGACAGCCGGAGACAAGAACGAATGCACTAGATGTGGTCAAAATTTCACTGTCAAAATATCCCAGTTCCAGCATTATTTTGCCTCCTAGATCAAATCTCCATAGTGTTGTTCTGCCAAAATCAGACACATCGGTCAAGTTTGTTGGCTAACTAAAAAGTTCGCAAAGCTTAGAACGTCCAATGATTCTGGAGAATTTCTATCCAAAGATACTGGACAAGGGCAATTATGTGCTACTAGACTGAAGAGACGAAGAAATATTACCTACATCGATGCTTCACCTGCCGAAATCTGGCACTAGTTGACAAAGTTCTTGTCAACCAAAGGAGTGGTTCAAACAAACGAATAGATAAAAGCTCAAGGTAAGACACGACGAAGATGACGGATTGTCCATGTTTCCTGGCATTTGCATCAATGGTCAGAAGATTTTGTCTACAAGAATGAGCATGTCACATCACTCAAGAGCCGATGCCCCCTTCTGAATCATGAACAGCAAGATCCACAAACGGGTGGTCAAGAAGGATGCAAACATACGCACAACTATCTGGCAGGGAGATATGGTGGTTGTGGACCGCATGTTGCCATAGGGAATTTATTCCACCCCGTGTGATGTGTGCAGCATTCGAAGGAACTAGACAAGGAATATCGTGTGCTGCCAGGCTGCAGATACAGACAGATGCCATCTATCTCAACGATTCACGCCCCAGAAGCACTGCGGGAAACATCATCGGTAGCGAAAAAAGTGATCTGAACAGGCGAACAAGGATAAGATCGGAAGAAACATGGCAAGAATGACGAAGCGCTCATGCTTCCTTGAGGTCCGGTTGGCTCCATGATCAGAAGCTCTTGGAATGTCGCTGTTCTTCTTCTCTGAGGCATTTGATTGACTGTCGACAAGATTAGGTACACTGCGTCACTCAAGAATTGGTACCACATCCAACATTACAAACAGAAACCATTGATGCAGTAGCGTTCAGACAGACGCAAATGGCAGGGCAGGAAGATCTGGTGGTCATGAACCAAAATGTGGTTGCACATAGATTAGACTGCACGCGGTGCTGCAAGAGCTTGGCAAGGCAGGGGTTCTCTGCTCTACACGGCATTTTCCAAATTGCTCACGGGCACGGTCAGCCACTTCGACTCACGACAATCTCCATCCAACCTTGAATTCCTGGTGTCGCTCAACCATAGATGGTCAAAGCATCTGTAGTCGGGAATCTTTCGCCAACGGATCGCGTCAAGGGGCGCGGTCATCGAGTGTCGCTCAAGAAGTTGAATCGCTTTTTCAAAGCACAAATCTTTCGTTGTGCATACAACACCAATGGCTGAAGACACGAAGAGCCATGAGGCGTTTCTGGAGCGCATGAGGAATTTTGTGGCACAAGATCCTTCACCTCGAAATCCTCGTATCAGCACAAACTCCAGTTTTGCTGACAGGATCGAGGCCCAATACCAAGCTGATAGACACAGGACCTGGGGCTATGTAATCTATCGCACGACTTACAAAGACGAGGCCGCATGGACCGAGTTCATGCGTCGCTTACGCTTCTGGGCCACAGACAGTATGGAGTTCTGCAATGGCCAGGATGTGCTTGACAAGATGACCTGGACAGTCTTCGATAACAAGGAGCGCTTCGATGGTGTAAACACGGCAACGATCCGTCAACACTTTCGAGATTGGGCAGAGACTGCAGTCCGACATGAACAGCAAGAACCTGGGCAAGTCGACGAAGCTCCCGTGAGCATGGGGCGCTCTCCACGATACAGATACTGTGTACAAGTGGATGCAGAAGCGCTCAAATCTGCCGTTTACGATGCCCCTCCACCGCCTGACTTCGACAAGGACAACCAGGGCTGGGCCAAGGTAATTGACAAGAACTGGCTGCCTCGCAACGAGGATCCGCGCTTCGCAGGACGAAAGCCGGATCCCAATGTGTATGAGGAGATTGACGGTTTGACGAAACACAATGTTGGTTGGGTCAAATGTCCATTTCCCAGCGTCATGACCGAGTACTACATGCTGTTCCAAGACTCCAATGGGTATACCATCAGCTATCGACGACCACCAGCTGTAATCGGATATCCATGGAAATAATGATTGCACCATATCACTATCCCTCGAATCTGATGCACAAATTTCAAGAGAGGATTTGCATCAGGAGCCGTACGAAAGTGATGCTCTCAGCTTGACACACACTTGCCAACGGATGATTCTCACGCAATGTTTTTTGAAACGGCGACTTGACTGAACTAACCTGGTGTTCTGAATTATACATGTACGCTTATCGTTCGTGGTCGACAGCACTCTCGAAGTCTGGACAAATGCCCATTGCGATGTCACGTTCATTTCCACTCGAGCAATTGGCCTGAGCAATCTTACACGCGACCTTCGTGTCATGGAAAAGCTCAAGACGAGCGATCTATATTTCGGAATGTGCCTCGCAGTTCCAAATGATCTGAATCAAGAAAACTTGCTGCACGAAATGATTGAGCCAGTTGATGCCGGAAAGATTTGGCATTGTTGTTCTCAGAGCATATTCAAATCTGGCCATCATTGCTTACACAAACGGACGCGAGGGAGGTTCTCCACAGTTCGTGTATCCCATCTGCCAACTGCGCAAGCCGGTCCTCTTCATACAGCTCAGTCACAGTGATTGTCCGCGAAGACTGGCCAAGAAAGGGCCTTCGGCAGTGGGATGCGAACGTCAGACGGACTGGGAGATGTCTTCAGCGGCTGATATGACGGAAGATGCGCCGACGATCTGTGTCGACCGACGTTCTGTTCGATCGGGATTGTCGTGGTGGCAGACTCGGGGCCAAGGGTCTTTGGTCGGGCACGTGCGCGGTAAGCTCGGGCCCGTCTTCCCCACAGTCTGCACCCGATCGCGCGCGTTATCAGCAGGAGCTTCCTTGCACTCACAGCAACCAGTCATCGTCAACAGCAGGACTGTGTCTTTGCGATAAAGACATGGACAAGTTCCACCCAGCAGACTTTCTCGCGACATGAACTAGGCAGTATCCGATACCTTCAGCAGCAGCATGGAAGAACGCCGAGTCGCTTCGTTCAGCATCGACGTCTTTGCCGACAAGGCCAACGCCAAAGACGTCGTCACTGCCATTCTTCACACAATCTTTTGGTATCGCATTTTTGCCAACCTCGAGCCCTCGTCGCACGATGTGCTGGACATCCCTATACCCTGGATCCAAGACGTCGACCTCCAAACTCTTGTCGAACAACGTGTCGACCAATTCGTGCGTCAGGTCGACGCCGATTCCAACGACCAGAACCAGAACACCCGCGGCCAGATTGTCGTCCAGTTCAGCGAACGAGAACGCAAAAGGAGGAAAGGTTGGTTCGGAGGCAAAGATGAGGACTTGATCTGGGAGACGTGGACGCTGAACATTGCCCTCGCCTCTCCACGCACGCATCAAGGTTGGTCGCTTCGTCTGAAGACCTCCATCCACAGCTGACATCTTGATCTAGAAGCAACTACCTCCCGGAGAGCCATAGAAAGATCCCTGAGCAACGCCGTCCTGAAAATCACCGATATCGTCCAACAGAACAAAGACCACGTCCCGCCCATCACCACTCAAGACACAAACACTTTCCCGTACCATATCCTTGTCAACCCTAAGAACGACGGCTGGGGCCAGCGTATGGGCATTTTCTAGAAGAGACTGAAGGAATTTCCTAACATACCGTTTTGAACAATTCTTGCCGACAAATGTCTTCCAGTCAATGCCTGGAGCAGGGAAGGCATTTCGTTGTGCTTAGCTTGTAGCCCTGCCACCTTCGATCGTGCCAGCCAGAGCACATTTACCAGCTCAATGGCAGTTGACAGTCCTGCCATGCATCTTCTGTATCTGCCTCCCTCCATTTCTCTATATCTCCCACGACTCCACCCGCGTCAACTTTCCACTTTCCTGATTCAATCATGTTTACCCACTTCCAAAGTACATGTTTGAGTTGAACATCGTGCATCTCGATGAAATGATTGTACCCAAGCTGATACAGCTCGGTACTCTTCGGCTCGATGTCGGCTGTACTGACGTCCCCACGAGAATGCACTTTCTCTCCTATGAATGCCCCATCGCTGGTTCGCGCACACATGTTGTTTCCCAGAGTGTACGGCAGGACTAGTTTGCAACCATCTTCGAAAGGATGCGTGCTTTGAGGCTCTGTTTCTGTCAAGTATAGACCGGCTGGGTAGGACGAGATGGAATGAAACTCGTACGGAAATGGTGATTCGAATATGTCTTGGCCCCACGGCGCACGGCGAGTCTCTCGATGGGCAGGCTCAGTGCTTGTGAAGAGTAGTAGTGGGAACAGTTCGGCCGAGGTTTCTGCTAGCGGCACTTCTGCGAAGGGTTGATGGTTTGCAATACGCAGGCCTGGCGCGATGTATATGAATGGAGGAACTTTCGCTCGAGATAGGAAACGGTACGCAAAACTGTTAGAGGGCAGACTCTCTGGATTACCACCGGTGACAAGTTCAATCAGGCCGTTCTCCGTGTGCTGAGTTTGATTTGGCATTCTAGCGCATATCGCATCGACCAGGGACCGAAATGCCTGAAGAGTATCGTTGAGGCCTCGTTCTGAGTAGGAAGGCATGATCCATGGTTCCGTACGCTCTTGCTCGCCATCATAATCATCGTCGACAGCAACGATCTTGCCTTGTTCTATCATATCAATGAAACCGTCAAGAATGAGTTCAAGTGGAAGCCAGGACTGACGGCCGTTCATTGTGACATCTGAATCATGAATCGACATATGCTGCATGGATGTGCCGTTCTCTTGGTCCAGTACAAGGCCCAGAGGATGGCTCGCCCCTAGAGCCCAATTTGCCATGTAGAGGGTAAGATAGCGCTGCTTGTTCGAATCATCTTCATCTTCAGCATAGTTGACGTTCTGCCACAGCTGTTCTGGTGAAGCCAGAGCAACGACGTATCGATGAAAATCGTGATTTGGCTCCGATCCATCCAATGCGAACCCATGCCATGCCGCTTTCAGGAATGAGACGACCGAGGGGTGCAGACGAGCAGATATGCTTGCGAGAGCCGCATCGCTCTCGTAGCGTTGCCACCATGTTCGTTTGTCGAGGTCGTTCAGTTTGAAGCCTCGCTGTGTCCAGCCAAGCTCAACGATCAGATTATGTAGGGCTGTGCAGCGTTCATGATCGAGAGTCTCAAGCTTTCTGACAGGTCGCTCTTCTGTGACGCGCCATTCTGCCCTGCTGGCTCTGTTTACAAACAAAGGTGAGGTATAGAGATCTACTAGATGCAGAAGATCATGGTGTGAGCCATGACGGCTGACTAATACATCAGGCGTCCATTCTGGGGCTTACACCGCGTGCCTGAATATGCTTTTTGACTCGAGGTATGAACGGACGAAAGTTTCCACTAGACTGCGGATCTTCAGATGACACGGAGGTTATCATGTTCACTCAAACTAGACTCACGGTCCAGCACATGCCGGCACATCACAGATACTGCACACAAGCTTGGCTCAGATACAAGTTCAATCGCGGGTTTGTGTCATTGATGTCGTGCAATTTCATTCCTTCTAATGGGTATATATTCATCGTATATCGTTCTCACCAAGCTTCCCACTTTTGGCCGCCCATTGCGACCAGTCTGTTAAACAGCTCGTCTCTCAAAGGCATCGCAGTGACGGTGAAAGCTTCGCCAGTCTTGCTCACAATCTCCATACCATCAGCAACTTCACGGTCGAGCGCCCAGCCTACAACCAACTTGGCCTTCCATCCGAGGCCGCCGACCTTCTTCAATTCTTTGATGTCAGCGATAGGAATGGTCCAGATGGGATGCAATTCTTCCTCGCGCCCAAGCGATCCCATCTCAGCAACCTTCTTGTCCAGTGTAAAAGACACAGAAGGAATGGTAGTTCTGGTTGAGATGACGGTGTGACCCTTCTTTCCGTGGTATCGGCAAGCAAAATCGACTGGACCATCAACGCTGTAGTCCTTCGTCTTCGGCACAGCACCGAGACGTTGCTTGGAAGGCTCGCTTCCTGCCTTTGCCTTGAGCTTGTCAGCACCAAGTGCGGTCTCAACAGTACCTTTGACAGTGCCCTTGAAGAACGCCAGTAGTTTGTGGCCCTTTTTGCCATGCTTGCTATCCTTGCTGTGATCGATATCGGCACCGGAGGTCTCGTGAGCAGTGGTAGGGTCGTGAGCCATGGCTTCGTCGAGTTCTTCCTGGGTCGCATTAAGAGGCCAGTCGGAACCAGCCGCGCGCAGGTGCTCGTCTGTGATCTCAGCTGGCTCCTCTGGTGTGGGTTCCTTGTTGTGAGGTGGAGGTGGGAGAGGAGCTTTGTTGGCTTCGCCGATGCGGAGAAGAGTGATAGTAAGCTGAGCATTGGTGGGAACACCCTTGAGCAAGGTGTTACGGATCTCGAGCAACTTCTGCCAGTGAGGGAAGGTGCGGTTAAGCCAGCGCAAACCAGGCTGAATAACCGGATCGCCAAAGAAACCAAAGCCAATGCCGAAAGTCACGCCCTTGGTGAACATGTAGGCCGATGTGAAAAGAGAGACAGCGACAAGGGGCACGACAACAGCAGCCAGGCGCAGACGGTAGAGATCTCGGGGAAAAGGTGGTGTAGGAGAAAGGGCATTGGCAAAACGCTCCCACGTGTCGGCCACATCGGCAAGACCATGCATGACGGGCCTCATCTTGCTCCACATGGCAGTCTCCATGGGCACCTTGGTCTTGTCGTGTGATGGCGCAACTCCTTTTCCTTCGGCCGAGGTCTTTGCAGAACTGGCACCAATGGCAACCGAAGTAGGATCAGGGATGCTGTCCGCGACGCCTGCTTGTCCTGGTGGAGGTTCTGTCTGTGGGTGTTTACCGCTGGCACTCGCAAGAGCGACCGAAGCGATGCTGTTGACAAAGTTGCTGGCCTCTGCTTCGGCAGCCTCACCCTTGTAGTGTTCTGGGGCTCCTGTTGCTGTATCTGTGCTGCCTAGCACGCCGGCCTTTGGCTTTTGAACTCCACCGGTACTTGCATCAACCAGAGCGAGTGGGGCGGGAGGAAACATGACGTCGCGTGAGGGCGGGTAGACGATCAAAACGACGAGGGTAATGGAGAACAGTGGGACAAGCATGTCGAGTAGCCAGGCGACAAAGTATGCGGCGCAGAAGTAGGCGGTGCGGTTGCGTTCACGCCATGATCTCAGACGGCCGATCTGCTTGACGAAGCCCATCATGCCCAGACCGACCGTCATGTACAGGCGCTCAATGGTGGCACGTAGCTTATCAGGCGAGAACTCATCTTCGTCGGCGATGTTGAGGTCGAGGTTACCAGGCACGGGATAGGGATATTCCTTGACGTGGTACATTTGCTGTTCTTGTCAGCTCGAACGCCACTACTATACGAGAGCTGCTGTGTACTCACCTTGTTGAAGCGACGGACTAAGACCCAGAGCTCCTCATTGTCCATACCACCGACCAAAGGCGCAGGGATCTTGGAGGGAGGTTCGTTCCAACCCAGGTCCTTGACGTCTCCACCATGGTCGAGTTGTGCAACACCCTTCTCGTCGACTTCAGCTTGGGCAAGGGCGTGACTGGCCGTGGGCTCTTCGGTCAAGTTCTGGGCGGCATCGGTGACGGTGGCCTCGGACGCTGCGGGTGCGGACGTAGTCGTAGACGGTTTTGTGGTCGGCGCTGTTGTCGCGGACGTTTCGCGGATCTCTTCTTGCACTACAGGGTGATTGATGGGGTGCAGGTCCCGGTAGACGACCCCGGTACCTGTCGTTGACTCTGACATGATGATTGCAAGGTTGCAATTGATTGCTGGGAATCAACACAAGACCAGATTTGCGGAGAGGCTCTGATTAATATCGAGGACGCGCCAGCATGACGAAAAGGCAATTATGATCCCTGCCGCCGTTCCCTGCCAACCCCACGAGCTTGACGTCACAATGGCTTTTTTCCCACCAACTTTCACATGCACCTCTGACATAGTTTATGCATTTATGCACAGTCTCGTGCTCACCATCTTCTGCGCGACAGCTCGTGTTCAGCATGGTCCATGGTCCAGGCGACAAAGGAAAAGAATAAATTAATTTTTGCACAACACAAAATTAATATCATTGTTAATCTATTGCAAAATGTTTTTTCTTCTTCTTCAAGGAATTCTTGCTTGGAACGTGCAGCCGATGGCCGGGTAGTTGGTGATTGCCTGTTGTCCCCATACGTCGCTTGCTACTGATCTCAGTCCCTCTCTTTCAGTTCCTGCATCTCCAAATCGCGATCCACGTCTCTGACCCCAATGCTTTGTCTGATGCCTGGGCTGAACTTGGTCCAGCTGCTGACATCAGATTTGCTGTCAACACTGTTCAGCACACCTAGCCTTTCTCTTGCGGTCGGTTGTGTTGCCGTCTGAGATGGCGACCATTGAGCCGTCTCGCTGGGCTTTCGAAGGGTAGAGCCGTTGGTGCTCGAGTCGACGAGGAACTTGCGGTGGAAGTCAGGCCCACGGGCGGCCTTGGTTGGCGATGAAGCGTGGGCAGCAGCCCAGATTGATGTCAATGGCAGTGAGATGCAAGTTGCCGTGAGTATGTTTGTGCCGATGTTAGGAATGTTCTCAGCCTTGATGAACTGAATGAGCGAGAAGATTGCTTGCGGAGTGTCAGCTGTGATGCAAAAATCTGAATATCAAGATCAAACGTACCTGGAATGAACATTGTTTGAAACCCACCGATCCAGATGATTTGCATACTGCCAAATTGCTTCATGCCTAGCTTGCGACGTTCGCGAAGAGACCAACCCAACTTGGCACAGAAAATTGCGCTGAAGAAACAGATGCTCACTGTCAAGCTGATGTCTTTCGCCTTGGCTAGCCAGGTCGTGTCGCTGCAAAAAGCATCTGCTTTGTTGTTGCATCTCACTGACACGACTGACTGTGCGATACGAAATCCCATGGATATGACTGCCACGAATGAAGAGATGGCCAGAATAGACATCTTCTGCCATGTTTGTAGCGTAACGCTGACCACATGGACCTGGAGGACCAAAGAAACCTCGATACACAAGGAGACAAGCGTGACGAAGATCGCGACAGCCACCGTCAAGCGCTGAGCTGCTGGTGTCACCACACCGTAGTCACCCACCAAGATGGGATAGATGTCCCACCAACTGCTGGTAACAATGCAACATTGCAAAATGGCGTAGATCATGTTGAAGAACAAGGCAGTGGTGTTGAAGATGAAGACTGGCGAGCGTCGCTTGTCGTGCTTTGAGAGGAGGACCAGTACGAGGAAGAGGATCAAGCTGGCACCAAACTGGACTCCTGGTATGATGCCATGAATGACAGCATCCACGATCAGATTGTCGACGTACCACAACGGGAACTGGCTCTGTTGGCCATGGCGATCTGTGACAGAGATAAGCTGGTTGTAGACGGCGGACTTGTTGAAGAACTGCTCTGCCGAAGAGAAATCCATCGGTGACGAGGCTGGCGATTTGAGGGATCAAGTATAAATGGGAAGAGCGATCGTGAAAGACTTGTACGAGCAGTGGATCGAGCAAGGAGATGGATGGGAGTTGTTCTGGCCAAAGACGATTGACAGTCGGTCGGTACAGCTTACAAGCAACGATTCAACGAGAAAGAATATGAGAGAGAATAACAACGAGATTCCGAGAAGATGCTAGCAAATGATTGTTCCTGAACAATACTCAAGAGGGTGATAGGAGAAAAATCAGAAACAGATGACAAGAGCATTAGAGGAGAACAATACAAAGAAACGGCGACAAATGCAGAAAGAGAGAATGGTGGGCAACCTAGACAGGCTGTCTTGAACCTCGACCAGAGCTTACCCTGAAGCGGCGATAGCCTTTGAAAGTGCGAGCAGAACACATCGTTTCGATTTTAGCAGAGTGTTGATTTGTGTTTGAGACGAGTTATTGCGACATGCAGATATTGGGCGGGCGCGTCGGTTCCGAGTGGTGCTGAATTGGCTGCAGCTTAGTATTGTTCTCCAGCCCGGCTTGTCTCTGACATCGCCTCGGGCCTAACGCTTGCTTTGTCAGTGCTGCTACACCTGCGATCAACAGAGCCACCTCATGGCCAGCTTCAAACTCCAGAGCGTCATCTGGTCTCGATAATGCCGCAAAACAAATCGAGCAGGTCTTGCGTGACTCAGAAATAGACAGAGTGACAGTCCAATCGCAGCAGAACGCTCGGACCGTGGTCACTGCGCGTGAGGAATTCTGCTGAGATGTGATGCTTCTTGGCTCTTCCTGGTGCCTTCTCTTCAGATGGCGAACTCTTTCTACTCCAGAATCCATGGGTTCTCCTGCCAGAATTTATCCTTGATAATGTCGACGTGCTCAACCACAACCCTAGCCTTTTGCTTCCTCTTCCTTTCTTTTTCCAATTGTGTTTTAGACTTTGGCTTCTTCTTTTCATGATCATCCGCAGGCTTAACGATTTGGTTGCCCGACGTTGCTGCTTCGGTCGTTTGCTTGTCTTCAAACTGCAATGCTTGTCAGCACGAATCTGAATGGAGGAAGAAAAGCCATACTTTTCTGTACACGACACTGCCCTTCTTCCATATCTCATCTTCTGCATTGTAGTTGATGTTGAATTTCTTGAAAAGAATCTCGTTCTTGTCTGCTGAAAAGGTACCCTGTATGTCTCGTATAAGCAGGAGACGGATCAGACATTACAGTCAGGCTTGCCTTCAATGCTAGCTCGGCTTCTGTGGTAGTCATGGGTGGTGTCTCCGTGGCCGGATTTCCCTTGACCATATTCCAGAATGTTGTATTGTAGAGGTTGTTAACATGACCTATCGCCCTTGATCAGCAAACTCCCATCTTTGCCGGCTTCTTGAGGAAGTACGACTCACAATCAGCTTGCCGCCAACTCAAGTAATCCCTCAAAATTTTCTTTTTGGGATACAAGACACATCTTCCGTCGAATGTCGGGAATGGCCTTTCCAGAGCTTGCCCCGGGAAATACTTGTCCCATTGCATACAATATTCGACAGAGAATGCTGTCGAAATACTCGTTGCAAGTTTTGCTGCTCGCCGTTCGAAAAGTTGGCAGTCCTCATGAAGCACAAAGCTGTATTCGTCTGATTGGCCGTAGGCAATAACAATGTCGGTAAATTGCTTGACGACTTCGACAGCGGCGGCATTCATCAGGTCTATGGCGCGACGGTCATTTGGCTTAGCGAAACTTTGTCGTTTGGAGAATCTGGCAAAAGACATCAATGATTTGTCCCAATGCAAGAAAGAAGTCGTCTCTGGTTACAAGGTAGGGCATGCCCTCATATCGAGGCTGCGTTCACCTCGTCCACACACGACTTCTGTCGTCTGTGTCGTTCTACCCTCCCCTTCGTACCCTCCTCTTCAGCCTTTTCCGCATTGAACCAGCCCCAACTCTTCCGAAACGTTCAAGCAACTGGACAAGAAGAAACGAAGCACGAAAGAAGACTTACTTGCTGAAACCTCTTCCATCGATTCTTACGACGATCCAATTACTAGGGGCGAGGGCATCCCATTCTTCGAACTTGCGCACATATTCAAACCTGCCTTTTCAGTCTTGCTCCTTACAAAAAGTATAGATATGCCACGCTCAGCAGAGTGCAAACTTACTCGCTGTTGGCCATGTTGGCGGTCGCTGTGTGATCGGGGGTAAAAGTTCTCGGCGTCAGAAACTGTGCTTTCGCGCACGTGATCATCGACCAAATCTTGCGAAAGAGAGTCGGCGCAATATCGTGAGCTATACCAACAGACAGACATCAAGCCTCAGAAGCGAAGCGCGCATCGCAAGCTCGAGCCGGTCCAAAATAGCGCACAGAGAGTAGACTCGACGCCAGCTACCTCCAAGACCACTGCGACACGCTCACTCGACCGTCGAAACTGACAGCGACGAACGCCGTTCACCGCCCACCCTTCTACAGCTGCTATCAACGAGCGCGCGGAGTCTGCGACTCAACAGAGCAACTCGTAACCCACCCACCGACTATAACACTGCCGAGCTGCACCACATTTGGATCTTGTCCTCGGCCTTAGCGCCTCCGATCCTCGCTCATCGACTCTCCACAATTTCACGCCTCGCATCCTTGAGCTACCATCCACATACCATCTGTCTCGTCGCTCTGTCCCAAAGCAGCGTCCACAAAGAGTCAGTTGGTCACTACATGCCCTCTCAACCATAATGGCCAAGGGTTCTGCCAATCAGACGAGGAGCGTGCCCAACAAGCACTTGCACGCGCGCATCGCATACTTGCACCAAGCTGCGACCCATCTTGCTCTTAAACAACAGCCCGTGACGAAGAGCGATTCATCAGGCGCCGAATCAAAATTGCAGCAGCACGGTCTGCCCCTTCTGCTCGCCGCCCAACTCCAGGCCGTTTCTCAAAAAGCTCAGATTCGTCTGTCTCATGACATGAAGCGCTCGATCTGCAAAGTTTGCAGCACTCCTCTTGCGCCAGACACGACTTCGAAGGCGCACATCGAGAACAAGAGCAGGGCTGGAAAGAAGTCTTGCGCCGACGTCCTGGTCATCCAGTGCCAAAACTGTCATGCCGAAAAGAGGTTCCCGGTTGGCGCCACACGTCAAAAGAGAAAGGCAGAACGCAAAGCTGCACTTGCGGAGAAAGAGAAACAGACCGCTGAAGTCGAGATGGTCAACGGCTGAACTTTCTCAATTTTGACCAGACACCAGCGCTCTTTGGAGCTCGCTCCGCCGCCTTCTTGGGCTGTCTTGCCCGGTCTCTGCCCGTTTGAGAAGACCATACACAACTTTTTTTCTTGTGCCTGGCCAGATCCATTGACGGCGACCAAAGACACGTTTAGGTCTTCGCTCTTGCTGCATCATCCATTATCACAACACTCTCTTGCATAAACGAAGCGTGTGGGCCTTTCGCTCGTCCCTTCTCCTTACTCAAGTCTAGAGGTCTGCCTGTCAGGAAGAATCGACTGCTCCGGTGTCCAAGACACGAACATGGTCCAAGGCCTTGTCGTTTCTTCGCAGGTCGGCTGGGCTGTTAGATCTTCGGGAATCACATCGTTAGAAGAGATGCCAGAACTACAAGATGTGAGACGGACAGCGATAACTCCGCCCTCTGGTCTTAAAAAGCTAGAACATTGTCATTCTTCATTGGTGTTTGCTGGTTGTTTTCGGCCGGGCACTGAAGAAGAACACGATTGCGAGGATACATGCCATTGCTCGAGGGTTGGATGCCGCTTCCTACAGCTCGGGGTTCAATATGAGCTGTCTGCTGAGTGCTGCTGCTTCACATGCCATGAAGAATTCATTTGCACTCCTATCGATTGATCGTGGCCGTAATGACAAGCTCCGATCGATCAACTATCAATGTGCTTCCCAAGCAATACCATGCATCGTGTATCGGTATGAAGGCGGTGAAGCCAAAAAGTTGAATCTTTGATGGGGCATCTAATCGCTTGGCGTCAGTTCGTCATCGTGTTCCAGAAATTTGACCATGACTCAAGCCGCCGAGTGAGTCAATTGGAAACAGCTCTAGCTCTTCAATTCTCTCCTTGCACGTCCCTTCCGTCCCAGTACACGCAACATGCCTTCCCGCGAAGCAACAGCATATTTCGGCGCCGGTCCTGCTCCTCTGCCCACAGCGGTATTGGAAAAGGCCTCCCAAGTCCTCCTCAACTACAACGACTCCGGCATCGGCATCACAGAAATCTCACACCGTTCAGGCGACGCAGCAAAGATCCTCGAAGACACAAAGTCGGCACTGGCCCAGTTGCTCGATATTCCCACCCAAGAAGGCCCTGATGGCTACCAGATCATTTTCCTACAGGGCGGAGGTTCAGGCGAGTTCAGTGCCTCTGTGTACCACATGACTGCCCTCTGGGTGGAGAAGAGAAGACAGCAGATTGTGAAAGAGCTTGGAGAGGAGGATGAGACAAAGGTTTTCGAGGCTTTGAGAAAGGCTGTCGACGACGAGTTCAAGCTGGACTATCTGGTCACTGGTAGCTGGTCATTGAAGGCCAGTCAAGAAGCTGCCAGACTCGTCGGCGCAAACCACGTCAATGTCGCTGTTGACAGCCGCAAGGCAAACAATGGCAAATTTGGCACCATTCCCAGCGAGTCCTCGTGGTCATTGACCTCCAACCCCGCCCACAGCGGTATGGTCTACTTCTGTGATAATGAGACGGTCGACGGTGTTGAGTTCCCTGCCTTCCCCAATATCGACTCGGACAAGTACCAAGTCATTGCCGACATGTCGTCCAACTTCCTCAGCCGCAAGGTTGACGTCAAGAGATACTCTGCCATCTTCGGTGGTGCACAAAAGAACGTCGGCACAACAGGAATCACCATTGCCATCATCAAGAACTCTCTCCTCACTCAGCTCGCTAAGCCCGATCTCCTCCGCAAACTCAACTTGCCTGTTGGACCCGTGGTTCTTGACTGGCCCACAATCGCAAAGAACAACTCCCTCTACAACACACTTCCCATCTTCGACGTTTGGATTGCCGGGCAGGTGATGCAGTCTCTGATCTCCAAGGCCTCGACCTCTGGACCCAAGATCGCTACACAACAAACCGAGTCGGAGCACAAGGCTTCATTACTGTACGGTATTCTCGACAAATACCCAGTATATCATGTAGTGCCGGACAAGACAGTTCGCAGCAAGATGAACATCTGCTTCCGCATCGGCAGCGAGGAGGACAGAGACGACAAGGAAAAGAAGTTCCTGGCTGGAGCTAACGACAGGCTGCTGCTTGGCTGCAAGGGTCACCGCAGTGTTGGTGGTTGCAGAATCAGCAACTACAACGCCGTCAGCGTGGAAAAGGTGGAGAAGCTTGCAAAGTGGTTGGAGGAGTTTGCTCAGCAGCAATAAGCATGTTTTTGATGATGATTAGAATGGCGCATAGAACTGAATATTTACGAGAAAAGTATGTTGCGTTGAGCCTGTTCCTTGCAGTGACACATACGGCCATGAGCTACGTGAAAGTCTGATCTTAAAGTTTGTCAGTTTGTAGGGGAACACCTTGATGAGTCGGAACTTGGTTTGGCAGATCGTTCACACGTGATTCTGGGGCACACGCCGAAGCTCGACCAGCAACGAGAGCGACGATGCTGTGAATGCCATCATGTCAACAATATTATGGCCGCCGTTGCCAGACGTCTCGACGCGAAGCCTCGCTCGACGAGCAGACGAAACGCGACAACGTGAGCTGTCGTGGCTGCTCGACGCTCTCCAAGAAACTCTGTCGAGCTTGAAATCCGGCCTTGAAGATTGTAGCGCCCTACTGGCACCACGAGATCAAGGCAGCACTTTAGTCGTCTCTTCACACCGAAGCGAGGCCGTCAAAGGTTTCATCACCCGCAATGGCTCCAACATCACCAAAGGTGACGTCCAGCTACGCCTCGCCTCGTTACCCCCTCCGCGCGGCCAGACGAGCTACAAGCTCTCCATCTCCACTTCGCCCTCGGCCCCTGCTTTGAGACTGAAACAAATCGCTGAAGTCAGGACTTTGATCAATTCGAGTTTGGATGTCGTCGATGCTACTACATGGACTGGCGACAAGCGCGACGCAAATTTCATCTCGGGCCAATTGACCTTGCTGCACGAAAACATCCGCGACGCCAAAGCTGTCCTCAAAGCTGATCCTGCTGCCTCTGAAGCTGACAAGACTTGGGCATCTGATCCACTCGACGACAAGGTCATCGACATGTCTGACAGTACACGTCGCCTTGAGCTAACGCAATTCACAGATCTTTGATCCCCCACCTCCACCGAACCTCTCCTTTCATCTGAGCATTTCAGACGCTGCTCTGCTTCTCCACGTCCGCACCCTCGAACCTGCCTCCAGCACCGGATCCTCAACACCGTTGGGTGGGGGTGGTCCCTCGTTCACTGGCTTTGGCCTTCGCGACAGGCTTGCACATGCACTAGGTGCTGGTCCACGACCCCCTGCCCACGACGAGGCCGAAGACGTTTTCACATATCGCGGCGCCCAAGTACGAGTCAAAGAGAAGGTTAGAGTCGAAAGCCAGGATCCAAGCCTGATTAGCGCTATGGCAAAGTTGGCCGCATTGGAACATACCGTCGAGCTGGGAAGAAGGGCTCTGGATGTTGTCATGACCAAGTCAGACGAGTCCAATTCGTCTGCCATGGCCAATCTTTATACCGAATTTCTGCCAAACATCAAAACCCTGACCGTCACTACGGTGCTGGACACCCCTAGAAATGACACCACTGCCCTGTCATTGTCGAGCGACCGCACAAAACTCATCCTCGAGCACAACAATCGCACCCACGATGTTACGCTGCCAGCCAGAATATCTGGCCAAGGGCCTCAAAATCTGCAGCTCCCAAACACAGGCGAATCGCAATGCGCAAACCGCATACCAGCTGAGCCCTTCTTCGGCGAAGAAGAACCCATTGCTCTCTGGTCCGCAACGTATCTCAACTCACAGACGAGGGTGCATTGCAAACATTGCAATGCGCTTGTATCAAGCGACAAGATTCGTGACTGGAAGAACTTGCCATCTGAAGCTTGGGCCGAAATGATGGACCTATGGCACTGCCATAAACCTGACGAACCCGACCATGGCCACGAAGATGCTCCAGCTAAGAAGGGTTATGCTGCTGGTAACAAGCTCAGAGCTCAGGCCGGTGTCGGTCTTGTTGACGTGATGAGTTTCCTTCTGTCTGAAGGCGATTGTACGGTTGAGGTAAGTCACGGATTTCTCTTTTTTCCTGTCGCCGTCTATTTTACCCCTCTCCTCGTCGGGTTTCAAGAAGGAGTGCTCTGTGAACTCTGCGTCATCTCAATGAGATACCGCTCCGATACAAAAACCCAAGATCAAGCCCGATACTTGACTGGTGAGCAGACCCTCGGCTTAGCTAGACGGGTCGCTCACTGTGTTGATGTCAACTTACCTCTCTGTATCGAAGTCTCAGCTCAGAGCCGTTGGCCATGATTAGATACATCAGATTGGCACATTTCAGCCTCCACCGCATACTTGTCTTGACTGGACTAACGGGTCTTGCAGGGTCGGTCACTCAAGGACAACGACGACATCCACCAAGTCAATTGCAAGAAGTGTGATACGATTCTGGGATATCGCGACCCTCAAACGGAAGGCATCCGCCTGCAGAAGCCCTACCTTGCGCTATCCTCTCAGAAAAATGGCGCCTTACGCTCTTACGACGCAGCACATTGGTTCTCCTGCTACCTCCATCAAGCGATAGAGACTCAGGGCGTGCGTAAATTTGTCTTTCCAACCCTGCCACACGAGATCTGGGTGTTCTCGACGAACCTAGCCTACTCATCGCTTGAGTGTCCTGAGCCCAAGCAAGCCATGAAGGTCTTGTTCAAGGCAAGAGAAGGCGGTCAGGATGTTGAGACGCTTCGAGCAGGCAACCTGTTGATAGAGACGCTGACCTTGTCACCATCTTTGGAGGAGTTGTTTTATCGGGTCTTGGAACAGGAGAACGCCAAGCTACCCGAGAGTCTGCAGATTTTGATGGGCTGGCAGGTGGCAGTCTTGCCCGTGTTGTACGGCTCTGATGGCATTCAAGCATAAATGTATACATTTCATGATACCAAACATATCTCACATCATCCTTCAATTCCATGTAGACAGAATTACAGGAACAATCACAGACACGACGGCGCGCGAACCAGTTCATTGCAGGTACAATATGCTATCATATTCCAACTGCGTTCCTTCGGCCTCACAGGTCCAGACAATCATGCGCAATGTCTAGCTCTAGTATCCTGTGGCAGAAGTTTGGACACCACGTTTTCAGAGCTTGCAGATGATTAGCACCAATATGTGCGCGCTGCTTCAAAGGCTCAGGTGAATTGCAATCAAGATCTGATGGCGTATCACTGTCACTTGGTCAATTCTCACAAGTCGAGCAACCGTAGGCACCGACATTTCATAAGCCATCAGCCGCGCCTTTCGCTTCTTCGACCGCACCAAAACAAGCGGATGCTCGCCAGTCTGTTCTGCTCAGATGCTTGCTGTCGATGGCACATTGGGCAGAACTGTATCTGTTCCAGGCTGATATGCCCCAGTACTGGCACATCTACATCGTACGAATGAACCTGTGACTTACCTCTTGTACCCTTAGTCGTTCTTCTCAACATTTCTGGCTACCACTGAAGCTGTGAGCCTTGTTCTTCGCGTCATGCAAGCACTGATGTTCGGCATCTACTATGCTGCTATCACTTGAAAGGGTAGGCAGACGTAAGGCTCAAAGTCACTTCGACTCAAGACGATCTTCTCAGGAGGTTCGAGATAGCATACAATTTTCAAAACCGATATCATAGCTTCTCGACACATGGAAATGCTTCGGACCATTGTCGTATACTATGTAAGATGGCTTGCTAGCTCGCCGATGGATCTGCGATCACTGATGTTGATCTTTATAGATGTGTCTCCGGCGCCATGATGATCATAATACAATATGGACGCTCACCGGACTTCCTGTGCACCTTGCACAGCTCAAAAACCATGCTGTAGAGCTGCGGCGGTTCAAGCTATCGCCACTCAAGACACAGCTATGAACGCATTCGCGATGGAGACCCCCTAGAGGCTGGACTCTTGTAGCGCAGGAAAGTATGGCTTTGTACCATCTTTTCTGGCATATATCAGGGTCAAGCTTCCGCTGAACGTCAACGATATTGATCTCGACCTCCGGATCGCAGAGGCTCCCCTTCTCGACAAGAAACCACGGACATGACTTTGTCTCTTGTGGTTTCTGACATCATGTGGTCGGTTGCCAAATCGTTCAGTAGCACGGTCAATCCTGTATGATGTTGGTAGTGTGCGACCACATGAAATGTGGCAGCCTGTTTTCGATTGCCATCGTCACGAAGCATGTTTTCTTCGTGAATATCCACCCTATCGCGTAAGGAGCGGCTGCTTGCATATATAGATACACGCTTACAGACCCATGTTGGTACAGATCCTCCCCTGTACTGTTCAAATGGTCCGCCTATTGCACCTTCCATCATCATCCTCAAATCCAACATACCCGAACCGATTTGCCCTGTTGGACTGGAACCGTAAATCTGATCGGCAAGCATTCTCAACTGCATAGGTATGTCCTGGCTGTCGTAGTGATCTTGGATAACGTGCTTCTCGCTGCAGCACACCAACGAAGACGATTCCTCGCTACCTCTGTCCAAACCAAACGCTACACGTGCCTTTGTGTTCTTGCTCGACCACCACGGTGGGAGAATGTTCTTTGCTACCTTGACTTGGTTGAGGAAACAAAGAGCCTCCCCCGTAGATGCAATCATGATCTACATCCTCCTTGAAGGAGTACTCGCAGCATAATCAGTGGCCCGCGCGTGAGTCGTGATTGTCTCTCGATTTCGCCGTCGGTGCTCCGGCGGTCAGCTACTATGTATGAACTGCGAGGAATGAACGAATGTAAGATTGATATTGTTACATTAGGATTACACGAATATCCACTCCCCAGCCCACGCCGTAAAGTGCTCACTCGTCTCTGAGCTTTCTAGATACCATGCGCGGCCGACTGCTACGTCTCGGTACTTCCGTCTCGTCTTCCGATTCTTCATCTGAGTCATCGTCCGAATCGTCTTCAGACTCATCTACCACGACGCGGGGTCTACGGCTCAGTGTTTTGGGTTGGGGAGCAGACTTGATAGCGGCCTTCAAACTTGATGCCTTGCTTCCGACTGTTGAAGCTGTGTCGCTTCTGCGCGCACGCGATCGATCCTCAGTCTTTCTAGCAGAGGATTTCGCGCTGGTCTCAGTGGTCTGCTGCTTGGGTGGTGAAGGTCTTGGTCTCTTGGGCGATGGAATCCTCGATCGTCTTCTCCGCTTGGTCGGACGTTCATCTTCACTTTCGTCGCTATCTTCGTCTGATGCGACTTCGAAGATGTCCTTGGGTTCTTTGCGTGGCAAAGCAACTACGACCTCTGGCTGTGCTTGGTAGCTCTTTCTCGATGGTCGAATGTGTGACACCGCAGCTTTGCCCTTTCCTTTGTTCTTTGCTTTTTGGGCTTGCTCTTCCTCGCCGTACAATTTCTCGTGGTAGCTGTTTCCATAATCGAAGAACAATTCTTCGCCGACTTTGATATCTCTGTGAGCAAACATGCCAATTCGGTGGGCTAAATTGCATAGCATGATCTTTGGACGAATGTTTCGAAGATGGGAGTTTGCGGCATGGTTGATGAAGCGAATCTTGTTACCCATGCGTTGGGAATCGATAGTCTGGTCTGTTTGCGTATCTGCTGTTAGCTGCGCAGCGTACTGAAATCCCGAACTTCTTACCTCTGTTCAGATCGAAGATGTAACTCAACTTCTGAAAGTCGTAAATGGCACCTCGTCGCTCGGTCTCGTCTCTGGTGATAATTTCTCCTTGATATTCGCCAACGAATTCGCCTTTTGCAATAGGCTCTCCAGCGTACAGACCGAAACCATGAACGAGACTACGCCCGAGAAGTGTTCGTTTTGGCACGCCGCGTTGGATAGCGACATTGCGGCATCTTCGATCAAGATACTCATCGTCGAACCTGTTGACTGGATCTAGGATGACATGAGCCTCGCATGAATCGCAGAGATCTGGGTCGCACTCTCGATTCATTCTGAAACATTCGCAGGAGTCATCCTGGGCGCAACATCTTGTTCGTCTAGCGCAAGAGCATCCCTGGAAGCGTCGACTACAATTCTTCGAACAACCACAAGTTTTCTCACAGCAGACCCTTGCTTCGAAGCATGAACAACGCGCATCCTCGCACGAGGATCCAGGGTGGTTGCACGGAAAGAAAGGACCACGTTGGCTGTGGTCCCATGTTACGCTGTTGGCCTCGTTCATCCACCAATTAAGAGGTTTTTTAGGTTGCGCGGGAGAGGTCCCTCCTGGCGGTTCCCTCTCTAGCGGAGCTGTAGCAAGTTCTTTGTAATTAACTCTAGGTGGATAGTCAACATCTAGAGCGTCAACAGAGTTGGCGTCGTCTTCCTCATCGCTTAAGTCTTTGGCGTCTGGTCTTTCGAGGATAGTGCCATGGAAAGGGCAGTCGTGGAGCTGACAGATACTACAGGCCACACTAGCGTAGTTCTTAGCAGCCTCGTAGGTCACAAGACCTTCGATCTTGTTGTGATCAGGGAAGGTGGCGTATTTTCGTGCAATCTGCCAGGGACTGAAGTTTGTGCGAATCCAGAACGTATGACAAACTACAGCAGCTTTCCATAAAGTCTCATCATCAATCTCTGGTAGACTTGATGCTACTGAGACCCATCTTTGACTTGTTCGGTCAAAGTCATCTTTGCAGTATTTGTCTTTAGCGCGTATGATGGTTCGTGCGAATTTGACATCATATGCAAAGTCTGTCAACCTGGACAACAAGCCGTCTGGTCCTTCTGATGCCTCGAGGAGATACTTCAGAATCGTGTCCATGGGGCAATCAATCTCTTCGAGAAATGCTTCAAAGTAGGGGCCGTAGGTACTGACTTGCTGCGAGATGAGGACCTTACGTGGCCGATCTTCTACAATGACATCGAACCTCTCACGTATGGTTCCGTCATCGTCAACATCTTCTCCGAAGTATGGCCAAACTTGTAACTGTCGAGTGTTCGTTCCTAGAACGTTGCCACTAATTCTGGTGTAATGAGTGTAGTTCGGGACTTCGGTCGAGATAGCCTTTGTTGATAAGATACGAGCTGAGCTTGTAATTGTTTCGCCTCTAGGTTTGAGCTGAGAGAAGGCCTTTCCGGTAAGAGTTATTGTTCGGGCATCTTTCGAATGTTTAATGTTCGCGAAAGGGTCTGATCTCGGTTTGTTTGCTGCTCGATTCCTTGTTGGAAATCTGTCTTGAGCGCGTGGAAATAGAGTCGGTCGCTGGTATATTCTAGCTTTTGCAAGCCATGTCTCTGTCAATGCTTCGTGATCGTCGTCCATTTCGTCAAGATACTTCTCAAGACAAATTGAATAGATCTTGACATCGTCTTCGTCCCCAAGCACTTCATGTTCTGCGTAGTTGAAAGGGGACGGAGAGGATGGCTCCATGGAAGAAGAATCAGAAGCCGAGATCATGGCAGCCGGATCAGAAGAGTTTTCTATAAATAAAGGTGGCGCCAGGGAAGAGGACGGCTCCGGGGAGGAGGATGGCTCCGGGGAAGAGGATGGTTCTGCCTTGGGAGAGATGGATGGCTCGTGTGGTGTAGGTTGCTTGGCTTTAGGTGATAAGGATAGCTCGATGGAAGGCGATCGATTGATCCAAGATGGTAGTTCTGTAACGTAAAATTAGTAGTTGACTAGTGAAACGGCCTGCATTGCTTACCCTCGCCTTCGGAAAGATCTCCTTCGCTGGATTCTTCTTCACTAGAGTCGTCTTCACTGGAATGTTCCTCGCTGTCACTAGAATCAACGTCACTAGAGTCTTCCTCGACAGAATCTTCTATGACGAGTTCTTCGTCGTCAGACTCTCCTCCACCGGACTGGGCATCACTAGCAGCACGAAGGAAGGCGTGTCTAGAAGGAACAGGCTTAGAGAAGCGGAGAGTAGGCGACAGGTCTGGCGACGGCAACGTCTCTGGGTTCAACTCGATCGTTTCTGCCCGCGTGTTATTCCAAATTCGGCATCGTGTTGTCGTGCGAAGTCCTACCTCTAATTGGCTCCTCGACGCGGGTGTCTTTCACTGGAGGTGACGATGGGATGTGGCCGCCGACTGCCGATGCCGACATTCCACGAGCTGGGGGTTTGCTAGGACTGTTGCTTGACAATCCAAACACATGAATTTCGGAATTAATGTCCTCCTCATCAATGTCGCTTAGCATATAGTCCTGAGGCTGGATATCTGCTATGATTTCTTCGCGACGACGCCGCGCCTCTGCAAGTGCATTGCTTCCACGTCCTGGGCGTGCATTGCCACTGTTACCGTCTAATGTGCCCCAACGAGGGCTAATCAGCTCGCTGGAGCGAAGCGGGTAGGTCAACGACGATTTGGGCATGAAGAAGGCACGACAGGCAACAGTCTAGAGCGGCGCGATTGAAGATTCCCACCCGCCACGAGGAACCCACAATTCAATCGTAAAAGTAGTAATCCTATACCTTCGTCCTGAACATGCCTTCGACTTGTTCAACTTCTTCGACGCGCCGTCTCACTTCACACCGCGCCGACCTCGGATGCCTAACCGATTCTTACTGATGCCTGCGCTCTTAGTTGCAAGGTCTTCATTCATCTGAAAAGCAAGGAGCTTGTGCGCCGTGTACGGGTCTCGAAAACGAAGAAGCAAGCACGAGCGGTCCTGCGAAGTCGTGCGTCTGTCAAAGGCGTCGTGGGTGAGACGCGCCTTTGTCTGCAAAGGGGAAACTCCTCTGCACGGACCATCCTATCATGCTGGCAAAGCAACCCTGTACTATAGAAACAGATTTGTTTCTGCGATCAAAGAACATGGTCTGCATGAATGAGACACAGATACACGGAAGTTTCATGGCTGCAGATTGCCATATTTTACACGTCAAAGACTATCGTTCATCGGGATCTGTGATCGAGAGCCCTATTATTTTGGCAAACAGAACTGTGAACAAAATACGTTATGCTATATGTGGTGCAATAGCAATCAACGATTGGCAAGCCAGTTGTCTACCGAGGACGCATTGATTGTGGCAAGGAAAAAGAGACACATGGGAAATTTCAACGTGAATCAAACATGTTTTATTAACTCCAGGAACAAATAGCAAAAACATTCATCTACAGTCACGACAACGACCATGATACAAGACACCTCTAGGCTCCTTGTGGCAAACACTGCAAGGATCCATCATTCCAGCTGGTGCAGCGTCAGCAAAGAACAGTCTTCCAGCTTCATGGTTCAGTCCGAGACGACTACCAACCTGCTGGGCACTATCAAGCGCGTGTCGAACACTGCTTGACATCGAGACATCTGACATACGAGATCTGGGTGTGGTTGGAGTACTCTGGAAAGTCTCACGCGATAAGATGCTGCTGATACTGTCGGATCGTCTTGAAGAGGTAAAACGGCGGTCAATGCTGGATCTACCTCTTGAGTGTCTAGGGGTGACAGGCTGAGATCTCAACTCGGCGAAGGATGGGTGTGGCTCATTGATGTAACCCTCCTGATTCTGTTTGATCATCTCTTCCACCTCGGGCGTCCTAAAGAACTCTTTGACAGGAGTAACGACTTTCTTGTTGACCCAATGAGCAGCTCTATCAATAGGACTAGCTGGGCGTGACAGGGGCTTCTGGTCAGGTAAAGGAGGAAGAGGTTTGTTGATGTCTGGTTGGTTGCGCAAAGTGTCGCGGATGTATCTGTATGACAGTTCTTCACATCGAACACTATGAGTAGCTTGTATGTCAAGGTCCAACCTAGGACGAGGCACGCGACGTCTGCCAGCAACGCTTGATCGAGTCTGTCCTGCAGAATACTTGGTGGGAGTTCCAACGGCCGAGTTCTCCGACGGTGCCTGCCCGCCAGTGAGATTCGATTGTGCTGACATTCTTTTGTTGTGAGATAGACTTGTCAGTGATAGACGAGTTTTGAAGGCTTCTGGGAAGGGTAAGCATTGCTCGGAAGCAGAGGAACTTATATCTCTATTGTTTCGTGAACAAGCGGTGCTTTCACTAGGCAAAGGATCAAACAAGAAACAAAGACTTGTCTTTATTCCTTCTTTGTATGTACTCCACACTCGGTTCTGAAACAAAGAAGACACCGGGTAATTGTTTCACAGATCCTTTGAACTTCTGTTCCAGTGCCAGACGCTTTTGAGACAATGCATTGTGTGTCTCAGTCAGAGCAGCCAAGCGCTGCAGTGTTGTCTTGCTGGTGTCAACGGTTCGTTGTAAATTTGAGGCCACATTATTCCAGAGGTTTTGTTCGATTTGATTGTAGTGGAAATGGAAGCCTCAACCCCCGTCCCGGTACTCGACTCTACAGCTGGTGGTCATCATGTTGGGGGAAACATTGCGTGGTATCTAGAAAATGGTTTGTTATATTTGTCTCTGGCATGGGCAGCTATCGAGTACAAGAGGAACCGCGAGATAATATGGCATCAGAGCTTACATAGGGGCGGCATGAGTCACTCGACTCTGGGAGCTGGACTCTGGGGATCCAAGAGCATGAAACAGAAATTGGCAACAGCGGCCATGACCCATCTTCACAATAAACGATCACCAATTGACAGATGCGGCCGTACGATACTCAATTACCAATGCCCAGAATACTGGCTACATCAAGCGAGGCAGAAGGAGCTGCAGATGATGAAGGTCTGGAACACATGTCAATACATGCTAAAAACTCTACAGGTAGATGACTTACTCAGCAGCTGCATCAGTCGTAATCTGAGTATTGGGCACCGTTGTTGTTATGGTTCCGCCTGAGATGTAAATGGTTCTCGTTATAAGGCGTGTTGAAGTGCTGGTCGTGCGACTGCTATATATGTCAGATCAACTCGGCGTTCATGTATGTAGATGACTTACACTGTAGGAAGCGAATATTGGCTTAGAGTGTACGTTTGTGTCACAGTAGGTCCAGTGGAAACGGTTGGCCTTGTAGCGATGTTCGTCGTCACCGTTTCGACGGAGTAAGTCAATTCCATAGTTGTGGACATGGAGAAGGTAGTGAGCATCTCTGTCACGTTGGCCACGAAAGTTTCCACAATGATCTGTGAAGGTCCAGCCACGGTCGTGGTCAAGTTGATCGATGTAACGGTGCTTGTTGGAATTGTCACGAGACTAGTCTCCCAGACGTAGTATTCTACGACACACTCCTCTGTTCCATTGAGAAACGTTGCACAGACCTTCTTGTCTATGTCTGAAGGAGGACCGGCACTTGTGAGCTCGTTCCAGGGGGCGACATAGTACGTGGTCAGAGGCTGTACAGTGGGAGGCGGAGTGATCATGGCACCTGTGCCATTGGCATCCGTCGCATTGCTCAAGGTTGCACTGGGTGTTTCCAACACATACCCGAAGTCGCTTGAAAAGGTGATATCTTGATTGCAAGCAGTCACGGGATACACACGGTCGATGCCAGTCAAAGTAGTAGCGCATACCATTGTTACTGTTGGACTGTAGATTGTAGTGCATGTTCCAGGTCCAGGAGGAATTGATATAGAGTAGTTTTGATAAGGGGCTGTCGTTTGTGTAGGTGTGGCCGTGACGGAGGAGAAAGCTTCTGGTGGTAATGCACAAAGCGTGAACAAAGGCACGTCTGATGATACTAGCTGGCTTTGCTCTGTGACAGGAATAGGAGAAGCACCTGGAGAAGGTGTAACGTATGTCAACACCGAGCCTGCGGTGCTGGATTGAAGCTGAACATCGCTGCGGGCGGCGGCTTGCCTGCGGCGAACCTCGATAGCTTCGTGCCTGAATGGATGGAGGGCTGCGGCTGCATCACCCAGGATGGCCGACAGTGGTAAAAAGCAACATGCAGATGAGCGTCCGAACATGGTGGCGAAAAGGTGTGTGGTCAAAGGACGACAAGCCGTCTGAAGGATGCAGCAAGCCACATCTTGTCTTTTCTCACGGGCGATAGTGACATTCCTGTGATGGAGTGCGATCAAAACACGGGGTATGGGGAATGGATTTGGAATGAACTCACATTGCATTCCTCATGTCGCACTCGATTGGCTATTCTCATCGGTAGCGAAGAATGTAAACACCGAAATAACTGAAGATGACAGATGATGGGAATGTCGTAAGAATGAAGCGGATGAGTGGCCGGGGAACCAATTGACGCATGGCAATGTGGTTTCTCCTTGTTGCGAGCAAAACTGCGGTGCACAGTGATCAATTTGATGAAAGCAAGTTAAGTTTGAATTATCCGATTGATTGATTTTGGTCTACACAATAGATGGTTTACACACTTGGTGACATGATGAGTTCGTAAAGGTCATTATTCGGCGTCGAGGGGGGCGACAGGAGGGTTGTCGTTAACTTGGATGCCACCACGCTTTCTGTGGGAAGAGTCCTCGAAGGGCAAGGTCCAACCACCTTCAGTATCTGGGGTAGCGAGCCAGAGTCTCATAAGATGACGTCTCGGAAGTGGAGGGGCGTGGTCTTTGTAGGCTGTGCGAGCGTGCAGGACATGTTCATTACTCAAGAACTGGATGTCACCGACTTCGAGAATCATGTGCAGAGATAGACGCACGCATGTGTCTTCGAGGATCTGAGCAGCGCGGAGTTGTTCAGCCGAGAGGGCTGGGATGATGCCCGCATCGCTGAAACGTGTAAGGGACTTGACATAGTAAGGGTCCCATTTGGAGTAGACACGACCATTGGGCTTAGGCTCGAGGTAGAAGACGGATGTGCGGATCCAGTCTTGCTGGCCAACAGACTTTTCACCCTTGCGGTCAAAGTACCAGATGGGCTGGGTGAGCAACTCGGCGACATCAGGGTTCTCCTTCTGCAGTGCGTTCCATACAGCGTGGCTTGACACGAGATCAGACTCACCGCCCTCAAGAGCACGAGCTATGCAGAGAAGACCGACAATGTCGCTGTCGTCGGCATGGAAAAATTGGCGGGCGTTGGTGCGGTAGATGCGGACCTTGTCAATCTGGCTGCTGTCCTCACCGACGTCCTTGACGTGACCCAAGACGTGACCACGGCTATTCTGACTGACAAAATAGCCAAGGTATGTGCCCAGGCCCATGTAAGCGACGGCGGACTTGTGCAGGCCCCATTTCTCGACAGGGAAGCCCTTGAAGAGGATGAAGCCTTTGCCGTTGAGCAGCTCGTGACGCAGCGAGTGCAGCAGGCGGCCGGTGGCAGAGGGCAGGGGGAACTTCTCCTTGGTGATGCCAGTCAGCGGGGTGGCCGAGGCGATGAAGTCGTCGGCAGCCTTGCTGATTTCGGCAATCTCGTCGTCGCTGAAAGGGTGTGTCCAGCGCTCTGGGTTGTTCTTGTACTCCTCAGCATGCCATACTGTAGGGCCGGTAATCTCCTTGGGGAAAGCCGAGTATGGGGCAAGCTGGTTGTAGACAGGATCGAATTGGCCGGCAGTCTTGACACCGTCAGGGAAGACCTTGGGCGAAGGGTTGTGGTATGTGTAGGAGGGGAATTGAGATGGTTCAAGCGGGGATTGGACGGCGGTCGGAGCCATGGTGTGGTTGATTGTTGCGGGCGCGACGGGCAGTGTTTTGGGAGAGATCAAGACGATTGATGGGCTTGGAGAGCAGGTCAAGGTAGTGTCGCAGGCGGTGCTCTTCGGCGGTGCAGAGGCCGTGATACAACAACAGAGACAGCGAGTAGACGAGTATATAGTTCATGACGGCGGTGGACCCCGATGCGGGCGTGTTGGCCGTGGTGGAGGTAGATAATGGCTGATAATGGCAGGTCGAATGATGGCGTGCTCGATGAGACTCTCTTGCGCGATAATTGCCCTATCGGAGCCGTCGTTGCTGGCCGCTGGATGGCGCGAGTGCGGGGTACGAGCTCGTCGACAGGGTTGTGCTGAGCGATCTCGCGGTTGGCAAGCAATGAGGACTCTCGCTCTTCGAATGGCGTGCGTTTACGAGATCCTGAGGGTCGTGAAGTGATGGAGATTTATATTTGAGAAGAGGCAGGTCATGGGCTGACTGCCTGTGGAAAGTGGATTCCAAACGTCGTCAAAGCACGCGAACAGAGGCTGAGGCCCGCGCTCTCGCTCTTCTCAGCTCAACGTCACTCTGAACTATGCACTGCCTGGCCGTCCAATCGTCTGCCACTCTAATCTGCTGACCAAGTGCTTGCAACTGGTGCACTCATTCCAGACCTTTCTTCCCAGGCATTACATGGAGGTTTTGTCCTCGCACACTGCTCGTTCATGCCATTCATCGCTATTCTGATACTCGAGCGACTCGCGAAACCTCTGGTCCAGAACGCGCGCCTGCCACATTCATGCGGGGTCAACGGCAATATTCGCCATGCTTTTCGGCTCCCGCGCGTACCGTTTCCCGTTTGCTCTCTCTCAGCTCTATTTTGATATTCAGCTCCCGGAAGGTCCGACACCTCGGTCCAAAACGCCTCTGGCCAGCCAGGTGATTTTCTGCGTACAGGGCACAAGCCCCTTCCGAACAAGCACAACTCGCTAGTTCTCTGCTGCGAGAAGATGACGCCTTCGATGGCAGAACGTGAAGCAGACTGGAAAAGTTTAAGGTCATTTGTACTTATACTATCAAGGCCCAGCCAGCTTCATCAAAGTCGCAGTGGTTTAGTGGTAAAATTCGTGCTTGCCATGCACGAGCCCCGTGTTCGATTCACGGCTGCGACAATTGTTTTGTGCTCATGATTGTATTCGTGCTTTTGCTCGGCCACGATCTTTTTCGAAGGACGGCTAAACATCTTGCAAAGTGGAATGGGGATAATCTTGTTGCTTTTGCTGATTCTAAATGCTCACTGATGCACAGGCCTTACTAGAAGCCATCAACATCACTACACGTTTGAGCCTTTCGACCACATCAATCAACTTGCCAGGTCTAATTTTAGCTGATTTTTACAGCGAAAAAGCAATCCATATTTCCGAGCAGCCTAATCTACCGTCTATTTATGTCTGTCATTATGGTAACAATCACTGGCACATACCCAAACCAACGACAACCCAGAAAACGAGACCAATGCTACGTGGAATATCTGGCAAGATAGCCCAGGCATCCCATGTCTCCAGCTTCTGTTCGGGTTTTGGACGCCAGACTTCGAACGTCTGACCTTGAGATTCGTCCTCCAAATGCAATTGAAGATAGTCTTCGTTCTCCTTTACTTCTGGTCTTGGGCGAGCAAAGTCCCGGTACATGAGCTCCCGTCGTTCTGGCATAGTTGGAGGCGAAACGGCATATGCAATTGGTCTGAGTGAGGCGAAGTGACTGCTCCATGCGGTGCCAGGAACCAGCACATGTGTCAGGACGTAATGCAAAGTGCCGTGATTGCTTGCTTTCACGAGCCCCACTGTGAAGACTGCTGCTGCGAGTGTAGCAACAACGACATGATACCACAAATGTTGGTGGAGGAACATCACACGCAAACGTTGGTAAAGTCCAGGCCTTCGATCAGGGTGACGTTCCTGAATCTTGGACTCAGCCAGTGCAGTCGGGATGAACCCGATACGCTTTCCGGCCACGAATTTCGGGCACAGGTCTTTGGCAAGTGCAAAAAATAAGTGGGTGTGTAGCCAGTGCATACCTTCGATCCTCCGGCGAAGCGCTCGATAACCACAGCCGTTGCTTGCAAGCAATTCTTCGACGAAAGCTGTGATTCTGGCCAGGAGGTATACAAACAGTATGTTCTGCAAATCGCTTGACTTTGCAGTAATGAGTGGTTGTCCAGAAGCAACAAGCAGAAGAATGATCCAGGAACAAAGCGGTCTGTTCATCATGGATGCAATGGGAGAGGCGCAATGACATATCGCGCTAATTCGCTGCTTCCAGGTCATTCCTTTCACCTTGGGCGAGAATATAGCGCAGTCCAACCTGCGAGAGTTACGTAGCCGTCCGACGAACTAAGCATGGTCAGTGTATCTCATACATAGGGTCACCTGTCGAGTCGCTTACCCATTTCATGCGTTGTGTGACATGAGCCTTGAATGTGTCCGGCACAAGACCAAATTGTAGCTCCTCGCGACAATACACGACCTTCCAACCTCGTCCCTGGAGTGTGAAGCCAGTCAAGATATCTTCGGCCAGGGCGTTTTCAGGGAAGCCTCCAATGTCCCTGATCGCCCTGCAGCGAAACACGACGCCAGGACCGGTGACCCATGCACAGTTCATGCTGTCACGTTGAATCTCGTCGAACTTGCCATCCACGTTCAGACTCTGGTAGAGTGGATCATTGGTCGGCACATTGTAGAACCTCTGGAGTAAGAGTACGTCAGCTTTGATTGAAGGGTGTGAAGATATCTGCTTCCATCTTACTTGCGGGACGACAGCGACGCCAACTTGATCGTCGTTAACGAGAAGAGCCAGCGTAGCGCGAAGAAATTCTGGTTCGAAAATCATATCAACATCACAGAAGGTGCAATACTCAGCTCCTCCAAGACTGTGCAGATAATTGAGCGCGGCGTTCATATTGCCCGCTTTCATTCCACCTTTGGTCGGTCTCGCATAGTACAAGAGTGTGACTGGAGTCCTGGTTGCCATTGCTGCTATCTGCATCTCCAGATCTGGATTCGCAGCATCGTCGGCAACCAGAATCCTGTACCTGTCTGCGGGATAGTCGAGATCGCATGTTGCTCGGACAGTGTCCATGACAACGTCAATTTCTTCTCCGCAGGTTGTGATGATAACGTCGGCATGCGGCACTTGTGGACCAACAAGTCGAAGTCGGGGTCGCAAGCGAGGATTGGTGCAAAGGAATCGCCATCCGTCATCAGCCACTCGTGCAACTGCCTGTCTGTCAGTATTGGCTAGGTAAAGAGGACTGATACTCATCCATACTCAGTAGTGATAATTGCGTGCCGAAATAGCATGCAGCAACAATTCCCGGCTTGCCGTTACCACTCCAGAGAGATCGCCAGAGCAACAGTAAGAAGCGAAGCGAGAAAGCCCATGACAAGATGGAAAGTGGTGTTCCGATCAGATGAGGTAAAGTCGTTGTGCACCAGTGCCATATAGGATTTTGTTCCTCGGAGTCGGAGAGCTCAACGATATCATAAACTTCTCGCGGGTCTTGGGAGAAAGGTCTTGATTTGTCTTCGAGCAACATGATGAAATGAGCTTGTGGGTTCTGCCATTGAGATTTGGTCAGGAACGAATCTCAATGCCAGAGCGGAAGTTATAAGGAACACGCCATCACTCACAATTGATAGGCGAGTAAACGAAGCCAAAGCAGGATCAATGATTATAGGTTACACACAAGTCAAAGCAAGAATTATAAGCTCAACGGCTGGATGCCAGCCACGCAAATATAAGAGAAAAGTGCCAATGCAGGTGAAGAAGGAAGGACAAGATAGAATATTCCATGATTTTCAGATCTAATCAAACCAATGCTTGACGGGAGTGCACTGGCAATAGGAGTTAAAAAGTTTGGTCGAGACCTTAATGGTGGATTTGATGGGACTGGGGAAAAAGGGAGCGGATGTTCGGGAAGCTTTTGCCGGAAATCGCCAAGGTTTGCCCAATCAGGGTCCTCTTTGAGGGTTCTTGGAGAAAACATGAGTTTGCGAACTCTGGACCATTCACTCATCCTTGAACATAGTAGGAACTTGCTAGAGTTATATTTGAGTGCTTTGTTGTGACCAGTAGTGGGGAGACATTAACCCACGAGGGCAACGTAGGCATTCGTAACTGTATCCGAAGTGGCGAACTTTGAAATAGGAAGTCTATTTATACTCGTCAAATTAGAGAGCACGAATTTCATTTCAGCCACGGCCACGGAAGCAAACCCGTAGAGGCATTCTCAATAGATTGGTTCAATATAGTAAGCATGTTGTCGGTTTTGCACTTTAGGGAGATGCCGCTTTGCCAACGTACGCCAGCTCGGAAGAGCTTCGAGAATTTCTACACCGCTGACTTCCCGAACAACCAACTCGAAAACTTACCAAAACAGCTATACATAAAACTGGGCAACCCTTCAGCATAGCATGCAAAAGATGGGTCTCGCCGGAAATCGAACCCGGGACTACTCGCAATTGGCTTGGAGTCATTTGAGAGCTACAGAGACCTTGTATAGAACTGAAGCCTGTTCAAAATAGGTAGTACTAGTCACTGAGGCTCTCGCATGTATATACTCCGCGATCCTCCTTTTGTAGGCAGTCGTTGGGAGCCGACGATAGAAAATATACTGTTGAATCGACACGCACGAGACAAGCATGCGTCGTCATCGTATGTGTTCATGCTCCTGTATCCTTCTCTTGAAAGCTTGTCACGTTCGCGAGAACGAGGGTCAGAGCAGGAAGGCATTCCATGCCGTCAAAGAGGAGAGCAGCGTGTCATGGCAGGACATAGATCGTTGGACATGCGCGGACGTCGAAGCGGCTGTGGGCATGATCGAACAGTTCGGCGGTGCCATATCGGATTAGTCGACTGCCACGATCGAGAGGGTGGTTCGCCATGTGCAGAGAAAATCGCAAGGTGACAGAGGCCACGACATGTCTTGGTAAGCGATGACGAAGACGAAACAATCGATGGCCAAGAGAAGCGTCGTGAGCGAGTCAGGGGGGGTCGTTGAGGCTGAGAAGAAGGAGCGGAGATTCGGTTTCGTAAATTGGCGGTCAGTATGGTCCGACACCGTCCGATATGCACTATAGCACTACATAGATTGGGCCTGTGCGCAGGATCTAGGGTAAGTGATCTGGACACGAAGGAAGTCAGACTCAAGTGTCTCTGTGCTGGGCTGGTCGCTTGGGCATGAAACATTGGGTTCTTGGTTGAGCGGTTGCAGCCGCAGTGTCGCGTGTCAAGATCCCCAGATTCGAGTGAGTGGAGAAAGAGAGATCTGCGCTGTCACTCTTCAGGGGAGCGACTTTTTTTGATGAACTTTTCTTTTCTTGCATTTGCACAGCCTCAAACGAGATGTGATGCACCGTATCACGCTGCCTCCGATTGATTTGTCGAATGTTTGCGCAGCTATTCGTATTCCAAGAGTGCCCTGATCCTAGCGCCGTGATTGCTGCATGCCGATACATGATGAAACACGTCCGTTTTCTTTGTCCTCGCCCACGCATTTTGCTCTTTCATCAATTGACTGAGCCCACTCACTCACTCTGACTGACTTACATTCCTTTCTCGTCTGCTTCTTTGTTCATCTGCTTGACGCTTTCTTCTCTGCGCACCCGCAAACACACTCGTTCGTTCGAGTCAATCCAGTGCAGCCAACTCGAGCATCAAACACCATGGCTTCGTCTGACTTTGCAACAAGCACTACCGCAACCATGTCTACCGGAACTCCGTCAGTTAACATCTCTCGCGAAGCAACATGGAAGGCACACGGTTACCACGCCCGCAAACCACAACCTCACCACCTCGAGATGGAGGACTATTTCGCCGGTCCTAGAGATATGGCTCGACACTCCAAATTGCCCTTCTTCATGCGCCTGCACGGCAGCGTCCTGCCCAAGATGCTTCTGCCACTTCTCTTCATCGGCGGCTGGGCAACTGCAATCACTTTGATCTCAAAATTTACTCGCGCCAACCTGGGTATCAACTCGCTCTTGTTGACAGTACTGGGTTTCGTGGTCGGTTTGGCTTTGTCCTTCCGCTCGTCGACCGCCTATGAGCGCTACAACGACGGCCGTAAATACTGGTCCCAACTGACGCTGTCTTCACGCAATTTGGCACGTCTGATTTGGGTACACGTCGAAGAAAGACATAGTGAGTCTGAGGAGCTGGGCAAGCGCGACCTGCTGGCAAAGCTGAGTGCTCTCAATCTACTCAATGCTTTTGCCGTCGCTCTCAAGCACCGTCTGCGCTTCGAACCCGCCATCGAGTACCCGGATCTCGAGCCATTGGTCGCCCACCTCGATCTGATGGCCAGTACGGCCGATCAAGTCGCGCTTCGCAAGAAGAAGCAAACACCATGGAAGTCTGCCGGCGAGTACCTAGGCGTCTCATTCGCAGAGTCCAACCCCCGCAAGCTGATCAAGCGCGCCAACGATAATTTGGGCAATCCTCCTGCAGAAATCTTGACATACCTCTCTTCGTACATGGAACATGTTATTCAGGAGAAGACTATGACTGTTCCCATACACCAAACTTGGGGATTCCAATCGATTGGATCGCTGGCGGACGTCCTCACTGGCTGCGAACGTGTGCTGAACACTCCCTTGCCGATTGCATACACTATCTCCATCTCTCAGATCACCTGGGCCTACGTCCTAGTCTTGCCGTTCCAATTGTACAAGTACCTGGACTGGGTCACCATTCCCGGCACCATGCTGGCGGCCTACATCATCCTCGGTCTCTCTAAGATGTGCGTTTTCCAATTTTTATAACTCTTCCCATTTTCCAAACTGACTCCCGTTTAGCGGCACCGAGATTGAGAATCCCTTTGGCAACGACGTCAACGATCTTCCCCTCGACGATTACTGCCGCGAACTGGCTGCCGATATCGATGTTTTGACCAGCACACCCGCTCCCCGTATCGAAGACTGGGCATATGCTCCCAACAACCGTGTGCTGCATCCCCTCAGTGCTACTGGTTTCGCGGGTTGGGAACACAGAAGTCTCGAAGAGATTCGCGAGGCTCTCAGAGCAAAGGCTACCACTTCGGTCAAGTCAATCCACGCTGATAGGTCGGAAACACCTTTGGCTGAGCCCAAGGTTGCCACCGTCTGAGATCTCCGCCTTGTAGGTACGGTCAACAACCCTAGCCATGATCAAAAATTTCTTTTCCTTTCTGTCTATTGGACTTCTTCCATGTTGTGATGCACGAAGTGATTGTGTATGTAGGCTTTCCTGCTTGACCGCCATGGGCATTGCCTACTCTTGAGCTTTCATAAGACTTCAGTCTGCTGGCTGACGTTGACAGCGTCATACTGTCGGCTTTTAACCATCAAGCTCAGCTTGCAGCGTCCGATCGTCGACTGACGGACTCGATAGCATCTTGTATATTGTGCAGTTGCCCAGATTGAGACCTCGGCAGCTGTTGATCGTCACTTATTTTACATACGGTAAGTAGTAGTGCTGACAATCTTTGAGTGCTGCACGAACATGAAGTCAATTACCTTTCGATTTTGCAGCACGATTGAAGCTGTTTGCCCAGGCATGCTCTGTCCGGAGAATTCAGACGACAGAATCGCTGTACTTTGCAGGTTGGAATGTCTTAATTCACGGTTGGTGGCACCGAGAACGAGTGGCAGAAGATGTGAGAAGAAGACGGTCAACGATATATTTATCAAGAAGCCTAAGACGATGAGAGGGGAGAACTGATTGTGCACGAGAACTGAAGGGGAGCCCCAACAGACTACGCCAAAGATGTATCTCCAGTCACGGAGATACTCTCTGCAAACCATATCCTGCATACTGGTGGAGTCGATTTTCTTGACAACTGCCCCAAGAATTCTTAGTTGCACTATTATTCCATACGTCCCATAAGGGATCCTAAGATTGCTGCCACTAATGGCTATGTCCATTCGAAGCTACCAGTCAGAATGTGGCAGTGAACTTTTGCGCCTAGTACAACAACACAGATGATGATGTGTAGAGCTGGCTGACAGTAGCTTGACGACAGTGGCAGGTATATCGTCATCATCAGGTGGAAAAATCAATCTTTATATACTCCTTACATGAACAAAGAGGGGTTGATTTCTTTGTTCTCGTGGCCCGGTTCCATGCGCTAGCGCTGAATGCGGCGGGTCTCAAGGACATCCACAAGTATAAAAGAGGAATGTCCCCGAACGAGATCTACCTTAGGGACTCCATATGCGGGTGGACGCAAAAAGTGCAAAAAGAAGGGCCCAACCGGGATTTGAACCCGGGACCTGTCACATTTGGCACTTGCTTTTGCAAGTGGGTTTGACCCGAAGCAACAATCATACGACTAGACCATTAGGCCAAATTCAAAGGCTGAACTCATGAACAGCATATACAATCTTTCAGACATTTCTGACAAGTCTTGGCGCTTAGTCTGCCCACTTAGCACGAGATCTCTCATGTGCTTCGAAATAGTCCCGGACCAGGTTTCGTCAGGGCGAGAAGATCTCACACTCGACTAAACGTATGAATTAAACGCAATCACGGGTCGGCGAGGAAAAAGAAAAAGAAGAAAAAAAAAAAAGTGATAAAGAGGAGATGCGAGAAAAATTCTCGGCGAAGTCTTCGGGGTCGGTTGCTTGGCGGGCCTCTCTTCCGTCTTGCCGCCGCGTCCTGCTCAGCAACACTGCAAGATACTGCTTCAAGAACGAGTGAATGTTCGCGTTCTCCAGTGAGGATTGTTGTTTGGACCGCTTCTGTGTTTGACCGCCATGACCTTGAAGAAGATGTGTCCAATCAGCGACTGCGAGAACCGTCTGGCTATGCGCGTGCGACGCGGGCATATTATTTCGTGATGTATATCACCTATTGAAAGCCATTTGACATCCCTTCCTCTCATTCACGATGGAAACACACGTCTATCGTACTTGGAATACCTGGTCGAAGAATCATGGCAAGTTGCTTTTCCACGCCATACAGTTCGGTGGCATATTTGGCTCGAGGAACTCTAGGACGAAGCATCTCGAGATGTTTTCCTCCTTACGAGATCATCCTTACGAGCCTTATTTGCTCGCAAGCGGGTGGCTATCATTCGGTTCTCCATGACGGGTTAGTATATCACTACGGCTAACATTCATTTCGGGATATTTGTGAGTTCGCTTTTCCATTATTGCAGAATGTCTAACATGTTAAGTGGGATATTGCTACTTTCTGCCATGTGGCTCCTACACGATTACTGTCTAGTCATTAAGAACTTACTACCACAGTCGCCGATGATTTGCGCCAACGACTGTAACCTGACAACCTAGTATACCTGCAATGCAGTGCATTTATTCATGCCATGCTGTAGGCGGAGCCTGTACTCGTGAGATCACCAAACGTGTTTAGGCCGCGCCTTCGGCTGCCTCAAGTTATTCTACAAAACATCTTGCATTTCAGATCGGTATCTTCTCTGCTTCATCAAACGCAGATTCTTGCCCTGAGAAAGAAGCACTTACAATAAGCCCAAGCACGAATAATCACAATCCACATCCTCAACAAAAAGAGGTGCATCGGCGGATTTCCCAAGTTCAACGCCAACCCTGCCCGCCAAGCCAGGCTTCACCACGCAAAATTTTCTAAATTTCCCACCACACTCCTTCACGCCTCTCCCAACAAAACGAGATAGTGCAAAAAAAGATATCTGACAGCGTTTATTTAGGAATAGCCGAAGGCGGGGCTCGAACCCGCGACCTTGAGGTTGTACTTTATCGAATGATAAGAGCCACACGCTCTACCGATTGAGCTACCCCGGCAGGTCTGATTGATCTAGTTCACTGTGTGAACTGGCTGCTGACTGATGGAAGCAGGTTGGGCTATTTGGTATATATACTTCGCAAATAAAACTTCCAACGACCAACACGATGGCACAGGAATATCCTTATGCTGCTTTGTTGCTTATTTTGTCTTCAAGTTCGTACTTGGCCGCTGTGACTGTCTCGAATCAATGAACGAATTCAAACATCTAATCTTGAGCAAAGTTTGGCAAGGCTTATTGGTTGAGGCCTCTGCAGATATTGGACGGCGGGTGTAGTGTCCAGATGCAGGTACACAAGCTTTCAAGCAGAGTTGCTTCAAGCACGACACACTTATACGGTATACAGTCCTCTAGAACGAAGGTGTAAAGATCTGCAATGTTGTGCGATGCACTTCTAGGTCACGATGAGACCACCATTAGAATCATCCCTTCAGATCACAGAAGCCAGATAACCCCTCATGAACTCCATTGTAAACAAATGAGAGCAAGCCAGACTCGGTATCGATATCGTGATAGCTGAAGGAGAAAAGTCAGCTAACGATGACAGCGGGATCGCTTTTTGGTCTTAAAGAACAGGGTCGGCGCTTCGCCAAGAACACTTGAACGGAAATATGTCATCTCACGTCTGTGAGGAGCACATTACAATACGTTAGCGAGGATTAAGGTAGCTGCGAAGAGGCTGGAAGCAAGGACAGCAGTGGATGTATGATCTACATACGTTCCATGTGCGTGGTACAAGCAATAATATCTAGGAAAGCAATTTCATATCAGTCGTGAGACACCTCGTCTTTTTGCTCTGGCCATTCACTCTCTACTCATCTAAGCAATTTCTCCACATCACCCAATCTTGAAGACTTGCTCTTGCCTCTCTTGTTGTCTTTCTCTTGGAAAGCCATCATCATGAGCTTACGCTTTTCAGCTTGGATATCCAGCGTACGTTCCTCGATACTGCCTTCCATGACGAGACGGAAGACGCTGGTCTTCTTCGTCTGTCCTAGGCGATGAACGCGGTCAACAGCCTGGTCTTCGATAGCAGGAGCCCACCAACTGTCCGAAAGAATGACTTGGTTGGCAGCGACAAGGTTCAGACCAACACTGCATACGCCCAAGCTCGCCAGCATGATTGTACAATCTGGGTCATCCTCGAGAGCATGCAATGCTTGGTCGCGAAGTCTTGCGGACATGGTACCGTCAAGTCTGCAGTATTTGAAGCCTTCGCGGTCGAGTCTGGCCTGCACGATGTCGAGGAATTTGGTCTGTCGCACTTAGAGTCAGTGACTGTACGTTGACAAAAATCTTGCAGAAATAACGTACCCACTGGGAGAAGACAACAGTCTTGTTGCCTGTACCCTTGGACGCCTTGAGAATATCGATGAGTGCTTCAAGTTTGGTGCTGCTAGCATCAAAATCGATTGACTCATCCTTGACCTCATCGCCAAAATCATTGGCAGGCTGAACGAGGACCGAGTTGTCCTTGAGTTCCGCACGACACATTGGACACTTTTTCTGTGTTTCGATGACACGCTCAATACATTCTCTGCCGAACACATGAGCGCAAGGTGTGATTACAGGAGTGTGTAAGTCGTCGAGACAAATGGCACATTCTTCCTGTGATTGAATGCTTAACGAGAGCATGTCTTGTAGAGCCTTCAGGTTTTCTGGAGTCAGTTCGACGACTTTCTGCTTCTGAATTTGTTCCATCAGATTGGTCACGCGCTCGGAGCACATCTGCCAGTGGTTGCAGACTTGACGCAGACGAAGAAGGATCTGGATAACATGTTAGAAATGCCTTGTTGATCATACAAAGCACATCGTCTTACCTCCAGCAAGTACCGATACGTCTCGACAGCCTTCTGACCCTCAACCTTGCGGTAGGATGACAGGGTACCTTGAGCTTCCTGAAATAGTGCCATGTATCTTTCCCTTTCTTTGTCTGCGAAGTCGATACGATGTACAAACTCGGACAGTTCTGGTAGCTTGAGATCAACAAACTTCATCTCTTTGCGGCGGCGCAAGCAGAATGCCGACATGATAGCCTGCAGCAGAGCTTGTGCGCTCGGATCGTTGGCCCTGACTGGGCGATCAAGAACACTGTTGAAGACCTCTAGCTTCTCCAAGCCTCCAGTAATGCCGATGAAGCGAAGCAATGAGTAAAGATCCTTGAGCGAATTGATGATAGGCGTACCAGTCAATGCCCAGCGTGAGCGTGCAAGCACGGCGTTGACAGCACTTGCACCTTTGCTGCTTGGGTTACGAATATTGTGTCCTTCGTCAAGAATGATACGTCGCCAGCGTGCTGAATACAAGCCTTTTGGTTTAGGTGGTTGTCCTCCAGTGGCCCAGTCGCTTGCAAGAGTCTGGTAAGTGGTGATGACAACATCGTACTGAGAAAAATCCTGAGGGCCCATCGACTTCTTTCCAGCTCCATGGTAGGTGTACACGCGCAATGGCTGATCTTTACGAACGTGTCTTGCAATCTGGAGAAAGTCAGCAATGTGTACTTCAATACAGTCTGCGAGTTGCATACCTGGTCGCTCCAGTTCGACATCACAGACAGAGGCGAGACAATCAACGTAGCACCCAGCTCGCCTTCCTGACTTGGCGTCCAATCCTCAAGGTCAGATACCACCAAAGAGATCATCTCCAATGTTTTTCCAAGACCCATATCGTCAGCGAGGATCCCTCCGCTTGCCAGAGTCGGCTCTCTGTCTTTGATGGAGAAGTTGGTAGCAATATTCGTAAACGCGTTGGGGTAACGCTCGTGTCTGCGCCAAAGCTGTACGAAATCTTTGGAGCCCTTGGAAGGAGCCTTGGGATTCTCCTTGTCGAGCATCCAGGCCAATGCTTGTAGCTGGTACGGGAGCATGGTTGTAGCAAGGCGCATAGGTTGCTTAGCCTTGACCATAGCAGCGAGGTCATCCTCGGAGGTACCATACTCTTCTGCAGCTCTGCTGACGTCTCTCGGATTGAAGCGTTCACTACCACTGATGATGTCTTGCATAGTCTGTTCCTGGGTGCTGTCACCAAGCCCAGGTCCCTGCGAAGCTTTGAATTGGGAGTTTGCAGCTACCTTTCGCTCGGCGGTCTGCTGCCTCTTCTTTTGATCGCGCTCATACCTACTAATGTCTTGAGTGGGCAATCTATCCATCATCATACGTTCGCGGACTTCTTCGCTCAAGGCTGAATTCAAAGGAGGTCCGAAGAGATTCAGAGCAATGGGGCAGTCGAATTGGCCAATCTCTCCAGCGAGCGAGCCTTCCATAAGAAGCCAACCTTTGTCAATATATTTTGCAAGCTTGGCTGCCACGTTTCTGTAAATTATGGGTAAGTTTGTTGCTCTTGAGAAATATTGATTGTGTCAATGGACTTTACCTTCCGATATGACCAATTTGTTCATTGATCATGTTGTCAATTCGAACTTCTGCAATCAGCGGATTACTCATAAAGCTGTTACTTACATGACTTACTGGCATTGGGATCATAAGGGTTGCTCGGTTCTCGCTTGATGGTAATTCTCTCTCCGATAGTTGCAAAGCCAGTGTAATAGCGCACGCCGACAATTTTGGTGTCCAAAGAGCCATACTTCTGGTACTGATCATAGGCTACAGGAGGGTTCTGTGAAGATGCGACATTTTCAAAAATGCCACTGTCTTCTTCCTGAAGCCAGGCGTCGCGTTCAGCCTGGCTGTGCTGTTGAGATGGAGTCCATGGTGGGACGTAGGCTGTGCGACTTCTTTGCGATGAAGGACTTGGTTGAGTCCATGAAGGAGTGCGGGCAAATGATCTTCCTCCAGCAGCAGAAGAACTTGGTCCGGCAGAGCTTCGCGATCGCGATTGAGAAGGTGTGCCTGCCGAAGAGCGCGGCGTTTTGGGTGGACGCGTCTCGGCGGAGTCGCCGGTGAGGTCAATCACATCACTTGAACGTTTGCGCTTCGAAGCATCGGACGCCGCACTTTGCTTCCCACCGTTAGGCGCCATCCAAGGAACGGATCTAGGCATCCTGCGCAGCCTCTTGTAAACAGGTTACACTTATCAGTCAAGTTGAGAGACTTTGGATGCGATCTGAAACACTGTCAGTGTCGCGGCCGGAGCTCGTCTGCGAAAGCCAAGACAAGCATCAAGCACCCCTCACTAGCCCGTTCAGGAAGAATATACAATCAAACATCGAATTAGAGATTGGGGTCACTGCTAAGTGAGTAGATAGATATACTATACAAGACGCAAGCCGCACCTCTGGTGCTTGGTATCATTCAAACAAAAAAAAGTCGAATAGAAAAGAATGTCATTATATCAAGAAGACGCCGAGCTCATGGTGGTGACCTGCCCTGCTCCAAGCTTCAAACTCCTGTTTTTGTGTCGGTCTTGTTGTTCAGCTGCCTTGCACAGATGCTGCGGCAATCAATGCCATCAGGGCGGAACTTTGAGTTGACGCATCTGCCGTGTCATATGGTCCAGCCCAGGAGAGTCCCAGACGGTTTTGCGAGTCGCGATCGTTCTTCCAAATGCTCTGAGCATTGGTCTCCAAGAATTTCTTCAGGTCAGGATCCGAAGTCGCTGTATATAGCTGAGCGACGTTGCGGGTGAAGATGCCTTTGAACTGAGAAACATCGCCTCCGCAACCTTTTTCGCAGCTATCGTGCAAGACACCGTGGCTATCGGTAAGAGTCTCGATAGCAGCCCATGCGATATCTCTAGCAGTGACGATGTATGAGTCGTCGAAACTAGCCTTCGACAGCTCGATCAGAGCCCCCAGAATGACGCCCTGATTGTAAGTCCAGACGGTATACCCGTTATTCTTACAGGAACCATCGAGCCCATCGTTAATTGTGTTGTTCTTGCTGATCATTCCGGACTGCTCGAACCATTGCCATTCTTTTACTGCCCAGTTGAGGTACTTGATGTTCCATGTGCGGGTTGCAAGGTGAGCAGCGACACTCAGGAAGAGTTCATTGGCGATAGCATTGACATATGTCTTGTCCTTGTCCCACCAGATTCCGCCGTTGCAATTAGTAGTCCAGCCTTTGGACATGTCGTCAAATAGCTGCTCTGCAGCACTGAGGTATTTCTGATCATGTGTCAAATCGTAAACTTTGATCCATGCCAAAGCCCACCAGCCTTCGTCGTCATAGAAGTCGCTTTTCGTTGTCCAGACATCTTTGTTGATCTCAAAAGTGTTGGAAAGGGTGTCGTTGAAGTTGTGTGTTGGGTCAAGACCTTGCATGTCGGCGAGTGCAGTGATACATTCTGCACTGTTCCACCAGCCCGTGCCATTGAACACTCCAGTGCCCTGATTATACCAGTGCATCAATGCATCGGAAGAGGAACGGGCAGGAGAGAGATAGTCGTAAGCATGGGTGCCTTGTGAGAAGGCAAAGGCCCCAACGAGTGTGAGAAGATAATTTGACAACCGGGCCATTGTTGAAGAATCGAATGGGATTTGATAGAACAGAAACAGAAAGAAAAGAAAAACGAATGTGTGTGACGGACGAACCTGCGCCTGGAAAGATCTTATAACCTGTTTCAAACCACTGGCATGGGCGAGTGGTTTCGACCCAACCACATAGCTAGTCCTACATGGTCAGTTTGGCGATAAAAGCTATATTGGTCAACCAAAAATAAAGAAGCTGTAGCAAGGTTTGGCGGTGCTTCACAGAGATCGTTCGCCTTGGCTGTTACAGCATGCCTGATTCTGAACGGCTCCGCTCATGTGAGACCGTGACAGCAGGCTAGCGGAATCTGAGGGACAAGGCAGAGATCTAGTTGTTCCAGGCGGACTCTAAGCTCGGCATATGCGAGGGTCATCGTTCAAGTCTTCAAGAGACAATCCGATACAGCAGACCTCCGGTCGCCTGAACTGCAGGCGCCATGGTACAGTTAGCCTTGTTACTTCCTCCTGACCTATCTGTATGCTGTGCTTTCAGATTTTGATCATACAACAGGAACGCTTTGATTCTGCTACAGCGTGCCGAAGGGACCGGTCGATCGTCTAAAAGCTGGAAGCGGCCATCAGCCGAAGAGCCAAACTCGAAGCGAAGAGGATCTCGTTGCGGTGTCAGTGCATTCGAAGATATCCTAATGCGGTCGAGGGCCATCCTATTGCAATTCCGGCATGAAGATCCGTTGTCGCAGATACCGCAATGTCGACATGGCCTGTTTTTCTGAAACAAACGCAAAGAGTTGGGGCGAGGATGAGATGCCGAGTTCTGACGGCGGTGCTCACTGCTTCAGCAGCTCAGCTTACCATCTGTCATCGCCGCAGCACGTCATGAAGATGGGTATCGCAAGTCCGACGGGCATCTGCCTTGAACTTTTTTTATTTTATTTTTTTGCATCTCGATCGTGTTGGTCAAGTGCGAGAAACAAGATGTGCAAGTCTGTTCTAAACAGGATGTAAAGTGCAAATTGAGTGTTTGGTTAAAAATAGGCAAACTTCTGAGCTCGTGCGGGTCTTGGCTCAGGGATCAGGAGAATCGAAAGGCAAGGTGAAACGGCCAAGATCCTTCGAGGCTTCAGAAGAACCACATCTCGAGCTCGTTCTACTACGATCAAGTACGACCAACGTGGAGACCAGGAACTCGTGATATACCGATATGTTGTGCAATTCAAGCTGTGCTCACAGTGCAACATCCATAGTGCACCAAAACAAGATCCAAGTACAATTCGCATACCTGCAGCGGACTGTAGTAGGCCGCAGGACCATGTGGACAATGCCTCAACACCCTGCACGACTTGCACGAGGCAGGATCGGATTTCCGGGTGCAGGACTTATGAGGTGACGTGAGTTTTGGCGTAATCACATGCTATGGGCAGGGCGACACAGTACTACCTGTTCCCCCCCATGTTTACTGAGGATGTGCTGTACGTCTTCGAGAGCTTCGAGAAAAATGCTAGTGCGAAAGAACATATGTGACCAGAACAGCGCACACTTCAACAACATCAGTCCTTCTGATCAGGTCTCGTGGTCTAGCGGTATGATACTCGCTTAGGGAGATGCTTCGGCGTCTTGAAAACTCTAAGCCAATTGCGAGTGGTCCCGGGTTCGATTCCCGGCGAGACCCATCTTTTGCATGCTATGCCATTGCTTTTGCCCATCAGAAACGGAAGAGAAAGAAGAGGAGGAAGGGTTGCCAAAGTGTATGTATAGATAGCTGTTTTGTTAAGTTTTGGAGTTGGTTGTTCGAAAAGTTTGGCGGGAGAGAAATGCTCGAAGCTCTTCCGAGCTGAATTACAATTTGTTTTGGAAAAGATTTGAATATGCAAACGGTCGATACAAGGATCGTAGGATCTTCCCAGGCAACGTAACGCGGTTTATCCTTGCGTTTACTGCTTTCTCTACTTGCTGTTATGGTTCAAAGCTTGGTAAATTGTCCCTTGAGCTTCTTTCACTCCATTGTTTGGGCTCTTCGTTGCTCCGTATCGCATTATAGAATTCATCAATACCGGGAGTAATATGACCATTGATCTTTAGTACCATCATCAGAAGCGTGCATGTTTGAACACTTAAAAACTTGACATTAACAAAAAGTGGTAGAAGGTACATTATATACACAAAAGAGCCCATGAGAAGTGTCATCTCTGGAAAAAGTTAATAGCAACAAAAGAGAGTGAGAAGAGAACAAAAGGTAACAATGCCAGGCGAGATGACCGAGATCTTGGCCTGGCATTGCTAAAGAATAGAAACCAACATATCTCGTCGGCCATACAAGCTACCATATATCAACAAGTGACAGGCATGCTGCAACACAAAGTCAGGGAACGATGGCAAAAATTGGTGAGTTCTGTCGGGTTGGGTTCATCAAGAGCTTCCTGGGATGGCGACGACAGATCTGGGCGGCGTCCACATGTAATAGATACAGCTTGCATGAGCACGGCTCAGCAGTCAAAAGTAAGGGGCTCCGAATCGACAGAACATAAAGGGTCCGTTTTCGCCATATACATGGTCAGAGTGGAAGCCTTAGTCGGAGAACACAAAGTAGGCGGTTCCAGAGGTCACGGAAACCTTTCACACAGTTAGTATCAAAGCACTTTTTCAACAGGAGAAACAAAACTTACGGTGCAACCAGTGGTGGAGCTGCATGAGTCGTAGTTCTTGCCACTGCAGTATTGCCCATTCTGGTATCTGCAGTATCCACTCATGTTGTCACCCTCAATGGTGATGGTGAAGTCGAGCTTTTCATCGGTAGTGGGGGCGTTTTGGAAAATTGCGAGCCATGCAGCACCGTTCGAGTAACCAACACCAAGGTTGAGAGGAGCATAGTTACCCCAAGGGTTGGAGGAAGATCCCCATTGGCAGCCGTCCTCGGCCGAGACTCCAGCAGGGTTGACATAGTACTGAGCAGACGTGGTCTTGCCAGTCCATTCGTAGTAAGTGGCATCAGGGCAAGTCAGGTTTGCGACACTGCCAGGATTGGCAGTGAGAGGCACAGTCTCACTCTCAGTACCAGGGTAATCAGTGCGGCAGACAGCAGCGCTTGAGGACATCTCATTGCGAACAAGGACAGTGACCTCGGAAGTGCCAGTAATGCAAAGAGTGTCGTGGTTAGGGTTGGTCTTGTAGAGCTTGCCATTCTTGCAGAGAAGGCCGCCGACAGACTGACCAGTCAAACCCTGAGTAGTGGGCCAGTGAGCCTTTTGGTAACCAGCAGGGCAGGCGTAAGAGCAGTACATGCCTTCGGAGCAGCAGTCGCTGCCTCCGCAGGTCGAGTGGGTCACGGTCTTGATGTTAAGCATTCCAAGGAGGGAGCTTCCGAAACCGGGCGATTGGATTCCAGTCCAGCCACCAAGACCCAGGTAGTCGAGAGAGACGGCACCGTAGTCGGAGGGGAAATCAGAGCAGTCAATCTCTCCATCGGGGAAAGAAGTGTCAAGGCCAGTGGACGAAGATGAAGCGGCTGAGGATGTTGCTGCGCTCTGGGCAGAAGAAGCAACACTGGAGCTGACCGAAACGCTGGTCGAGCTGGAAGCTGGTGCAGAGCTGGACGAGGTTGAGGTCAAGAAGGTGGTGCTGGGAGAGGCGACAGCAGAAGAGGTCGAGGGTGCAGCTGAGGATGAAGAGGCCAGGGACGGAGCGCCGTCGGCCCAGACCAGGGTACCGTTCTTGATGCCCTCGAGGACCTCGGCCTCGGAGACGATGTTTCCATTGAGCGAGTACATGATGACGGTGGGTCCAGGAACGTAGACGTCGACATTTTCGGTGGCGGTAGCGTCACGCTTCATGTGCTGGTGGTGAGCGTGGTGGTTATGGCGAGGCACAGCGGCGGCGGCCAGGCCGAAGGCGGCCGAGAGCATGACGAGCGAAGACTTCATTGTTATGGTCCAGTTAAGAATGTGAGTCGAACCTGTTGGTTGCGGTTTCTTGTCGAGGCAGGGATGCGGTGGTCGAGTTGGTGGTGCAAACGAGTGACTGTCGTAAGGTTCCAAAAGAGTGGATAGAAGCAAATGCCTCCGCTGGGTCGTTAGTGATGTCCGGGGAAAAGAGTGTCTGTCGCTATAACATGCAGATGGGCGGCGCAAAGGTCGAAGAGGAAGGAAAGGAGGATGTGGAAGGGACGACCTTCAACGAACTATGTAAAATGATCTACCCGTTGCTTGTCGCAAAGGAGGCAAGTTCGCGTGCCTGCCAAGGTAATCTCGCGCCAATGAGCCTACTTCGCATACTACTCCGCGCGTGGCGTGTGTTATTAACTGCTGCCGGAAGTCTAGAGTGTTGATATTCGCTGTCTCTTGCTTGAACCCTTCTTGCACCAGATGTCTGACCGGATCACTTGCAATTCGACATTCGAGCACTCACACTTCTAGCGACTGTCGAACTGTAAGGCAGCTGCTCTGTCAGCTCAATCAAGTCAGTCGCAGTGTGTTGGCCAGGGAAATCCTAACATGGAAGGACAACCGATATCATCAAATTTCCCCATGCGTGCTTGTTGATCCCGGCCGTTGATGGTGCCAAAGTCAATTGATCGACCGTCAACGCACAGACCCCCGTACGAATCACAGGATCCTCACTCACAATAAACCCCCCGAGCTCCTGCAGGCCCTGCAGCTTCTATGCGAACCATGCTCATCGCTTTTGACAGTCACACTGCTGCCGAGCTTGCCGCCACGCACACGGCGGGAGTCAGAAACCACGCATGTCAGGACAGCAAACCAGCCAAGTGCACTGCCATAATGGAGACTTGGCGCCCAAGGTTTGGGATATTTGTTGAGCGACCTCGAGGAATGCAAGACCTCTACAGAAGGTATGTGAGGACTACCAAAACAATTGGAATTTGGTCCTCGAAACCGTCTCTGCCGTAGAGATCGATATTCTCTTCTTTTGGACGTCGCAATCTCGTTGCAATCTCCAGACGCCCGCTGATCTTGCCGCTCGGATAAGATTAGGGGACCGATATGCACCTATCGATACCCTTATAGCAATATGCCGCAGTGTTAATGGAGATCGATGCCTCAGCCGCGTGTATGCTTGCCGGGTTGGCTCGTCTGTATCGGTCCAAACATGAATGAATGCACAAGATAGTATGCGCAGCGTTGTTGAAATGCCGGGCTTCGATCATCATCACGCATGACTCTGCTAGCGAGGGCAGGGAGCTTTTGAGCTACGCGGCCCCTTGACCTACGTTGGCAACGTAACGAAGGCGATCCCGTCGATAACGTAGCCGACACCCAAGCTTGGAACATGAGACTCGGTCGATTTCCCAACAAGCTTTGGCTGGTCTAGACTGCGAACCACGATATTCCTAGCACAGTCTTGAGCACAAATATTTTATGCTGACTGCGTCTGATGCATCGAGTGTTGGGAACACGCTCAACCTGTTGAAGAAATCACGACCCTGCTCTCTTCTCTAGTGTCCTCCCAGATGGGCGACGACGATTCTTTATGGTCGATTCTATACTCATATGAGACTATCCTCATAACTTGAGTACTTCAGTATAGCATTGAGCAGCTGTTTATAGCCATTACTATGTTTGACCAAAAAACCACAGACGAACTGCAGCAGACTCGAAATCTTGGCTTTCGGATTGCTGTTCAAGTTGAAGCCTCGAGTAAAACACATTCTGACACGAGACCAGCGTATATGAAGTAGCCAACCCCTGAAGGTCTCACATTACACACTCTAGCATATCAAAAAGCTCCACCAGATAGCCTGTGCCAAATAGACGCACACACGAAGAGCTGTTCGACTATTGCTATTTTCCTGATCAGCATTTGGATGCTTCTGGTATGACCCTGGCTCATACCTGCCAAGACACAATTTCTGCGAAGAATCTGTTGGTGTCCGAAGTGCAAAAAAAGGAGAAGAGAAACATACATGACCATCGTCTGGGGCAAGACTCGTTGATGCATACAAAAGATCAGCAAAAGAAAGACAAGATATGTGTTATCAAAAACAAAAATACATCGCCCGACCAGAGGCTCGAACTCTGAACCTTGAGATCTCTAGAATTAAAAGTCTCACGCGCTGACCAATTGTGCCAGCCGGGCAAAGATAAGATCCATCCTAACGAGAAAATACATATCTCGAGATTCAGATTAGTTTTTCGATCAGCGTGAGATCGTTGCATTCAAAGTCGCTGGCATAAATCTATAAAACAGACAAGATAAATGAGCTCATAGGTATTAATTGGAATATGTACGTGTCCAAGAAGCTACGGAGCAGGCCTGCTGCCATGGCCAGATGATTCACAAGGGCCTCGGTAGATTCAAGATGTGTTTCTCGCAGTCTTCCCAATATTTCTCTCTTTGCTCATTCAATCGACCGACGCATACCCAAGAGCAGGACTTGCGCAAGAATGGTCTGAATAACTCACTGGGGGAGCACATCTCACTCCCGGGTCCGACGTAATAATAGTCAACCCATTGCGCCCTCGGCACAAGGAACTGCTTGTTGCAAACAGAACAGTGTTGCATACCCAATTGCTTGCTTTCAATGACCTTGCTGATGGCCGTATTGACGGGTGGCGACGCGTCTTCTGGGAGGAGCGTGGACAACTGTCCAACGTACTGGGAACGAGCACAAGCGCGCGCACTCAGTTCAAAGAGAGATGGTGCTGCAGATCGTACGGATCCAGGTGGTGAGGGACGTTCGAATGAGGCGGAATAATCTGGCGCGGAATATGCGGTATACGCGCGGAATCGTGGACGCACGACCGAACCATCGATCTCGAAGAAAGTCGTGGATGATGAAGCCACATAAGTGGATTTGGACTTAGGCCCCTCAGAAGCGGTATATAATCGAGAGGCATAAAGACGATGAAGTAAAGCTTCGTGTGACGGTGCCCTCATGTCGATGTCAGGACAGCGAACACGCAAGCGATGCAATTCGCGCAAACAATCGTCGGGTCTGGAAGGAACGTTTCTGAGCATGGTCGAGGTCGGTAGGGGTAAAGGCTGTACAAAAGGATTCGGGCTTAAGGAAAGCTGAACAAGCTTGTTCTCGACTAGAGCGAGGAGCTCGAAGGGAAGGAAGGAAAGCTGGTTGCCGGCGACGTTGAGCTCATGGAGATTGCGGAGACGGCCAATCGAGGGCGAGATTTCGGTCAGGCAATTCGAGCGCAGACTGAGGACAGCCAAATTGCCCAGATTCCATAGCTCAGACGGCAGCTGCTGCAGATCGTTTTTGGAGAGGAACAACTTGATGTTGGGAGTGAGTGGAGCGAAATGGTCGACGGTGATCTTCTGGTCGTCGTTGATGGGAACAGGAAGGCGGATGAGTTGGTGGAGCGGCTTGAGGGTTTCGTTTTCGATGCAGCCGAGGTGCATGTCACTGTGAGGATTGCCGTTAGAGTGAGCGAAACAAATGCCAGTCATTCAAGCACTCACGAGAGATCAATCGAGTCCTTGCAAGCGTCGACCGAGTTAAAGACAATGCTCGCAGCGCGTTCCTGAATCGAGTCTTTCGGCTTCGTAGGAGTTTGACGCTGAGTGAGAGGAGCGCCCTTCTGCATGTATTCATTAAAAGTCAGACTCTGCATGCGACGATTGCTGCCTCCAATGCTGTCAGTCGAACTATCAGAGCCCAGCCAGACACCACTGTCGGGCTTGTGGGTGTCTCCCTTGACGCGTGCCATAGCTGGAGAATGAGCATGCTGGTACCAAGGGCCGCGCACAAATCGCTTGCGCTTGATGCCGGTGACTTCAGACTCTTCAGAGGCATCTTCGCTGAAGATTGGATCGCTGGACATGCTGCTATCGTAGTCCCATCCCGCATGCCGCTTACGCGATGGGAACGCGGCCGGCGGCAGCGGCGGTGAGCTCGGCGGCTCGTTGAAGACCTCATCCGGAAGGACCGGCGGCGACGAAGGAATAGACATGGCCGGGAACAATCTTGACGAATTGCCCGGAGAGAATAAGAGAAGAGAATAAAGTCGCGTCGCAAACCTTTGGAGAAGACGCGCCGGCGGAACCCCGCAATTCGACGGTCAAGACACCGTCATTCATAGCTTATCGCTCACTCACGTGCTGCACCTCGAGAGGGTTCAAACGGTGCCGCCCGCTTCACAAGCCACTCACTTCATGCTGCTTCTGTTCACTTCAGCTGCTGTCTTCAGTGCTATTATTCTCCCGCTATCGTCAAGATATCGCAAACACTACCATCTTTTGTTGTGAAACAGTGCTCGATATGTTGTCCCATCACTCCAAAGGCTTCTTATCCCACCACGAGTCATCGACTCGAAGTATCACTGTCCCAGTCCCAAACCCTCTTTGTCTCGCAAGGATTTCGATGTGTTGGTATTCCTCATATACGTGTCCATCGTAATCGAAGGCCCACGGCGCCTTCTCGTGCCTCCCTTCACGAGGCTCCACCATAAGCAGGATTCTGACCAGTGCCTCGTCTGATGTTCTCTCCATCAGATGCCCATACCACAACTGCCTCCTTCCCCACGTCATCTCTGGCCAACCATACTTGTCGCATTTCACAAACACCTCGCCTGTCGCGCAGATCATCTCCGCAATCTTTGCAGGTTTGTGGCAAAGACATGGTTTCCAGTACTTTTTCTCAGCACAGCGCCGACCCTTCTCCGACTGAGAGGACACTAATGTCAGTACATCTGCCAGGAAGAAGAGATACTCATGGGTGCAGCCTTACCCATATCTGAGACACTTGACTAGGTTCGATCTTGATCCGAAGATCGCACGAGTCTTCACGTGTTCTCATGTCAAGCAAGTCTGCACGATGTTGTAGAATATCAAGGCACTGCCAGTCGTCTCAGTTGATGATGGGATTTGTCGTTTGCAGCGAGTATCCAAGCCGGCCTGTTCAAGGGTTGTAACATGACACGCAGCAGACCATGGTCGGCCTTGCTACGACTCACAGGTTTCCGGTACACGAGAATCTCCAGCCTCCCATGACGACTTGCTTCTTGAATGTTCTACAGAGTATCTCGGCATTGCTTGTTATATCGATCAGCGAGAGACACTCGGCTGGAGAGTCTGTTTCCGACAAACAAGCGAATCTCGGATCATAGCTGTGCTTTTCAATCTTCTCTGTGCGTCAGAGTATGTCACTCGAGATTGGATGTTGAGACGGTCCAGACTCGAAATGGGAGCATGGACAACGGCAGTCTAAAATGTCAACTTCGGTAAGCAGGGTCTTAGCGGAGCTCCACGACAAAGCTCGGGCCTGAGACGTCAAACATGACATTGACGTTTCAGGCATCGCACTTCCTATCGATAGAGGTTGAGATATCTATCTATCATCTTTGTATACAGCTACCAGCTGAAGGTTGCAGAGTCTTTTTGTAGTTCGTGGATCAGAACACGAGGTGAGAAACAACGGTCTCATCAAGCACTTACAGTCGGCCCTTTGTCGACGCGGGATAACTCGGCATTGAAGGCAATATATCTGTGGCACAGCTAAGTAGCTAGTACAAAAATTGTTTTCTGCTGGCATATCAACACTGCGCCTTACAAGAGCACCATCCTCGAGGTAGATGTAATCGAGCGGTGCGGTCAACCATGCCGAAGACTGAGTTTTAGACTGTTGACATGTAGGTGCCTCTTGGATGCATATAACAAGCATCCAGCTTGAGACAAGTACGAACATGTGACTCTGCCTTGCATTCAAGGTCGCTCAAATCCTATCTCTTGTGCTGGTTTGCCTTTGCAGGCAGAATGATAATTGGTTGTTGTGCCTATACGATGATCAGCATGACCGGCGTCACAGTACGTCCGCGAGCAGTCATTGCATGCTATACCACCAACCTCCCCACGAAGCAGTCAATCTCGACTCCCAGCCTCCTCTTGGCTATCAATCGATCATAGAATCAAGTTCAAATTGGAGGTGCTCGCTCGTGCGAGCTTCAGATAGCCAAATCACCTACTGTGTCCTTGTCCTTTACTTCTATTGTTGACCTTGGCTTCGCTGAGACTGTGTGCTTACTCCATCTGCTGATGGGAAAAGCACGTATCAGTCGCGGTGATATTTCTTGGCTCAAAATGCATGGCAAAGTCATCGATGGCGGCTCCAGGCGCAGACCCGAACCGTATCCCACCACCAGGTCGAGGTCCAGCGAGACTAGCAAGACCGGCAAGAGTTCCGAAGACAATCGTGCCAAAGGCAGCCACAGGGGCTTCGTGGTCATCACCTTACCAGACGACAGCGAGAGTGAGCACGAGATCAACAGCGTGACAGACGATGACGAAAGCGAGTACGAGATCAACACCGTATCAGATGATAACGAAAGCGACCTCGATTACCAGCCAGACGAAGATTGTGGTCCTATTGATGATGGAGCGGGCTTGGTTGATGCTGCGAATGAGGATATCTGGCCCGAACAGTTCCCAGCCGAAGTGGACTTGATGGCAAGTACAGTCAGCAAGAATCTGACAGATGTAATCAATCGAAGCTAATGTTCAACAGAAGCTGAAGCGCTACTGCAAACAGTCGGAACCTTTTCAACTGGCAGAGGAAAGACTCACTGAGAAGCGGCGGACTCAGCTGTATGGGACGTCGTCGCTCGTTCATATCTTGGTCGCATGGAGGTACATCGATCCCAAGGAGCGTCATACGTGGTTGCCTGATGCATTTGGTCGTAAGCGGGGCAGGCCATATGAGAAGACGTGCGACAGAGTGTGGGGATCATGGTGGAGTTATGAGTACGACATGTTTACGCGGGCTATCCCTTCAGTGGAAGCGAGTAATTCGAAGTGTCCAACACCAGTGACGCTGAATTTCCCCAAGCGTCGTTATCGACACCCGAGGCCAGGTGGGAGTTCAGATGCCTCGAGCAGTCCAGGTGCATCGAGCAGTCCATGTGCATCGAGCAGTCCATGTGCATCGAGCAGTCCATGTGCATCGAGCAGTTCAACGGCAACAAGTAATTCACCGGCAACGAGCAGTGCGGTTCCATCAAGCAGGCCAATTCCCGGTCGCAGACCGAGACTCACGACGTCTCAGTTGATCGATGTAGGGCTTTCGCACCCTGATCCAGTGAAGAATCGGCTGTCCAAGGATCTCAAAACTTCATTGCTGGTTGGGTTCGGTGAAGTCCATCTCGAGACGCTTAGCAAAGAGGGAGAGAAGCAGCTACGCATGGATAGTGTAGAGGCACTGCGCGTATCAAGGATGAGAAAGACAAGGTTCTTGTCGGACTCGAGATGGCATTGAAAAAGCTGCTGAACAGTAAGAGTATCTACTAGTAGGACGGTGTGTAGCAGGGAATAAAAGTTGTGGAATTTCTCTTCGACTCGATTGCCAATGTGAAGTGTTTCGGAGGTTTGTGACAAGAAGGCGTGTCGGAGGAGTCAAAGGCGGGCTGGCGTCATGCTTGGCCGATGGCGGGGGCGGGCATTGGTCAGCAGCAGAAAGAGCGGAAGCAACCAAGTCATTGCCATCTTTTACTGATCAAGTCGCATATTCTTGACTGGTCAAAGTCGCACAACACGTAGAAGATGGATGCCCGTGTCGATTCAAGGGCCGCTTCGGTCGAGGAGAACGACAGTACCGACATCAACGCTCCGCTCAAGGCCGCCCCGAAACTGGTTGCGCCCGAACCTGGTATTTCTGATCCGCCGTCTGTCGCCTACTGTGGCTAACGATCTGTCATAGAACACTGTCCCGGTCCCGAATCGCAGAGTGCAGGCAAAGGTGATGCCTGCGCCGGCTGTCCGAACCAGCAGATTTGCGCCACCGCCCCCAAAGGCCCCGATCCCGATATCCCTCTCATCACCGCCCGTCTCGCCTCTGTCAAGCACAAGATTCTCGTCCTCAGCGGTAAAGGTGGTGTCGGCAAATCTACCTTCACAACTATGCTAGGACATGCATTTGCTGCAAACCCTGACGCCCAAGTTGGAATTATGGACACCGACATTTGTGGTCCCAGTATACCCAAGATGATGGGCGTAGAGCAAGAGACGATTCATGTGAGCAACGCTGGATGGAGCCCGGTCTGGGTTACCGAAAACTTGGGAGTTATGAGTGTCCAATTCATGCTGCCAAACCGCGACGACGCTGTCATCTGGCGCGGTCCCAAGAAGAACGGCCTCATCAAACAGTTCCTCAAGGATGTAGAGTGGGGCGAGTTGGACTACCTCGTTGTTGACACCCCTCCTGGTACTAGTGATGAGCATCTCAGTGTCAACAGCTTCCTCAAAGAGTCTGGTGTCGACGGTGCTGTTGTTGTCACAACTCCGCAAGAAGTCAGTCTCCTGGATGTACGAAAGGAAATCGACTTCTGCCGCAAGGCTGGAATCAAGGTGCTCGGCATTGTGGAGAACATGTCAGGCTTTGTCTGTCCCAAGTGCACCCACGAGAGCCAGATCTTCAAGGCTACTACCGGTGGTGCTAGAGGCTTGGCTAAGGACATGTCCATTCCCTTCCTCGGTGCAGTCCCTCTTGACCCTCGCATTGGTATGGCTTGCGACTTTGGCGAGAGCTTCTTTGACAACTTCCCCGACAGTCCAGCATGCAATGCTCTTCGTCACGTCGTTCGCAGAGTTGGCGAGGAGATGGGCGTCGACACTTCGTACAACGAGGACTGAATCTCATGAATTCGGTCAAGCAACAAAACATTGCTTCTCTGAATTCACGATTCACCATACTGCCTACAATGCCAAAGATGCATCATGCCGATGCGCACGCCATTTCTGCGGGCTGTGTTCTGCGTCAGTGACTGAGCACTATGTCGCCCATCACAGCTCGCCCGCTCCGATTTAGTCGCCCCTACTGACTGACTGGCATTCGCTAGCCCAACAGGCGTCAATGTGGAGAAGCAGGTCACGCAGTCGGCCGCAAGCGAGATACAATTGCGGCGTGACGGCGGAAACGTGAGGATCAGAGTCATATATGACTCGTCAAAGCGGCAACAATCGTTGAATCAGATTAGAAAGCCATATATCGGATCAACGCGCCCTGTGACTCTCCCGTTGTTGGAGCGCAACCGCAAAGATTCAAGTGGGCTAGACAAAAGGCAATGCTGAACGCATAGACAGTAGCCAGACATCGCAAATATAGACTGTTCTTCTACGAAACGACGAAATCTCGGTCTGTCCCAAGAGCCATTGGCAAACCCTTTGGAAGTGATTAGCTGCAAAAACAACTGAGTGACTTGGACAGTCCTATCCGGTTCTCAAATGAAAACTTTGTCACAAGCGACTATCAGCGACAGCAGCTTTGGAACACAGCGATTATTCTAGTATTTTGTTCGCATCATGATCTCTCAAAGAATTCTCTCAAAGAGTGGGAGGCCAGTACTGGCATTGCGCATTGTGTGAGTAGCTATTGCATAGTATCAAGCCATCTTCTGTACAGCTCTCTGAACACCACGTTCTTCGCTCCTTTGTAGCCACTTGTCTGTGGCTAGACGTCCGAACACAGTAGAAACCCTCAAGAAAACCCTCAACAGCGAAACATGTCCCAGCAAGCAGCTCATCCACTCCATCTTGGTCTTCAGCATACTTTCTGATCTTCACCACCTAATCCACATCAATCGGGTCATACCACGATCCCACTGACTCTCGTTTCCTGGGCTTTTTCTTCTTCTTAGGCAACTCTCTGAGCTGCATAGCAGGTTCTTCAACCTTCACAACAGGATCGACTGACTCTTGAACCCTTGCCTTCTTCTGCCTTGGAATCAGGCTGAGCTGCGCATCGCTGGCAGATGGCTCAACCTTCACATCAGGATCGTCTGCCTTACGCTTCCCGGCGCGCGCTTCAGCCCTCTGTTTCGAGCATAATCTGTCTGGGCGATGACAACTCCCGCATCCACATCCACATTGCAAACACTCTTTGCCCTTCTGACGATGCTTGCAAGCTTCACTCTCGTCGTCGGACGTCTCAGCCGATCTCGTGCTGGCTGCAGTCCCTGGCATAGTTGATGTAGTTGCGTCCCTCGTTCTGGCTCTTAGTGGTGTTTCGACTCGTGTTGCGGCAATATCTGGTAGCGGCGTCGTCTTCTTCCTGGGCTCCAATGATTCTGTGGCGGAAGAAGTAACTCTCTCGCCAGGACCGCTGCTGGATAGCTGTGATTCTGGTGATGGTTTGGAGGAGGGACACACACCTCCGTGTCTCTTCCCACATGTTGTGCAGACTTTACAAGGGCCGACATGCCATGTATTGCATCTTGTACACTCACGACAATCCGCCCAATGCCACGAGTTGCACTTCTCGCAGTAACGACAATCACCACCCCGGTGCCACTTAGAGCAGACACCGCAGAGATGGCAGGGATCTGAGTGTCTCTTGCCGCAGTTGCCGCAGAAAGGGATACAATCGCCAGCGTGCTTCCTGGTGCATGACTTACATACTTGGCTTTCATTTATAGAATGAGTTTGCGATGCAGCTGGCGTAGAGGCAGCTACAGAGCTTGATGCAGATCTCACCGGCTGCTTTCCTGCTGCTTTCGAAAGTTGTAGGGCCACAGGTTCCTGCGCTGAAGTCGAAGGCAGGTCCTTGTAGGTGGAATACAAACGAGGCGTACCAAGTTCGGCTGAGGCCATCCCCTTCTTGCCATCAAGTGGCCCTGGAGTCTTAGTACCCTCTTTGCTCGGAGATCTGATATTGGTGGTAGGCTTGGCGGATTGGCGAGGGCCATATGAAGACGGGCCAGGAGTTGGCGAGTATGGCGATTTGGCCTGTCCAGCTTCATGTTGTGAAGGCGTTCCGCTGTATCGATTTGATTCAGGAGAAAGGTGTGCACGTTCCGGATTATCGAAAGTCCGAGCGGACGACTGATCCCGAGCTGCAGCATTGAGGGGGCCGGTGCTGTCGACAAGAGGTCTCCGCGATGGATGTACCAGTTCAGGAGGGTCCCATGAACTCGAAACAGATGACGAAGTAGTGCTAGATGCGCGGAAGTCTGCAAATCTTTGTGGCTGCATTGATGATGGTCGGGATGACGGACCAAGAGGCGCATCTCCACAAGGCACCGGGCATTTTCGAAAGTTTCGAAACGGGCCCTTTGGACTGTCTGGGTGTATGCGAGGGAATCGAGGTGCTTGAGAAGGAATGTTGTTTCTGGGTCCACGAGGAGCGTTGGGCGGTGGCTCTGCTTTGATTGACTTTGTTGTAGCAGGTCCCGAGCGACGATTGCCTTGCGGTGGATCTGTGTGCTGAAAAGCGCCGACGACAGAAGTTGTCGCTGTTGCTGGTGGCCATACAATCGTTTGGGATGAATTACGAGCGAGATGTCGACGAGACGTAGGAGAACTGACCCATTCAAACTCTGCGTATGGCTTGAGCTCAGAGTTGAAGGCTGCTGTTATTAGCGGAATTCTTATGAAAGCGCGGCCTGGCAAGGAAGAGGGTGTTACCATATGGAGCATAGAACCAACAGCGTTTGTAGTAGTACTTCCAGATGGCTCGTAATTGAGCATCTGTGTGCCTGTCCTTGGCCGGCCAGATGATAATGCGAACCTCGGGTTGTCGGAGTTTGGTGTTTTTCTTGCCCAGGACCTCGAGGGCAGGTTGAGGATTTCATCTCTTCCATTCCTCCAGAGACTCCACCCTTTTGATGCTCACGGCAGTCTATAACGATCAGCTTCGATGCGCACCAGCTGCAGGCCAAGAGGGACATACCTCTTCCGTCGGGCTCTCATAACCTTCGGCTATGCGTTGCCAAGGAGGCACTTGATCCATGACTTGACACAGGGAACTGGCGAATACGAAGTCGAGGTAATGGTTGCGGATTGGCGAAGAACCTGTGTTGAATGTAGAATGGGTAAGCGTAGAATGAGGAGCGTTTCAGGCGCGGAGAAGACTTGCGGCAGGCGCAGAGACGGAAATTTGGAAGCGCTGCGGCTTCTCGAAAGACGAGGGAAGTAAAGTGTTCGCAAAACGATGAGCGAGCGAGTGACTGTACCTACCTACTTATGGGAGCGTCATTCTGGAGCATCGGGCAGTTGCATCGCGTTCTACCCAGCCAGCGCGTCAATCTCGTGGCAGGGGATTAATTACTATGGCCTGGGCTCATGGAGGTCCCTCCATTTTGCACATGCATCGTCGCCCTGACTACCACTGTGCTAATACATACACAAACCGAAGCATGAAAGTTGTACCACACTGCGTGGCCATCCTTATACCGAGAGGATATTTATCTGAATTCAAATACTTTCCCCTTCCTAGCAGTGGTTTCTTTCGCAGTGGACATTCGCTGGGATGTATGAAAGTAGTCTCTTTGTTCTCATGCGTACGCTTTCTGCCACTGCTGGCGCTCGATGGGCAAGTCTTTGCAATCTTTCTCGACTCTTGCGGGGCGACCTTCGTATCAAGCAGTAGATGGAGAAGAACGAGCAGGTTTGCTATGCTGTGATGGATTTGTGTTAGCCTGCACCTAAACTTCATTACTACCGGGCTCCATCCCCGATCTGGATGCTCTGGCAATATCTTGGCAGTGTTTCCTCTCGAAATCGTCATCTCCATCAGAGTTCCAAGAACACTGAGGACTGATATCGTTTGGACTGGCGGCCGTAGTCGAGCCGTCAAAGCGTCTAGGTGTGCGATCTTGTTCTGTAAGAGATCCTGCAAGCTGGGGAATGGCTAGCCGAACGTCGCGTCTCCAGCGAACAAACAACAGCAATTGCAACCGCTCAGGCTTGTTCTCTGATACGAGCCAAGTCTGTGGTATGTCATCGCCTGTAGCAGGCGGTGTGTTCTGACTCTCCACCATGGGCGGGACCATCAGCATTGGAAGAGGGCCGTGACAGGGCACGGTCTCGATCGCTGAGAGCCTGCCTCGCTGCTGCTGTGATTTGAGGTGTCGTGTCATACAATAGCGTTCATTCGGGACTCAAGGATTGCCATGATGTTTGGGACGATGTCTTCTACGATCTCTTCCTGCAAATTGGTACCGTGACGGCTTGATAGATTTGCGCAAGCGACTTTGTCGGACCTGGAAAAAGGACAGACAGATGCGGGACTCGGGAGGCTTTGCCCAGCCAGTTTGAGCATAGGATATATCGGCGAGTCACGACATTTAGCAATGGTTGATCGCATCCTTGTCGATGTGAAATGGCCAGGGGTTAGTGTAGAACAAAGAGATCCGCTATAGGATGAAGTGAATTACAGACGGACGTTGGATCGGCACATGAGCCGGGCCGTTTTTTGACACCAGTTCCCGCGTGCCGAACGGAGCACAAGCTTCCAGTTCCAGGGTCTTGGATTCCATCTTTGCTCTGCAAACCCTCGCGCGACATCAGCGATTGATGCTTTGTTGACTTGGGGTACAAAAAGCAAGTGATTAAAGACTTGTCTCCCGGTCATCAAGCTCTCGAATTTCGCTGGCGCCGTGAAGCTCACGCGTCCGTGCTCAAGCCTCAGAGCAAGAACTCCCTTGGGGCTCGTAAAATATATTGAACTTATGGGCCAGTGACAAACGACGTCTATCACCCAGCCACCGTAGAGGGGGAGGCCCAACCTCCTTGTCGAAAAGACGCAACATGACCCCACCTGCTGCGTCATTTGTGAATGCGAAGACATGCGAATATCGTCCACTGCAACCTAGCCTTTGCAACATACCTATCATTGTCTGAAGATCGGAGCAGAGACTTGAATGCTTAAGCAGGGCGGCCAGTACTGCCATGGTTTGTGTTCTTGCAATACGTGATGGCCGGCTTACGTGCAAAAATCCAGAACGCGACCTGCACCCCGACTGGAATAGGGCTGTGACTCCTTTTCTTACGCCAGCCGAACACCTTGCACAGATCAAGCAAAAGGATCCCGCTTTTGCTTCTACAGAAAGCGTTCAAACAGCTTTGCGACTTGCAAGAAAGGTGGAGAAAGGTACTGCGCAGCTCAGAGGGCTCAAAGGTTATGTCGAACCTCGAATCGACTACTGCTCAGGGGCTGCCCATTTCAAGCCCATTCGAAATGGCCTGATTACTTACCCGTCGTGGGAGCGCCAGGACTTTCAAATACTCTTGAAGATGTGGTGTGTAGACAGTCCCCGACACCGTCACTCTCGAGCCGCCTACGCATTCAACCCGGACGGCACGCCAACATCCGAATATGAGAAAGCTCTGACAGTCTATGCGGAGCAACGTAAAGACGTGGTCGCAGCTCACAGCGATGAGTACGTCTTGAAGACCGGCGGCGAGACAGCTCGCAATCCTTTGCACCCTACAACTGGCCCTGCGAGGAGCGAGGGTGCACAGAAGCAGCAGTCCAGCTCGCAGATACAAGATGATGAGAAAGAGGACCAGGAGGAGGAAGAGGAAGAGGAAGAGGAGGGAGAAGAGAATGAAAAGGAGAACGATGAAGAAGACACAGACGAAGATGAGAAAGAGGGAGATGATTGGCAGAGCCGATGCCGACGGTTGGAAAGGCGAGCCAAATTCAATGAGGTTTGCAAGCGTCGTAGAGAGGACACTCAACGTAGACGAGGCCTCAGTCCCGATCCGCAGCGAACAGTTCCAGAAGGCAAGAGAAGGAAACGTAAAGGCAGAATTTGAGGGTTGACAAGAACGGCAGAAGAAAAGACGCAGCATGTGCATAGAGGGGTTTCTTGTATTGTTTTTATAGTTGTATTTACAGGTTCCAGACGACAACACGGCCGTCGACACCGCTGGTACTTATCTGGCGGACGGCATCGGGGGAACCAGCATATGCGCGGACAGTGCTAATAGAATTCTGGTGGACAGTCTTGAGTTGTGTGTCATCAATGACTTTGCCACGGAGGTCCATCTGCCTGAACATATTGAGAGCAGACTCGTCGCGTTGGTTCGCTGCGCCAGACTTTGAGGTGCTGTCAAGAGAGCCGACAAGCGACCACCCAGATGCTGAGCCTGAGAAACGGAAGGGTTCGCAGTCCTGAAAGAGGTTAGCAAACAAAATCATAAAAATCACAGATGTGTTTCCTTACGTAGCCGGCACAAACGATCTCGCCCTCGGAGATCCATAGAAGATCAGCGAAGGGAAGGACCTGGGTGCTGATGTTGATGACTGCATGTGGAGGCTGTCCTTCTCCGGCAGGGTAAGCAACAGTCATGGTCGAGTCGTGACTGACAAAGGCAACAGCATCTCCAGAGGGGCTGAAGGCAACGCTCTTGACCCAGCCTGCAAAAACCACAGGTTAGCTGTTTGCTCTCGATACACTAGATCGACGAGGGGAAATAACATACCGGCGGTCTGGTTCAAGAACTCTCCACAAATGGTGTTGAAGGGCAGACGCTCGCCCCAAACTGAGGGTGCCGGTCTCTCGTCGACACCCTTGATGAAGGCACTGAGGACACGAGCATGGCCGTCGGTGCTACCCAAAGCAACCAAAACACTGTTGGGGTGCCAGGCGACGCTGGTAACAGTGCTGCGAAGGGGCTTCTTGAGGTGCTTGGACACCCACCAATCGTTCTCTTCTTCAAAGTAGCAGATGGCAGCAACTCTGGCACCACTACCGACGGCAAACTTGGTCTCGTTGGGCGACCAGCGCACGCATGTGGCAGCTCTGTTGATACGGAGAAGGACCAGGGTGGGTCTCCAGGAGCCGTTGGATGGCTCCCAGACGTATGCGTTGCGGTCTTGAGAGCAAGTGACAATCTTGCCCGAGTTGGGAGCAATGTCGACACCGGTGATGAGCTTGTCGTGGCCACGCAGCTCGTCGTTCAAGGCGAAGCGGGAGCCATTGGAAGAGTACAGCTCGACCGTGTTATCTCTAGCAACAGCGAGCGTCTTGCGATCGGCAGAGAAGGAGTGATCGGCGATTGGGTGGTGGAAGAGGTGGTGAACTTGAGGGGCGGCCATGGCGGATGGAAAGACAGGAGTATCTCTCTACTGTCTGTGTTGTATGGTATAGAGCGATGTGTTTGGGAAGGCTAAGGGAGAGCTCGGCCAAGGTAAGGCAGTGACGACGATGGTGGGGAAGTTGCCGGACGCTTACGCTTTCCAGATTCGGTTGCTCCTGCTCTGCTGCGCTTTGCGACGCCGACAGACGTCTGCGCTGTACATTTTTGTGCCAGTCACCACCTCTCGCCTTGCTCTACCAGCATCAATCGCCTCAATTTCCTCGTCGCATCATTTCAAATGGCTTCCAAGGCCGCTCCACCGACCGGCGCCCGCCCCAGCCACACCCTCTACTGCTCCAACTTGCCCGACAAGCTCCAGAAGGATGATTTGAAGCGTGCTTTGTACATGCTGTTCTCTGTCTACGGCTCTATCCTTGACATCGTCGCCTTAAAGACCGCCAAAATGCGCGGTCAAGCCCATATCTTGTTCCGCGACGTCTCATCCAGCACACAAGCCATGAGATCTCTACAAGGCTTCGAGTTCTTCGGCAAGGAGATGGTACGTTTGATTCCGCCGCCGTCCTTCTGCTGTTCCCATCGAGCTAATTCGCGCATCAGAAAATCACATATGCGACGACAAAATCTGACACACTTGCCAAACTCGACGGCACTTACAAACAGCCTCCTCCCCCTGAAGCACCTGCCGCCGCCCAGCCAAACAGTCTTCAGCAGTCAATCTTCTCGGGTGCTCCGGGCGCCTCTACTGCTCCTGGATCCACCGCTCCGTTAGCTCCGCCTCCTACACTCGACTCGACCGCCAGTGCACCTGCTCAAACTGCTGGTGTAAAACGACCCAGAGACGAAAGCGATGACGAGAAAGAGCAAGAAGCTCCTATGGATATGGACGATGAAGCCATGGAAGAGAGTGACGAAGAATAGACGACCTCAATCAGCACGGCGCAAATCTGTGCTCGACACATTCAAGCCCACGCTTGCTCCAACAATTCCCAGCCAGAGAAGCATATAATCTTGAACATGAATGTCTCCAGACCTCGTGGCGCACATGGTGTCTGCAGTGCGGCAAGGGTGGACAAAGTACGCCGGCATCCCTGTCAAAGGATGGTCCTGCCAGTACAAGATCAGCGGGAGAAATCAGTTCTACAGGGTCAACGATTACCGTCATAGAAATGGCGCCCATGACTCCAGTTTCACGCATCGCGTCTCGGAAGTGGTGCGGTACAACAAGGTCAAAGAAGTTCGAGACGGGGAGCGGAGGGCTGGCGGTCATGTATACGACAGGTACTCTGTAGCTGGGAGAGAGCAAGATGTCATAATGTACAGTGACAAACGAATTGTTTTCAGGATGTTTAACTATGGCTTCTTCGTCATGATCCTCTGGTGTGTCGAAATGCGAATCAACATGTTCCTGAGCATCGGCGTTAACGACCAAAGCCGCAGCCAAGCGCCGGGTAACGCGCAAACATGCGGACTCATCAGCGAGCAGGGCGCTATCGGAGAGCAGAGGTTGAATGTGCGCGCAAGCCTTGCTAAACTCGTCGGTTGTGAGGTAGGGGAAAGCAGATACGCTTTCCATTGCGGATGTGTGTCTCCAATGCAAGACAGGGCAGATGCCAGATGGTTATTCAGTGGCATGAACGAGCCCAAAACTGAGCGAGATCGAGACTCTCGATAGAGTTATCCGGGGCTTCCTTGGCGATTCCATCATAGTTGGAGCGGACTGCAGTAGCCAGCAGGTACGGCTTGCATTGGTCAGACTCTGAGCAAGCTTCCCTCTCGAAGGCCGCTCTACTTGTATTACTCCATGCTTTTATTGATATAACCATCTGCCTTTCTTTCCTGCAGCTAGTCCACCTGTCCCGTCTTCTCGCGCCGCATCGCATCCCGCATCAGTTGCGATCTCGCCATGGCCCCTGCAGAGGAAAACCAGACTCCACTGAAGAGAGCGAGGGTATGTTGGCTTACCATGTCTTGTCTATACCATCAACCTCCCGTACTGACATCCACTAGGCTTCAACCGACGAGATTGAAAATGACTCGCAGAAGAAGCCTCGCTTCGTCCAACCCACCCATCTGCCATCTCCCGACACGCGCAAAGCCTCAAACTCGACCGAGGGCCAATTGTCCACCTCGAACGGCGCCTCTCAGCTATCCGAAAAGCCCGAGTCTTCTCCTCCCTTTGCCGCCGGCCTGCACTCGCCTCCGTCCGACACGCAGCCTTACAGTCAGTTCTTGCCGCCACCACCCATCAGCTACGAGGTTGAGGACGAGGAAGCCGAAGGAGTCTGGGGTTATCTCGTACCACTCGACGGAGTTTCGGAACCTCTGGTCTTGAGACGCCGAGCAGCATGCCCCGTACCTCAATCCAAAGTTGGTCGCACCGATGGTAAGAGTACAGTGTCGCGCGACGAGTATCTTAACCAAGAGGAGTCATATGAGAAGGAGAAGGCAGACAAAGGCATTCCCGCTGGTGGTTATTTGATAGGAAGGCATCCCGAGTGTGGTGAGTGTGATTTCGGCTCAGACAAGGTGTCAAGCTGACCAGCCAACAACCAGATCGTATCATCAAGACGCCCACCGTCAGCAACCGTCATTGTCTGCTGTTCTGTGAAAACAAGAACAGTGACCAGATTGCTGTTGTCGAGGATCTTTCAGGCAACGGCACATATGTCAACAATGCTATCGTGGGTCGGAACAAGCGTCGCGACCTTTACGACGGCGATGAATTGTCCATTCTAGATGTGGCTCGCTTCATCTTCCGATACCCTAGTATACGCGACACCAACGGCTTCCGCCAACAATATTCGATTCAAGGACAGCTTGGAAAAGGCCACTTCGCGACAGTCTACCTGTGTACCGAAAAGTGCACTGGTGCTCGCTTTGCTGTCAAAAAGTTTGGAAAGCGTCGAACGACCACCCACTCGCAAGCCGCCGAGGAGAGGAGCAGAGTGGATGGGCTACAACAAGAAATTGGCGTTTTGATGGGAGTCTCGCACCCTAATGTCCTCTGCCTCAAGGACACTTTCGATGAGAGCGACGGCGTTTACCTAGTCCTCGAGCTTGCCCCCGAAGGCGAACTGTTCAACTGGATCGTAGCAAAACACAAGCTGAGCGAGGCTGAAACGAGAAAGATCTTTGTTCAACTGTTCCAAGGCATTAAATATCTGGTATGTTGTGTCCTTTGTGATTCTTGAAATTATTTTCCTAACACGTTTTCACAGCATGAACGCAACATTGTCCATCGCGACATCAAACCTGAAAACATCCTTCTCATCGACCGTGATCTGAACATAAAGATCGCTGACTTTGGACTGGCCAAGATTATTGGAGAAGAATCGTTCACTTCCACGCTTTGCGGTACACCATCGTATGTTGCACCCGAAATATTAGAGCAAGGCAACCGCCGCAGGTACACACGGGCTGTTGATGTATGGTCGCTGGGTGTTGTCTTGTACATCTGCCTGTGCGGATTCCCACCTTTCAGCGATGAGCTCTACTCTCCAGAGAATCCATACACGCTCAGCCAGCAAATCAGGATGGGTCGATTCGACTACCCCAGCCCCTATTGGGACAGCGTCGGTGATCCTGCACTCGATCTGATCGACAAGATGCTCACAGTCGATGTTGAAAAGAGGATTACGATAGATGAATGTCTGGAACACCCATGGACTACAGGACGTGCAGATGGACAGATGAGCTTCGGAGCAAGCATGGAGAGCACAGATGGCCTGACAGGGGCAATGGACAAGTTGGACTTCTCTAAGCGAAAGCCAGTGCGCGAGAGGACACTCCTAAGCTCCATCAACGACGCAACATTCTTCAAGACACAGGCTACTCAGAAGGACGATCGAGACATCAAGATCTGGGAACAGAACAAGGATCAAGTCAAGAGAACTAATGTTAAAGAGGCGGTGCCGGCACATGATAGGAACCCGGACGAGTTTGTCAAGATGGGAGGCAAGGGAGATGAAACGCTTTACGGCGAGGAAGAGGTTGCGAAGGAGAAGGCGAAGGCAGGAGAGACAAAAGCATAATGCATAGAAGGCAAAATGGTACGATAATCATCAACAAGTCGAAATTGAAAAGTCGCATGTTCCTGTAAGATGAAGCAATGGCATGATGGACGACCTTTGAGAATGCGGGTAATCGTACGTGAGTTGAGTGGTACGTGAGCGGAGTGGCTTGAGTTGAGTGGCTTTGCTGGGCAGGGGCGGCGGATCGGCAAGTCAGGCCATAATTTTAGGGACAACAATAATAGCTAGCTAATTACCAGAGTTCGAGACGCCCTTCACGGCGACTTGTTCCTCTTCCTCGAACCTCAGTCAACCAACAATGGGACTCCTGGCCACTGTTACCGACACCGTTTCGGCGCATTTGGGCGACAAGCCTCTCTGGCTCGCCGTCTCGATCGTTGGCGGCGCGACTTTCGTTCTCGCCATCGTCCTCAATGTACTCTCGCAACTGCTGCCTGTCCGTCGCAAGGGCTCCGAGCCGCCACTCGTCTTCCACTGGGTCCCCTTCATTGGCAGCACCATCACCTACGGCATTGACCCCTACAAGTTCTTCTTCAAGTGCCGCGAACAGGTCTGTTGCCGTACCCAACAACTCAACTCCAAAACCACCCCATCTGACTTTCGTCATCGCAGTACGGTGATGTCTTCACCTTCATCCTGCTCGGCAAGAAGACCACTGTCTGCTTAGGTACCAAGGGCAACGACTTCATCCTCAACGGCAAGCTCAAGGACGTCAACGCCGAAGAAATCTACAGCCCCCTGACCACTCCCGTCTTCGGCACCGATGTTGTCTACGATTGCCCCAACTCCAAGCTCATGGAGCAGAAGAAGTTTGTGAAGTTCGGCTTGACCACCGAGGCCCTCCGTTCCTACGTTTCCGTCATCTCCGCCGAGACAAAGGACTTTTTCGCAAACTCCAACTGGTTCAAGGGCAATGCCGGCGAACTCAACGTTCCCAAGGCCATGGCCGAGTTGACAATCTACACTGCCAGTCGTTCGCTGCAGGGCAAGGAAGTCCGCGCAAAGTTCGACAGCACCTTCGCCGACTTGTACCACGATCTCGACATGGGCTTCACTCCCATCAACTTCATGCTTCCCTGGGCTCCCCTCCCTCAGAACCGCAAGCGCGATGCTGCTCAACGCAAGATGACCGAGACTTACATGGAGATCATCAAGGCTAGACGCGATAGCGGCAAGACGAAGCCTGAAGACGGCGAGACGGACATGATTTGGAACCTGATGAATTGCGAGTACAAGACTGGCCAGATGATCCCCGACAAGGAGATTGCTCACATGATGATTGCTCTGCTCATGGCTGGCCAACACAGTTCTTCAGCCTCCATCTCTTGGATTCTGCTTCGCCTGGCCTCTCGCCCTGACATTGTTGAGGAATTGCTTGCCGAACAGAAGGCTGTTCTTGGTGCTGACCTGCCCGATCTGACTTTCGAAGACCTCTCTCGCCTGCCTCTGCACTCTCAGGTCGTCAAGGAGACTCTACGTCTTCACAGCCCTATTCACAGTATCATGCGTGCTGTCAAGTCGCCCATGCCTGTCGAGGGTACACCCTACGTTATTCCCACCACTCACGTTCTGCTTGCCGCCCCTGGTGTTACATCTAAGTGTTCTGAGTACTTCCCTGAACCTGACCTTTGGGAGCCGCATCGCTGGGACGCTGAGGCCACTGGAAAATACGCAGATCTCAAGCCTGTCATTGCTGCAAACATCGAAGACGACGAGAAGACCGATTACGGTTACGGCTTGGTATCCAAGGGTGCCAGCTCACCATATCTTCCTTTCGGTGCTGGTAGACATCGTTGCATTGGTGAGCAGTTCGCCTATGTGCAGCTGCAAACCATCCTTGTGACCATGGTTCAATCTTTCAAGTTCCGCAACCTTAACGGTCGCGAGGGTGTTGTTGACACTGACTATTCGGTATGTCCTGATCTGCTGTTCACTTCTTCTCTGACCCTTATACTGACTTGTGTTCACAGTCTCTGTTCTCGCGCCCTCTGACACCGGCCTCAATTCATTACGAGAAAAGAATCAACGAGAAAGCATAGACGAGATAGATCGTCACAGATTTGTACAGCTTTGTAATTCATGGCATGGTGATAGAGGACAATGTTTTGATATCCCCCAGTGTGCATTTTGCGCCTAACGCATTGTTAATTCAAATTCTTTCAAAATTGCTTATGATCAATTTCTCTTCCTCTTTGATATCTAGGTTGCTTGGTCTTACTATGGCTGGGAATTGCCGATGCCTGTCTTTGTTGAGTTTGCCGTGAAGGAGGAGGAAAAAAGCTTGCTTAGGAGCCTCGGATTTAGGCGAACCGCAAAAGTTTTGTCCAATTTGCTGCAACGATGGAAGTTTTTTCTCTCGTCAACTTCAACCAGACCTTGCGATTGAACCTTTGGAATCGGGCTTTGGCTTCAGCTTAACGACTGCCCTGAATTCGTGTGATCTTTATCACTTCCAGAGCTCTGCGGTCATCGAGATTTCGAAGCAGAGCGCGGCAGCAAGGCAAGTCGTGCTCCGAAGGAGGGCGTCGTCGTAGCTGAGGATCATATTGCATGAAAATTGCACCGTTGCTACTAATCCCTGTGACGCAGCGGCTAGCGTGTCGTTCTTATAATTGCTCCAGTGGAGCAGATTATGCAATGCGAAAGTCGCGAGTTCGAATCTCGCTAGGGATACTTTTTTGCAATTTTGTGCATCGGACCGCATCATCGTGATTGAATATCACAGTGGATCTTGTTTTGCACCGCTGGTCAGAAAGGTAGATTCAATTGTGCCCCTGAACTCGAGTGTTTGTCTCAGTCAGACAGTCTATGGGTGTCAAAGCTACATTTGGTGTTGGGCCAAAGTCTCTGACGTGCATCAAATCCAGAGACAGGCTTCACAGTCCGCACGCAACCGAGACGATTACTCACATGGACGTAGTTACGCAAGCAATTGATTGCCAGTCTTATCGGTCGAATTACACACGTGCCTTGAGATAGTTGATAGACAGCTTGTATGACGGGCATACGCGTGAGACGGCAGGCTGCGATGTCATCGGTTGTCTTTGACGATAATAATATGGAGCTGAGGGCCGAGGCAGAAGCGACTTTTGAGATTTCCTCTTTGTCACACTGAATCATTTCATTGCACCGCGACTGCCTGGACTCTAGTCAATTGACCAACAACCACTTTCTATCTATCTATAAACTCACGTCGACTCGACTGAACAACAGGCTCCAACTGCAAGCTCTCACCCTCAAGACAGCGACACCGGAGTTGAAGGCATCGTGCTTCACGTGATTTTTCAGCAAAAGATACGAACGGCAGCAACCCCTCATCCCGAGTCTCGATCGCATCCATTCACCCACGTTCCAAGTCATTTCCCACCCACCGACGACCAATCTCTGCCATCGCATTTTTGCTTTTCAACCCTCGACCACTCCGATACTCGTGCCATCATAACGGCGTCTCTCAGGCAAACAAGGCTCGACTTCATCGCCCGTCGCTCGCCCACCACGCCACCACCCTGCTGTCTGCCCGGCGCAAAGCCGCGACTGTCGCAACTACCGCTTTTCGTATCCAAGAGGGTTTCTCTCAGCAGCCGTCGCCCACTCTATCACCACCTCTCGATCGCCTGTTCCACCCAGTCCCAAACGTCCCGCGTCTTCCGAACCCATCGTCAATACCACACACTCTCGAATCTTGTCGCTATGTCTTCTGCACCTGCTGGAACCATGACAATGGACAACTACACATTCCCTACCGAGCGCCTGCAATCAGAACTGAGGGACCCTTCAAGGACACCACTAGTACTCGTGGCTTGCGGTTCCTTTAGCCCCATCACCTTCCTGCATCTGAGAATGTTCGAAATGGCCGCCGATTACGCACGCTTCAACACAAATTACGAGGTCGTTGGTGCCTACATCAGTGCTGTTGGTGATGCATACAAGAAGAGTGGTCTTGTTAAGGCCGAACATCGAATTAACATGTGCAGTCTTGCAGTTGAGCAAAGCAGCTGGATCAGTGGTATGTTTTGTTCTTTGGATGCAATTCGCTTATCGTATCCCTGACTTTTTATTCTACAGTGGACCCATGGGAGGCTCTTCATGAGGACTACCTTGAGACGGCAAAGGTGCTTGATCACTTTGAGCACGAAATTAACACATCCCGTGGACCTTTCAATACTCCGCAAGGTCCCAAGAAGGCCAGAATTGCCCTGCTTGCTGGTGCAGATCTGATTCAAACAATGTCAGCACCCGGTGTTTGGGCTCCCAAGGATATCGATTACATTCTGAGCAACTTTGGCGCCTTTATTATCGAGGTATGTTGCTACTCCGTCCAGATATCCAACCTCAAGGGTCGAATGCTAACACAAGACAGAGAGCGGGTACTGATATCGATGAAGCCTTGTCAACATTACAACAATGGAAAGAAAACATCCACGTTGTACAGCAGTTGGTGCAAAACGACATTTCTAGCACAAAGATCCGCCTGTTCCGCAAACGCGACATGAGCATCCGTTACTTAGTTCCTGAGCCCGTCGTAAAATACATCGAGGAGCAAGGGCTGTACGACGAGGATGGTGCCAGCAGCACACACGAGGCACAAAACTCAAAGAAACCTGGCGAGAGCGCGGGCGCTCCATCGCAAAACATGTAATATCTTGGCTGGGTGTCCTTATGAAGACTCAACAACACACTTTCAACGCTTTCTCTCCCTGACCTTGAATTTAACGCCCTCTTTGTTGACACCTCCGACGGTGTTGTTCATGCGTGCCCGTTGATGCTGGAGTTGGCTCAAAGCAAGAGACAGGTCACGCTCGCGATCTTTGAGCGCTTCCAAATGATTCTGCAGCACTTCCTGAGCACGTCTCTTCTTCCGTCGCTGCCTGATTTCTTCTTTTGAGAGGCCCTCTGTGTCACTATCCTCACCCTCGCTCTTGCCACCTTCGCTACCACTGGCATCTCCATCCAGGCCATCAAGATCATCGAGTCCATCAAGGTCGCCCAGGTCTGCAAGGTCGTCGAGATCCAGATCCATATCGTCGTCGTCACCAAATGCGGATTGCTTCTTTGTCTCCTCAATCAGCTCGCCGTTGTCGTCAAACACCTTTCTCTTGCTTATGCTAGAGGCATCGACTCCAGTAGTCATTAGGACAGCCTGCTTCTCAATCTTTTCTCTGGCACGACGGGTCTGTTGTAGAACGGTCTGCAGGTAACCAGCATCCTGAGTCTTGAGCAACTTGACAATGTCCATGTTCATGGGCGCCTGGGAGCCATTGTCTTTTCCTCTTGTGGATTGTTGAACGCCCTTTTTTGTGGTTCTTGTAATCATGCCGAAAGCGAATTCATCTGGGTTGCGCTGGGCGGCCTTTTCGCGCAGGACTTTGAGACGGCGTTTCTTTTCATTGTGGTCTTTTGCACGGAGGGAGTAGTCCTGTTATTTTCTATTGTTAGAGGAGTTTCTCTTTCGCTTTCTGTAGAATATTTGAGTATCAAACTCTTGATTGAGATGTACCTTGTGCTTTTCCAAAAGACCCCATTTTTGACGTTCGAGTGGTTGGGCGCGCTCTTTGTGGTTGCGCCTTTGGACTGCGTTGCGCATGGACGACATGATGGCGAGTGGTGGTTTCTCTTATTATCTGCTGCGATGCGCGGTGTCGGCGTTCTTCTAATGACTCAGGTGGCTGTAAGAAGGCGGAACAGGTGTTATTCGCAATGTGGAAGGTTGTGTTGCGAGAGAAAAGTGGTTGATGGTCGTAACAAAAAAAAAGTTCTGGGTCTGGAAAGTTGAAAGAGCGGCGGAAGCGGGAGAGAGAGAAGGAAGGAAAGCGGAGAAGAAAGTCGAGGCTTGGCGGGTTGATGCTGGCTTGCAACTCTTGTTTTTTGGTGACCCTGTCTTTGCATCTTTATCATACTAGATTTCGTCGAGAATATTCTTGTAGAGTAAGCATATTGAGTTGGAGCGGAAAATTTATGTATTTAGATGTGGGATAGAAGTATGGTTTCGTAAGCATTGTTCGTGTGCTATATAATGGCTATGTTCATCATAGCATGATCCGTCCTCGATTCTCTCCTGGTCGAAGCAGCGGGCCTAGCTGCTTGCATGTCTTGCTGCTTGCTGCGGCATGTGAATTGTAGTGATGAGCCTGTCATTTTGCAAGTTCCCATCTAGCGTGGTTAGCCGCTTCTGTTTTATGGCAGTAATTGAGGTGCTATGCGCTTTCCTAGCATCTGATCATCTTTTACGATCAGCTTCAGCTTTGGGCTCCGATACAGCAGCACCTGGGATCATCCATGTTTCTCTATCGAGCCATTCGAGCCAGGTCAAAGCACTATGGTAATGCTTGTAGTAGACAGCATGGGCACTAGTCGCGAGCAATCTGCGGCGGTTTCGCATCATGAGCCGAGTGAGATATAGGTTTCCAGCCTTGGAGTATATTCACTTCCAGTCTCGAAAGCAGACGAGTTTGGTGAAACTTTCGGTGACCAGTACTTTCCTCACAGATCGGGATCGATGTGCTGTTTGAACTTTCTGTTTGCCCGATCGGCAGGTCGGTTCTCGAATTGTGAACCATGAAGTTCGAAAACGAATAGTTTGCGTGGCTCGGCCATGTTGTTGTCACCATCACTATCTTCTTCGGCAAAGGGTATCTCGAATCTAAAGACGGTGTACTCCTTGGGAACGGCTATTATGCTGTCAGTATGGCGACACGTTTGGTGGTATGGTGGAACAAGATACTCTTCAGCTCATTCTTCTGAGTGATGATTTCCATAGTGAACTTTGTATCCTTGACGACAATCCCCTTGATTCCCACTCTTCCCACGCAGCGACATCTTACAACGTCGACCATGGCACCATGATAGTCTGCACTAGCCAACAAAGGACCAACAGCAGCAGCATTTACGTAGCGAGACTTGTCCATTGCCAGGATTTCGCGCATGTAGGCACACCATAGCTTCCAGATGGGTAGGTAGATGTCGTACTTGCGCTGGTCCTTGGGAATGTCGTAGACACCGAGGAGTCTCTTTTGCTTTGCAGTCAGAGGACGAGGCTTCTTTGACTTGCGACTGGCCTTTTGTTTTTCTAATCTTGCTTTCTGTCGTTGGGAGCGGACATTTTCGCGAGGATCGGGAGATGAGGGTCGGAGGAGAAGAGGGCGGTTCTGGACCTTTTCGCGGAAGATCTGGGAGGAGGTGGTGGGCTCGTGGGCGCGGGCGAGGAGCGATTGAGCAGGATGCTCCTTTTCTGCTGGCGCCATGACTAGCTAGAGAGTGTGTAGAGAGAAGGAGGAATACTTTATGATCGCAAAAAGTTGATGGCTTGGCAGGGCATCATCAAGGTGATTGCGGAGTTTTGAGCTTCGCGACTTTTTGACCCGAAACCCCATCGTCAAGTCATGTCAGTCATGGCTCCTGCTACTCCAGATCTGTCGGCCAAGTACACGCTCCTGCAATTGAGTGTCAATTCGTCAAGCAGCATATCCAACCGAACAACCTCTCTGATCGCCCATGTCAAGTCGACACCAGCCGACAGCAAACCTGCCATTGTCGCTCTCCACGCCAAAGCTCCCGTCGCCAACAAGCTCATCAGCATTGTTGAAATTGCAAAGAGAGAGCTGAAAGAGAACGGGATCAAGGTATACCAATACAATGCCCTTGGCTCCGAGTTGATCGAAACCACACCTGCCACCCAGGACGCGACCAATCAAGATGCTATGAGCGATGAGGAGCCCGCTTTCGAGAAGGTCGACCAGAGATCTACCGTCAGAAATGTACCAACAATGACCACCTATTTGAGTCTTGCTTCCATCAAGGAGCTGAAACAAGCTTATGGGTATCTCTATCCCTATCCACCACCCATCTCACACGTCTTGCTAACTCGCTTTCCCCAGAGAACAAATCGGTTGACCTGACCGTCATGCCTACACCAATAAACCACTACCATGGTCTCCCGAAGCGCCATGTATGCCGTATCTAAGATATTCGCTCCCTCCCCATCACAGCCCTGGAGCGATCTCCACAACAGCTGCTCGACTAACCAGAAACCTGCTCTCATATAGCACCGAGCTTGAACAACACACCTAGAACTCGGATGAGCAGAGACAGCGCGGTATCATTACGTGCTCAAAAGTTCTGCATAGTATTGTGTTCGCTGCTGGCTAGATAACAAGTATTGTCGTCGAGCCAAAGAAGAATATAATGCCCAAGCTCCAGCTTCCCTTGGAACCATGGCCCCCGAGCTGTTTCCTCTCTATCAACCTCTTCCCTCTCCTACCCATATCTTCCGGCCTAATCGTAATCCAAGCCTCCGACAGGCCAGCCATCTGCGTCTCTTTCATCTGCATCCAACGTCTTCGACTCCGATTCTGCTCCTGCCTGTGTTTCACTCTCGACCTCGGTTTCATCTCCCAATTCTTCGACCTCGCCGTCCTCGGAAATATCGACCTCACGCTCTTCCTCCATCCCTTCTTCGGCTTTCATGTCGGGAATTTTGCAATCACACGGATCTGCTTCATGTATGATCCTTGTGAAGCGTCTGAACAGGTTGTCTTGGAGCATCCAAACACCTGACAGAGCTGCTGCTACCGACGTAAACTCCAGGTGGCACACTCCCTGCTCGTCTCTGCTAGCATTGAGCACGCTGTCGCATTTGAGCCCACGCTGACGTGTCGCCGCACAGAGTGCTGCCATTGTAATGTCTCCTCCCAGACCGTGGATGGCCAAGCAACGTGTGACGCCGTTGTAAACAATGTCGTCGAATACCCAGCCATGCACGGGATAGCTTGGGCTCTTGAGAAGACTGAACCTCGGCTCGACTTTGTCTTTCACAGATCTCAAGAAGTTGCTGGCGTCTTTGCCGTCCAGGAATGTGATCATCATCGTCTTGCCCTTTGTTATCCAGGTCGTGTCCATCGACTGCACCTTGACAATGATGCCTCCCGAGACCATACGCATCACATCTGCCTCCAGTACGTCCTTGGGTATGTCTGTGACGAGTACAGTGCGGAAGGCGTCATCGCTGGGAGCTGGATCGTACATGACCAGTGCTTGGTTCTTGCGAAGCTCTGCTGCGTGCTTTTGGTTCGCCTCTTCTAGCTGCTCCTTCATCAAGACTTCAGGCTCCTCGACCACAGTGTTCTCGAATTCTTCATCAGCTTCAGGAAACTGCATCAAGTCTTCTTGCACCTCTGGCTCGATGATTTTCTTCTCTGCCGTAGCCCAATTAGATGCGAAGATGCCATTGTCGGCGATTTTGCTGTCCTGATAGCGGTTCGAGAGGCTCTTGAGCGTGAGAAATTGTTCATGTCTCCTCCCATCCTGCGCACCGAGGACCGGAAGCGGTTGTGCATTTCTGCCGTCGCTCGGACGAGGATCTTCGCTGCAGAGATCGCCACTGTTCTCGAATGTGAAAAGTGTACCTTCTGTATCCGTGTCCTTGCTGACATCGACTGGCTTTTGAGTCACTTCATCTCGCTTCAGAAACGCAAGGCATTTGGTCCTGAACGTCTGTTCGGTTCTGGGGCCGGCAGGCACAGGACGTGTCTTGAAAGGAACCAGGCTGGGCGAATGGACAGAGTCCACTGGCATTTCCTCGTCAGTCTGAGTGAGCAGATCCTCGGTATCGGCCTTTTGCTTTCCAACATCTCCTGTTTGTCCATCACTTCTCAGTTCTGCTCTCTGCTCGATTTCGGGTTGGATTCTGGGCTCAGCTGCACAATCATATCTCTCGAGTCTTATGCTGTGGAAGTTGGTTTCTTCTCTCGGGTATGGCGTAGCAGATCTTTGGTTTTGTGCGACGAGCTGGCGTGCCATATAACTGATGCACTGCTGAGCCAATGCATGCTGCTCTCTTTCGATTCTCAACTCTGTCTCCAGTGTTGCCAGTCTTCTGATCATCTCCATCTTGTCGGCCATGTGGGTATCTTTGGTCGTGTAGGTCATGTCGCTGGGATGAGGGTGTGGAAGGATATGAGGTTGAGGAAGAGTCTGTCGAGGAAGGGAAGAGAAGGTTGGATATTGCGGGAGGGAAGTGTGTTGAGTGGAGAAAGCAGAGGCTGGTAACTGCCACATATTGGTCATATATACCGGAGAAAAGGCTGCGAGTGATACGGAAAGATAGCTTCGATGGCGATATGTGAGAGAACTGGTATGAGGTTCAGTAGGACGGTACGAGATATGCGATCCCGAACAGGTGAAGTGTGATGCTGGCACTGAGAGTAATCCTACGAAGTCATTACTAGCTGCTCAGCGACTGAAGTGATGGTGTGCTGATGGAACCAAGTCCTACGCAGTGAGCCTCAATTTCAAGTCGCATCCAAGCAGGATACTGATCCAAGCTGCTACGACGAACAGTTGAGCCTGAGGTGAGAATGCAGTGGCACTTCATATAATATCTTGCCATATCATGGACGCTCGAGGCACTGGACCAGGATATCAAGCAGTCCTTGAGCTCATGAACGAGTCCAGTGAGCATCAATAACTCCCAGGACTTGTAGTCTCAATCGCCAGAGATATTATTGCTTAGCAATACCACAGCCCAGGACTTTTGGCCCTGATGCTGGCGGCTTCATATTCTGTTATCATGATATGAACATCTCATCTCAAGAGCAACCACATCCTCCAAGCATAAGACAACACTACAAAACTGACATACCATGAAAGCATTTACTTAGGTCACCAATCTGTTGTATCTTCTCGAAACTCAGGGAGAACAGATCTGCAAAAACCCAGACAACTACAAACAGACAAGGAAGTTGAAGAAAACACCGGTCTTCGACCGAAGTTCGCACACTCTAACATGTATAAACTTCTTCACGTGGGTGTCTCGTGTCTAGATCGGCGCAGATTTACTTTTGAGGAAAGGCAAATATCTCGCGTGAACCTGCTGCTTGAGCGAGAGGAGAACGACAGTCCCTCGTGTGCTTTTGACAGACTTCAGTACTCTTGAGGATTGAGATGAAAATCATTCATGTTTGACCAGTCCTGGAATATGATTGTGTTTTCTCGGAGCAGGAAGCATTGTGATTAACTAAGCACGAACGATACACGGTATGCTAATCGTATGCTTGCCGGCGCCTAATATAGGAGGAATGCTCCAAAGTTAGGAGCTGCATGATTCTACACAAAAGCCACAAAGTATCGTTCTCCGTGGAGTGTTACTTTAGGTCTTGGGAATGAGCTTAACGAATGAGCTTGATAAGAACCTTCTCTCAGTAGTATTGGGTGGCTGGTTAAATGCATTAAGAAACAGTAATTCTCCTCGGCATATCATATCCTGTAACACGAATACCTTTACGAGAAGATAAGGATTTTTAGCAAGCCTGCGAATGTACTTATTCCGCAGTTCTCTCCGAGCGACTCTATCGTACTCAAGTAAAGGCCCTAAAGCTGCGACGAGAAGTAGTCCTAGAAGTGTCGGTATACTCTCGGTTCTCGACGTTCCAGATGCGCAGGTCTTCGCAAGGTTGTTTACATGACCAGAGCACGGAAATCACCCAAAGCAAAGCCTCTCCTGTCGACAATTAACTTCTCGACACCTGAGGAAAGAGTGATTGGATATCAAATACCCTTGCATGTAAACGGAAAGCGCACCGATTTCGGCTCCATACCCCGCACCCCCAGCATTTCCCCACTCACACAGTCCATCCCTGCCAGAACCTTGAACCTTCTTCCAAGCGTGAACAAGCACAACGAGAAGAGCGCTTGCCAAAAGGTGCGGAGAAAAGAGGCCCGAGCAATAGATAAACTCAACGTCATGCCGTTTTGCTGCAGCCACGGCACGTTTTTCTGGTGCAACTCGTAGCGTCTGATTGGCGAGAACGAGGGCAAGGGGACTTGGTTGGATAAAAGGCAAATAGAAGGAACGTATATAACGGATCGTCACATGAAAGCATGATCCGGTTGGAAGGATCGTCGGGTTATCTTTCGAGCAGATCAAGCCGTCCTCTGGGTACATAGCCACGATCGTCCGCAGCGCTGGTTCCTCTTGGTTTCTGTTTCTCTGCGTTACTGTTTATTCATTGCTGTGAGAGTCGTTGTAACAATGTCGCATTCCCCAATGGATGAAAAAGCTGGGGTCTCCAAGCTGGAGACCATCGACACGGGCCTCTATGACCCTGATGCTGGACTCAGCGATGAGGAAAGAGCAAGAATAGTAATACCTCCCCTGCCATCAAGTCCAGTGAGGTGTATCGACTGACCAAGTGCTGTTGCTAGGACAAAGCCCTCGTTCGAAAACTAGACTTCAAACTCATCCCATGGGTCAGTGTCCTCACCCATCACAAAAGAGAGACCACAGCTCATAACCTCCACAGCTCTCGTTCCTATACCTCATCTCCTTCCTCGATCGAACAAACATCGGTAACGCCAAAGTAGACGGGTTGCAAAAAGACCTGCACATGACGTCTGGCCAATACAACGCAACACTCTCCATCTTCTTCGTCTCATACTCGGTCTTTGAGCCTTTGACAAACGTCCTCCTCAAGAAATGGCGGCCTAGCGTTTTTCTTCCCATCATTATGACGCTCTGGGGAATCGTGATGGTTACTATGGGGCTTTGTCATAATTTTGCTGGTCTTGCGACTGCACGTTGGTGGTTGGGTTTTGCTGAAGCAGGATTGTTCCCTGGTGTGAACTACTGTGAGTAACAGATAAGGCGCAAAACTCGATACAGATGCGCTGACTAGAGATAGATCTCTCATGCTGGCACGTTGACCCATGACGTTGTTGTAAGGCACAAACTGACTGGTTTTTAGGTACAAGCGCAAGGAGCTGGGTATCCGAGCAGCCGTTTTTTTCTCTGCTGCAGCCCTGGCAGGTTCGTTTGGAGGACTTTTGGCAGCAGGTATTGCACAGATGAAGGGAGTTGGTGGCAAACCTGGTTGGGTAAGAGCGATGCGACTTGCACTGCTAGATGACACTAATATCTCGAGCAGGCATGGATTTTCATCCTCGAAGGGCTTGTTACCGTTGTGGTTGGCATCCTTTCGTACTGGATGGTCCATGATTTCCCTGACGAGGCCACGTTCTTATCTGTCGACGACCGTGCTAGAGTGATCAAGAGGCTTAAGGAAGACCAGCAAGCAAGCGCTGAGCATGAGGTACGTCCAGAGAACAGATGCTGAGTATAGTATCGTTCTGTGCTGACATACAAATTTGCAGGAGTTCAAGATGACCTACTTCTGGCAAAGTGTGTCAGACTGGAAGACCTGGTGCTTTGCCGTCATCTACATGGGAGCAGACGGTGCATTGTACGCCTTCTCGCTGTTTCTGCCCACCATCATCAACGCACTTGGATACAGCGGCACTACAGCAAATCTGCTGTCCGTTCCGCCATACGCCTGTGCTGCCGTTTTCACGATTGTGATCGGATATATTGCCGACAGAACACAGAAGAGAGGTATCATCAACGTCTGTGTTTCTCTCCTTGGCATTGCAGGCTTCTGCATGCTTATCGGATCGCAAAATCCTCATGTCAAATATGCCGGTACTTTCCTCGGAGCTCTAGGAATTTATCCGTAAGTACCAGAAGATATGTCCATTTGCAACTTTGACCGCTGACCGAGCTGTGCTCTAGTCTCATCAGTAACAGCGTCACCTGGTGTTCAAACAACGTAGAAGGCGCCTACAAGAGAGGTGTGACAATCGGAATTGTCATTGGCTGGGGAAATCTTCAGGGCGTGGTAAGTTTTGACATCCAGCAAAGAGAGTGAAGCAAGCAAAACTGACCCTCTCCCAAGGTTAGCTCAAACATCTACAGAGCCAAGGACAAGCCCAAGTATTATTTGGGACACGGAGTTGTGTTGGCGTATCTGACGCTCTTCTTGTTCTGCGGAAGTCTGGCAACACACCTTTTGCTGAAGGCCGAGAACAAGAAGAGACAAGCTGGCAAGCGCGACCACTGGATCGAGGGCAAGGACGAATCTGAGATCAAGATGTTGGGAGACAAGAGGCCAGACTTCCTTTATGTCACCTAAGCAGAAAAGCTTTCGGATTCGGACAAGAGGCGGACATGACTGAAGCTGATTGATAAGGGATGCGAAATTTGAAACAGGTCAATTCGTATATATGGGGTATCAAAACTCGAACATCAGTTTCTCCAGACACGGACTTGCTTGTCCTGACCTCCACTGCCTACTCTGTCACCATCGGGGCTCCAATCTACGGCGAAGACTTGATCCTTGTGACCGGGCAGATCTTCCTTGAGCTTTCCGGTCTTGACATCCCAGACTTTGAGAGTAGTGTCTTTGCTACCACTAACAAGCAGTCTGCTGTCAGCACTGAAGGCAACCTGATACACAGGTCCAACGTGACCCTTGAGTGTGAAGAGGAAAGTTCCGTCAGCAGCATTCCACAACTTGATCAGATTGTCGAAACCGGCAGAGGCGAGGAGGGTACCATCAGGCGAGAATGTGACATGGTTGACTTGTTTTTGGTGACCTAACAAGCGAGTGACTGGTTTCGTTGAGGTCATGGGGGTCCAGAGGTAGATTGTGCAGTCATCACTAGCTGACACTAGTCTCTCGACAGCCTTTCCTCCGTTCTTTTGGTTGTTGACACCGGCAGCAGCCTCATAGCGGTCTTTTGCCTTTGCGCGCTTCTCTTCGGGAGTAGCTGGGACACCCTTTTTGCCAGTGTGATCGTAGAAGGCCGTGCGAAGGGCGAAGTCGGTGGAAAGAGCAAGGTGGTTGACCCAATGGGCGTGTGAGTTGAGGGTGTGAACAAGAGAGCCAGTTTCGGCAGACCAGACCTTGATGGTCTTGTCGTGTGAGGCGGTATAGATGAAGCCAGCACCTCCCCAACGCACGCAAGACACATTACCCTTATGGCCAGTCAAGGCTAGATCGGCGCGCTTGCTTGTGACATCCCAGATACGAACAGTAGCGTCCTTGGAGGCAGATGCGATTCGAGGTCTTCCAACTTGCTGCATGTGGTAGGGCTCCCAAGACATCGATGTCACCCACTTGGTATGACCCTTCATGGGACCACCCAGGGGTTTGCCTGTCTGAGCATCCCACAAGCGTATCGTGTTGTCCATGCTTCCTGTAGCCAGAATGTCGCCGTTGGGCGAGTAGCTGACCGTAAGAACCCATCCAGTGTGACCAGTAAGTGTGTGCATAGGAGTTCCAGTATCGCAATCCCAAATCCGAGCAGTCTTGTCACCACTACCAGTAGCCAAACGCGAAGACGAGGCTGGGGAGAATTGTGCTGCGAGGATAGCTTCGCCATGTCCACTGATGGCAGCGGAACATCTTGTGACTGCTTTTACACGGAAAACTGCTTCTGCGCGGCAAGGGATATTGAGTTGGACTTCGGTAGTCGAGTCGCCGGACAGGAAGGCTGAGATGATGGCTTTTTGGTCGAAGTCGCCAGTGCCGAGGGGATCGTAGAAACGGTAGGGGAGGCGCTCGCTGGGATCTTCGCGGCCGAGGAGGGTGTTCAATAGCAGAGACAGATTCTTAGGCGACAGTTCTGACAAGGGTACTGTCACGACAGGTCCTTGGGACTCGCCAGAGTCGGCGTCGATAAATTGGATGCGCTGAATGCCATCGGGCATCTGCTCGGGCTCGACCTGCTCGCGGGCCCGCGCGGCGGCCGCTGTCTTTTGTCGCTTCGACGGAGGAGGTAGTTGTGTCGCCATAACGATTTCTTGTCTTGGTGTGTTGTGTGTTTTTCTTGGTTGACAAGTTCAAGAAATTTTGGACCCCGTTGCTCGCGCGCCACTCAAACTCCGCAAACTCCGTTGGTGAAGCTTCACTTCACTCCGCGCCGGTGCTCATCGCTCCTTCTTCGTCTCTCCGTCAACAGGCGAGCAAGAGAGAAAATCATTGTAAGAAGTGCAAAAATTAGCATTACTTGCAAGCAACTCTGCTGCAGCTATCTGATATCGTACGTTCCATGCTCCATATGCTGCCCTAGCTAAGATAGAAAAGAGAATCAAGTACTTTTGTCCGTTCCAGTTTGCAACCTGCCATTGTCTCCGCCATTATCGTTGGTAAAAAGCAAATGCTCCATATATATTCACAATCCCTCGCTCTCGGCTGGTGTAATGCCCCTCGGTTAGTGCAATTTTTCTCTCTCTCACTTTCACGACTCTGAGATTGGTGCCGAGATGGTACCCTCATTGTCCTCGTCGTCGTCATCATCATCTCCAAAGCTGCCTCCGAACATGCCAGAGAATAGAGGGTTGGTCAGGCTGCTTCCCATGCCGTATCCGAAGTAGTCCCAGGTCGTCAAGGGAGATGGGTCGTACGAGAATGAATGGTTTTGTCCAGCCGGGAACTGGTAGTAGCTCTGGCCCGTCATGTTCATGTAGGTAGGTTCGGCTGCTCTGAACCCCATGGGTGCTGCTGCGACGTACATGGGGGCCTGCTGATATCCAGAGGTAAGCTGTGTGATCACAGCAGGCTGCTCGAGTGTAGCCTCGTTCATGTCCATCTGAGTGTCGCCTTCCTCCTCCTCTTCGGCTTTGTCGAGGGGTGCCTTCTTGCGCTTGTTGACTCTAGTCTTGCGGGGCACCTCCTCATCAGGGCGGCTTTCTTCTTGCTCATCGCCATCAGTGGTAGCAGTGGGCTGCTTACCGGCTTTCTTCTTGCCCTTGAGGCGAAGAGTGGGCTTCATGAGGGCGTTGGGGTCTTTGTCCTTCGAGGAATTCTTGTCATCACGAGGCTTCTTGCCTTCGAGAGGCTTCTTTCTGGGAGCCTTCTTGGCTTTGGCTGCGCGGACAGGCAACTCTTCGCCTGGTAGCAGATCGTCCTCGGCTTGTGGTTGGCCAGAAATGACTCTTTTCTTGCAAAGGCTACCAGATGGGCTGAAGATCAGCTCTTCTTTCTGAATTCCTTCGGACATGGTAGCAAGACGATCGCTGACAGAAATGTCTTTCTTCTGGTTACGCTTCTTCTTCAACTCTGGAGTGGCTGCATCAAAGAGACCCATGCCAGGCCAGACAATACCCTTGAGCTTGCTAGTATCGTCGTCGTCGTGCTCATCATCCTCTCCAGTGTGGGGTGCCTCAGCCTTGATCTTGCGCTTTCGGGGAATGAGTGAGACATCACTCGGGGCTTCTTGATCGTATGCCTCGACGAATGCTGAGTCCTGTCTGGGGTAGAGGTAAGGGTGTGCTGCCCAGCTATACATCGGTGCAAATGCAGCGTACGGGTGAGGGTAGACCGATGCGGTGTCGTCGTAGGATGCTGATGAAGGAGTGACCGTGGGTGAGTGAACCTCCTGTTTGATGGTCTTGACATTGGACAGAGCCTCTGATGAAAACGTCTTATCAGTAAAGGCAGTTCAGGATTGGAAACAATGAGGTAAGTACCAGTCTTGATCTTCTTGCGTTCTTCCTTGTGCTTCATACGTTCGGACATGAAAGACTCGATGTCATTCTCGGCGTACCATATGTCGTAGCCCTCGACGGACTGACGAGCAGCATTATCAGAACCTGAACGGACTTTGAGTTTGTAGTAGGTTGATAAATGAGCCTTGCTGCTGATGTGGGTGAGCAGATGAGACAAGTCACAGAAGGTGGGCTGGTGTGGACATATTCCGCAGACGAGAGGGATTTTTCTGGTCTGCGCCTGACTGGATGCAGGAACTAGCAAGTCCATCGATGCTGGCAAGAGGAGAGAGTAAGGAAGCGGAAACGGAAAGTCAAAGGAAGGAGTGGGTTGACACAGAGTATCAGTGTTGATTGTGTTGTCAAGGCGTCGCCTGCCTTCTCAGGTGTGGAAGGTGGACTTCGTCTCGCACGGAAAGAGCCACCCGACGACCCGCCCGCACCTCTAGACACTCGGTGAACTACCGGCGACAGGAACACTCGACGCCGACGATACCTTCGTCTTGATTTGCCCCTAACTTTTCAAGTGTTAGAAGACTGCTTATTGTAATGGTCCGAAGCGAGCGGTTCATCTGATAGTTGTTACGGATACCGAAGGCTGAACCTCGAGTTTCGGCTCTACGCTATCACCTGTACCATACTTGCCCAGGCAGAAACCACGATGCACCGGTTTCAAACTCATGGCTCGAGATTGTGGCCCTCTGCGAGCAACAGCCTGGCAAACCACCAGGCAAGATACGTTGGAGTCATGCCTCTGTATAGCAGACTGCGTTGATCTCACGTTCTTCATCGAGACCTTTGGCTGAACATTGACTGAGATCTCATGACAGAGCTATCATGAGGTGGACCCTCAACATCCAGTTATGCGTCGTCGACATGAAAGAATCGTGGACGAGGAGAGGCTTCAGAAGGCTTCAATTTATCGTTACTATCTCGGCGTTTACCTCGCTATCGCCGACGCCGACGTTAATCTACGGCTTCCCCGCATGATGACGTATTGTTCTCTACCATTGATCAATGACTCGCTCTGCTGCTTCTCGACAATACCATCTACGCCCTGTAAGTCATTGTACTGAAACACAGTATCAAACATGGATTTCAAAAACATTCCCGAGGAGATGAAGGCCATCCAAGTGGTCGAGGTATTATTCAGTTCACGTCTGTCCAGGTGGCATTCTAAACTAAAGCAATTAACTAGTTTGACAAACCGTACAAGATCAACACTGTTCCTGTGCCCAAAGATCTCGCTCCAGAGGATATTCTGGTCAAGATCGGTGTTGCATCGAACTGTCATACTGATTCCATGGTACAACATGGCACATTTGGAACAAAGCTCCCTGTGACAGCTTCCCACGAGGGTGCTGGCACAGTTGTCGCAGTCGGAAGCTCTGTCAAGAACTTCAAAGTTGGAGACCGCGTTATGTGTGGACTTCCCTACCACCCTTGTGGTCACTGCCAGGATTGCTACGGTCCGGAGACATGGCGTCAGTACTGCACCAACATTGCAGGACACTCAGGAGTGCACAGAAACGGTTTCTTTGCTGAGTATGCCCTTGTGGATTCTAGAAGCTCAACCCCAATCCCAGATGAGGTGACACTGGAAAGTGCGGCACCACTTGCATGTGCAGGAAGAACAATCTGGAGGGGCGTCTTAGAGGCCAACCTCAAAGCCGGCGAGTGGCTTGCCCTGGTCGGTTCTGGAGGTGGTCTCGGCCACCTAGGCATCCAGTTTGCAAAGGCGCTTGGCCTCAATGTGATTGGTATCGATGCTAGGGATGAAGGACTTGCCATGTCCAAGGAGAATGGTGCCGACGTAGTCGTTGATGCACGCAAAGGTAAAGACAGTGTGGTTGCAGAAGTACAAAAGGTAAGCTCTGTCTACTGCATACAGATCGGGTCTTGTTCTCACATACTGTCAACAACAGGTAACTGGAGGTGCTGGCGTTGATGCATCGATTACTCTCAGCGACGCTGATGACGCTGCTGGAATGGCCTGTGCTATAACGAAAATGCATGCCACCATGGTGCAGATTGCACAGCCAGACAACGTCACTATCCCCTTTGCGGAGTTTGTCTTCCGTGACATCAGAGTCAAAGGCTCTTTGCTGTGTTCCCCTGAGCAGAGTGTAAGCATGCTCAAGTTCGTCGCGGAGCACGGAATCAAAGTGAAGACCAATCCCTTCCATGGTCTCGATAAGATTGGAGATCTGGTTGACCTGGTTCACGGAGGGAAGATCCAGGGTAAAGCGATCATTGTGGTTGATGAAGAACAGATCAAGAAGGAAAAAGAATTGGGAGCTAAGTTCTGATGAGATCAAGGACTGAGCATTATAATTTGGACAGAGTGACCTGTCTGTGGGATTTGAACGTGGAAATACAAGGTTTGGATACATTGGTGGGCTTTATGAAACTACTCACAGGACACGGACAAGTCAATGCATATGTTGGAATGAAATCGCTAATGGCTCGAGCTTCCTGCGCTGAACAAAATGGTGTTAATACAGATGTGTAAGGTATAAGGTTTGCTTGCTCAAAGCAGGTTCTTGTTCTTCTTTCTGGTGAAGGCTCTTTGGTCCTTGAGCCATCGCCTGTAATCGGCGACACTGTTGATCTTTTCGCCGTAGTAGTCTGGAACCGGGTTGTTGACGGATGAGCTGGCAGGATCGGCGCGGAATCTCTTGATGTGCGAGTAGAAGTCCTTGTCTTTCTGTGATGAGATTTCGTTAGTACATGAGGCTCCACCAAGAAACGAGCAGGACCATGGCGTACCCTAGCGAACTCTTTCCTCACGCTTCCCTTCCAGACGTTGAAGAAGGCAGTTCCCAAGAAGGGACCCAACAACCAACCAACAGCACCGACACCCATTAAACTACCGCCGATGATGAACATGGGATCCAAGCCAGTCATCTGAGCGCCAATGTTCTCAATCTCGAACTCAGCAAAGGCAGGGACGGCGACGGCAATACTGGCAGCACCACTGAGAGCAGACGAGCCCAGATTGATAAAGCGACGAGTGCGACGGAGCTTGAGGAACTCATCCCATGTGAGCTGTGGTGTTTGCGATTGTGTTGATGTGGTCGAGGTCGAAGCAGCGGATGACGCATGGCGCGAGAGAACAAGGGCCGAGGACAGGGCTTGCGATCGTTGTGCGCCGTGGAAGACAGAGGTGTGGACGGAGCGACCGAGAGGAGCAGATACTCTGAGAAGACTCAGCGGCGTTTGCATCTTTGTGGCAGCCATGGCTGTATGTGTGTGTGATTGGAATGTGAACGGAATGGAGGATGGCAGCGAGCACGAGAGCTTCCAACTTCTCTTCGGTGGTGGATGCGGAGAAGGCAGGCACGACTCTTGGCGAAGACTTGCCAGACACAGAACGGCAAGCGCAAGCTGCCCCCGTCTGGAAAGAGCAAGAGCCGACCAACTCTGTAATTCTTGCCATCCATCCATCAATTCGCAATCCCCGTCGCATTCTTCCGCTGCTCCTCTCGGTCTCGTCGCAGCACCCGCGCATACTTTCAGGACCCTCCACCCTCTCTTTCGCACCAGTCGCGTCCGCGCGCATCGACCTTCAGTATGGCCGCCGCAAACAAGCAGGGCAAGATGCAGGGCCTGATCAACTACCGCCTGCGCGTCACCATGATGGACGGTCGTCAGATGGCTGGCCAGATGCTCGCCTTCGACAAGCACATGAACCTCGTCCTCGCCGACACAGAAGAGTTCCGTCGAGTGAAGCGCAAGCCCAATAAGTCGGCAGCTCCTGGACAGGCAGAGCCTCAATTCGTCGAGACAGAGGAGAAGCGTACTCTTGGTCTTACCATTGTCCGCGGTGCCCACATCGTCGCTTCGACTGTCGAAGGTCCTCCGCCCGCAGATCCCTCAGCAAGATTGGCCAAGGATGGTCCCGCAGGCCCTGGTGCTCCTACCATGACCGCTGGTCCTGGTATCTCTCGTCCTGCAGGTAGAGGCATGCCTCCTACCGGTCTCACTGGTCCCGCTGCAGGTGTTGGTGGTCCCGCTCCAGGCTTCGGTTTCCCTGGTGCTCCTGGAGGCTTCCCTGGCGCTCCTCCACCAGGATTTGCTGGAAGAGGTGCTCCTCGTATGTTCTAGATTGTTCCTATTTCTGGATATTTGCTAACATCTTTCTCTAGCCGGTTTCCAAGGCCCTCCACCTGGTTTCCCTGGTGCTCCTGGCGGTGCTCCTCGTAAGTCAACTCGCACAATCGAATATTTGTCTTTGCAATCTTACTGAACTTTACGCAGCTGGCTTCGGTGCACCTCCCGGCTTCCAGCCTCCTCCAGGACAGGGCAGAGGTTTCCCCCCACCAGGATTCGGTGGTCGCTGAGAATTTCTTTGACGAAGTTCGATCTCTCACATACCAACCCAAACGTCCCTGTCGAAAGTACTCGGGAACGACACAAACATCACGAACTAGGGCGCAGATATAGCAGCGCTTGGAGACAAGCGAACATGGCGAAGACAGCCAGAGTAGACACATGCGCACTGTCGAGTGGTCAGGGCAGCTCCCTTGCTCTTGGGAAAGGGCATAAGGCGCAAAAAGTCACGGATGTTGTAAAAAGAAGTATTTCCATTCATCAACCTTTCAAAATTCATGTTCTACTCGCAGTCAATATGGTGAAGTCACGCCAAATTGCTCTGATTTATCCTCTCGTTCAATCTGTGTCGTCCCAATTACCACATTGTTCACATTTCTAAGTAGTACATTGAAAACGACTTGCGCGCGACTTTCTCTATCTTTCAAGATGCGGAATTTGATCGGGATGGGTGCACATTGACATGTAAATGAACGAGGCAAGCCCTGCTCTCGACGTCTTGTCAGGCTCGTACAACACGTCCTTTATACTGTCTGCCAATACCGCATTATCCAAACTATCAAGATTCGCTTGAACCACAGTTGACGTCTCACAGGAAATATCGATGCTTTCACGATGTCTGTCAGCTTATGACCATCAAAGCAATGGCTTGCTAAGAGACCAATGATAGAGACAGGGTGACGCATACTACCAACTACCTATTTCAGGGGTAGCTGGGCAAGGCAAGCACAACGCAAGGAACAAGTTATATCGGAAGAAGTTTCATATCTCATTTTGCATGAAAAGCAGAGCAGTCACTCGTTTGGACTGCTAACATGCATTAGTTCCTATCTCCTTTTCCTCGTCTTGCAAAAAAAAGCCACTTGATCGTACACGAAGGTCCAACTTTAACCTTCCTTCCACTTTCTCCTTTTTTTTCTTTGGTCCACTCTTTCATCTTCGAACACCTCCCAAATTGCCAACCCAAAGAACGCCCAGCAAAAGGAAAGAAAGAAAAGCACAAAAAACATTGAGGGGTATATCAACTCGTACATACAGAATTGGGAAAAGGAGCAAAAGAAAAAGAAGGAAAACCAGGTAGTTTGATGCATGGGGTTAGCAAGAAATCGTCATCTCCGTTGAGAAACAGAACAAGGTCCAGCCTGGTTAGGTATCTCGTCTCGTGGCAAAAGGACTGCATTACCTGCACACGAGCGCTCCCAAAGGAGACGACGACGTGATGTCAGTGTGCAACAAATCTCTTTACGAGTCGGATGGTGGTCCTCGGTAAAGAGGACTAGAGTTGAAGCGCATTGGCGAGAGACCAGTAACGTCGGAAGAGCTGCGCGCATTCTTCTTGACGGGAGTGATGAAGGGTTCGTCGCTTTCACTAGACTGCGAAAGAAGAGTGTGCGACGTCGCAGGACGCTGGACTTCGGGGGTGAAGGTTCCATTGGGAGGAGGAGCGCTGCTTTCAGAAGAAGAGATGGCACGCTCATTGGCTGCCAGACTGTCCTGGATAAACTGAGGGTAAGGATGCTTGAGGTAGTCATACTCCTTGACAAGGTAATCATTTTCGGTGACACAACCAGCCCAGCACAATCGCCAGTTTCCAACAAGAGTATAGAAGATGCGGCCATCGAGTTTAAGCGATTGGTTGAAACAACGGTACAGGTTGTCCAGAGTCATCTTGTTCTTGTGCTGATACTCGAGCAACAGGCTGAGATGGCAGGTGATGGCGAAAAGAAGATAGTAGTTGAAGGGCGGAAGGTGCTGGAGTTCGCGGCGTAGAATCTCTGGGACGAAGCCTTTGTCGGGGACCTCACTAGGTAGCTGGGATGTGATACGATGCTGAGCATCCTTAGGGAAGATGTCCTCGGGAAGTTCACGAATCCATTCCTTGAAGAGAGAGGCAATGATGCTGGCGTCATACAGATCAGACTCATCCAGGAGGTTGATATCAAGCTCTATGTGAGGATCAGCGTAAGTTCAGTGGGAATGAGAAGCGGAAGTGTTCACCAGTGTCGAAGCGTCTCCTCCACTTTCTGACGTTGGCTACACCACCGGAGACTCTGTATAGGCCTTCTTCTTCACATTTGCCGTTCAAGTAGCTACATTTGAGGTCAGCGAAGTAAGTAGTCAGGGATTTGATGACATACTCGATGGCGCGCCACGGCAAGGCGGGCATCCAGAACTCGGTCTTATCCTTGCAGTCGTCGTACGATTGTGCTATCCGTGTCAGACGCGTCTGCTCAACAAGGCCCTTGTTAAGGACCTGCACAACATAGTCTCCATCGTCAGTGACAGGTTGGGGCTTGCCGTGGTTGCTCCCACCACGAGTGATCTTGCTGAGGAAGCCTTTACTAGCCTTGGTGATACCGTCGGTTGCGCGTGACGAACTCTGACGAAAGTCAAAAAAGGCTGATGTGTTGTTGTTCTTGTACATGTGACCATCACGGTCCTGACCCTTATCCTTCCTGGTCCTTGTTTTGTTTCCCGGCTCAGGGTCAGCCCTGTCCTGCGAACGGTCGCGCATGATGCCCATGAACTTGCGGCTGTTATCAGGAAGAGGCTTTTGCATGGGCGGCATTTCGATAGCTGGCGTTGATTTACTGTGGACACCGTGCTTGGATTGCTTGATCACAGGCGATTTTGTCTTGGATTTGTCGAGCAGGTCGTTGAGCTGATCCTCAGCGCGCAGTGACTTCGACCGACCCAACACAGGCATACGCTTCTTGGTTGGCTTGGGTTTTGTGTTGTTCGAATTAAGATTTGAGGAGGAAGTGGAAGGGATAGCTGGCGAAGGTTGGGGAGAAACGGCGGTGAAAGGGCGCTGACTTGAATCTAGCGGAGGAATAGCTGGTACAGGGGTAGCTGCTAGGCATCAGCGTCAGTTACAGCATGTAACAATAGGCAGCAATAAACTGACCGGAGGTGTCGTCGCCGTCTTTGGCACGGATGGACAAGGCTGGCGAGGAACCTGGGGGTCGACGGTAGGGATAGATCCAGGTAGAAACTGAGCGAGAGCGAGACTCAGGAGGAGGATCAAAGTGAGAGACAGGGCCGTCGTCGGTAATGCGGCCAGCGGAGAGAGAAGGACTATGAGCGGAACGGGAGCTCTGGCGGTCGGTGTCTTCACGCGCGCGCGAGAGGTCGGGTGAGGCCGAGGGTAGGGCGGACAGATCACTGCCCATGGTCAAACCGAAGACATCGCGAGCATCCAGAGAAGAAATGTCGATGCCATGGAGAGAAATAGGGCTGCTCATATGTTTTGGGCGAGCGTCGGCCAGGGTCGAGGGGGATTTGTTGGCCATTGTCTCCTCGAGTGTGCGCAGACGGCAGGCTGTTCAGAGGCGTGTCTCGGATTGCTGCTACTGCTGCTGCTTGCCGGCGTGTGCGAATACACGACCCATCAACGGAGCGTCTTGGGTAAGAGCGAACAAGGTGGGCTGTAGTCTTTCTTGTCGACCAGACGCTTTCAACAGGGGGGCTCGGCTGCACTGTCCGACGCGCCTTTGTCTAGCGATGCACTTGAATGCACCAATATATGCGCCTCGGCAAAAATTGCTGTTGCTGCTTCCACGAAAGAGCGAAGTGGCCGATGGTCGACAAGAATGGGGAAAAGGAGCGTGATGATTTTGGTTGATGAGATGAGCATTCAACCTTGTCAGGCAAGGCAAAGTGTGTGGGCTGTTTCGACGACTCGAAGGAGCCTTCAACTTGCGCGTCAGGGGTTGCTCGAGGAATGAACCCCGCAACCGCAACTTCCAATTCGCACTTTCCATGTTCCACCGCTGGCCTGCTTCGTATCCATACTACCGTCCACCGTCGATCCACCTCATCCTTCATCCCTGAGCCCGCCATGTCTCTCGTCGCTGGTCCTGGACGCGGCGGCGTCCTCTCTACACTCCCCACCGATCTTCAACTCTACGTCCAAAAGCACGTCGATTACATCCAGTCCCTCGATACGGTCCGCCGCCAATCTTCCCCGACCACCCGCGCTTCTTACTGACGCCCGAAACAGCGCAAGGATGAACTCGAATACTGGCTCACCGAGCACCTGCGCATGAGCGGCATCTACTGGGGCGTCACTCCACTATACCTGCTCGGCCAACCTGATGCCTTGCCCAGATCTGGCTTGCTAGACTTCGTTTTCTCCTGCCTACACGAAAATGGCGGCTTCGGTGCTGCGCCAGGCCACGATCCACACATGTTGTACACCGTCAGTGCTGTCCAGATACTTGCAATCCTCGATGCCTTCACCGAGCTAGAGCAAAGAGTGCCTGGGGGCAAGCATCGCATAGGTCAATGTCAGTATCTATAGATAAATGCTTCGCTTACATAGCTGACAACCTCTAGTTATCGCCAGTCTACAAAAGCCTGAGAACGGCACCTTTGCTGGTGACCAATGGGGCGAGACCGACACTCGATTTCTTTACGGTGCGTTTAATGCCCTCTCCCTGCTCGGTCTGATGCACCTGGTCGATGTCGACAAGGCCGTAAAACATGTACAATCCTGCGCAAACTTCGACGGTGGCTACGGAACGGGTCCAGGAGCAGAGTCTCATTCTGGTCAAGTCTTCACATGCGTTGCAACGCTTGCTATCGCGAATCGCCTCGACCTTGTCGACATCGACAAGCTTGGTGGCTGGCTCAGCGAAAGGCAACTGCCTAACGGCGGCCTCAACGGCAGACCAGAGAAGCTCGAAGATGTGTGCTATAGCTGGTGGGTCGTGAGTAGTCTGGCAATGATCGATAGGACCCACTGGATCGACCAGGCCAAGCTGGCAGAGTTCATTCTGAAATGCCAGGATCCTAATATGGGCGGTATTTCAGACAGAGCTGGCGATATGGTTGATGTGTTTCACACACATTTCGGTATTGCAGGTCTCAGTCTACTGCAATATCCAGGGCTGCAAGAGATTGACCCTATCTACTGTATGCCCAAAGCCGTGACTGACCGCGTACTGAACCGCAAAAAGTAAGTAATTAGCATGTAGAGTCTAAAGAGTCCGCTTCAGTAGTTTCACCCACATCTCCCTTCGGAGCGGTATGCGGGACGGTACACTTCGAGGAGCCGTGAACAGCTGGTCAAGGCGTTGATCAACGGGCCGGCCAGGGTCACTTAAGCTAGCGAAACGGTGGGCTAGCTACGTTTGCTCGAGGTTGTGAAGTTAGAATAGATATGTGTGCATCGGACTCTACACTTCACGATCCGAGTGCTTCATGACAGTCAGTCAAGAGATTGGGCATATAGTATATAGCGTGAAGAGCCTTCAAGCATCTTGCTAAATCTGATCGAGAGGAAATTAGAGCACATTTGCTGCGTCGGAACTTCAGAAGCTTCCCCTCAACTAGTATCTTGTTTACCTGATGAACTCAAAATGCGTCGTGCCTTGTCATAGACCACTGCGTCAGAACACTCACTACCGAATTAAAAAACCACCTACCGAACAAAAGCTCATCAAGTTTAACCCGGTGTTGCCGTGTATCAAGCTCACTGTGGTGATGGATGAGAAGTGAAAGGAAGGTGCTTGGACCATTAATTAAACGCGTCTCTCCGCAAAGGAAGTCGCGCGCGCGTCACTCAGCCGAAAGCTCCGTCACTCCTTCCATTCCTTCGACCTTTCTGTACAATCTTACGTTCGGCTCATCTTATCCTTCCACAAACCCGCAGCCATGCGCATCACGGCTCGGGTGCTCAGGCCTCCAGCGGAGGATGTCAAGTTCTTTCTCTCGGTTGAACCCGATGCGACCTTCTTGCGTGTCTGGACCCTCGTCCAGCAACGCTACAGAGAGAATTATAGCGCTGGCCGCAGAAAGTGAGTAGGAGAAGGACGACAAATCATCAGAACAAGCTAACATAGCTCAATAGTGACACATACTTCAAAAAACTACAGGACAGTAGCGGAGCCGATATTGATATGCGCGATACCGTTATCGACATCTTTGGAGAAATTCAAGACCCCAACGAGCGCATTGTGCAGATCCGACAATTACCTCTTGGTAGAGACGATACCGTACCCTTCGACTCGTACCTTCATCCTCCAATCAAACCTCCCACGCCTCAAGAACAAGAAGAAATCGACAGGCTGCGTTTGGAATACGATCGCTACGGTGCCACGCTTGACAACCTCGATCCAGATCACCCAGTCGAATCTCATGAAGACGCAGCTGAGAGGCGCATAGATCAAGATGGCTTCGCCATTCCAGCAAGGATCAATCGTCCACCTCACCCCCACCTCCCACCACCGGTCACTCAGACTATTCCGAATTCGCAGGACTCGTACGAAGAACATCTCGTTCGATCTCCTGAGCTCGGCTCGCCACAAAGAGCTCCCGCAGCCATCACACGTCTCGCAACCCCACCTGCAGCAGTCAACACAGCCACCCAGTATTCCACGCTTGATGCTGTGCCGAGTGCCCAGAAACCACCTGTACTCTTTGAACAGAATAGCAGATCTCCTATGGACGCACATGCAGATGATGAAGCAAGACTCGACTTGGCCGATCCCATATCAGAGGACTCCCAACCACGCCTCAGCAGCTCCACGACTCGAACACCAGCTCGCTCAACCAAATCGAACAAGAGAAAAAGCTCGGACGCCAACGAGCTTCGCAAGACCAATTCACAAAGGCTCTCAAACCACTGGACAGAATACGAGATAGATATGTTGGTCGAGGGATTGGCTAAAGAACTTTCTTATGAAGAGATGAAGCAACTACTTCCAAACAGAAGTGTTGAAGGTATCAGGAAGAAAGCAGTTGCATACACGAATCTCAATCCCTTGGCTGTCAAACAACGACAAGCCAGTCTGGCCGCTCTCTGGACCGAAGATGAAGATGCTCACTTTGTCCGCGCCATACGTAACAATCAGACCTGGAAGACTCTCCACGACCATCGCTTCCGTGACCGGTCTGACGATAGCGTCAAAGTTCACTTTGTTGAGGTTCGCAAGCGGCTGCAAGAGGAAGACTCAGCAAAATCTGCACGCGACCAATACCAAAAGCAGCTGAAAGATGGCAATCCCTCGACTGGCCCCAACGAGAAGTTTACGCAAGAAGAAGATGACCTTCTTCTGGCTTGTCGTGTCGAGAATGTTGAGATGAAGCGTGTCGCCAAAGAATTCTTTCCCCGTCGTCCTGTAGAACAAGTTACCAATAGAGCTGGTAGCTTGTTTCATAATGCAAAGCGAGCAGCGGCCAAGTTCAACCCCCTCAACACCGGGAGGTCCCCTTCTGTCGAGTTCTTATTTGAGCATACTCCGGAGACTCGCGATAGAATCGAGTTGCAGCGCCAGAAAGCCCGGCAGTTCAAAAAGAAATCGAGCAGCGCCAGAGCAAAAGAGGTTCAACAGCTCTCACACCAAAAGTCTATGCTTGACAGCGATAAAAAGCGCACAGAGGAACGAAGGGAACAAGAGGACCGACAGAAGAAAGCCCTCGAAGCTTCCGAGGAGGCCAAAAAGCAAGACGAACGTGTCAAGCGACGCCGCCTAAATGACGATATCAAGCGCGCGAACGACTACAACCAGCAGGTCATCGCCTGGGAGAAGCAAGCAGCAATTGATGAAAAGGCCGGTCGTCCAACTCAGCCACGTCCTGAGCGTCCACTGGGCAGCAGCATTGGCACTGAAGTAACCCCTACAACTCAGACTCCTCGTTCAACCCATGGGAAGAAGAAGACCCCTGCTGAAGGCCCGCGTTCGAGATCATCTAGCGAGCGAGGCCCACAGAAACGCAGATCTTCAGATGTTGAGGTTCAGGTGGTCATCACCTCGTCCAAGAAACAAAAGACGTCTGGAGTTGCAGTAGCAGAAGCCACTCCTCAAACCCAATTGTCCGATGCAAAGGCAGCCAGCGCTTCGAAAGCCCCGGCAATTTCAACTCCGAAACGAAGTGCTCCTGTAGTGGCAAGATCTGCTATGGCAAAACTCGGTCGCACAATGCAGCCTCAAAAGACTGGTGCTGATCTTAAGTCTGCTCACAAGAGACCAGTCGTCGCTTTCGCCTCAGTCTCTGCTACACAGCCGGTCGCAACAAATGCATCAGGAAGATCTGCAAAGAGTGACACCATTCAAAATCTGTCTTCGCCAGGCATCCCCACAGCTAAGAGCTTACGCCAATCGAAGCTACCCTTCCTACGAAATGGTCAGCAGTTGCCAACACCTTCTGCAAAAAAATCAACACCTGCCTCTGCCCGAAAATTGCCAGCTGCTTCTGTCACTCCGCGCCCGCGTCTTGCAGTGTCCGACAGCATATTCATCTCTTCTGATGAGGAATCGTCATATGATGACAATGAAATTACGGATCAAGAGCTTAACGCGGTAGCCGAGCGCTCTGAAGCAATGTACAGTAGTAGTCCTGTCAAAAGTCCGCAGATGAGCAATGAACACGCTAGCGTGCAGCACGAACACCAGAACTTGGTCTCCCCTGGTGCAAGCGCTTTGAGAAGTAGTCCACCTGTTGCTTCAATGCCGACACCAAAAGCCAAGGTTCTTTACGGGAGCGCGGCTCTCAAATCTGCCACCAAAACACGACCTCCTCTTTCCCCAGCTATACCTCCCACTGCGATCCCTGAGACAACTCTGGATACAGAACGAGAGCAGGAAGAAACGTTTGATGCACCTGCAGAACGTACTGATCCGGCCGCAACCAAAGAGGACGAAATGCCTGAATTTGAGATGAGCACGGCGGAAAATGTGCTCAGCGATCATGAAGAAGATGCTTCCATGCTGGACGAGTATCAGATCGAGCATGCAACCAATTCTACACCGGTATTCCCTAGCTCGAGCGCGCGAGCCGGAGCCCAGGACGAAATTAGTACGGCCAGCGACGTTCCCGAAGTGCCCACGATGGAAGAAACTGAAGTCATATTGACTCCCACAGCAGCCACAAAGAACAATCACCATGATTTATCCAACGGAAAGAAAAATCAATCACACATACATTTGGAGACGGATGATGTTGAGGAGATTGACTGTTATCGTAGCGATTCTAAAGAGGTCGAGTCAGAGGATTGGCCTAGTGAGAAATCCGACCGAGAAATGCCGTTCCCGGATCGCTCGACTGGAACCTTTGGCCCTTTCAAAGTATACAACAACAAGCGTACCACACCCCCGAATTCTGCTACCCAACCAAGGAGCCACCCTCAGCCGGCGACCGACAAACCTGCTCCAGCTTCGAAGGAAAAGAGTGTTGGAGAACAGGCAATAGATGCCATCAACTCTCCAGCTCCGAAGGTGATGCCTCCTCCCTCGACCACGAAACAAACCGTCCATCCATCGTCAACTCAATCGGAGGATATTCAAAACGGCTCTCCTATGGCCCAACCTTCCGAAGAGTCCTCAGGCGTTGTATCAAGCGGCAAAAAGGCACGTAGAGGGCAAGGGCGCAACAAGGGAAGTCGCATTCTGGGTGACGCACATTTGTTCAGGCCACCACCATCGACTGCACCACCTGATATCTTGAATGGTTCAGGCTTGAGAAAGCCGTCTAAGCAGCTGGTAGAGCATGATCATGAAGCCAGAGCTCAACACATTAATGGAGCTGGTGTCCTGAAAGACCATAACAGTAAGGATGCACTCTCAAGCTTTCAGAGCGAAGTCCACAGCAAACAAACCAAGAAGCATTCCAAGGCAAAGAGAACATCCCTAGGGTTCGATGAGTCGTTCAAGAACATGGTGGAGAAAGGTCAAGCCTTGGGAGCACACTCTCAGGCCACGCCTTCAAAGGGAGGCAAAGGTCAACAGTCGGCGTCGACCCAGCCTGTCAAAAAAGCTACCCCTATCGCCAAACCTACCAATGTGATCTCAAGTCAGCCAGCCAGCAATGTAAATGCAGGCCGCACCATCAATCCGCATGCGTTCGATTGGGACAATGCGCAGGATGTGGCCGAGCTCAAGCGGCAGGCCGATCAGAAATTGCGTGATGCCGCGAATATGGCCCCTGAAGACTTTTGGCAACAATCAAATCTGGTGAACATGAACGAAGAACAAGTCTTGAGCCATATGATCGAGCAAGGCATCAAACGTTCATTCGACAGACGCAAGTGGGAGAGAGAACACCCAATTGCAGCAGGCCGGGTGCTCGACGACTATGTCACTGATGTGTCTGCAACACAGCCAGCTCAACATTCTGTGGCATCGCCAGTAATGAACAACGCGATGCCCAGACCAGCGACGCAGCCAGTCATGCAAGTCCCCAAGCAGAGCGATGACGATGATTCTTCAACTAGCGAAGACAGCGATAGCGATGATGAGGATGCAATATCCAGCTTGGAAAATTTGTCGAGAATGTCACAAGCGGGAAAAATTGTCGCACTACCTCACTGGAGATGAGAGATGAGACCTGGGAGAGGATTGAGGGGATGAGCAAAGAGGTCAAGCATAATTCTGTAGCCCTGGTATGATAATCGAAGCAATAACTACAGTGACTCGCGACCATTCAACACCAATAAGGCTGCTTTAAAGTGTCACTCTGACTGCATGCTTCTTTTCAAATAACCGAAATACTCTTCAGAGCACGAATGACGAACGGTATTCGTGGACTCTGCGCAAGGTGTCAGAGCGACAGGCTATGGTCAGCAGCCTACAAATCAGCAAATCAGCTGTCGGTTCTCCCGCGGTACATACGCCTCAATTCGCCGAGGAATTGCTTGTCCAACGAAACTTGGTAGCCTTGTGATCAGAGGATTTAACCAACACCAACAAGAACAGGAACAACAATAAGGAGTAAGGATGCACGTTCGAAGTCCCGGTGCTATTTCCACATACAGCTTTCGACACCTCCATACGTTGATCAATATTCGAACCTTCGCCTTATGGATGTGAGCTTGTTGAAGGTTTCCGTTAGCTGCAGATGTTCCATGCACGACCCGAATCAGAAGTGTAATCTCGCGCTTATAATATCACCACGCGATCTCTGGCTTGCTATTGCACTTCACGGTAAGGACTACGTATCTTTTTCGCTTTGGATATGAATAGAGCAGAGATGCCATACTTGGGTATAAGGTCCACAATTAACAGCAGGAGTTTTGTTTCTGAAGATCGGCGCACCAATTGGTGCAATATGGACAAGCGAGTGGGGAGTCCGATGTAACAACACTATTTTCGGAATGCCAACAGCGGGAGATCGGCCTCGACCGGGCCATTCTCTCCGCCGGCCCATTCTCTCAGCTTACTCTTGTGTACCCCAAGACTCCATGTTTGTCGACCCTGCCAATCGTCCAATGTCTGTCAACCTAGTTGGTACTTGATTGCTTCGGCTGCCGGGATGGTACACTCTGTAGGATGCTCGTCCATGTATTGGCGGCTTAGCATTCCATATTCGCACCCGCCTCCTCCATTATCTTGCCGTATTCCCCAGTGTCATCTTGCTTTTCTGTCATGTCATGTCCTTCCTCTCGCTCCGACCATAAGACTGAGAGTCTCACAAGGACCTCCAATCCCGTGCCTGAACTCAGTCTGACGACTTTGATGTCAACTTGAGTAAGCTGCCTATCTACTCGATTGGATATCATCCTTCGTCAGCCTCGCCATGGAGTGTCAATCAAATCCCCGCACTTCTTGTCAGATTGAAAACAAATGTCGGAGAAGTGTGTCCATCTTTTCTAGGAGAGGAACAAGCACTCCTGCACCTACAGCATCATCCCTCCATGAAGCCATGGCAAACCTACACCTCGAATCTAAGAAGACAGTATCCCCGACCAGCCCGATGAAGATGGCATCCCCGACCAGCCCGAAGAAGACTTCCTGGCTGAAAAAATTGAGACATCCATCAAGAAACGAAGAGGGTACTGTCTTGCACGCAGTGCCATCTTGTGTGTCTGCGCGCACCATTTCAGCTCTGGACATTGCCATGGCTGTCTCTCCTAACGAGGAGATCCTTCAAGCTATTGGAAAACAGAGTCCATTCGACTCAGGCTCTCCTGTCTCTCCGTTTAACAACTGCATGCTAGGGTCTGGCAGTCCAATTCATGGAGCATTTGATAGCAGAATTGGAGTCTGGCGTGACGGCGTAGCTCTTTGGGACGTGGATACGAGAGCCAAGCGGAAGTCAGAGTCAACACATCAGATCACGCCTACCAAGTCATTGCCACCCAAGGCAGACAAAGCATCCCGACCTCGACTATCCGTAAGGATCCCAGGCAGTAAATTACGACAAATATTGGGAGAGGAAGCACATATACCGCCTCAGCCGTTTAAGCGTGTCCGCATCAGCCCAACCACATCGACATCGCAAACCACGAGCTTTGATCGAGGCTCCATCCATCCAGCTTTCCGCACGCCGAGCTCTGCGGCAGAAACACAGAACGGCGAGGTCAGATCTGTGTCAGGTCACGACAATAGTAGGTCTTCTGTCTCGAGCAATACAGTCTTCCAGGATGACCTTTTCGACATCGTTTCCTGCTACACCAGACATTCGTCGATGACAAGTGTAGAAGCAGAGTCCCCAAACGGGGCTGTACAAAACCCACACTGGAATTACTTGGATGTGCCCAAGCGATCTGCAAGTGCCGCTTTCTCGATCACTGATCCTGTCAAGGCAGGCATATTTGATGATGCCACAGGAGATGGCTGTGCCCCTCGTTCTACTTCTGGGTCCCAGTACCTCCAGGTCGCCAGTCATCTGACTCATCGAGCTCCAAGCCCTACATTGAGCGAAGCTGTTTATGATCTGCAGAAACAGCTAAGTACGATCACTGAAGGACTCTCAGCAACACCAACAGATAGTGGTGCTGTTCACAAAACGACTGACCACGACACTGCCACCAACAACGTCACTCGAGCACCTACCTTGCCCAAGAAGTCTCGTAAACGCCAGTGGCTCCAACCGGCTCAGCCGACTTTGACCCAATCCATACCCACAGGAACAGACGTGCCCGTACGTTGCCAGTCAGTACAATACAGGAAGCAACAAGATCTTGACAACAACGGAGACGATATTCGCAGAGCCTCGAGTGTCCGATGCTCACTGTCGGCTGATATCGAATCTATGTGGCTGTCATGGAGTGCGTCATCCTCAAGATCTCCAGCTTTGGCATTCGATCAAGAGGCTGTGTGTCTGAGGATCATGAGCCATGCGGCGTCTTTCGATGATCTGAGGTCTTTATCGACGGTCAACAAGACCACGAAAAGATACTCTGAAGACAACAAACTTAGACTCTTGAAGTCAGTGCTCTTCAACGTGTCGCCGCCAGCCTGGGAGTTGCGGGAGCTCTCGCCCTTTCCTTTCGGCAACTTCATGCCGACAGACTTCCTCGAGAATACAGAGATCTCCCCTTCTGCCTACATGTCATGTGTCAAACATGATCGCGCGATCGTCCAGGAACTCAAGTCTGTTATTGCTACCAAGTGTCAATCATTCATTCGTCCTGAGACCATTTCTAGTCTTATGACTGCAGGTTCTACAAGATTTGAAGATGCGCTGTACCGTATATGGTCTTTCTGCAAGATGTTCGGTTGTGATAGAGGCCGGGAGAATGATCTTAAAGGTCAGGTCGACTGGCTCAAAGGCGGGAAACTGGCACATCAAAAAGGCTGTGCTGCAAATCTGAGTTTCAGCCCTGAATTTGAGATCGATGGGATCTTGCTCAACGCTCCAGATCACTTCGCTGCTGGAAATGGCTGCGGATTGTCTGCCGAACAGCTGTATGACATGTCAGAGATGTGGCAGTGCCTTCACGCTCTGATCCGACCTTACGAAGAGGTCACGGGTAAAGCACAAAGCTGTGGCATCTTCCGTCGTACAGGCGCAGGCTTGACAGATCCAATCCTGCAAGGCCGTGTCATTGAAGAATGGGTAGCTTACGTTCTATCTCTCGGACCATCTGTTGTTCTAGAACTCACAAGATTTGATGACACGAGTGCCGGCCTGGACTTTGCTCAGTTGAACGACTGGACTAACTGGATTCCTCCACAGTCTGGTATGACTCGTCGAATGTTCTTCCGAGAACCTGTTTCACAGCTTTACGAAGAACGACTCCTTGCTTCCACTGCTGGTACGCAGACCAAGGATGTCACCAAGACGTTACTCCGAAAGCGTCAAACAGCAGAGATGAATCTTGTTTACCGACAGATGTCTCTGAGCAGAAAGGCTGGACAGACACCATGTGCGTTACGTCGTCACGACAGTGCACTCGCACCAGAAGTACACAAGAGACCGGCCACAAGAAGATCTTCGTCACCAGCTTCTCCCAGATCTCCTTCCTCAAATCTTACAGATAATCGCAAAAGGCAGCCTGGGTCTTGGTCGCCAAGAAAAGTGAGCCCAGTCATCGAAGACAGGGTTGACACATTCAACAGATTGAGCATGCTGAGCTTTGAGGGGTTAGCCGAAGACACAAGTACATTGGCCATCAATAAGATCATGGATATAGGGTTCTCGAATGCACAGGCAAGGGAAGCACTACGGATCACGGACATGGGTAGTGGCTTGAGAGTGGATCGGGCTGTAGACTGGCTGTTAAGGCAGAACCGTTTCTAGTTGTTCTTCATGGAAGTACTGAAAGAGAATCAAGCAGATGTTATTCCATCAGAACAGATCGCACATTTCTGAGGTTGCGTTTTAGCTAATCAGGGGCCGCATGAAGGGCTCTATATATCCGAGATGCAACATGACAGATTTCGTTCATGGCTGAGCCCATTGATACAGACAGACCGCACCCAATTGGACAAGTCATCGCTAGGCTCCTGAGACGAGGTATTGTGGCACACGACAAGGCTGCTGTGGCGTTGCGACAAAGCTGGAGATTTACAAGCAACTAACGCCAACAATAATACGTTTATGTATCATAGTGAGTCCCGAGAGAAGGACCGCGCATTCCGATAACCAAGGAAGAAGGGGTCTAGCCACATAGCAAAGAAAGAGATCGATAATACAAAGGTCAGGCTGAGAAGCTAGATCGACAGAAACAATCTCTCGGAACGCCACCTTCGAATCACAACACTTTTTGCGGCTCCAATCTGCAGAGACAGATACATCTCCCGGTCTGTGACTTCCAGTTTGACTCTAGGTCTCGTTGGTTCCAAGAACCTTACTTTGTGGTCAGCAGCACTACTCGACCAATACGAAGTTAACGACCTAGATTTGGTCCCGCCAACTCATTTCGCAAGACTGTCTGTATAGCATAAGCCCAGGTATTCAAACCAGATATTGTGGCAAACGTTGCGTGATAACTCCAAGTATATGCCACTTTCAGCCAAATGCTCCAAATGGATGTCGAGCAACGAAAGCAGCTTCCTAGCCACAGCGATCAGGCCTCTCACGGCGTAAAACACTCAAATCATCTGAACAGATGAGGAAATGTGCATGCGGTTCTGGAGCTATGATTTGTAGACATGTGCAGGCAAGGCGCAGCACTATTTATTTTGAATCCCCGACCTGATAACGATCCATTGTTAAACCAGTGCAGACATCCGAGATGCCATCCTTCGAAGCAGTCAACCCGATTCAAACAGCCATCAAGTGGCAAATGGTTGACATGTATACTTTCCAACAAAGGCGGCGGCTCCATCCCCAACATGCTGTACATACCCTGGCAGCGAAGCTCAGTCATGACAAAGGCTTAATATCTATATCGCGACTGCGCGCTGCAGACTCATCAGCACTAAGAAGTGGCTTGAACGCCTCTTTCGTGTGAACTATACCGATACCATGCATATCACAGCCTTGCAAGGTGCCTCCAGATCCTTTGTGGCTTGTGGGTCAGGTGAGCTTCTCGTGGAAACAAGAGAAGATAAGTCGGCAATGCTCGAGATACCCATGTCATAAGCATTCCAGTGATCGCACTGCTTTTCTCCCTTTCTCTTTGCACAGACGCTTGTCAGATGCAGACTTCCAATTCTTTATTTAACAGATGGGCCTATCTGCTGGCGCTAGCATTCTCGATACTTGTGCATGGACAGGGGCAGAGTTACTATTTTCGCAGTGGTGATCCTGCTCGGAACGACATACCATGTAGTGGTCTAGCTGATTTACCTGGTGCGGCGGTCCCATGTTGTGCATCAGGAAGTTCATGCTTGGATAACAGGTTGTGTATGGATGGTGATCAGAATCTGAGCAGCGGCAGTTGTACCGACTGGAGCTGGCAATCTGTCAACTGTCCCCAGATGTGCCCTCAGGGTTAGAGGTATCCCTCTTGCTGGACGATAGATCTAGCTAACGTCAAGTAGCCGAACAAGGCGGGCCAGTGCACAACTGTACCGCTGAACTGAACAAAACGGACAGCAGTGGGCAGGTGCAGTTCTGCTGCTTGCAAGATAAAGACTGCTGCTTTCAGGCCGCCTCATTCTTCACGTTAGGCCCATGGGATTTCGACACCACATCGACGATGTCTCTTTTATCCTCTGCTACCTCAACTCCAACAACCGCCTCTTCCCCAACCGCAGCCGCATCCTCGACTGCAACAAACGACAAAGAATCCTCTTCAAGCACGCGTTACAAGGATATAGGAATCGGCATCGGCATAGGTGTTTCAGTTCCGCTAATATCCATTGCTGGCGTAGGTCTAATTTGGCGTCGGCGACGTCGTCACCGCCACCAGAACGCATCTGTTGGATTATCGCGCTTCACAGACTCGAACCAACAAACACCACTACCCTTCCAGGAGCATGGTCATGAGGAATACGCCGACAACATCGATCGAAGAGCCGCTGAAGCTAGATCGTATGAGCTCGACTCGTTGAAGAATCCAGCAGAGCTGATTGGCAGCGAACCTGATACGAGCAATTTGAATGCCTACGGATCAAGACCCTTACGGCCTTCTTCTATTGGTAAACAGGATTGATGAGCGGACAGAGATTGTCGGTGGAGTGCCATGTACAAGACTTATGTAGATAGAATCAACATGGGGGTATATCTGCATTGTTTATAGTCCTCATTAATCATGTACTGGGTTTCGCGAAGAAGCAAGTTGTAGTCAAGACATTGATCAGCATCCAAGACATAATCGCTGGAGTTGGTTTTGAATGATATGCAGCACAATCCATGCTGCAAGTACCTCTGCATGTCGGCAGGCTTGAGGTCATTGAAGGTAGACGAAAAGTGACATAGACAGAGATACCCATACACGAAATCAAAGAGGACCACGATTGAGAAGACTCATTTTATTGATCGAACACTATCACACTTTCTATGGAAACTAATTGTCGGCCATGGCGAACGTTCGTGTGCATTTGTATGATCAACCTCCGCAAAGCCCTGCCAGCCAAAGTGGTTGTGTATTGTCTAGGGCATAGAACTGCCTTGCATCTTGGATATTAGGCGTTGTACAAAGGAAATATCTTGTTTCTTCTTATTGTGGTTTGAATTGGTGTCGCATCGAATGCAAGAGACATGTTGCTCGGAACTCAATCTGCTTACTTGTCTGGGCAGCGAAAGACGTGATTGTGATGGGGTGTCTTCTTGATCGTTTCGTTGCTTCTGTGAAAAAGCGAGTGATGTAACTCGTTGACGCAGAACCAGGAATGTTCGGTGAAGATTAAGTTGTTTTCTAGGCATGTTTTGCTCTGCGGTGTGTTCGTTCGAAATGCTCCATGAGGAAGTCCGAGAGGCAATCCGAGTCAATGAGATTAGTAGCTCGCCAGTCGTCGTAGACATCTATCATGTGAAGGTGGTCTTCGAACTCTTCCAAAAGCTGGTCCGGCATGGTGCCGTGGGCGTCATATGAAGACCAACTTTCTACGAGATATGTATTATTGATAATCCGGATAATGTTTTGAAAACATGATGTTGTTGGGCGTGGGTAGTGCGCAAGAGCTTGTGGTCGTTACAGCAGATCTCTCCGACCAGATCCTCGAAGCGTGAGTCTGGCTTATGGCTGCTGTGTCTTTCATGCAGGTCCGAAGATCTTGTTGAACTTGGGAACCCACTTCTTGCCCAATTGTCTTCTGGCCCATGCGTAGAAGCGCTTCTGAGTCTTGGGGTCTTCGTGAGCCTTTCCCTTGCTCAGCTTGACCATTTCTTGGAATTTTTCCTTTCTGGCCCACGAAGCCCTCAACTGAGCAGTCGAAGCTTCCTTACGTGACGGACGGGCCTGAGCTGCGAACCTCTCACGTTTCCTGGCAGCTTTAGCAGCTCTCTGCTCTTTGTGGCTGAGATTACTCTCTCTCTTGATCTTCTTGATGTCGCTGCGTCTGATTCTTTTCATAGGGTAGGTAAGGTCCTCTTGTCCAAGCGAATCTTCCTCGAATGGCTCTTCGTCGAGTTCCGGGTGACTCAATCGTGTCTGCATCTCCTTGTCAACACCAAGGATGTGAACATAGTTGGCATAACCAGCAGGGGTAAAGGTTTGGAATGCCCATCTGAGATGCTTGAGCTTCTTCATCTTGGAATTGCCGAACCCAGCGCGTGCCTCCCTCGAAATGCGAGCAAGATTTTGTCTCGCAACGCCAGATATCGAAGTGAAGGCTTTGCTGGGGCTTTTGTCAAGATGGAGATGGAACATCTGTCTCTTGAGCTTGCGATCCTGAATTTCCTTGAGCTTGAGCTGCTTCTTAGCGTGTGCATCAAGTTTCTTTTTCTTCTTGAGCGCGGATTTGCTTGTTTCGTCTGTCTCGGAAGCTTCTGAGGTGGAATCGTCGGCATCGGAGGATTCTTCATCGCCGGAAGGACGTGAGTCGTCAGACATGTCGTAGTCAGAGATACCGAAGACTCCGCCGGGAGGAGATGGATCCGGGTAAGGGCCACTGAAAGTTCCAAAGTCGCCGTAGATGCCAAACTGAGGACCGCAACCACTGGCGGCGATGCCAGCAAGAAAATCGGCTCTGTCCGACATGGCTGAAGATGACGGCAGGAAGGGGATGATGGACTGAGAAAGTAATGAGGGGTGTGGAAGAAAGTCTGAATTTTAGAGTGGGAAGATGCGCTGTCTGCGTTTTGGTGTCTTGTTTGCGCGCCGGAAAAGCGCGTTGTTGTGACGATGAAGTGAGAAGCAGCTCTTTCATGTGACGGAGAATCTTCAGATAATCGTGAGAATGCACAATTTCTGCCAAATTGGAGACCAAGGACTTGGAGAGAGTTGAGATCTAAAGTTGAAGACCACCTACGAAAACTCTGGTAATGACTTCCAAGTTGTCACTCTTCGGCAGCGTCGCACCTACCTATTATGTTCTCTACCTGTAGCATCGCTCATTGCTTTGTCTACCCTTACTGAAATCCTCGCCAAGCACAACATAAGAAGCTCAAAGTTGTATAGCATTCGGGTCGCGACGAGAGGATGTTCTGCGGTGAGAGCCTGCTCTTCTGAGACTTGAGGAAGAATACGATGTCTCTGCGATGAACCTGAGTCGAATCCCACTAACAAGTGTCCTCTCATGTGACGAGTTTGATATGGACGCGTATACGTGAGTCACTTGGTAGAAATTGAAACATGAAGAGAACAGGTGGTTGATGGTGACTGGACGTTGTCGAAAGTAGGACGCATGCCGTTGCGATGGAGGCTGAGTCGCCAAGGTCGAATGACGCGCGCTATGTAGAATACGTCAAGAAGAACAACTCCAACCACCTGTCCTCATTGGTATAGCAGCGTATAAGAGAAGAAGAGAAATAAGAAGACAAGAGGTTGAATTGACTTTGAATTGTCAGTGCGCGACCGGACGGCCCCTCTCCACACACCCCGCAACGTGTTCAAGCAGACCCTTTGTGAATCTTGATCGAGCCTCGACGAGTTCAAGGAGCTTTACCCCTGAATCGCAATCAAAAAAGCACTTCTCCCATCGCTCGTTGTTCTCTTGACAACCCTCACAATCACTTCAAACACAATGGCAGCCGTAGCAGCATCAGTTATCCCGGCGCTCGACCAGCGCCCGGTCAAGAACACCATCTGTCTCTTCGATGTCGATGGCACCCTCACTCCTGCCCGTAGAGTGTGTTTCTATCCATACAAATACACGAGGAGCAAAGAGACTAACATAAATACAGACGGTCTCCCCCGAGATGCTCGCTCTCCTGTCGCAGCTCCGTCACAAGGTCGCCATTGGCTTCGTCGGTGGCAGCGATCTCGTCAAGCAACAAGAGCAGCTCGGCACTGCTTCCGTCCCCGTTACCAGCCTCTTCGACTTCTGCTTCGCCGAGAACGGTCTGACCGCATACCGCATGGGCGTTCCCCTTGCGTCCTCATCATTCATCAAGTGGATCGGCGAGGAGCCCTACCAGAAGCTCGTCAAGTTCATCCTGCACTACATTGCCGACCTCGAGATCCCCAAGAAGCGCGGTACCTTCATCGAGTTCCGCAATGGCATGATTAACGTCAGCCCCATCGGTCGTAACGCCAGCATTGAGGAGCGTAACGAGTATGAGAAGTACGATCTCGAGCACGGCATTCGCAAGAAGTTTGTCGAGGACATCAAGGCCGCTTTCCCCGACCTTGGCTTGACGTGAGTTCATTGTTGCATATCTTTCAAAGTACTACATGGGGCTAACATGATCTGCAGCTACTCGATTGGTGGACAAATCTCATTCGACGTTTTCCCCAGAGGCTGGGACAAGACATACTGCTTGCAGCACGTCGAGGCCGAGAAGCAATACGGAAACGAGTACACCACCATCCACTTCTTCGGCGACAAGACATACAAGGGCGGTAACGACTACGAGATCTACGAGGACCCTCGCACCATCGGTCACAGTGTCAAGACCCCCGAGGACACTGCTGCCGAGCTGAAGAAGCTGTTTGACCTTTGAACAACACCACACATGATTCGAAGAGCTCGATTGTGAAGGTTGGAGAGAAGGCAAGTAAAAGCATAAAGGAGGCTGGAAAAAGGGTATCTTGTAAAGAATACAGGGAGCATGGAGTATTTCGGATGATAGGAAAAGAGGTGTTGAGGCCATAGAGATACCTATGCAGAGTTTTTTTGTGAATCATCAAGTCGAGTTTTTTGCTTCGTCTCACGTTTCTTGACTCTGTTCCATGTTCAATGATGATTGAGAGAAGATGCGGCGATGATCATTGAGGCTTCGGAGGTGAAAGTGGTTTCTCCGCATGTGATGCGCCAAGGCCGAGCGCAGGGTCAATGGTTTGGCTTCTGGAATTTGCGGCGACAAAATATTCTAAGATCGTCCTTTCTCTTCACGCCATTCATCACACACAACCGCAGATATGCCCTCAACACATAACGTAGACAAGCCGTGGGACACGGACGATATTGACAAGTGGAAGGTATGTCATGCGCCCTGCTGTAATCTCTTCTCATCAAGAAAACATCAAAGCTGACTTTCTTCTTCTCCGCGCAGATCGACGAGTTCAAGCCCGAAGACAACTTGGGCGGCACCTTCAGCGAAGAATCCTCCTTCTCCGTTCTCTTCCCCAAATACCGCGAAACATACCTCAAGGCATCATGGCCGCTGATTACTCGCTCGCTGGAAAAGATTGGAATCGCCTGTACGCTGGATTTGGTCGAGGGTAGCATGACCGTCAAGACGACACGAAAGACATACGATCCCGCTGCTGTACTCAAAGCTCGCGATCTTATTAAGCTATTGTCGCGTAGTGTGCCTGCACCCCAAGCCGTCAAGATTCTCCAGGACGACATGGCTTGCGATGTCATCAAGATCAGAGGTCTGGTACGCAACAAAGAGCGCTTCGTCAAGCGCAGACAACGCATCCTCGGTCCCAACGGCAGCACCCTCAAAGCCCTGGAACTGTTGACATCTTGCTATATCCTCGTGCAAGGAAACACCGTCTCCTGCATGGGAAACTACAAAGGCCTCAAGGAAGTGCGTCGTGTAATCATGGACTGCATGAACAACATCCACCCCATCTACCACATCAAAGAACTCATGATCAAGCGCGAACTCGCCAAAGACCCCGAACTCGCAAACGAAAACTGGGATCGCTTTTTGCCGCACTTCAAGAAGCGTAACCTGAGCAAGAGAAGGGTTCCCCACATCGTCACCGACAAGTCCAAAAAGACATACACACCTTTCCCTCCCGCTCAAGAAAAGAGCAAGGTCGACTTGCAGATCGAGTCTGGAGAGTACTTCTTATCCAAGCAAGCAAAGGAAAGACAAGAAAAGCAAAGGAGAGAAGATGCCATGCGCGAAAAGATGGAGGAAAAGAGATTGGCCAGACAACAAGATTACATTGCTCCCGACGAGCCTGGCGAGGAAAAGGCAGAGAAGAAAGAGAAGAAGGAAAAGAAGAAGAGAAAGCACAAGGACGAGGATGGCGACGACGAGGTTTCGGAAAAGAAGAAGAAAAAGTCAAAGAAGCACAAGGAGGAGGTTGCCGAGGAGAGCGAGTGATTTATTCGTTCTTTTTGAGGTTGACTTCTGTTCTTTTTGGTTCTCTCTTTCTACAATATCCACGTCTGGCATAGTTTTGGTGTTTTTACTGCTGCGTTCAGCGTTAGGGGCTTTTGTGTCTTCCCAAAAATCGTATCCTTGTTTCTCTCGACATGTCACAATTTCGACCTACTCGTGTGAACCTTCAACAATTTCCTGTGCCAGTCTACCACATTCAAGCTCGACAAGGGCGATCCAAGACATGTTCGTAAACTGATTTCATTCCAGTACCACCAGTGCCTTATCCTTGGCACCATGTATGTATTCCTACGTGACTTTTTGACTAGAGGTTTACCCTTTCCTAATCTTGCATGCATGAAATCCCTAACAATCTATTATTCGTTTAGATGGTTCTCGAGTTCTCGATCTTGGTGACGAGAATGTCGGTGGCGCCAATTGCGGTCAGCTCGTCCATGGCGTTGGAGACGTTCTTGCGCTCAACCATGGCCGAAACGGCGACCCAGCCATTCTCTTCCAGGCTGTTGACAGTAGGTGCTCGCTTGCCAGGAGTGATCTTGGCGGCCTTGTCGAGGTTGCTGCGCTCGACGTTGTATGTGCAGAGGACGTATTTTTGGGCGGCTGTCAAGCAATGTTAGCATTCCTAGGCTTTAGTAGGGTGGGGATGTAGAAGAGCATACTAATGACACCACGGATTCTGGTTGCGATCAAGTTGACGAGGTCGGGGTTGGTGGGGTTCTTGGAGCGAATCAAGATGGCGGTGGTCTCGAGGACAGTAGAGATGGCCTTGAGGCCTGCTGCGCGCATAGTCTCACCAGATTCTACTTCATGTCAGCACAAACCAGTCGCATACATGGAGATGAAGACCAAACTCACCAACGAGATCGACAATACCGTCCGCAACGCCCAGCGCGCATGCAGCCTCTACACTGCCACCAACATACTTGATGTGAGTGTCAAGCTTCTCTCCTGCCTTCTTGCCCTCGAGCTCTCTGAAGTAAACCTCGGCGAGGTTGGTGAAACTAGTGCAAATGCTCTTTCCAACCAATGACTTTGCGTCTTCGAACTGACCCTTCTCAGGGACCTGGATCTGAAGCTTGCAGCGACCGAAGTCAAGGTCAAGGACCTCTTCGACACCAGTAGACTCAGTCGGGGGCTCGGTGACTTCGTATTCTGCGACTTGATCGCGACCGGTGATACCAAGGTCGCAACGACCCTCAGAGACGAAGGTAGGGATATCGGAGGCGGGCAGGAAGACGAGAGCGATGGGGAAGTTCTTGACGAGGGCAATGTCGAGACGCGAGTGTCTGTGGAACTGAATGTCGGAGCCGTGGAGAAGCTCGATACATGCTTGGTGAAGACGTCCCTCTGCGACTCAGTGTTAGAATGGCGTGTGAAGACGCATGGAGGGGCAGTGAGGGGTCAATTACTCTTGGGAACGGCAAACAAGAGACGGTCGGTGAGGCTGAGAAAGTCGCGTCAGGACGGAGATCAGAGAGCTAGCAGAGTCGCATTGACATACTGGTTGACGAGATCCATGGCGAACGAGAGACTTGGGTGATGAGGTAGTGGTAACAAGAAGAATGGGTGGTATGTAGAAGGGCGCTATTGAGGACTGCCGGTATTATGACTGATGAGAATCGGATCGCATTTACACGTGGGGCAGTGGATGCTTGACACTCGATTGATTGTTTTCAGTCACGCAAACACAGACCAAATCTATTTTATATCGAATTTGAAGATCTGAGTCTACTGCTATGGCACGCAGGTCTACAATATTTACACAATCATGATTGATGCGAGACTGCGATGGTATTCAGCGGTGATTGCAGATGGTCAACCAAATTTTGTGCATGTTTTACGGCAGCGATGACGGATGGCGGGTCGCGGCTCTTCGGGAGTCTTGGCAACTTCAGCCGATGGCCAGGACGCCGACTGCATCGTCACTCCAAGCTCCGGCGCTGAAGGCAGCTACAGCTATACCGCTAGCTTGACACGACATCAACCACACACTCACTCCATCACATCAACAACCATGGCATCCTCAGTGACAGTCGCCATCCCCAACGGCCAACCTGGCTACTCCTTCTCTCAGGCCCCTCAAGTCACCGTCAACTCAGCGCCTCGCCAACATGCTGGTTTCTACCCGTACGCATGCCATCTACCTACGCCATCTAGCCCTCTTCTAACGTTCGTCTCAGATACACCGACAATGGTGGTAGCACCCTCGGTATCTCAGGTGCCGACTTCACCATCATGGCAGGTGACACCCGCCACACCTCCGGCTACAACATCAACACCCGCTACGCCCCCAAGCTCTTCCGCATCGGTGGCGAAGGCCCCGAGAAGGAAGGCGCCCGCATCGTCTTGTCCGTCGTCGGTTTCGCCGCAGATGGCAACGCCCTAGCTGAGCAACTCGACACCATCGTCAAAATGTACCGCTACCGCCACAACAAGCCCATGACCGTCGCCGCCTGCGCCCAGCGTCTTTCTCACATCCTCTACAACAAGCGTTTCTTCCCCTACTACGTTCACGCTATTCTTGGTGGAATCGATGAAGATGGCAAGGGTGCTCTGTACTCGTACGACCCTGTAGGCAGTTACGAGAGAGAGCAGTGCCGTGCTGCTGGTGCCGCCTCGAGTTTGATCATGCCTTTCCTCGACAACCAGGTCAACTTCAAGAACCAGTACATCCCCGGCTCAGGAGAGGGTCACGCTCTGCAAGCTCGTGTTCCCGAGCCTCTGCCTCAAAAGGATGTTGAAGAGGTGGTCATGGATGCCTTCACCAGTGCTGTTGAGAGACATATCGAGGTTGGTGACGGTCTGCAAATGATGATCATCACAAAGAACGGCATTGAGGAGAGATTTGTTCCTCTCAAGAAGGATTAAAATCTTCGTCTGTTCTTTTGCGATTTTACATGTGTTTACGACGAAGGATATCTCTACCGCCCTCTCACTGAGGGAGGGGGAAAGAAGACGGGTGTATTCTAATCATATCAGGCACGGCTTTTATGCATGGCGCGCGGCGTTGGCTTACAAGATGGAAGGAACCAATGGAGAATCAAAAACCATTCCACCATTTCAGGAACATCTCATCAGCTTTCTTGACTAATCAAGAAGGTAGCAGTGTTGGTCGTCTATCAATTTGTGATTATCTACAGTTTTGACCAAGATTTGTACAAATCATCAATCTCGACTTCAAACGCTGACAATGTCGCTTTGCGATCTACAGTTCCCTTTGGCGTTCGCACCATGTTCTTCTCAGACCCTACGATTATCACCAGCTCTTTTGCCAATCTCGCAGATTCATGATGTTTCTCGTTCTCGGCTTGCACTGCTGGCCATATCTCATCCACGAACTCTGCTTTTTGATCATTCGTGATGATTGGCGAAGCAGGTTCGACCAGCAAGAAAGGTCTGCTGCGGTACTGGCCACCTACTAAAACAGCACCAATTGCTGGATGTGCAGAAAGAGCCTCCTCGATGGCACCAGCATACATCTTGACCTCGCCACTCAGCAGCACCAGATCATCCTTTCGACACCTGTACTTCCAAAGTCCTGGCTTCGTAGGATGCGGTGAGAAGAGATCTTTCGTCCTAAACTCTGAAGCTTTTTCTCCATTGTTGAAGCCAAAATGTGTCGCTAGATGTGATGGCGTACTATCTATGCAGCGGAAAAAGTTCGTGTATGCTTCTGATTGTGCAGTGCGTTTGATCACCAGTTCATACAGATCTGCACCTGTGTGCTGAAAATCTGGTGCCATGAATGGGTGGATCAGGAAGTAGCCTTGATCTGCTGGATCGGGTGACGAGCCTGTAAGCCAGAGTCCTCCTTCTGTGCTGCCGAGGGCTGAGGAGACTGTGCCGTTAAAGTCAGAGGCTATGATGCGGGTTGCCCATGCAGCTAGTGGTGCTCCACCGTACACAATCTTTTTGAGCTGCTTGAGTGCTTTTCGACAAACAGGGTCTGCAATGAGTTCTTCTAGTAAACTTGGAGGAAAAGAAGCTGCGCTGACAGGTGCGCTTCGCAACACCCCAAGAACAGTCTGTTTATCAGGTCGAACCCCAGCAGGTCCAAGAATGATTATCGTGCTGAGATAGACCGGTGTGAGAAGACTAGCTGTAATGCCAGAGGTGTGAAATGTAGGTAATGCGCAATAGATGCTCTGTCCTGCCATTTGTGTTGCCGTACTTCCTGGTAGAGTATGTAATCTGTCGACTGAACACAGCATATCGTTTGTCCAGATCACGGGTTTTGGCAATCCTGTTGTTCCAGATGTATGCACTACCATCACAGGGTCTGAATGTGCTTTAGAGTATGGCTTTGAGTATACATATCGCTCTGACTTGGCTGAGAGATTTGGTTGGGTCAAGAATACGCCAAAAGATGTGGTGCCAATATACTTCGCACTTGCAAACCTCTTTTGCAGAGATTCTGCCAACGCAGTCATCTCAGAAGCATATATCACAGCCGTACATGCGAGCGAGTTCAGAAGGAAAAGGTGCGCATCCGGTGATGCAAGGTGAGAAGCCAGCAGCACCTTTCTGCCTACTTTAGCTGCTGCTACAACCACAATAGCATATCCGAGATCTCTAGGTCCAAAGTATGCGAAAGTAGGAAATGTGCCGTCAGCTTTGCCGAGGGTTTTGTCCAGCCACCAGGACAGTGCATCTATTGCTCGTGCAAACTCGACGTACGTGACATTTCTGAAGCCTTTGGATAAGTCTGCATCGTCTTTTGGGACTGATGCATAGACGTGATTTGGAGTAGTCGTGGCAATCTCGTCAATGAGGGTGGGAAGCAATCTTGTGCCATATTCAGGGCTGTCTCTCGTCATAACGGCTGTGGTATTGACTTCTATCGAGGCAGAAGGCGGGATGCGAGGGACACGTATAGCTTCTGGTAGGTGAGAAAGAGTACTCATGTAGGCGTTGTGGAAGTTTGCAGTATTGAGAAAGAGAACAGCACGGCAAGAGAAGTGAAGTCAAAGAAGGAGCGAAGGCTAGTAGATACCACGCGGCAGCTCCACAGCTCACACCTGTGACAACGAGCTGAAGATCACAGCCCTACAGCAATCATCATGAACTCTGCTCGTCCTACGTACGAAAGAAACCCCGTCTCGGGTCATACAACGTGCTTTCAGCCAGCCAGCGCATTGCAATGTTACATTCGCGATGTTTTCCTGGGGTTTTTCCGTACGAGAGAATTCTGATGAGCGCACAAGTAATCTAAACGGTCGCAGAATGGTAACAAATCGGGTCCTTATACATGGCAAGGAGTGTGGTTGTCGGGGAATGCTTCTTGTTGAGGTTAGAGCCTTGGCTACCTTAAGTAGTCCCTAACGAACGTTGTGACTTCGTTCGCGCCTCGAAGAATCGCCCGAGCTCAAAATTTGCCTGTTCTGTAAGAATAGTCAGCACGTTTGGTATCATATCCATTGGCACTTTGCGGACCGAAACCGATCCGACTTCTCCAGTCCCACCGCGCCATGGATCTTTCTACTTGTCGCAATCTCATTATTGCGCAAGCAAAGAAGGGTTCTCGAAAGATCTGACTGCCTGTGACCCTTCTTGTTGATCCTACTCGTCCAGAACGAGACACATACCGCGATGGTCGCACCATACAGCCAGCGAAGTAGCTACAGTGGGGCACTGCTGGTATCCACCCAACAGACCCCTAACCTCTTGGACGCAGAGCTAGGAGCTTGTCCTTCACCGTCAATTCTCCGCTACAACCTATTTGATTCCGCATCTAGCTGTGTCATTGTAACCTGACTCGTTTCTGAGAACGAAGTGTTGGCGAATACTACCTTACCATGCATGCCCAGCTTTTGGCGGCGGACATGGTACTGGTATGCTCGCCGAATGCATCTTGCTCCCAGCACCTACATTGTTGATCTATGATGTGCTGGCTTCAAGGACTCAATACGTTCACTGTATTTGTCTGGTGGTGGGTCGTGGTACTGGCACGCAAGAATGTGCTATTGCGTCTCACGGCAATGTTATCATTGTGCGCTGGTTTCAAAAGACCGCAGTATTCCAGCATCAACAGTCATCAAAGCCAGACAACATCGTCAAAAAAAAAGACATACCTCAGAAGTTGTAGTCCTCGTATAACACTTCCTGCCCACTCAACCACTGCAAGATGGTACTCCTTTGACTGGCACCTGTGCAAACATACCACCTCTTGATCCTTGGTGTCAGCGGCTCCAGATCGGTCTTGTCCATGCGACGGTACACAATCCGCACGCCGTATTCAGTGAGTTTCTTTATGCAAGCCTTTTGCTCTTTGTTTTCCAGAGAGACGCCTGTGATAAACAAAGTAAGACTCGCAGCCTGATTTGGGAATCCGTCAAGTAGATCGATGGCAAGACCCAGATCGGCTACTCGCAACGTCCAGAACAATTGAAGGTCATCAAGCTTGAGCGAGTGTAAGCACGGCATCAATGGCGTGATGCCTACACCAGCAGCAACAAAAGCGATAGAAGATTTCACCTCAGTCTGTTCTACCACAAATGATCCTCCAAAGCCTTTAATCCCGATCTCCAACTCAGAGCGACTTGCTGTATTGCCCAAACCATGTTTGAACAGGAAGTCAGTCACTACGCCAACTTTGCGTATTGTGATTTCGAACTCGTCATCTGCAAGTCGTTTGCTTGGATGAGGTGGCAGACCAGGCGGAGAAGAAACAGTAAAGGTGCGGACAAAATCATCATTTAGGCTTCTGGGGTCGTCATCTCGCATGTGGCTATATCCGACATCCAGGTGGTCCGAAACATCGATGGTGACATACTGACCAGCAGTATAGGTAGCTGCATTGGACAAGCTAAACTTGAAGCGCGAAATTGTTGGAGTAAGTAGTGTTTGAGAAAGTAGCTTTGCGGTGTTCTGGCTTGCATTCTCGGCTTCTATCCTTGTTGTCGCTTTCTCACTAGCCAGATATCTTACGACTGGGTTGTATGGTGAGAACTCGCCAGTGTTGCCACGGAATGGGAGTACTGATGCTACTAGACGAGCGGCTGTAATCGTGACTCGAACCGCCAAATTTGAGCGAGGCATGACTTCTGCCGCCTCTCTTCCAAAGAGAATCTCTGTGCGCCCAGTGATGAAAAGACAAGTGCCAGTATCGAAATCCGGGAAGCAGAAGCCAGCTTTGGGATTCAGATTCATATTGCCCAGGCTTTGGTACAACCTATTGCCAGAATACTCAGGATAGACGAATTGTGTGCAGCCGCCCTCCTGTGAAAGACACCGTACAAAGCCCGGAGGACCACCTCTATGGTTGGTATCCATGCTCCACCCACTACTTGTGCTGAGAAACATGAGATCGCCTTTGTTGATGAGCTCAACAGCTCTCCTCTCTAACGGTACAGAGTCCGAGATGAGTTCAGGGTTTGGGATTGCTGGTGATATCTCGCGTCGGTTGAGATACTTTGGACAGTTTCCTTGATCTGCGTCAGTCCATCGTGGTTAGCACATATGGGTTGACTTGAGCACACCTAAGCTTTCGTCAATACGTGCAACAAGTTGCAGTATACCTTGCTGTCCATGATCATCTGTGTCGTTCGCTCCATTGGTACCACCAAGTGTGCCTGCAATCATTCGTCCGGCAAGCTTGACCCGCTTTCTGGTGTCAAGATCGATGGCTAATCCGCTGAGCAACCTGCCTTCTCCCTCTTCATTCACGATCTCACCCTTAGCGTCTCGGCCGACCAACGTCTCTACCACTGGGTCAAGTATGGAAGCCACTGAAGTTCTGATGCCGATCATGCTGTTTCCAAGGGGCTGAGAGAACCCCTTTCGGCCACCCCAGACTGTCGTCCATGGTCGTCCTTCAGAGTCTAGAGTGCCAAAGGCCAACAGTGGAGCCCTCTGAAGCATACCAGATGCTTGTGGTGAAAGCATGGGGATGGTAGGATTATCCATCTCAGGTACCCGTAATTTCTTCTGCATCATTCTCTCGCCTTCGTGAAACTCCAAGGCTTGGTAGAAAGCCATATTCGCAGGACAGCGATATGTGTGTTCGATGCAATGAAGCTGTTGACATTCGCGCGAGTCTGCGAGCTGAAAGAGAGAAAGGTAGTTGTAGTGCAGCTCCAGAAGGTGCTCTCACGTAAGACTCACGCGGAAGGAAGGAAGCTCTCGACATCCCCGCTTTACGCCAACCTGTCAACTTTCTCCCTCGCACGGAATCTGGCGAGATATGTTGTCAAGCATCGTGACATGGTCTCAATTTATTGGCACTCTCCGAAAGTTGCAGCAAGAACGCGAGAGTACATGCGATCTTGTTCGGTGGATAGTGTGCATAAACTTATGCATTGACGTCACCAAATTTTAGTCAGGGTGCTCCCACCAACGCTTGTTTTGAGGTCGGTGTGCATGCATAACCTCAACTAAGATCGAATACATAGACTAGCATACCTCGAAGGGGCTCTTGCGACCTAAACACGCTCCTGAAGACGCAGAGTCAAGACTTGACTGTCGCGTCGAGCTGCATGGCTGGCCGTAATCTGCAAACACCGCCTTCAATCTTGGAAGTGGAGCAATAAACGATACGCCAACAAGCTTAGCAATGTAGTCCAAGATAGAGCCTTGTAATTACCAACTGCCGTGGTTGTCAAGCATCTCGGGAGCCTGCTGAAGTAATTGGCGTCGCAACCATACAGTACCAGTGTTCAAGAATTGGTTCAACTAGTCACCTGCGGTTGGGTGTCATTGAGATGCGGAGTTAAGCTTCGGTTTCACCTAGTTCCGTCTATTTATTATGTTACGGCAGATCGGGAGGATAAATCACGCTTGAATGAGCACTCCGAACTTGCCGATAACAATCCCAAAGTTGCAGGGTGAAGCGAAGTTAGCGAACACTGCCACCGCTGCCAAAGTTGCGGTCTCGAGACCGCAACAAATGATGCACGGATACGACGCCCTCCGAGGGGATGTTTGTGGATCTTGTCAAGATTTCGCATGCGGCACACCACGTGTAGTATGGATCATCAAAGGATCAAACCTACCAGACCGCTTCTACCTTCCGTAGACTCAGAACTCTTCTTCCGGTATGTACATTCGAGTACATCTCAGAAACAATCGAAGTATATTCCATGCACATCTGCAAAATCGAGAGCTGATGTTGTGAGATGGTAACCACGCCGAGAAAGGGCACTGCCGAACAACCGCGAGGCCTTGAAACAAGGACAACGCCGCTGACTGCAAGCAATAGTTCGCCGCAAAGCCAGCCGCCTTGTACACTGTCTTGTACACTACCAAGCAACGCCAGCCGCGCAGATGAGCGAATAGCAGAGGTGCGGGAGGCGTTGGGTGGCTTTCAGGCTGCATGAAGCGTTGCAACCACATTAATGGAACTCTTTGCCAAGATATCAGTTTACAATCTGACCGCATCCTCCGGCAAGTTCGGAAGACTGACTTTGAAGAGTAAACATCTTCACTCTTTTGCGGAGGGTTCGATACGTGTGGGTCGCCCTCCATTCAATACGTGCTCTCCACTGGAGGCCATGGTGGAGATTCGGGGCTTCGGCTTCTGGCTAAATAGACAATCGCGGACTCAGATGATTTACCCAGCCTCTGCTCGAAGCACTGACGACACGTCGGTGGCCTTAGCATTCAAGTCGTTTCGCGAGTGTACTGTTGATCGCAACCCTGTCAAGACACATCCCGTGGAGGGTCTATCGCCTTCAGGCAAAATGCAAGAACGTCTCTAGTTACCTCTGGGACAAGGTTGCTGATCGATTCTGCCCAGAGGGCCCCACTGTCACCATGTATTAAAAGGGTTGACATCCCTCTCCACATGGGGAGAACCACAACCCCATACCTCCTCCACACATCTTCAACCATGCCCGCACCAGCAGTAGGAGCAGCGCCTGTCTCCGCCGTGAGAGCTCGCCTCTCCGGACCCCCTGGAATCAAGGGTATCATAGCATCTGGAAAGACCACCGGTATTGCATTCTTCGCTTCGCTTGGTGGCTTCGTCTATGGCTACAACCAGGGCATGTTCGCTCAGGTCTTGACCATGAGCTCCTTCGTAAAAGCGGTAGGCACGGTCTCGCTCGCAGACTTCCAACCCGCTCTAATGCAATCCAGACAAATGGCTATGCTAAGGGCACTGGTACTGCCCAGGGTTTACTGACTTCGATCCTGGAACTCGGTGCTTGGGTGGGAACCCTCTTCAATGGCTACCTTGCTGACGCTGTTGGACGACGTTGGTGCGCCCTGATTGCCTGCTGCGTTTTCACCATCGGTGTCATCGTTCAGGCCTGCACTGTCAATAAGGATTATGTTCTTGCCGGTCGTTTCGTCACTGGTCTAGGTGTTGGATCTCTGTCCATGGTCGTCCCATTATACAATGCCGAGCTCTCCCCCCCTGAAATCAGAGGATCTCTGGTAGCAGTACAACAGCTTGCCATCACTTTCGGTATCATGATCTCGTTTTGGATCGGATATGGTGAGCAAAGGCTTATGACGTACTTGCAGCTTAGAAATTGACAGATCGTAGGAACAAATTTTATCGGCGGCACTGGTGATTCTCAGTCAGATGCAGCTTGGCTGATCCCGATTTGCATCCAAATTCTTCCTGCCCTGATCCTCGGTGCAGGCATGACGATGTTCATGCCGGAGTCACCTCGTCATTTGATGAACATAGGTCGCGAGGAAGAAGCACTTACAACATTGGCCCGCCTGCGAAACAAGACCACCGAAGACATGGGTGTTCGTGTCGAGTATCTCGAGATCAAAGCTCTCCGTGAGTTCGAGGTTGAGACTGCCCGCAAGAAGTACCCTCAATACCAGGATGGAAGCCGTAAGAGCAACTTCCTCATTGGCTTCCACGACTATGCTTCGTTGATCACCGATCCGTCTCTGCGAAGAAGAACCATAACCGCATGCTTGACAATGACTTTCCAGCAATGGAACGGAATCAACGCCATTAACTACTAGTAAGATTCAGAATCTGGATAGTTCTAGATCCTCACTAACGTCAGTCCTTCAGTGCTCCGTTCATTTTCGATAACTTCGGATTCGGCGGAAACACAACTTCTTTGCTGGCCACGGGTGTTGTTGGTGTGATTGAATTCCTTCTTACCATCCCTGCTGTTTTGTATGTCGACAAGTTCGGTCGCAAGTCGATTCTTCTCGCTGGAGCAATTGGAATGGCTACATGCCATTTCATCGTTGCTGGTCTCATTGGATCCTACGAAGGTTCTTGGGCAAGCCATGCCGCAGCTGGCTGGGTTTGTATCGTCTTTGTGTGGGTAAGTTTTATGTTCATACCCATCTATTTTGTCGACGCAATGCTGATGTTTCCAATAGATCTTCATCGGTAATTTTGCGTACAGGTAAGCTATCCACAAACTCCATTTTTTGTGTTCGGGCTGACCAAGATTCTTAGTTGGGGTCCTGTATCATGGATCGTCGTGTCCGAAGTCTTCCCCCTCAGCATGCGCGCCAAGGGCGTTTCTCTCGGTGGCAGTGCCAACTGGCTCAACAACTTCGCTGTCGGACTCTCCACCTCACCATTCATCGAAGCATCTCAATTTGGCGCCTTCATCTTCTTCGGTTGTATTACCGTCGTTGCTGCGCTCTGGGTCTTCTTCCTGCTTCCTGAGACCAAGGGCCTGACTCTTGAAGAGATGGATGAATTGTTTGGAGATGCTGGCTTCGCTGAGGCTGATCTGGCACTCAAGGCCAAGATCGAGAGAGACATTGGTCTTACCGCTCTTCTGTACGGAGATGAGGAGCCTACGCCGACAGAAAAGGTCGGTGGAATGGGCAAGGGCGAGGAGAGAGAATTCAAGGAGGATACGAAGAGTATCAGTCTGTAAAGCCTAGAAGACGATCGCTATGTACGTAAGTCGCAATGATATCTCCAATTTTCGCATAACAGCTGTTCGGCGCTCAAAGCTTGGATATTGCTTCCCGTGCTCAGTGGGGCGGATCTCTGCCTTTGAATCAGTGTGTCAATTGCTTTGTCAACAGCCCAGCAACTACTTACCTCGTATTTTGCACATTGGTTACAAGCCGCTTGGATTGTTGCCTGAGGTCTCATGCACTCAATCTAAATCTGCACATTGTTTTTCTCCAACCATACTCGACGACTGTTGCAGCACCGCAAAAATGGCAGACAACATGACAGACATCACCGATCTTGAAAAACATACCATTGCGGTTAGTCTATCGTCGCACAGCGACAACTACATACTGAGCGCGTTCTACAGTTACTCATTGCCCTGATACAACAGATCACCAGCGCCGCCTCGAGACCGACATCATCATGAAGGCTGCCACTCTACAGTAAGCTCGTGTAATCAAGACTCTGGCTGGTGATCAGCAGCGCAGCCAATGCTGGCTCGTCCGAGGAGGTAGACGCGCTGATGACAGAAGCAATGGTTCAACAATCCAAAGCCGTCGCTGGCATGATCGAACTTGGAATCCTTGACCTCAGATTCCACCGCAGCATGCAGGCCATGCTTGCAGCCCTCGATCAGGACCAAGATTGAAACAGCGAGAGCACCGATGGAGAAGGAGGCTGAGGGAGACGAAGGCAATGAAGGAAATGAGGAATCTGTGGTGCCCGTTCACCTGCGCGTCCGCAGATACCCCGAGCCCACCTTGGGTCGAGATCGCTATTGCTATGGATCGTGCGCCATTCGAGGTCGGACGAACCGAAGTGGACAATACAGCTTGTACTGGTGTTAGTTGCGCTCGAGGGGCATCGCGCCTGAAGGCATGGAGGTCCCGCAGTACTTACTGCTAGACTTGTTCTCGCGCTCACGCGCACAGGGTGTTGTTGTCCTCGCAGAGCAGTGGAGGACCACTCAGCAGTACATTGCAGCATGGAGAGCTTCCATCAACGGCCCCACCACAAGAGACAGCATGTTTCCCGGCTTTACCAAACAGATGGTCATCTGTCTTAAGGCTGAAGCTACCGACAACATGTCTCAAGTCTTCAATTTGATCGAGCACGTCGGCCTGGCGAACGAGCTCAGCAAAGCGCTCTCAACCATTTCAAACACGCATGGAGACAACTACCAGACCTATGTGGCATGGCGCCGACAGCAAGAAAGACGTGGCGGCAGCCTTGACTCTTACGGGTCATTCCGCAAATTTATCATACACCAAGCCGTGACGACTCTCTTCGGTCATGAACCTGAATCAACTGCCGTAAACCTCAAGCTGGTCAACTCGCTGGTTCGCCGTGCAGAAGTCCTTCGTGCCTTGGAGTTGGCCTTCGGCCCGGGTGTCTTCGTCCTCCTCTTGGGCTTTACTGGAAGCTCCGGTATGTGAATGGGTACATCTGTCCTGCTAGTATGCTAACATCGTATTATAGTACAGAGAAGGCCTGGAACGAAGGAACAGAGGCTATCTTGAAGACTCTGCCTAACAGCTGTCCTATGCGGCGCCGTGTTTGCAACCTCGCAAACAAAAACATCTGGAGCAAAGTGGTAAATAATGAGCAGCTTTACGGACCAAAGCTGGATGCAGAGCTACGGGACATCAGCGATCGTGGCAACAAAGACTTGTTGACTCTACTGTCTCCGGAGGGAGAGGAAATTACTGAAGACTCGGTCTGAGAGAACTGGTCTCGCCTGTATTGGGTCCATTCTCCGTTGCCCCATCAATGATTCACGACCATCTGCAGTGGAGATTTTCCGTGTGTGGCAGTCGCGACTTGTGTTTTCTATTCCAGTCGTCAATTCTCCGCGAAATTCACAACCACACACCACAAATCACTCTGCACGATATTTCGAACACTCCGTGACAAAAAGTCCTGTATGAAGCGACTTGTGTTTAATTGTTGATTGGTATCATCATGGCACGTGTGAGAGACAGAGGAGAGGGGTCCAGCGAAGATTCCGAGAGACCAGCAACCAAAAGGAGCAAGCACAATCATACCAATACAAGACAGCACATCCGACCGGAAAGTCTTCCATCAGATGCAGATGTATCCGCGGGTTACGTGAGTCCGAACGTTCGTCCTACCGATGTTCAGTCTCTTCACTCCGGGCTGACGCTTTGCAGTTACGTTCGACCATGTCCGCCTTCATTCAGAGTGGTGCAACCGTTGAGGCTCAAACAATCAGATGGCTGCACATTGCCAGAGACCTCTGGGAGATTGGTGTTGCTCAGAAGGACAAGAATCATGATGTCGATGGCCAGATTGCTCAATCAACGCTCAACATGCTATATTCTGTTTCCGTAGCCCCTCCATACCGCCGGAAGGAAATGTCACCAGAGCGTTCCGCAATCATGGCCAACGAATTGCATGCAGACCAGAATGTTCAGGACAATCAGAATGAAGCAGAAGAACATCTAGACTCTGGTTATGATGAACACACTTCGAAGGTATCCCGCCAGGGTGTCAGACTTCACGCATCTGGCAAGTCACCACAGATGCCTGCGGCCCAAGCTAAGAAATCGATCAAGAAGCGAGCTGTAACTCTGGTCTCTCAAAAGGAAGTCCGAAACTGGCACAGCATATGGTCTCTTGTGATGCGACCCCACAATAGCACTAAATGGGCGGCCGGCTTGACTGGCGTGGTAACTCGCACCTTCTCCCACGACAGTGTAAACAATCTCGTCCAATTTCTTGAAGATCTCTACCGCACCAAAGATATCATTGCCATCAATGATGGAAGCAGAGAAGTAGAGGATCTGAGAAAGGAGAACGACCAGGCTCAAGAGGTTGCATTGAAATACAAAGCCCTGTGGAGTATATCAGAGTCCGCAGCTTTGTCACAACACAACGAGCTCTTTGCCTACCATAAGCTCGGCATGGCTCTCTGCAAATTAGAAGCAGAGCTCGATCAAATCGATCATGTACCCACCGACCAACTCAGCGATTTCGCTCGCAAATATCTTGGAAGGCGTGGCCAGAGTACCCGCCTTCGCGATACAGAAAACTCACGAGCAAGGTTTGTTCCTCAACATTTGCTGGAGGTTCTGGGCTACGGAAAAGAAAGCGGACACTCCGACGCGGAGGTGAAGGAGAAGAAACGAATGCTCAAGTCGCAGAGAATGACGGCCAATAACGTAAAGGCGTTCGTTGATTGCTTTGACGAGGGCTGTTTGCTGCTGATGTCGAAGTCTCCTTGGCTATCCGCACTTCCTCAGGTCTCAGACACGACTGTGAAGCCCTTGCTTGAGAAGCTTGCGGCAGAAGAACCCGAGCTGCGCGAGATAGCACAAATGGCGGGAGCGTCTGTCAAGTATGTCAAAGACAGAAATCACATTGCTAACATGCCCAAGATCGTCATACGTGCGCAAGAAATGAAGGTCGAACAGAGGGGACGATTCTCGATGTTGGAGTTACTGAGCCCACCTAAACCTCAGGAGCAAGCTGAGTTGACGCCCGATGAATCCAGCGATGATGAGCGCGAAATGCATTGCAACCCGCAATAGGTTCGCAAATATAAATGTCAATGTCGGAATTTGAGTGATGTTCAAAGTAAGCACCATCAAATCCCTCAATAGAGCAATGATCAATCAAGTCTTTGTTAGTCACGCTCAAAAGACCGATTAACATGAGAATTCTCACTTTCAAATGTTTGCGTGCCCTTCTGTAACAGATCGGGGCGGAAGAGAAAGCTCTCAAATTAACTCAATTAGCAAAAATCTTGAAGTATTGTTCACGAGGAAGGGCAATCCGATTAGTAGGTATGTTCCATTGATGACGCGGTGATGGGAGAAGCAGTTTGTATCCATGATGATGACAGATGGTGAAGAATGTCAACCAAGCCGATTATCTAGATGATGAGCATTGCTCCTTCCTACCAAGCCTGGAATCAAAGGCATGTCTTCTCTTCTACTTGAGCACATCCCATCCAATCGATGAGCCCCGGCAAAATTGTCCAACGCTGAGACTGAACCATACTGCTCCAACCTCAACCGGTACTAGGGGTGCCGTTGATGATCTTCAACATCACATGTCCCTCCGCACGAGTCTTTCCAGCAGGCACAGGTATCTTGCTCTTGATTGCAGCATCCGAGTGCTTGAAGATGCTCTTTCTGACTTCGTCGTCCAAGCTGTCAATCGCGTCGGACGTCCATCCATGAAGATCCTTGGGACGCACAAGGTTGAGTGGCTCGGTGAATTGGCGTTTGCGTCGTCTGAGTCCAGGAGCGAAGTACTCGTCCGTGTTTCCAGGCGTCGGGTCAGTCTATGCAATCAAGAATGAGTCAGTATACTTGAATTTATACTAAGTCCTCCCCATAGGCTAAAGACAGACACAGTGTAGCTGTCAAAATGCGCAGTTTCGATTTGAATATAGGCCTATCCATTATGCCAGTCTTCACGAGAGCTCTCTCTACTGAGATCGTGTTCTGCACGCATGTATGGTGAATCTTGACAGCTACATTATGACGATCTTCAGCCCACAGGGACGATGCTTCAAACCACATACCTTCATGATCTCTTTGAGACGCTGGATGTCTTCAAGTAAAAATTCCTTGCCTCGGCCCTCGGAAGCACGATGCTCCAGATCGAAGACGGCTGATCTTAAGTGACTGTCGTCGAGGATCTTCTGCATGACATCTGAGAAGACTAGAGACCAAGCTTTGTAGTGGTGAATGGTGTCCAAGAGCTCTTGTCGAATTGGTTTGGAACAAAAGGGATTGTTGGCCATGCACAACAGAGTCATGGTTATCATCGGACCGAGTAAGGGCATCCAGTTGCCAGTGTCGAGAGCCAGACCCATGGCGTTAAGAAGGCATTCCAGACCCATGGTTGCAACACCATGCAGCCAAATGTCACTTGAAGTATCGCGCTGAGGCAGGGATTTGAATGACAAGTGCGCCAATGGCTGCAAGGCTTGGATGCTCGTTCTGTAAGGAGTATTGAGCAGAAGTGCAGTGTTGTAATGAGGAGAATATTGAGACCATGTACCCGCATGATACACCAACTGAGCTGTCAAGACGTATGCCTGCATCAGGTCATGTGGCTCACCGAAGCCGTTGACCAGACATTCGTCTAAGCGGCGTTTCTGGGCTTGCATATTCTCCAAGAGGTTCCATCCAACCGCATCAACCGAGATCAAACGAGGCGTCATGGATTGTATGACACGAGTAGCAATGTCTGCATCAACACCAGGGAAGCGAATCGTTTGTCCGTGTCCAAATACAGCAGCCATAGGGGCGATCAATCTTTCTTGACGTGCTCGGCGTTCTTCAGTAGTGAGATCTGTACGATGGCTAGGGTTGACCTTCCAAGCGATCTTGCGATCGTTCTTGACGACGGTTGGAGTGTATTGGAGCAGGCTCGTCGCGCGCGGTGGATGGACGTAGATCTGAGAAGATGGCCAGACGTGGATCTCCAGCTGCAGCTGACGGGTGAAGTGTGGTAGGTCTTGAGCCAGGAAGAGCACGCGTTGTACATAGACCCGATCTGACGGGCGATTGAGGGAAGGGTTGTGGTCAGGCCATCGGGCCTTGGGTTCCAGGTCCTCGACGGTTATCTCGATGGCAGGGTCCCGGAAGTTTTTGACCTTCTTTCCAGCGGCGATGTAAGGAGAAAAGCCACTCAGAAGGCGTGGATACTTGAAGTGGGCGAGAGCAAACTCGTTGTGTGAGCGCAGGTAGTCGTAGGTCTCCTTGTACAACTGCTTGTTAGTGCGCATGATGCGCGTATGGAATGTGTAGCTGTGTCCTGGAGCATGACCGCCGGTTGAGTATTTGACATTCTTTCCGAGCAAGAGGTAGGAGAAGATCTCATGCTTGATGTCGATTGGCAATGTCGTTAGGGTGGGTTTTTGATGGGTGGGAGCGACTTGAGGCCCCTGTGAATCTCGTATGGGTAGCTGCATTGTCGAGATCGTAGGCTGAGTCGAATTAGTTTTTAGAAGGAAGAGGAAGGGAGGTGGGAGGAGGGAGCGAGGAAGGAAGGAAAGCAGATGTGTTTACCTTCTCAGACGTGAAGTTCAGATCGTTTGCGACTCTGCTGCTGCTGTTTGCGCTTTGAAAGCCAAGGCGATGTGAAAGAAACAGAGACCCAAAGAACTTATTCAAAACAAACTGCGTCAAACAATGTGTGAAACCGCCAGCTTTCGGGTCGTCGCTTGCTTCTCTTTGCGGTTGTCACGTACAATCATGCGGCTATTCGCATCTGCATTATATGCTCTCAACCTTGCCTTTCTGCTTTCCAGCACGTACTTGTCATCAAACGTGTCACTTCGAAATCTGTCACAACCCTCATTGCTTTGCCAAAATTTTCAATAACGTACAACAAGCTCTTGCGCACAATTTGCTCCTGATACTTATCTGATGGCGAATGCCTGAGATGGTCATCTCTGGTGCAAGATTTGGATACTGACATGTTCACCGGAACCCAGTGCAGCCAGGTCATCTCATTGACCAGCCCTTTGCGAGTGGTCTGAAACATATTCATGAAAAGTTTGGGCATATTGGTACAGTCCCGATGAACACTTCCGTCTCTGGGTGCTTCGTCCAGCAATCACTCAATGTACATCGTGAAGGTTCAAAAGAGTAGTTTGGAATGTGATTGACCCATATCTATTGGAATCATCTTTGATAGGCACGAGGTAGTCAAGAGTGAGAGGAGGGCAAATGTCAAAGAAGAAAGAACGTTACGCCGAGAAGGTGTGGATGTAGCTTCCCGCGATCATTGAAGCCCCCACTCAAGTATTAAAACCCCTTCATACAGCAGCACCCACCATTTGCTACCAATGAAACATCTTAACTACAATCATAACAATACACCAGTGATAAAGCAAGTATAGATACGTAAAAGGAGTTCATTTTGTCATTACATGATTATTCGTCACTAAACTAGGTAAATTACCGAACTCTCAGAGAACTTTGCATTTTCAACGACCACGCTCTCTAAGATCCAGGAGCAAGGACCTCAGAAGCAGCAAGAACGGGGAACTCGCCTCTGCTTCCGTAACCACCGTAGAAGTAGTCAGAAGGAGGAATGGTAGGTCCGCCCGATGGAGGCTGAGGCCACTCATCGAGACAAGCGGGCTGACCGGTCAAGGTGAAGTTGACCATGGTCAGCTCGGGCATGGTGTCGATCATCAAAGCGTAGTCACCGGGGTAGAGGTAAGTGTTGCCGTGGTCGTCGACACGAGAGAGGGAGCCAAGAGTCAAGTTCAGAGTGGCGGTCTGGGAAGAACCACCGGCAATGCTGTGGAGACGCTGGTAGTTGACAAGAGACTTCTTGGGGTAAGGAGAAGGTCCGAATTGACCAGCGATGAAACCAAGGGCGGCATAGTCGGAGGTGACGTTACCAGTGTTGTGGACGTTGACAGCGATGCTCTCAAAGGCGCAGCGGTCCTTGTAGGTCTCGTTGCAGCCAGAAAGAAGGGAGGAGATGTCGTAAGAAGACTTGGACAGAGGAGAAATGTCGGCAGAGAACTTGGTGTAGTGCATACCGTAACCAAACTCAAAGACGGCGGTGCCGTTGTACCACTTGTAGGTTCTGCCGGGCGAGCCAGTGGTGGCGTTGGGGCGGAGAGTCATGTCAGTCATGGGGATATCAGCAATGTAGTGAGCAGGGTACTGGGTGACGGGAAGACGACCAGCAGGTGCGGTCTTTCCGGTGATGATGTTGAAGAGAGCGACACCACCATCCTGACCAGGGTAACCACCCCAGATCAGAGAAGAGATGTTGGGGTTGTTGACGATAGGAGTGTTGTCGAGCTGGTCACCCATCTGGGCCAAAACCATAGGCTTGCCGTACATGGCAAGTTCGCCAATGATGTCGAGCTGAGCACCAGTCCAGTTGATGTCCTCACGGTCCATACCCTCAGCCTCGACGCTGATGTCAACACCACCGATGTAGATGATGATATCGGCCTTCTCAGCAGCGGTCCAGACAGGGAGCCAGTGATCAGTGGTAGGGTCGCCTTGGCCACCAGGTCCCTGAGCATAGAAGACCTGAGCACCGGTCTGCTGGGCAGCGTACAGAGGGCTGTGAAGGTAAGTTGGGACGCCGTAGTAGTTACCCTGCATCTGAGTGGTAGCGTTGGCCCAGCTTCCGATCAGTGCGATCTTGGTTCCATTGGAGATGGAAAGGGGAAGAAGACCGTCGTTCTTGAGGAGAACCATACCCTCCTCAGCAGCCTGGAGAGCGAGCTGCTGAGCGTGGGTGGTACCAACATCGGACCAAGTCAAGTTTCTGTACATAGCGTTGGGGCCGTCGAAGTAACCAGTGCGGACAAGCGAAGTGTACAGACGGACCAAAGCCTGATCAACTGTAGTCTGGTTGATAAGACCCTGGCTGTAGGCCAGAGGAAGGTGGTGCTGGTAGTAGGTACCGCAGTCGAGATCAGTACCAGCGTTCAGGGCAGCAGCGGCGGCTCCCTGGCGGGTGTCGCTGAAGTTGTGGGGCAGGAAAATGTTTTGAATAGAATCACAATCACTGGTAACCCACTGCTCCTCGTTGGTCCAGCCCCAGTGCTCACGGAGAACGTCGTTCAGGAGCCAGGGGTCGGCACAGGTAGGAACACCGTTCAGAGCACTGTATGTGCACATGAAAGCTCCAACGTTGGAGTCTCTGGCGCAAGAACGGAAAGAAGGCAGGTAGTACTCGACCAGATCACGCTGAGGGATTTGAACATCGTTCTGGTAACGAAGGTTGCCGTTCCAGGACTCAATATCGTAACCAGCAAAGTGCTTGCAAGTAGCGGTGATGTTTCTGATCTCGGGATCCTCACCACCCTGAAGACCCATAATGAGGGAGTGGACGTAGGAAGAGAGATGGTAGGGGTCTTCACCAGGAGTCTCCTGACCTCTGCCCCATCTGGGATCTCTGTAAGGATTACTATAAACAGGTTAGTGTGAGATCTTCCAGTTCAGTTCAAAACGAGGGCCTACATGTTCGGTGTCCAGAAGTCGAGACCCGCACGTCCGTAGTTGTTGAAGGCTCTAGCCTCAGTACTGACAACCTCGGCGACGGATTGAATAAGTGCGTCGTCGAAAGCGGCACCCATCAAGATGGGCTGAGGGAAGGAAGTTGCAGAGTCGAATTGGCCAGTGGCATTGAATGTGACACCAGGAGACGAGGCAACACCGTGGAGGGCTTCCTGCCACCATTGGTAAACAGGCAGGCCGAGTCTAGGAACACCTGGACTGTTGTTTCCAGTAAGGTTCAGCTTCTCGGCGACGGTGAAGGCAGCGACCAGAGCTCTAGCTCTTGCAACAGGGTCTGAATGGTGTCAATGGATGGTAACAAGGTGTTTCTATCCGTGGTGAAGCATACCTGCGGATTTGTCACAGACAGTGTTGTTTGAAAGAGGGCCATTGACACAGTCAGGGAAACCGCCTTGGGCAGTGCCTGTGAAAGTCTGAGCAGAGGCACCTGCTCCGAGCAGTGCCAATGCGGAAAGAGAAAGTAGAGCAGCCATGGTGGAGAAGGGTGGCCCGGTGGAATTGGGATACTTCAAGTCAAAGTCAATGGGTGGGAGAAGCAGCTATATATACCAATTCATGGCAACCAAACAAAAATCATCGAGGTGGAATGATTCCATGAACGAGTATAGGATCTGCCAACCTTGAGCTTGGATAAAGTCTCTAGCTCAGTGGGGTCTCAATTGCGGAGCATCATCTCGTGCTGAGCCAAGTATGCCGGGCACCAAGGTCCAAGCGGTGGATCAATGCCGATTGCTTGCTATGGTCAAGATCAACACACCCGACCGGGCTGTGAAGAGGATAGCTCGGCATGAATGCACTTACCAGGATGAAGCTGATAAACTCCGCATCTTCTCCGCAGGGTAAATGGGAAGATGGGGATACTCCACACTTACGGTCATGCGTAGACTGGAGAAGGTGTTTGTCATCCATGTCCATCAGGTGCATACAGGTTGCAGGAGGATTTTGGATGGAGAGTACGTCATTCCTGGAGGCTTCTCAAATATTGTTTCGGCATGCCGTCCCGCACCGATGGGTATTTGGCACAAGTACCTGCGTGAGCTAGCTGGAGACAGGACGAATTAAAGATGGCAGATTTAGCCACAATTGGAGCGTGGCTGGCATGGCGGCCATGGGGAGGGTAAAGTGTAAAAGGTGGTAACGGGGTTAAGGTCGAATCATGTTGATCGATCGTGTGCAAGCATTTTAGCCAATTTAGCCAGCTAGTGAGATGTGGAGCACCGCTTCTGCCCGCAATAACGGAGAAGTCAGTCGGCATCCTTCTCTTGACAGCAGCCATAAGCATGTCGGCCAAAGGATACGGAAGGTTGATGCAGGCTGCCACGTCAAGGCGGCATAGAAAAGACTCTTAGCATGTAGAGAGGCTGGTAAGAGGCAAAGGCATGTTCTCGGTTAGCTGCACAATTGGACCACTTGTCGGGTTCACTAGGTATGCAGCCATGCCAATGGTCCTCTCGTGACATGCTCAGTCTTACCGATACCGCGTGCAGCTAGCTGTACGAAGACGAACCCGAAAGACATGTCGCTCCGACAATCAATTTGAATGGGACATTCGCACCAATTGTTTGGTGTGCGAATTGAGGCTCTGCAAAGATGATGGAAAGCACAGACAATATCGACCCCAGATTTTTAGCATCTCTTCGTCATGATTTCATGGGAGCTCCAAGAACAAAGACAAACAGACCGAACATTGCCCTTGCAGCATTCAGAGTCAGCAGACTATCGCATACAAGCCCAGCAATACCAAGAATAGTCGACACAAGCGACAATGGGCTCATCAGCATCCAAACCCGCCTCGCGCGTTGCAAATGCTGCATCCAAAGCAACCCGCCAATACCCATCCCGCCCATCACCAGCGACCTCGACACAAGCACCACCCGCACGCACATCAAACGCCCCATCCCAGCCCCCGCCGCCACCGGCCGCGAACCGCCAGCCAGGTCCCACAGTCCACCCACAAGCCCGCGCGAGTGGTCAGCGTAGTGAAGGTAAGTTGTTCTACTTTGCCTTCCACCCTCGTACCAGCGTCATGAATCAGGGAACTGACAAGCTGTGTGCAAACAGAAATCAACCTCGATGCCTCGGATCCAGACTTTGCCCGCTCGCTGCGTCAACTAGGTGCCGTACAGCCTAATCCTACCCTCTCGCCTTCATCGACTTTTGCTGCACACCCAAGCTCTCACTTCCCAAATCCATATGGCCAACAAGGCAAAAACACAACAGCGCCTCCACAGCGACTAAACCCAGCGCTTCGTGTGTTGCAAGCTCGTGCTGAGTTGGCAGGCGAAGCTGAAAGAGAGTTCTTGGAGGCTGGAAAGAGAGGAAGTGCTGGCAGGAGGTTCTTGGATGTGGGCACTCTGAGAAACATCATCACTCTGAGGGACCAGAGGAATATGGATGCTGCCGAGATCGAAAGAACTCTAGGCTTGAGGAGTGGCACCGTGGCAAAGCTGGGTCCCAAGGGAGTTGTTGGTGTTGAGGGTATTCAGGACAACTGAGCAGACGTCTGACGAAGTATTGTATATGATTGTGGACACATGTTGCCTACGGCAAGCAAGCATAAAACTGTATACTACTGTAACAATAGCCATGGCAATCTTCTTTGCCCTGACATCTTCACCACAGTGGATCCATGGATTAGTCCACAACAGCAAGCGAGTGACCTTGTCCCGATCTCCAAGCAAAGGAAAAGCAATACACGAGAGAAAAGAAAAGGGTATACGGTAAGAAACAGAACCCCAGAGAACGCCTTTTCCATAAGAACTCCCACTTGCATAAATCTTTGGTGAAATAAACCTTTGGATTCCGAAAGTAAGGAAGTTGAGAAGATAGTAGAACGAGAGAAATGCTCCATTGGCAATCAATAGAACATGAACATGAGTTTCGTCATGTACAAGCAGGTCGTCAACGCCAGAATGGGTTGCGCATACTGTTCTGAGCAGGAGGCAGTCCAAAATTGGGCATGGGGATCCAGCTATCAGGTGGGAGTGATGGTGGCATCATCCGCTGGTAGGGATGGTAAGCCGGCTGAGCGAAAATAGGCATTGCGGGAAGCGGGTAATGGCTGAAACCAGGTTGCGCGAGGATTGCTGGACCTGGCTGACTTTTGTTGTGAGGATGAAACTCAGCCGGCAGAAACACGCCGTGGTTCCCAGGAGGCAGCGCCGGAGGATGTGTAAAGAACATTGGCTGAAGCTGTGGACGTACAAGATTGTTGTACGGTACCTGGAAGCCACTTGACGCTGGGACATAGATAGGTCTTGGAAGTATGGGAGCCGCTCTGTAGGCACGAATGGGAGCTGATGTTGGAGCAGGGTTCGACCTTGCGACCATTATCGGGCTCTCTACCATTTGTGATACAGAATCCGAGCTGAGCGAAATGGAGTCGTGCACAGTTGAGCCGAAGTTCTAACTCGGGTTCTTCTGGCGAGACAGGAATTTGTGTGGGACAGGAACTTTGACTGCCTTGGTCTTCTTAAGTTGGCTGTGTGAACGCTCTTTTGAGGGAGCCACGACACGCCGCTGAGCGCTCGAGTCATTCTCGTGGTGCTGAATCAATTGAACTGTCCTAGACAGGGCGACGTGAGGTGCAGTAACGAAGTGGATCAGCTGCGAGTACAGTTGCGATAGCAAATTTGCACGCTTGGTTGGGATGATACAGCCAATGTTTGTCGCCCCACCATACAACAGTGGCTCGAGTGAAGACAAAATTAATTGTTCCGTATTGGTGTTCCAATTGGTGTCCTTGGAGTGCTTTCCCTGACTAGGTGATCGTTTCTGATCTGCTGCAAGTCTGCGAATGGTGGCAAGGTGGTAACGCAGTATTTCGATAGCTTTGCTGATGAGAAGGCTGATTTCTTGATCTGGCTCCCCAGCATACGATCCAGTCAAACCCGTTTCTTGGTTATCTTCGACCTGTTGGCATCCAGCGGCAGCGGCCAATAAGGCGTCAACACTGTCATGTTCTCCAATATCTGTTCAAGCAACGTCAATGACATGACTTGAGAGTAAATAATGTTTGAAACTCACCTTTGAGGCCAGTCAATGGCATTTGATGTTGTGGTGAGACATTTGGCATGTTCAATCCCTGTAAAGCATGACAAGCATTCTGGAGCTTCTCGATAACGATTTCGGGACTATCAAGCTGTTGCGGGATCGACGAGAATGAACTTGACAAGACGATTGGACTTTGAACTTGTTTAGTCGGTGATTCGCTGGTGAGCTCAGTAAAGGTGTCGTACACCACGGCAGCAGCTTCCGGTAGACCATCCGACTCTGGTAGATACTCGGGATGCAACTTATGACCTTTCTCCGAACCAATAACCGAGTCAAGTGCAGACAAGGAAGAACGAGGAGTATCATCGATAAAGTTGTTCAAGAAATCAGCACCATAGCCAGCATGCTGAGTTTCGTTAGAGTCAGCATAGTCGCTCTTATCGACAAGCTCTGAAGAGGTCAGCAAGATAGGATCTGATGAGCTCCCGATCGGTGCTTCGGAAGTTGGAGGAGGAGAAGTTGCTGTCTGTAGAGACATGGTGGAAGCTGTGGTGGTCCTTCGCTTCTTGGTCAGAGGTTCGCACACATTGTCCAGGTATCTGGCAGGTCTCGATATCTTCCTTTTGGGCCGAGTAAAGGATTCCTCTGGTTCAGAGACTGGTTCTTTAGGTGGTAATTTTAGTTTGAGACGAGGCGGCGGACGAGATCGCCGCGGCTGAGCGACATTGATGGTGTCCTGCGAAGCTGGCGAGGCATCGCCGGAAGCAGCGTGCCTTCTGGGCATGTGGAATGTGAGTGATCCGAAGCTGTGCTCTGACTGCGAACAGTGATTCTGGACAGATTGACTGTCGCTGGATCTGGATAATGAAGACGGCGAACGACGAGCCTTTGTAAGCGATTGGCAAACTTTAAGATGTCGGGCGTCACGGTTTGAGGGTGTTATAACTCTCGCGGATGGCCAAGGCTTGTCGCATCAAACGAATACAAGGTCAAGACATAGTGATTGTTTGATGCCTGGTAGATGACTAGTAGGTAGTATGCAACCCTCGAAACGTCGCTCCTTTCTGAAAATCATCTGAGACTATGAGGGAAGTCGTTCAGCAACAGGAAGGAGGGCTTCTGCCTCAGCATTCAATGTTCCTTCCCAAAGAAGTAATCATGCCTGGGGATATAGCAACAGCCAATTCACCACGGCAGTCACGATGCATCGTGATTCCTATCAATTGGCTGTCCTTCTGCTTCTGCAATTCTTCATCATGCATACTTGGTCATATTATATATATGGTCTGTCGCGACATGTGATCTTGTGTGTCCGGGTCGAGCAGTCGAAGGCCGCGAAAGACGGCTGACTCGCGTCGTCGGATCGGGCAAGTCGGCCGAGAGCTGGAGCAGCCAGGTAGCCTCTCGAGCTTCGTCACCAACACTCCCGACGTTCAAGGACAAGACAACAACCATGAAGTTCTCGAGTGCAATTGTCCTGCCGTTACTGTCGCTCGGCTCAGGCCTTGCTGCTGCTGCTTCGTGGAGTTTCGAGGATGCCACTCTCAGCATCGCCAGCAAAGGTGCTGGTGTAGGTGGTGCCCTCAAGGAGAAGTGAGTAGCTCTCGTACAGGCATTGTCGTACCCCAACACTAATTCTTACCGAATAGACTGTCTCCTGAAGCTCATCTCAGCAAGCAAGTCAAGCTCGGTCCCACCGACTCGCTCAAGCTGGTCATGACGACCACCGAGGACAAGACAGCAAAGAGGCCTCACCAAGCCTTCCTCACTCTTCACGAGCCCAAGACTGGCCTCGAGGAATCCTTCGTCTTCAGTGTCAAGGACAGCGGCAAGGCCAAGGTCGAATTGGTATGCCATGACTCTTCCCGCCATACAATTCTTGCAAAGTAGCTGACGCGCGTCATAGTCGCAAAAGGACCTCCCCTTCCAGTTACTCAGCGCAAGCGACCCTCTCCAGGCCAAGCTCCTGATCGCCTCGTTCGGATCTTCTGATGCCTACTACACACATGCCTTCGACTTGACTATTACCCGCGACGCCAATGTGCCTCTCAGCACTCCCGAGCCCCCTCTTCGCTACGGCAAGCTGTCCGAGATTCACCACATCTTCCGTAGCGACCCCAAGTCGCCTCCTACCATCCTATCTAGCGTCTTCACTCTCGCCGTCCTGGCTTGTCTACCCGCCCTTGTTGGTGGATGGTTGTTCCTGGGCGCCAATTTCAACCACCTCTCGAAAGCCATGAATGCTGCACCCATCTCGCACGCCCTGTTCTTTGGCAGCATAGTTGCAATGGAGTTCATCTTCTTCCTGTACTACTCTTCCTGGACTCTCTTCCAGATCCTGCCTCCTGCTGGTCTGGTAGGCACCGTTGCATTCTTGAGTGGCAGCAAGGCCCTGGGAGAAGTTCAGCAGCGCAGACTTGCTGGTCTGAGATAAACTTGCACTTGTTAGATTGACAGCTTCGGACATTCAGGAATTTCTGAAAGCTCATCAAAACATACATTTAGAGACGATATCAAATGTCAAAAAGTACTTCTCGATCGACCAAATACCAACAGTCTGCCCAAGATACGTACAACATTAATCATTACATTGATGATGGCATAGGTCATAAGTTCAGGTGAACACGTCTTTCTCCTTCTGCAATGCGAGGAACGTCTCCTCATCATGTCCTGGAATTACTCTGCCTCGAGTTGTGCGCTCGAGACGCTTCAAACGCTGTGTGCTCTGGAACCAGGCTGGGTGATCACGAGCAAGCCATCCTTGAGGAATACCGTCGCGCCACTAAGAAGCATTAGCAGCTTGTTTGCAGCAGTCATCAGGTAAACCTACGTTTTCGATAACATGGCAGTGATCCGAGATGAAGAAGAAAGTTCCGCTATCGGGCAAGTTGATCTGCATACCAATCAAACCATCAGTATGGCCAGGCAGATGGTGTAGAGTGATTCCTTGACAGAAGTCAATGGTCCGGTCATCGAATGTCTTCCAATTCCTGCACAATGTTAGTGCAGTCCATCTGTCAAGGGGTTCCTTGTACTCACAGATCCAGATCGAGATAGTGCTTCAAGTACACACCAGCGTCTGCTCCGGTGGCCACGCTCCAAAACGCGGCTCTCAACTCCTTGTCATGCACCCAGATTTCAACATCTGTGCGGCCAAAGAACTCATCGAGACCTCCAGCATGATCAAGATGCAGATGGCCAATGATCACCTTCTTGACATCTTCAATTTTGTTTCCAGTGGCCGCAATCGCATTCCTAAGCTCATGTCTCTCCTCGTACTTGACCCTACAGAAGACATCGTGCACCTGCGGACCCCAAATATCCGGATAGTCCTTTCCACAACCTGTCTCCCAGAGGATGAGTCCTTCGTGTGGGTGAGCAATCAAGCAGCAGTATACTGGAAGAGCACGACGCTTGTTCTCGAATGATTTACCAGCTGTAGAACCGAGAGAAGTGTTACCGCCGCGTATGACAAAACCTTCGTCACACTCCAGCCACCCGCATTCGAGGAGCCAGAGCTTTGTGCCTTGTGGGCAGACATTTGAGATGAGACCGGGAACTGCTCCAGAGTCCAGCTGAGATTGGATCCCTGCCATGATTGATTGGTGATCTGATTGTTGTTCAAAGTACTAGACTGAGTATTGAATATGCAAGAGGGAAGAACTTGCATGCATACGAGAAGGAGCCGCAGCTCGTGCGTGAGCTATAAATTATTGCTATACCCCGCCATGATAGGTGACCCCGCATCGGTAAGCAGGTATTACGAGAGAGCAGATGATCAATTGTGGAAACTCAACTTCTTCCTTGTTCCCGATCTTCTAACACCACTGATCTCAGCAATGTGCTGTGCGAAGCTCCCAGAAAGCTCAGATGTCAAAGAAAATGCTCGTGTGCATACCGTAGTACTAGAGTACGGCCTCGTGTGCTCATCAAAACTCGCTGAAGATCCCACCCTGACATACCAAAAACCCCACACCCGAAACGTGCCTTCCGAAACCCAAACCCAAAACGCCATGTGCCATCGCTCCTATGCTCTTTCCCTCATGCTCTCAGTTCCATCCAATGATGCCTTGTCTAAGCACTTGCGTGTGTCTGACCAGCCCGACTCTTCTCCCGATGATCCCTTCTCCGCCAACCCCCAGATCGAGCTTCCGAGGTAAACTGAACGACTGCGTTGTAAACGTCGACAATGGGAAAGCGTGTAATACCGATGTCATCGGCGCCGAAGCTCTCAGATCTCCATCGCGGCTATTGCGGCTGTCAGCATATTGCTCTAGCAATTCTCGGCAGAAATTGTAACGTACAAGATTACCAGTTGACAACTGCTCAGCTCTGTCTCTGCTGTAGCCCCTGGCACAGAAGAGGATTGGAATGTTGCTGTTGTTGTCGAGGTTCCGTCTTCATGGAACAGCAGTGATACATCTGGTAATGCCGATTCGCCAATTGACTTCAGGATAGCGATTGTGCCGCCGAGAACTGGACGAGAAGATTCGGTGCCGCACATTATGATGGTTGTCCTATGTTCGCGCCGAGATGCCAACTTTGCTGTTTCGATTGGCCTTGGTACAATAGCTGAAAAGATGGGATCGAAACAAAATGCAAAATGCTAGGAACCAACCATCAAGGTAGCGAGAGCACACATTCCATCTTTATACTCTCTACCACCACGTTTCATCCTCATATTAACATCGTGATTTCCCATTGTCCGTTCCACCAAGGTAGAAAACTTGCTCAATTTCTGGGGAAACGTGCTCAATCTGGGGGCTAGGCGTTCCATACCTCACCAACGTGGCTTTAACGGGGCTCACGGACTGAGTTCTTTTGCGAGTGTTTTGCGTGATGTGATTTTTGAAACTTCGTCAGCTATTAGATCATGTTTGTTCGGAGTCCGTCGATAAGTCGTCCGACAAAGCTCTTTTTGACTTCGAAACAAGATCGCTAAAGAAAGATGGCATTCTCACGCAATTTCAGACTCGAACTACATAGCATTTAAAGAAAGAAACATAATGTGTCCTGTCAAAGATAAAACACTAGCGGTCGGATATACTACAGCTCCGATCTATGCTGACCATCTCTGTTCTGGATCATTTCGCATCTTGTTCCTCATATAACTGGTGTCCGATATAGTTGTTTGAATCGTGGTAAATGTGGACAACCTGAACTTTGCCTGCAGCTGCTTGTGCTTCGGTGGCTAGGCTAGCAGTGACATGGGGTCGAGGGTCAGATTTGCTAGTATGGCTTGGGCTCCTGTCGAGTGTATCTTTAGCAGATACCAGAGGAAGCAACGGAACAATTACTTACCTCAATTCTGCTCGTGTAAAATGAGCCAAGTCAGGCTTCTTGGTTGCTTCCTCGATGAGATTGAGAGACAGTGTTCGAACGGGGCCACGATTGAGTCTCTGGGTCAGCTTTATAGCCTGTTTTGCGATAGGTGCCATTTGGGATTTACAGGTGCGTCCGTGAAGTTTGATCAGTGGTTACAAGCCTGTCCAAGAGACAAGACGTGGTTGATAGTCGTCTTGACATCTTTATATTGGATTGCGAGACTTACATTGACATCGAAGCGCCGGCCAGCCTGTCGAGAGAGTGCTATCCATCTTGGCTGCTGTAATCAGAGACACACAATCTTCGCGAGAGCGCCATATGATACGAAGTGACAGATGCATCACAGCGTATGGGAACATGGACCAATCAGACCGGCGCTCAAAATTGACGTTCAGTGGCTCAGACGACGAGTCAGTGGACAAATGATTTGATGTGGATTGGAGTTGGTATGGATGTGCATCGTGAACGAGAGCGTCTGGATGCGGGGTCGGTGGCCTCATCTCGTCGCGACATTACACGCGCGCGTCTAGTCTTGATCGCACCTATCTTGACGGCGATGGAAATGGTTCTGCAAGGCACGTACCAAAACTTCAGATCCAATCAGTACAGTGTGTCGACTCTTGACTGTCCGAGATGAGACGCTACCGGGCACTGTCAATCCACCGCTCAGCTCTAATATGCTCGTTCCCAACTTCTTCGAGCAATTGTGCACCATATATCCAAAGATCCAGCAGGTCTCATCGCTATCTGTCAACGATGCGACTGTTTGAGTATAAATGCGGAGTCCCGGAAGAGCCATTGGACCGATATGAACCTGGAGGTTATCATCCAGTGCGTCTGCACGACGTCTTTGCAGGGGGAAGATATAAAGTCATTCATAAGCTGGGTCACGGGAGCTACTCGACTACCTGGATTGCACGGGATTCTATGTGAGCTCAGTCAACTCTAGAAATGCTTCGGGATCTAAAGCTCCTCTCAGGCTTAGCAGAAATGTGGCTCTCAAAATTACAGTGGCAGAAGCCTCGTCTCCAAACAATCGTGAGCGCCGAGTTCTCCAGGCTCTGTCGGAACCCAAAACCACGTTGCAGTCGGATCGGATGCACATCATGCAGCTGCTGGATGATTTTCAGCACCACGGGCCCAATGGCGTTCATGATTGCCTTGTCTTCGAATTACTGGGTCCAAGTGTCGCTAGCGTGGTGGAGAAACAATGCACCGGCGACAGACTTCCAGGGCATGTTGCAAGGAAGGCGTGCAAAGAGTTAGGTCTCGCACTTGCAGTCTTGCACAGGCAAGAAGTTGGCCATGGTGGTGAGTGGATCTGCTCGAAATCGTCGGACTCAAGAAGAAGCAAGACCTGATATTTTGCTAGACATACATACAGGAAACCTTGCGTTCTGTGTGCCAGGCCTTGACTCAATCTCAGAGGACAAGCTATTCGAGATTTACGGTGTGCCCAAGACAGGCTCTGTTACTCGCGCTGATGGCGGCTCGCTAAGGTCCGGAGTCCCAGATTATCTAGTATGGTCTGCTTCCTGCCCTGCTAGCGGACTCAATCTCGCAGAATCTTATGTGAAACTAATCGACTTTGGTGAATCGTTTTTCTCCTACGAAAAATCCAAAGCGTTACACACACCATTGGCACTAAGAGCGCCTGAAGTATTGTTCGACGAGGAGTACGATTTTCGAGTGGATTGCTGGGGTTTTGCTTGCGCAGTAGGTCGCGATCTTGCCATCTTGATACTTTACTTACACAAATATTAGATATTCGAATTGATTGTCGGTTATCCGCCTTTTACTGGCATCATGGCGAAAAAGGAAGATATACTACAACAAATAGCCGACATGATAGGAGAACCGCCAGAAAAGTGGCAACCGAAGTGGAAGGTGCTGCCAAAGTGGGGTCAGTACATCCTACATCATTCGAAACCGCTGAGCAATACCTAACATGGACAGACCAAATCTATGACGAAGATCCAGTCTACAATCTGGAACAGTGGCTGGATCTAACTTACTTCGATGATGGCAAACGCATCGATTTCACGAGAGAGGACATCAAGCAGGTTGCAAGAATGATTAGAGAGCTGTTGCAGTGGTGTCCCTCTGAGCGTTCATCAGTATCAGAAGTCTTGGCCAACGAGTGGTTTCAAGATTGCTAGAGACTTCCTCAGTTGATCTGTATGTATGCAGCCAAGAACGTTGTCTGCAACCAAAAATTTGCGTGAGTTCGTTCATTACGCCCTGACTCATCCAACCAGAATAGTTGTGATGAGTCTTCACAAGTATGTAGACCCTCCGAATGCAATCTCCTCTCCTCAACTATCGAGCGACAGTAGCGACATCAACCATGTCAACCCAAACCACTCTTTCGACCTTTCAAAATCTACCTGCTGAACTCCTTGACCAGATCACCGACAATCTTGACTTCGAAGCTGCACTGCACCTCAGTCATACCAACAGATACTTCTACAGGACCATAGAGGTGTCAAACAGGCCTGCCTCAACTGATACTCTCGCAAAAATCGAAAATAGAAACACAGAACTCGATGGACCACGATTGGCAGACCATTTCGCTTGCCGTATCTGCTATTGCATCAGACCCTCCACAAACAAGGCTTGGAAATGGGCAGTGGAATTCATAGAAGAGGACCGGACTTGGCAAGTGTGCTTCTGGAAGTGGCCACGGACTGTGGAAAAGCGTTTTCTTCGAGCCTGCGAGAAGTGTCTAACCATGGTTGCCTGGGAAGAAAGATACGAAAAGATGAAAGAGGTGTTTTGGAATGACACAGCTCGACTCAAGCAGTAGCATGGCTGTTGTGAAATGGGTCTCGGAAGATCCGTCGACAACCCATCTCAAAAATCGACGATTCGTACTACTTCAAAAAGGGAAACATGGAGTACATAAGTATAAAACACAAGCATGGAGGCAAGAGCCTCTAGATGTGTATGGATTGGCCTGACATATGCTTCCACATCAAGTCCCTGGAGCTTCCATCATGATTCACCAGCTGTGCTGCAGGGGAGACATATCGGTCAGCTAGCTGCTTCATACAACCGAAGAGACCGTATCCAGCTATCCACCCATTCTCGTCCATCGAGTTTGCAAGCTGCACAGTAAGATGCAGCACGTCTCTATAATTCCGAGAGGTAGATGCCTACTCTGAGACATCTATGGAGTGCTTGGATTGTTGTGCATAAATCGACTTTAGATGCTTGATCATCAATATCCATGTGCAAGATGGATTTTCTGGGGCGATCATTGCTCTTCACGATGGCCACGAAGGAGAACAAGCTGAGAACAAGCTGAAATCACGAAGAAAGGATTCGGCGGCAACGACTTCTTTGATGTCAGCAACATTACTGGTGCTGGCAAAATCATCACGGTTGAGCAGAAGAATGATCCTGCAACGATCAAAGGCCACCCTCTCCTCATGCAGGCCTTAAACCAGGTATAGGCCCGTGCCGACCAGAAGACCAAAGACAACATAAGAAGACCGTCACACTTCGATCATACTAGAAGAATTGTCCGAATGGATCCGACAAATGATTATAAAGCACATGGCAATGTCAGTGTTAAGCAGGATAACGATGGCCCAGCACCAATCCATGCTACTGATGGGTCAAAATCAAAGCAGAAGACTCTGCTTATCAGAAGAGAGCAGATGGCAAGAAAGTCATCGCTAGTACGATGTAAAATTAGATGGGAGGTCCAAACGAGGCTGCGATAAGGGCTCAGCAAGGTATCAGAACTCAAGTATATGTCACTGGAGGAACTGGTTTCCCTGATGTCGCATCTGCAAACAGGCGTCTTGCTGTGGACTTCTATTAGATTGATCGGATTTGGAGTGACACGTATGTGATGAAAGAGCTCTTCCATGATTCTGCAACTACGATGCATCCAAAGTGCTATTTCTATTTCAACTTCGGGTTCTACTGGAGGAAGCCACGAACTTCACCACACATTGGCACAAGGGAAGCGATAACAAAAACCGTTATAAGTTGAAACCATGCAATTACTGTTCTAACCACGCTCCAAAACCAACAGAAACAAACAAAATAGAAACATCCATTAAACCCAGAACCAATCTATGATTCTTCTTCATCATCGCTTATGTTTTTTTTTTTTTTTCTCTGTAATCTTCTTCAACCAACAATCTTGGTCTTGCCAAAACTCTTCTCAGCCTTAATAGCGGCTTGACGCTTCGGCCTCGTAGCAGAAGCGACAGGTTCGGTCTTCTTGGCCTTGTTTGAAACCTTCTTGACACCAATCTTCGTCGATTTGGGAGCCAGAGCCTCAGAAGTCTTCTTGGCGGGTGTTGTTGAGGAAGAAGATTTCTTGGTGACAGGCTTCTTTGTGATCACCACCTGAGGAGAGGGCAGTCCACGAGAAGAAGACTTTGATCTCACAGAAGCGTCGAAAGTGACTTTCTTTGGCTTCTTCTCGGCCTTCTTGGCCTTGGACTTCTTCTCAACCTTCTTGGCAAAGCGGCCATCAGCCTCGCGGTTGAGGACACGTTTGGGAGCCTTAGGAGTCACAGGAGGTGTGGTAGGATCCAGAAGAGCAGAGCCAGGACGGTACAGCGGGTCAGAACTCTTACGGGCCTTCTTGGAGATTCTGGGCGACACTTCGTCCGGATTGAAAGGACTAGGAGGACCGGGATGGAAACTGTCGTCGCTGGCCTTGCGCTTGCGGTAGGAGATGGGAGTGGGCAATGGTGCAGGACGCTTACGCTTGCCGCTTTCCTTGCCACTGCTGGTCTTGCGAGGCGTTGACGGCGCTATTGGTGTCCAAGGGGAGTGGAAGGGAGTACGAGGAGTCTCGCTGGCTAAACCTTCGGTAGACCATCTCGCGGGTGAGACGATGGGAGTAGCCTGGTTTGCCCATTGCTCCCGAGGCTCGTTCTGTCTGAGTCGTTGACCTTCTGCGCGCCTCCACTGCTTCTCCTTCTTGATCTGAGAGCGAACCCACTCCTGGACTTGATGTATGATCCTAAGTCTGGCTGCCTCAGGTCCCTTTGCACTGGGCGATGCACGTTCAGTCTTGATCATGTCTATGGCCATCTCCCAAGCTTGGTGTGCGAGAATTCTCAGATCGTTGAAACCGCATCCCCAATTGAGTGCTCGGGTCAAAATGTAGTCGATACGAAGGTCTCCTTGCCGAAGATCGAGGCGGTCGTGTCTGACAGGTACCATAGTGTCGATGGGCAAAGGCCCGTCTTGGTATCCATAAAGTGAGGTGTTCATCAACTCGCTTCTCAAAAGCTCCACAATTCGTTGCCTGATTGACGAGATGGAGTCTTTGCTATTCTGAGCAACCCACTCTTCGAAAGCCTGCTTAGCTTTCATGACGACCCTCCAGATATCATACCACTCAAGACTGGTACCGTTGAGCAGATCATCGGATTCAAGATAGGCATCCTTGAAGCTGGCTCGTTCAGGATTGACGGGCGCCTTATCAGAACGTTTGTGCTGACTGTCTTTGCTTAAGAAGAAAAGACGGTCTATCAAGTGACCATAGACCGCCTGCTCTTTTGAAACAAGCTCATGCCTGGGCGATTCACACTCGACAGCGTAGATCAACCCGTTCGTCATGTCGAGAGCAACGAACGCTTGTTCTAGGTTGAGGGTCTTCTTCAGCTTGCGTAGGGATCTGTCTCCGATAGCAAGAGCAAGGAGTTTTGCAGCATCGAGCTCGGTTTCAGACTTGGAGATGCCAATTTCCAGAGGGAGCTCCGAGTTCGGCTCTAGATTGTCGAACAAGCCATCATCGGGTGGGTAGTAGACCTGGCTTCTAGCACTTCCGTCAGAAATTTTGGCGTCGTCAACTTCAATGCGCTCGGACTCCTTAGGCACTTCCTCAGCGACTTCTTCATCATCAACCTCAAACTCTTCTGGCAGCTCCTCCGCCTCTTGGCTCTCGGTTACTTCAGCGTCAAGCACCTCCTCGACGTCTTCGCTGTCGTTGATCACGGCGTCGTCCAAGGCGAGCAGCTCGCCCGAATTGCTCCGAATGGCTTGAACGATCTCTGCTTGATCGTTGTCAGCGTGTTGCTCTTCGACAGGCTCGACAGGAACAGGGGCAGCGGAAGCGTACAAATCAGTATCGTCATCTTGGATCACAATGCGTTCAAGACGGACTTTGCTCTTTGGGACCGTGTGGGCATCGTACGTGGAGAGGAAGTCGAGGTTGTCCTTAGCGACTTTAGGTGATGGTGTTGTAGGCGTCATCAAAGGGGGAAAGACAACTTGAGCTGTAGTGTTGCCAACAACATCCGAGTGGATTGGGCCATCCTCAGTGGTGTCCATCACATCATCAGATGCCGCAACGACAGGCTCGCTTGACTTGGAGCCCGAAGAGAGCGAGATTGGAGGCGACAATTGAGCTTGTTGAATAGTACCAGTTTCTCTGATTCGCTCGGCAACATTCACCATGATGTCGGCCATCTTGCCTGACTCCTCAAGCGCCTTCTTGGCTCTTGCCTCATCTTGATTCTCATAGATACGTCTGATGTACTCTGGAGTGGCGGAGGGACCATGGTAACTACGAGCAGGAGAGCTCTTTGCCGATCCATTGATGAAAGAAGCTCCCTCTGGCGTGACAATTACAGTAGGAGTTGTCGGCACTGAATTGGCAATCTCACCGATGGTTCGCAACTGCTTGCGCTCGATGGCATGCTTCTGGTAATGATCAGACATGCTTTCGTCGGCAAAGTCGACATGAGCGTCACAGATACGGCAAGTCTGTTCACGTTCGAGCAATTCGTTCTCCATGTTGAGAATGATTTGTTCCAAGTCTCTGAACCAGTTGATTGCGGGAACGTTGTCGGTCATGGGAGCCTTTGCTGGGTCCAGGCTTTCCACGCGCAATGGGTCCTCGAGAAGGATATTCTGGTTCTGGCAATGTTGGCGATAAAGCTTGAGCTCGTCGCGATGCTGCTTGTAGTGAGCGTGTCTAGTTGTGGGGCACTGAGTCCACTGAAGTCCGCAAGCAAGACAGCACTTGGAGCGGCTCTCGATCTCGCGGTTAGCTGTGACTGCACGGTGGTAGTACTTGTCATACAGCTCGCGTCTAAGGACTGCCTTCCTCGGATCAGATGTTTTGCCAGGTGCGTTGCAGAACTCGCTGGTGAAAACTGGCTTTGGTCGGATGCGTGCACCTCTGATCTGTCTCTCTCTGTCTTGTCTGGCAAGGAGAAGTAGCCACGAAGGATCATCGTCGGGGATAGGTCCAGGCTGTACCCATGGCTTGGATGCAACAAGGTTGGTAGGCTTGGAAGTAGAGGCTGCAGCGGGCTTCGACGAAGGGACCACGGGCGCAGGGTCGACATCCATGGCAGTTTCTTCAGCTTCGGCAACAGCAGCTCCGGACTCCTCGTCGATCTCTTTGTGGTTGTGGGCAAGACAAGGGCTGATGTAGTTGACGCGATCGATGTCGGCCTCGCGAAGCATCAATTTGTTTCTGATTCCTTTGCGTCCGTTCAAGCAAACATTGTAGAAATCCAAGAACTCAATGGGGTCTTCTTCGAGGCGAGGATCAAAGATTTCCCACATTGGTTGAGGATGCTTTTCCTCAGCGGCCTTGGCGATGTCGACAGCAAGCGGAGCAGGACGTGTCTCTGACGTAGGGGCAGCAACTGGAGCAGGGCGCGGCTCTGGTGTAGGTGCACCAGATCGTATGGCTCGGTGATGCTCCGTCAGATCCGCCTCAGTGTAAGATGGTGGAAACTCTGCTTTGCGCTTCCAGAAAACATAGCTAGGCATGTCACCATCCTTCAAGATGATAAAGGAAGGCATGGTCTCGAAGGATTTCTGACTCATCGCAAACCGCTCGAATTGGGCAGGAAGGTAATAGAACATTTCTCCGGGTACCTCAGAATCCATGACTGGGATAGCACCAGTAGAGTCCTCCGCCCAAGGAATCCTCAATATCTTTCCGCCCTCCAACGAACCGATCAATTTACCATAATTGATTGCGGCTGTTTGTTCTTCGGTGGATGGCTTTCCGACGATATGCTCCTCGGGCGAGGATAACTTCAGCTTGGAAGGTGAAAAACCATGTCCAAATTGGTGGGGAGTAACGATCTCATAGACGGCGTCTTTCTCCCAGTCTCTCAGGTTATCGATAACAGTCAAGAAAGGCTTCTTGTCAACAATTGCAAGCGCTGCGCCAGAGTTGAGCTCGGCGGTGGCTTCTGCATTGTATCTAACTTCACGGGCGTCTTTTGGGTTTTGTGTCGCGAAGGACCAAGCAAAGCGACCATAGTGGCGATTCATAATGGCGAAAGGTTGAATGATAGCAGTTGGAGGCGAATAGAGAGAGAAGACAGGGAATGCAGAAAAATGTGGACCAAAGAACATGGAGCATGTCCCATTGAGACAAAGATGATATAGACAGCGTGTTGGAGAAGAGTGAGTCCGAAAGCGGAAGGCGTACGCATGCGGAAAGCTCAAAGACATTGACAAACGAAGCACGACACGTTTCGCCGGAATTAAAGAAAATGGACGAAAGAAAGCAAGAAGTTTGTCTTACCATCTTGGTAGGAGTTTCACTTACCGGTTCAGTATATACACAATTATACAACACAGATGAACGAGTGTCTTTGACCATTTCGAACGCGATCGTGAGTAGTTCCCGAACTGTCGCATATGCTGCATGTTCTTGGCGTGGATGAATCAAGCCGGGTTGGGCGAAGCGAGGAATGTTGGGTTGTGGTAACCAACCAGTCTGGAATGTATTTTACATGTTTCTGAACATCCAAAAGCGGATGATTTAGCGATCCAACGTAAGAATGATCGGATCATTGCCTGTTTCATCATTAATCCAAGTGGCGATAGTGGTAAAGTAGTGCATGAGCAAGGCTTACTCACAACTCAGTCCTTTCCGTTTCTGGAGATGGGCTCCTCTTCTTGGGAGGAAGCAGGTAACCGTCTAGTTCCATCCACTCCGCAGCAAAGGCTGTAACAATTTTGGCCCAGTCTTTGACGGTAGGTATATCGAGATGTTCTCCGTCATCAGCCATTGTATGCCAGACTGCAGGGAATGGCGCAGGAATCATATGTAGAATATCAACACCTCTGGCTTGGAAAGGTATGTGGTCATCCTCGATGGCACCGCCAAGCCATCTGTCCGACTCTTTCTTGTTTGCTTCTCGCAGAAAAGGACTGGTGGGTGTGGTTTGGAGCTGCTTCAGAGACCGCAGTCTAGTCTCGGCATTTGCCATATTCAAATATGCCCAGTGGGTGGTTCTGAAGAAAGAGGGAACTCTAGGATTTGCAGAACCCAGCAGATCGAGTAGGACGAAAAGGTCGATGGCGTCGAGCGGAGTACGGTAGATGGAAGTGGCAGGATGCATCGTTTGCTCCCATTCTTCGGCCAAAGATCTGATGAATTCAGTTAGGACGGTCAAGCGAAAAGTTGTTTGCGATGGTACCTTGCGCCGTAAATTGAGTCGTCGTGGGTCCAAACCTTGAAGGCTTCTTCTCCGTCAAGCAATAGGATCTGTATGCCGCTTGCTTCATCCAGCTCATTATCGCCTTCAGCCTCCATAGCAGCCCACTTCTTGGTCAAAGCGTCGTCCAGACTCCTGGCAGCGTGCATCAGCATAGCGCATGGAGCGGCGCTGTCAATGGCTCCGATGAAGCCTGGTGGATCGATCTTGCTGTCATAGTGGGCGACCAAGGCGAGTCTTCCGACATGACCCTGTTCTGCCCATGGAGGATCTCTGGTAGCGATCAGGTTGACAAAGGGAGTTTCTTGGTCGCCAGAGATGGGAGTCTTTGATGAAGAGTTCTGAAAGCTCAGCTCCCATGCGGGTAGCTCCTTCCGAAAGAAGTCGACAAAGTGATTGAGGACAGCAGTTGAGCCAGGCGTGCCAGGTACACGCGGCTGCAGAATAGGAGCCAGCAAGGCCCCTTGTTTGATGTCAAAGTCGTTGCCAGGGTCGGCAATGTTGCGAAGGCCTTCATCCGAGAGGGCCTTGTATGCGAAGGCTCCAGAGAGCAGGCCAAGCAGGCCAGCTGCTCGTGAGATAATCATGTTAACGCACTCAACCGACTCTGATCAAGGCGCATTGCGACAGAAGACTGCATGACAGGTGGCCTACGATGCAGCACCAGTCGTTTGTGTCGCGTTGCTGTTGAGGCTCGGCGCTTTCCCCAGATGGAGACAGGAACGGCCCGCTTTTGGCTGCTTCCCGACGACGACGTCTCGTGCCTGCCACTTTTCTTCGGTTGCTAACCACGATGACATGACCTTCTTCTGCCGCCAGCCGTCAAGGCTCCTCTATCAGTTCGGTGCTGTGAGACCTCAAACCTCTGCACGTCTTGCTCAACATGTTCGCCATGCTTTGCCAAAGACTCGGCTCGGGCTATACCTGAGATCTGCTTCCAATGCTGCTCCTTCGCAAACCGGTACGACGACTTGACCGACATCTCTGGTCCCTGGATCTGTACTGACCCTACCAGCTTACCCTCGGCGGTTGTTGATATACCGGGCACCGACTCTGGAGCTCGCCACTATTGGTACCATTAAACTCACAGGCCTGGGCGCCTTCGCTATGGCTTGTCTCGTCATTGCTCCCAATGTCTACTTCGACGAGTCCAGTCCTGTTTGGATGGCCCCTGCAGGTAACATACCTCAATCTCGCTCAATGCTCTTACTGACTAGTCACTCAGTCATTGCCGTATCCGCAACTCTTGTCCCTCTCTTTCACGTCTTGACGAGGCCTTCCGTAGCCAACATCTTTATTGACGCTCCTGCCTCAGCCCGTCGATCCAAGGAAGCACTGGTTTCGTTCGCCAAGCGTGTGCCTCTAGACACCGCTTTGGAGATCCAGACGCTGGGTCTTCTCTCTGTGCCCAGGACAAAGACATTGCGCGTTGGAGAATTGAGAGTTCGTCCCGAAGGTTGGGGTCGCTTGGCCAATCTCGAGCAGGTCCATGCCATCGACAAAACCTCCAAGATTCCCAAGTGGGCAAGGTGGTCGCTACAGCGTTTTTACGCTCGTCCAGTCCCCTCTCGCTGGAAGAATAGCCGTGCTCCCGAAGTCTGGCCACTGGTCCTCGAGGCCATTACTAGGAACACTGTGGCCAACATGTCGGGGAAGAACCTGCCACCACCTGTGAGCGCAGTTCCTTCAGCTCGGCTGCAGTCGCCTGCAAGTGTGGTGCGCCCAGCTCGATCATCTGCTCCTGTTGTGCAGAAGCAGGTGCCGGCTCAAAAGGCTGTTCCAAAAGGTAGACAAAATATGCGCAAAAAGTGAACATATGTGTGCACACGATAGCTGCGTCATGTAAGTAGTTCAATCTCATATCGTTGCACAGTAAAGGTCAGAATCAAGAAAGAGATGGTGCCAACGGAATGTTTTTGCATGTGACTGCCAAGGCTCAGTGGACGTGGTGAGGGTATATGTTCAGAAATCTCCGCTGGCCTATCAGACGGGGAGAGCAGGAGGAGTTCCGTGTTACTTGGTGTAGCGGAATGATTCCCCCCTGAACTCGACTGAAAGTAGGCGCCCGTCTTGTGCACTATAACCATCGGTGTTGTCTGGGATTAATCGTCGGTCGAGACGGAAGCTCCTTTTTTTGCTCTCTTTCCATTTCACCGATCCTCTGATGCTCACCTTGCCACTGTGAATGATCATCTTTTGTACCGATTGGATCGTAATTCAATGAGTCTGTGTATATTACAAGGTGCTTGGTTCGATCCTGCCACCGGCCTTGCGCTTTTGCTTCAATCGAACCACCAGCGTCAATATTCCGCGGATGACGCGCGCACTTGTAAACATTTCACTTCACGACCAAACTGGAACTTCATCTTGAGCTCTCTGCGCACCTTCTTCTACAAGCCCTCATCGGATACAAGCACTAGCACGTCAATACCATGACTCCCGCCATCCCTCCTCCAAGCGAGTTCCTCTGGTGCGAGGACCACGCCGAGATCGCCGCTTGGTTGGCCAGAAATGACTTAGGCCTGGAGTTTTGTGGCTCTTTCATCAACTACTGTGCGCGCACGATGGACAAACTGAGGCGCACCAACAGCCGGCTGCTCAAGGATTACCTGTTTCACCTCCGCAAGACGCTCACGACAAAGCCACTGACTGGTGCTGCTGTCCTTTACGAGATGAAGTACTACCACAACCGCTTCTTCTACACTGGTACTGTCAAGTCAGGAGCCATTCCGCTTGAGGCACTTTGTAAGTTTGGTTCCTGGGGCCTTTAAATCATTCCATCCCATCACCGATAGGGCTTTTTCAAGGGCCTATCAAAAGGCACAAAAGATTTGGGTTTGGTATGATTGTCCAGTGAGAGAAGTGGTCTTTCACGCTCTCATTGGACATGTGTCCAGTTGCCGATATTTTTGTGCCTCTTGATAGCTATACACCGACTACTCATGTAACCTGAGATAGCTTCTACACTCAAGTCTTTCTCATAACGAACGGCCCTTTTTCTCACGGCTCCCCAATACGATAATCATATCAGATACTAACGAATGCTATCATAGTGAAAAAGCCGGAGCACATTCATGCCGCTCACAACCACCTCCACAACAAGGTGTTCCCTCGCCGTGCACTCACCTCCTCCTCCACTCCTACCCACCCCCCTGCCAACTATGGCGACACCCTCGCTGTCGTCAATGGTACTTCTGCAAGCTCGCCCGCCTCGGCCACCCTTCCCGCTCCCAGCTCGGTTCAGCAGCCCGGCCTTCAGGGTCAACTGTCTCTCCCGGACAGCCCCCTCCTCAACACCCTGCCGATCCGCAAGCAGCCTCTCGCCGTCGCTTCTCTGGAGGCTTCGTTACCCGCTCTGTCTGCCCCTGGCCCTGCTCCTGCTTTCAGGCAGCAGGCTCTTGAGCATGGCACTCTCTTGCTTCTTGGTGGTCAGAAGGAGGGGGTTCCTAACGAGGTGCAGGATGAGGAGGATGGGGGCGTGAAGGTATGAGGGATGAGCACTGGGTTATGTGGGTTTGAAGACCTGCTTTCTTTGTTTCCGTGTAGAGTAGAAGGTGTATCAAGGCAATGTCGTTCTCACTCCGGGTCCTTTCCTTGTACTTGATTGTGCACCAGCTAACGCTGCAAGTGTCGGGCACTGCACCCTTTCCCTTCTGAGATACACGCAGGTCGACGCCTTTCTGAAGATCTTTGATAGAATAATCGTCCCTGCCGTTGCAGACCAGGCAGATCCACTGCTCCAAGCGCTTGTTCCATGTCCTGTTCCTGACATGGATGAGAGCGTCGCAATGCTCGACTGGACACTTCTCAGACTCCGTGGCGCTTTCGAGGGCGGCTTTCCTTGCTGTATCCTTGCCGTCTTTGTGTAGGTAGGCAGGGGGCACAAAGGAACTGCTTCAACCCCTTGTTGAAATGCGGTTTTCGGGTGTGGGTATAGTCTCGCAACCATCACCAGGGCATTTTGTGTCATCAACCAGCTTTTCCAAAGCAACTTTGCGAGCTTGGTACAGTTCTTCCGCCTCTTGTGCTCGACTTTCGCCATCGTGAGTATGAGCGTAGTTAATCTCGCGAACTCTGGAATTTGTAAGTGTCGTACGATTCCATCACGTTCACGTCGTTGACTGAGCATTGCACATTGGCGACTTCGTACGACTGCTGAACATCCTGGATGCCATAACTAGGCATCGCCATGAACGTCTTGCGGAGGCTCCTTTTCGATGTGGTGGCAGGGGTGAAGAGACCGAAACCGACACTCCAGAAAAGTTCAACGAGGTGGTACATTGCATGTGACATCTCCTCGGTGCCCCTCTAAGGCACGAGTGTGATCACATCAAGGTCGTTCTCCCTGATGAGGCAGTGGACTTTCATGTCGGTGTCGGTGTCGGCGTGGAAATGGTCTGTGGCCCGACCTTTGATTCCATATCCTTGTGTCGTTCCCTTGCCTGCATAGAAGGCTGGATTGACATTGGACTTCGGCTGAGGCGGCAGAGGCTTGTTGCGGTCAGATACCGGAAAGAGCTGGAGCTTTGTCTGGGATATGGAAGCTGGCAGGATCTCGCTCAATGATGCTCCAGATGTCTTGGGCAAACGGAATGCCTTTCTTTCCACGGAAGTTTTGCGCTAAGCTTGATTGTGCGGATCGTAACAAAATAGATACGGAGGAAAGGGGGTTTGAGCTTGGCTGGATGGCCGCATTGGGGGTTGGGAGATGTGGTACTGTAAGAGCAGCGGTTCGGTCATCCTCGCTGTCAGGATCAATTACGATCTTTCCCTTGGGCATGATGAGTTGATGTGTAAGGAACAACGAAAGGAGATGTTGGGAGATGATGCTTGGCTGAAGTGGTAGAGTGTGCAAGGTGGGCTGAACTGAGTCAGAACGAGAGATGAGATCGTAAGATGAGCATCTCGCCTTCCTTGTCGGTTGTGATCTTGCGGCCAAACAAAGATATGATGATGAGTCTCCTGGCGCAAAGCGACAAGTTCTGGATCTCCTCCAGAGCATCCTCATCAGCGGAGACCAGCAGCCATGATATCAGTTTCGAAAAGAGGTTGGTCATCTCTTCAGCGCGCGGCATAACGGTGTCGAAGTCTGGAGCAGCGCCCTGGATGGCTTCGTACAGGCTAATGAACTTTTCGAGAATTGATCCAGTTGTGTCACCATGGTGGGTGCCGTGATTCCCGAAGCAGAGAAATGACAGGGGTTTGAGGCGGCAGTGACTGTGATCATGACATTCATCAGCACATTGTTTGCGTGATAGAATAGAGGGCCGAGGGAGTGGTCTATGTAGATAAGAAACTCATCCTTGATCACCATGACAGTATTGAGGCAGAAACTCTGTGGGTCCGCTCTTGTGGATCTGGGTTTATATTGAGCTTTGGTTGACCTCATATTATAACCAGAAATTGGGGTTGTGGCCCAAGGGTGGCACCGTAAGTTACAACATAATCAGATTGGGCAGGGTCTGACCGGCAGAGCGTGCCCTGTCGCGGATAAGCCCTGCTGTCTACCCAATGGTTCTTTTTTTTTGGTTTTTCTTTTCCTGCCAGCCATGTTAGTAGTAAGACTGTCTTCGTATAACAGCCATCAGCGAAGGAACGAGTGTATTGCTACTCTATCCTGTACGGAGGTTTATGTAAGTCTCAATACACTGTATTGCGTATAAGCGGAGATTGAGGGTTCGAATTGCTGCTGAAACTCCGTTTCTTTTGCTCTTTCTCAAGATGCTTTCACTTGCGACTCTTCTGGATCGAATAAAACGAACACTTGAACTCCACTTTCTGATTCCTTCTCGTATTGAGGCTACGCATTACCACCCGGTAACCAGAGACAGATAATACAAAAGACTTTTGGTCAATTACAAGCATCTGTGAAGTCAAACAGTCGTGAAATAAGTGAAAGCGAACTCTTTCAACACTGTCCACCGAAAGACCTAGTTATCTTCAACAAGACGCGTCGCACCAACTTCCTTTCTCCCACACAAAATCTATCAACATCGTCGACTTCGGCACAGTCTCCAATCACGCACCACCAAAACAAGAAACATATCAGACATCACCATGGCCACCATTGAGCCCCAGCAAGAGATCTTCCAGAGCGAGCAGTACTTCTGGTGTCACGAAGGAAACGAGCACATTCAGAGCTGGCTATCCACCAATGCTCAGGACTTTCCTGATATCTACGCCACTTACATCAACGATGCCAACCCAGTCATTCATAGAAAGCGCGTCGGAAACTCAAAAGAGCGTGACCAGCGCATGCTCATGTTCCTCCAACAATACCCTATGACCTACATCAATGTTATCGACGAGTTTATCTGGTACAAAGCGTACGTTCTGCAAGGGGAGGACTTGGAGGCCATCGGCCCTCACCAGGGTGGATTGATCAATGTCTTCACCTACAGTATGTTTCATCACTCCGTCCATACGTACTTACTCTCAGGAGCTCTCCCGTTCCTAGATTATGCCCATGACAATACAAAACATGTCTTGCTGATACACCAGTGTGACAGACCGCGACCCTCAGATCCTGGCACAAGCCAGAGACCTGCTCTACAAGCAAGTCTTCGACTTCGACACCCGCCACCAACACTGGGTTTGGCGTGGCGAGAAGGGCCTTCTCAACTCGAACGAAGTCGAGCCTCTGTCCAAGAAGCAGAAGAGCCGCGAGAAAAGCCAGAGACGCTGGGCAAAGCGTGATGCGCAGGAAGCCGAGATGAAAGCTGCTGGCATAACTGATGCTGACATCGACCCTGCTATTTTCGCTATGGGTCCTCACGGAGAGAACTCGAACAAGTATGTTGCACGCCTCATGCTCGATCTCAAGGTCAGCAAGGAGGAAGGAGGCCAGCGTAAGGCAGAGAATGACAATCAGGTGGAGTGATGGCAATTGGTAGGAGGAGGAGGACTAAGCCCCCAAAATGTTTCTTTGGACGAGCAGCAATCTAGAACAACTTTGTGCCTTTTCATGGGCCACTATGGATGGACGCAGCGAACAGGAAGCGATTGCAACATTGCATGCATCAAACAGGGCACACCGGCTCGTATGAAGGAAGGGATTAGGTAAAAAGACGATGGACCAAGGGAGGTTGCATGACTGCTGAGCATGGGCCTCTCTTTCCGCGCTCTCAACGTCAGCTCGTACAGTTTCCATCTTCTCTTCTTTTAGCAACATGAACATGACTTATACCACAATCTCCTTTGTGCATTTCGCTTTGTGTACGGGTAGATTGCTACCGGTTTGCCGTTAATCTTTCTCTCACAATAGCTCATGGTGATATTATAAGCTATCAAAGTGCACAATGATTTTCGAGATTCGAAGTATGGCCACAGAGATGTCCTGAGATACTATCTCTCACTAGCCATGACTTGCTTTGGTAAAATATTGTGCATTTTTATAGCTGGGATTAGCAGCGTTTGGCAGACGGAAATGGAAGTATCACTATTACTCCCGAAAATCCCCTCATCAAGTGAAAGAGATGATTCACTTTTGAATGGTTGTAACACTTCTTATCGAGAGAGCTCACTGTAAGTGAGTTGGTCGGCATTTGAAAACAGCTTCCTTCAGTTCTTTTTCATTGTGCAACAACAACTTCCTTCTTTTCTCGCGCGACTTTTTGACCAATAACAACATCAACATCATGTCTTCCGCTCCCACTTCGTCTCGCTCTCGCCGCCGCCCTCGTCCTCGCGCTATCCCACGCTCGACCACCCCTGCCGCTCCATTGGCTCCAGAGGATTATGAATGGTTGTGGTGCGACGACAATTCAAAGATTACTCAGTGGTTCCTTACCAAGTCGCTCTCAACATACGAGGAGTTTTACGTCTCATTCATCAACTTCGCCAACACGGCCTGGGAGACTTCACACCGCGCTGACCGTGCACCATTGGACGCGCTGGCAGAGTTCGTTGTGGGGCTTCTCGAGAAGGAGCAAATCCCTGCCAATGAGATGCTGGTTGCGCTGGAGGAATACGCGGTCGATCCTTGGAAGAAGAGGCGCCAGAACGAGAAGAAAGGTCTTGTCAAAGTTCACCCTGGACTCAGTAAGTAGAACATCACTACAAAATTAAGGTCTATTGCTTACATATTTTAGATGTCCACGACTTGACCTACGGCAAGTCCAAGCTGCAACAAAAGGTTACGGCATACCTTCGCAAGACTGAGAAACAACTTCGCGTCGCCCACCCCCAGGCTTCCGAAAGAGCCACCATGGCTGATCAGCAACCCCTGCCTGCCTTTACGGCACCCTCACTGGCCTCAACTTTGTCGGTTCCAGCCAAGTCTGATGGCCTGCTCTTCGTTGGAGGCAGAAAGGTTGTCAAGGAAGATGATGTGGATAGTGTCGAGTAGGGTCATGTATCAAAGATTCGCGGTTTTTCAAGGGAAAGTTTTATGCAGAAGGATAGAACGACTTATTACAACCACAATCAGACCGAAACACTTTCTTTACCTACTGATCAATATAGCCTCGGTTCCCATGTGCCCCCAATAAACACTCTAGAAGTATCATCTCCATATTCACCGCGTTCGTCGCCTTGCTGAAGACATCATATTCGATTGAAGACGTAGGAGAGCAAAGCATGATTCAATATAGCCATGACTAGATCAACACAACAGGAACCTCGTCTAAGACACAAACAATTCAACCTCAATCTCGTTCGACCACCCAGCCTGTTGTCCAGTCTCCTTCCAAGCCCTATCCACATCAATTTCCAAAACATCCCTATTGACACTAACACAATGTTTGGGAATCTGCTTGCCGAAGATCAAGACCAGCATATTCTCCTCTACATCCCAACTCTTGCTGAGATCGCCGATCCAGAAACCAAGGACACCCAGGGCTTTTATGAGGACGGAGTATCTCAGCTTTCCTTGACTGTCGGTGTAGTTGTCGCTGCTGATTATGGCAGCTGCGCCTGTCATTTTGCCGATCAAGCCGAGGCAAGACACTTCAATAGGACCGCTACGACGGAGCTTGTGCTCATGGACAGGATGAGCAGATAGAATTTCCCAGCCGCCATTATCAATCTCGACGCCAGCCAGAGCTTTCTTTTCGCCACAGGACATGGGCTTGCTCACTGCACCAGTTGTGAAGGCACGAATCACGTATTTGCCTTCTTCAGCACCCGAGAAGGTTGAGAGGGGGATGAGCTCAGATAATGGGCGGTGAGTACAGTTGAAAATTCCCAGATATGCAGTACCAGTACGTGCATATCCGTGGTAAGTATGCACCTTCAAAAGAGCGTTGTCTTCGTAGCCAATGTAAGCACTTGTGCTCTTTCCAATATTGTATGGACGCAAAATGACGGTCTTTCCTCGTGTGGTTCTGGCTGTCATCTGATTGATCAACTTGATGTCATGCTTGCCAGGATAATCCGTGAAGTAAATTGGTCCACCAGAAACACAGCGAGCCGCGCCATGGAAGGAAGCCCATTCGTGTGACGTCTGGAACATGTCCCAGTCAGGCAACACGTTTAGATGCTGTGTGAGCAAAGAATTGTGGGCATTGCAGAAGATATGCCAGGGATGAGAAGCAGGTACTTCTGGGAAGAAATCGTCAGAGTTACGAACAAGAAGTCGAGGCTTGTTAGTTGGTAACTGCGAGTGGAAGAGCATTTGCGGTGCTTGAGACATGCAAGAGATGGCTCGTGAGCCAAAGTGGCGAAGATGAGCAATTGTCCAAGCATCTTGATACTCGGTTATCAAGCTTCTTCGATCGGGTGCATCGACAATCATATCCAAAAAGAATTGAGCGTCTGTCTTGACTCCGGTAATGCCGCAGTCGCTCAGGAAAGAGTAGAAGTCGTTGTACATGCGTTGTGCATCGGAAGCATCTACAACTGACATTTCGCCTTCTGCCACTCCTGGCTCTTTCTGGATGGTCGTTGTCTTATAATTCTTTGCAATGTTGCCGTTCTTAGCTACACCGCCCCAGTAACCGAGAATCGCGTGCCATACTGCAATGTGATTGATGTTGGGGTGGTTCTTGCGGATGTCTGTAACAGCTTGCTTGAGGCCCTGTGGAAAGCCTTCCTTGTTCGCCTCGAAGTCGGTCCAGGCACGATCCATCTGTGTCCGACCTTCTGTCAAAGACTGCCAGTTGTCGTCGATGATGAGATTCTCGATTATGATGTTCTCTTTCTTGAGTGACTCCAGGGCCTCATTGATTTTGTCAACGGTGAGCTTTTGGCCCAGACCGTTCCAAGTGCAGTAGGTGAAACCATCATACCACTCCTCGAGCCATTCGGCCTTGACATTCTTATCCATCAATGTTTTGGTCTCGGCTTCCATCTGACCAGTCGCTGACTCGTAACCTCCGACAATTTTTCTAGCATGATACATGACTGCAGCATTCGCTACTTCGAAAGAATCGGCCACAGCAACAAGTACATGGCTCGTTCCTTCTTTCTCGCGATCGTTGCGACCTTGTATAATGACATTACCACTGTCGTCATGTTGGAACACAGTAAGAACATCCTCAACACCGCTAATCGCAAGACAAACGACATGAGCTCCATCATGTCGCAGGAAAGACGCAAGAATGGCGTCCTTGTCCAGATGGAACTTGTCCTTGCCCTGACGTGGAGCAAGCCAGGGACTCCAGAGTCGCACTAACGAGAACCACCGAGTAAAATCCTTTGGTGTGCCCAGTACGTATTTGCTGTAACCAGAATCCTTGCCTTTGGCAGGCTTAGTTGAGGCTGTGATAGAGTATAACTTGGTGTCGGGAGTGTCGGCAGTCATCTTACGAATGTTGAGATCGGAGCTTGTGCCGTGGAAGTACTCAGGAAACCCTAGCTCTTCATGTGACTGTTGATAATGAAGTTGACCATCATCTAATCCACTTTGATCTTTGATCCACTTCCACCCTGAATCATCACCGATCTGAAATTTCACGGTGAAAGATACCGGTCGAACATCGTCGGGTCTGCCAGGGAGCTCACCACTATACCATCTACGAGCAATCTGTGCTTTAGCATTAACGAGTAACTGGAACGTAAGCTTATATCGCACAAGCATTCTGTTCAACGACTCACAACATCATCGTGATCAACAGATGGTTTGAGCGGAAGTTCTGACCAATCATGCTGACCTTTGTGGTTGTGCCAGATAGAGACTTTAGCTTGCTGATCATTCACTGGAATGTTTAAGTCAGTACCCGTCTTCAGAGACAAAGTATTGGAGAGATGTACCTAATGACGAAGCAGATGCTTCTAACAAGACAGAGAAGGCGACCTAGAGAAGACTCAGTATAAGAGGATTGTATATTGATTGAAGAGAACTTTACAGCATTCTGGTCTCTGGCGACAGTTGTGGGCTGCCCAATTGGCGGTGAGCAAGTAATAGCGGCATACATTTCGTCGTCGGCGGAGGCGTAAAGTTGTTGAGCAGGAGGAAGCTTGTCGGGCAAGTCGGTCAGGGCTGGATAGACTCGTTGTCCAGTGTTGACGTCGCAGAAACCAAAGGTGATCTGGTTCTGTTTCTTCTTCATGAGTGAGCGTTGTTCTAGTAATGATCTAGGGGTATACTCTAGGAACAAGGAGAAAACAGATGGGATCTAGGGAAATGACATTGATGGTTGAGAAAAAAGAAAGACGATACCTAGGGAAGACTGATGTTACAAGAGCAGGACTAGGAATATGTCGACATCATACCGGAGGGTCTAAAAGGAAGCTAGTTCACCACAAGAGTGGATCTCGACAAGGAAGGGTCTGCCTTTCCAGAGGTGCCCCGATGTCGAGCTGAGGGGAAGGAACGACCGAGACGATGTCATAGCCTGGGGTAAGTCCATCCTAAATCCGACACTAACCAGAAGGAGATGAGAAAAAATAGCAGTTTCCCAAAAAGCGCGTTCGCGACAACGAATTGACCTTGCCAGCATTGGCAAGAACGACCGATCGCCATGTTCGACACAATATGCACGCTCCCGCTGTCGTCGGAGCTGTTCTCCCAGGCACTTCACCCTACCGCACCTTTGGTGGCTGTGGGACTTAGCTCCGGACATGTTGCAACACTGAGACTGCCGGCAGTCGAGGGCGACGATGAGGATGAGGCTCAAGCTGAGGCTGCAGCAACTGGACGCGGCCAGATTGAGGCTGCATGGCGTACACGCAGACACAAGGGCAGCTGCAGAAGTCTCGGCTACAGTTTGGACGGATCCACTCTCTTCAGCGCTGGTACCGATGGCATCGTCAAGGGCGCCGACAGTGTGACTGGTAAGGTTGTTACCAAGATCGCTGTCCCTCTTGATCCGTGAGTACTCAATGCATCACAATCAAGCCTTCGTCGACTGACAAGATCCTCAGCGCGACCGACGACGTCGACGAGCCTTCAATCCTGCACGTTCTCAGTCCCCAGACCTTCCTCCTCGCAACTGACAGCTCTGCTCTCCACCTCTACGATACTCGCGAAGCCAACTTCTCTACCTTCTCCTCCACTCGTCCTTCGCAAACACATCATCCCCACGAAGACTACATCTCCTCCTTGACACCCCTTCCCGCGTCCGAGACCAGCACCTCTGGCTACAGTAAACAATGGGTCACAACTGGTGGCACTACCCTCAGTGTGACTGACTTGCGTCGCGGCGTTCTGGTCCGCAGTGAAGACCAAGAAGAGATCCTACTTTCATCCTGCTTCGTTTCTGGCCTGCCCGCCCGTAAGAGCAGTTCATCAAAGGGAGAAAAACTTGTTGTTGGTGGTGGAGATGGTGTGATTACTCTCTGGGAGCGTGGAGTCTGGGACGATCAAGACGAGCGCATCACCGTTGACCGTAGTCCTGGCGGTGGTGAGAGCTTGGATGTTATACGCCTACTGCCTCAAGATGTCGGTCCTGGCGGCAAGGTCCTCGCAGTTGGTATGGGCGATGGAAAGGTCCGCTTCGTCAAGCTCGGCCCCAACAAGGTCATCTCAGAGATCACACACGACGAGGTGGAAGGTGTCGTGAGCTTGGACTTCGACGTTGCAGGCAGACTGATCACAGCTGGTGGCAGTACCATCAAGGTCTGGCATGAGATGGTTGAAGAGGACCAGCATGCCTACGTGGACGGAGATCTCAAGAGAGAGGTCGAGGACAGCGATGCAGGCAGTGATGATGACAGTGACATGGATAGCGATGACAGCAGTGATGAGGAGACTGGTCGTAAACGCAGAAAGAAGAGAAAGCGTGCAAAGGGCAAGGACAAGTCTGGAGGCGCAAATAGAATGGGCTCCTTCGCTGGTCTGGACTAGGGAAACAGTTCGATAAAAGAGGCGATCGGACGATGACAAAACAGAGCATTGCCTTACTCTTTTACAAGATACCCAAAAGCGTTTAGATGAGAAACAGAACAAAGTCTCAAAAATGACCCCCAAGTCCGTGAGCCGCGCGTAACACCCTGGCCTTGTATGCTCACAATCATAATAAATGCAATGAGGGCGTCAATCAAGTACATTCTTTGCTCAGCATTTTGAGTGTCTCTGCTTTGACGTTGCGTTGTTCGAACATCTGCTTTTTATCGCTGATGGCGACTTGGTTCCCTGTTAACGACTTCAAGCAACAGCTTCGATGAATTCGTCCTTCACCCCAAGACCTAGGACCCGTGACGCTTCCACTCATGATGCCCTCTGCTCAAATTCCACTTGGAGAACCACTAATGTTCAAAGACCCTTGGGACGCATTGGTACGAGGTATATTATACAAAAGCCGAGAGTGTTTCTATTCCTCTGTCTATCGAGACACAACTCCCACGTATAAGTACCAAATATATATACAAACCAAACATGCCCCTTTTCCACTCCTACGCCAACCCAAATGCCACGATCTGAAGAACGGGGATACACAAAAATTTAAAGACTTTTTGTTTGGCCCAGCCATCAAACAACACTTATCGTACAAAGATTTCGCCTTTTCCCGTCTCATTATTTTGCTCTCTATTTCTTGTTTCTCTCAGCCTGAGCCTTTTCATGCTTGGCAATAAGCTCCTTCTGCAACTGCATGGGCGCAGGCGAGTAATGGCTAAACTCCATCGAGAATTCACCCTTACCCTGTGTAGCAGCTCTCAACTGAGTCGAGAAGCCAAACATGGAGTTCAGACTGCAATCAGCATAGAGGGTAAAGTCTTCAGGGCCGATTTCGGTATCAGAGATGACTGCATTGCGCTTGTTGAGCAGACCAACAATGTTACCTTGGAACTCGTTGGGTGCGGTGATGGTAGTCTTCATGAGAGGCTCAAGGACTTGGGGTTGGGCGGCAAGGAAGGCTTTGCGGAAGGCTTGTTGGGTAGCGTTGCGGAAAGACATTTCGGAGGAATCGGTCATGTGGGTTGCACCATCGTTGATGACCATGCTAGCACCCAATACGCGGTGGCCGAGCAGAGGACCCTTCTCGCAAGAGGCGTAGAATCCCTTTTCGCAAGCAAGCAAGTACTTTTCACTGATGGTTCCACCAGTGATTTGCTGCTCGAAGTGGTTGTCGGAAATTTGGCCAGTGGGTTCCATCCATCCAACGACACGAGCGTAATCACCAGCACCACCAGTCTGCTTCTTGAGAATATGGTCGAAGGGAACCTTTGACTGGATAGTCTCACGGTAGGCAACTTGAGGTTGACCAACGATGCAGTCGACGTTGTACTCACGGCGCATGCGCTCGACGTAAATGTCGAGATGCAATTCACCCATACCGGAGATGATGGTCTCCTGTGACTCGGTATCAACGTGGACACGGAAAGTAGGGTCCTCACGCTGGAAACGCGACATGGCCTTGCTGAAGTTGGGAGTATCCTTGGTCTGCTTGGGCTTGATAGAGAGCGAAATGACGGCATCGGGAACGAACATAGAAGTCATGGTGTAGCCGAGAGTGCCGTCAGTGAAGGTATCACCAGAAGCGCAGTCGACACCGAACACAGCACAGATTTCACCAGCGTGAATCTCGTTGACTTCCTCCATCTCGTTGGAGTGCATACGCACAATTCTGGGAATCTTGACCTTCTTGTCAGTACGGGCGTTGTAGACGACCTGGCCCTTTCTGATAGTTCCTTGGTAGACACGGATGTAGGTAAGTTGGCCGAAGTTGCTCTCTTCAAGCTTGAAGGCGAGACCGACGAAGGGCAGCTCTTGATAAGAGACCATCTTAACGGGAGCTTCCTTGCGCTTCTTGTCGAGGGCAATGTTCTCGACCTCAGAGGGGTTAGGAAGGTAGTCGCAGACAGCATCAAGCATGGGCTGAACAGACTTGTCGGCAAGAGCGGAGCCCATCATGACGGGAGAGAACTTGAGAGAGATGGTGGCACGTCTGATGGCAGCCTTGATCTGAGCAACAGAGGGCTCCTGCTCGTCAAGGAACATTTCAGCAATCTCATCGTCGACATCGGCAAGAGTCTCGATGAGCATTGCGCGTCTCTCCTCGGCGACCTGCTTCACCTCGGTGGGGATCTCATCCGACTCGACGATGACCTCTCCCTTGTCGCCCTGGTTGTAGATGGCCTTCATGCGAATAATATCGACAACACCCTTGAAGTCGTCCTCAGCACCAATGGGGACCTGGATCATGGCGGCGGGAATACGAAGCTTCTTGTTGATCATGTCGCAGACGCGGAAGGGGTTGGCGCCCATGCGGTCCATCTTGTTGATGAAAGAGATACGAGGGACGTTGTAGCGACGCATTTGACGATCGACAGTCTGAGTCTGGGATTGGACACCACTGACGGCACACAGAATCATGACAGCACCGTCAAGAACGCGCAGGGCACGCTCGACCTCAATGGTGAAATCAATATGGCCAGGGGTATCAATCAAGTTGATGTGGTATTTCTCCTCGGTGCCGTTCTCGCGATCGACCTTCATCCAGTCACAGAAGGTGGCAGCCGACTGGATGGTGATACCCTTTTCACGCTCCAGGTCCATACTGTCCATCTTTGCACCAACAGAGTCCTTACCACGGACTTCGTGGATGGACTTAATACGACCAGTGTAGTACAGGACACGCTCGGTGGCGGTCGTCTTTCCACTGTCAATGTGGGCAGCGATACCAATGTTTCTCAGCTTGTCCAGACGGGCGGCCTCCTTGGGGTTCAGGTTGTTGACAATGTCGGTCTGCGAGAGCGAGCTGGGGTCCTGCATGGCATGTTCGAGGCTCCATTGGTGTTAGCACTGGTTCGCAGGACACTTGTATGATACATACACAGCAGCGGCAGTACCGCTCTGCAGTCTCCTGGGCTGCCATGCAGGTGTTCTCTCGGTGTTGGCAGCAGTCTGGGAGCGCAACAGAGCGGGTGAGGCCCAGCGCGAAACAGAAAAGTTTCTGCGGCAAGCGTTGCGTGAAGCAACCTCGAGCGATCGCAATGCGCTGCTCTGCGCTCTGGCAACACCGTATACCCTCATCGTGTCAAGAGTGGCCTACCAAACGAATGTCTGCTTGGCGTGGCGGCTCAATCAACTGCACTTTTTCTGGTCATCATGGTCCGCGGCATCTCCCGTCCTCCGCGCCCTTTCCCGCATCCACCTCTTTTCCCCGCAACTTCCTTTCTCGTTCAAGCATTCCTCTTGCTGTCATGCAACATCTTCATTTTGGTCCACTTTAACCATGTCTGACCACGATTGTATTCTGGATAACCTGGTATGTTTCTAACGGAGAAGCGAATAGTGTGCGCACCACCATTGCTTAAGCCATGTCCTGATCCTCGTCGTTCTTCTTGCCTCCAACGATAGCAAGTTCGAATGTGATTGGTCTCTCACCGTTCTCATCAACGATCTCAGTAGGTTGCGCCTCGACATCCTTCATTTCTCCATCCTCCGTGTTTTCGTTCTCCGTATCTTCGAATCGAGTGTCGCCGTGCTTCTTGTGGTACGTTGCGATCTGGTGGTGAAGCTCTTTCTTTCCATCCTTTATAGCGCGCATCTCTGTATACCAGAACTGTAAGCATCGTCCAAGAATCAGAGCTGACAAAAAAACATACCGGGTGTGTCATCTCCGAATTTGATCAGTCCTTTACCCTTCAAATTTCCTCTGGTTCCACCAATGTACTTGTTGTATTTCTTGAATGCTTCGATGAGCATATCGGCGGGAATTGGATTCTTGCAGAGACACTCGATGATAAAGAGCTCGAGGCGTTGCAGTTTCTTGACTCTGGGAGCCTTGTCGGCGAAGATGCTCCAGGTGCGGTTGGCGTGGTTGATGAATGAAGAGTAGAAGAGTGCATATTCGTGAATGTCGGGCTCGCTCAAGAACCACTCGGTGACTTTCTGGTTGTCATCACACCACAACCAGTTGTACTGTAGCGTAGTAGAAGACATGCTGCTGCTGCTGCTGCTGCTGCTGCTGCTGCTGCTGCTGCTGCTGCTGCTGCTGCTGCTGCTGCTGTTGTTGTGGTTTGAATGGAAGAAGGTCAAGTGGGTGGCAGTCGAGCGGAAACAAACTATCCAAGGACGGAGCCAAAGAGTGAAACTTAGCTATTGAGAGTGAAAACAAATCCCTGCGTCTGTCAACCGTGATCTTTTTTTTCGAGAGTGTTGTATGAGTCCTTCACAACTCGAGATTCCGACAAGGCTCTCACTAATGCTTGTTAGGATGTTTGTTCCAAGAAGAATCTCACATTGAAGGCATTGATATCGTATAGCTCATGGTATACGCCAACAAGGCTTCCAAAAAGAAGTTTACTTCGCCGCTCCAGCATAATCCATTCCGGAGTACAGCAGATGAAGCCACAATCGATGTGCAGAAGATGTAAACAAGTATCATAAGCCCCTGAATCGAACCCAGAACCTCCGGCCAAAAACGGAAAATGCAATCAACCAGTTGGCGTGCGCTTGACCACTACACTAAAGTGTAGCTATCGAAAACGGCGACAATGGTTGGTTTGCTGAGGGGGCGGCTACTTTCCTACAATATACACTGCGTATAGCCAATGTCATATGTGGAACCCTTGATGGAAATGCTTCAGGTTGCCAGTGCAGCCCGCTCCTTGCCTAACGCTCTTCGACAACCTACAATGATATCTGCTTGGACTTCTTCTACAAAAAGTTGTGGTTTCTAAACATATCCACAGGGACTTGTTCCCCTCATAGCAATAGCGAGCACCTATGTAGGCTATGAAGATGCACAATCTCTTCCAGACCAGAGGCTGACTCAAGAAGAGCCTCAATAATAACATCTCATCATGGGTTATACTCCACATCTACAAAACATCGTGCATTTGTGTAGATATACAGGTAACAGGTACTCACGGACTAAGTGCAAGAATAACAGGAGACTAGAAGCTCTCAGAAAGCTCTGTGATGCCCCCAGATATGGTCAGGAGATCGATCATACCAAAGAACTTCTGAAACACGAAGAGCAGCATACTGCTAGACAGTGCCCATGTGGCGCATGTGGACTCCTCTTCGGCTCTCTTTGGGGTCGGTTGGAAGCGTTATGCAAGGTTGAGAACGCAGCAGCCATCCACGCTTCCACTCCAACCGCTAAGTGCCACTGCCTAAAGCCGAGATATGGTTCAACATCACACATGACTGCTTCTGGACAGGGAGGTAGCTTACAGCAGCCACGTCAGCTGCGGCTTGCGTAACGCCAGCAGCAACCTCATACATCCGGACAATGCTGCAGACAGAGTGTGTCATGATGTGTTTCAATGGAAGGGAAGAATGAAGACGGGTACCTATGGCATGACCCAGGTCTGTTCTTACTTCACTTGCAGAGCTTCCACTGATGATACCTCATGAGATGACATGGCTGCTTCAGGGATATATGTATGACCTTGAGACAAACGAACGGGGCGCAAAAGAATAGTCAATTAGCCCCTGAGTCGAACACAAGCCTTGAGAAAACAAAAAAGGGACCGATTGGTGGTCGGGCGCTTGACCACTACACCAAGGTGTAGCTATCGAAAGCGGCGACTTTGGTTGGCCCCTTTGAGAGAGAGAGGGGATCTGCAACTATTATAACACTCTCGATTTCGTTGCAGGGTGATGGCGAGTACAACGAAGGTTTGAGTGTAATCGTGATCAGAGCAGAAAGGTTATCAAGGAGACAAAGGTATTGGGAAAGCAAAGCAATTGGTATAGTGCTGAAAAGCAGAAATCAGGGGTATAGTGCTACCGCAAAAGAGAAAAAGAGAGCGACTACCATCTCAACCAGCCATGGTAGAGAAGCAAAGCAGAAGAAGCGAGCCCTCGTGGCGACTTGCAGTGCCTGGCGCACTCTGTTTCCTCATCATCGTCATAATACAGCTCCATGTTCTTGTTCTTGTCCCTGTCGTCGATGACCAACCAACTTCAGTAAGTGTTCAGGATTTACTTCTTGGTGAGGAAGAAGTCCTTCCACTCCTCGTCATCGTCATCATCCTTCTTGCTTCCAACGTAGGGGAGGTCACCGAACTTGACAGGCTCCTTGCCCTTTCCCTTGTCCTTGACAGCGGCAGGGGCGTTGTCGGCAGCAGAGAGCTCAGTACCCATGTCGTTGAGCGACAGCATGGTCTGCTCTTCATCCTCCATGCCGACGTCCTCCATGTCTTCATCTTCGTCGTCTTCAGCAGCTTCGTTGGCGTCGGCGCGAGAGCACAAGTGTCTGGTTGCGGCAATGAGAGTGTACAGGTCATCGACTCCCTTCTCGATTTCAGCATCCTCTGTGAGGCAACAGGGTCAGTATAGGCACAGAATAGGGGTTCAGGGTCAACCGTTAACTTACTGGGGTGCTCCTCGTCCCACTTGATGAGACCGGTCGACTTCAAGTCACCCTTCAATCCTCCGATGAGCTTGTTGTAGTTCTTGAGCACTTCGATGAGATCTTCAGCAGGAATGGGGTCCATCAACAGGCAGTCAACGATGCTGGCCTCCATGGGGTTGAGCTGCTTGGCCTTGGGGTCGGTTGACTTCTGCCAGGCTTTGGCGGCAGTGTTGACAAAGGAGGAGTAGAACAGGGAGTAACGACGACGGTTAGCCAAGCTCATGTACCACTGAGTGACTTTGGAGTGGTTGTCGCACTTGAGCCACTTCAGGGGAAGGTCGGCATGCATAGTAGGGCGACGAGGAGGGCGAGCACCAGACATCTTGATGATAGCGACCTGGTTGTTGTTGTTGTTGTTGGTGGTGGTGTTAGTGGTGGCGGCCTGGATCAGAAGATCTCTGACCACTGCTTGCGCGGGCGGAGTTGTTGTTGTTGCAGAAGGGAGAAGGATCTGTCGCAGGAAGGTTAAATCAAGCGTGGTGGTGTGAATCGGCGAGTGAGAGACAAGAAGGCGGAAAATTGATCGAGTCGTCTATGCTGAAATGTCACTTCCGTCGATAGGGAGATTGACCAGATAGATTTTCCGTTGGCGATCTCGCTCATTGACTGACTGTAGAAACCAGTTCTCGCAGAAACCTCGAGCTGTTGATTGAGAGTTGCAAAGCTGTACTCTCGATATGGAAATTACTTGAAGCAATAGCAATACTTTCTGCATTGTGAGGGCATCTGATTGTGTCAGCCAACATGTATGGAAGACCAATGACACCTACGGATACCATATCATGGTTCAGTGTATGCAACCCTAGTTAGCAATTGATGTGTAAACGAACCCACTGATAGTTTTTGAGATACCACGTGCAGCATACTCGAAGATACAGATATTCTACAATACTCCTAGTGTATTTTACGTCAGATCCATGGCATTAGCATACCATCGGTGAAGTCTTCTTCTTGTTAGCCCTGCACTGCAGTGGACAAAAATTGAAACATGAGAGTCAAGAGGATCGAACTCGAGACCTTGTGAGGAAGAAAAAAGATAGGACCGCCAATTACTCGTGCACTTGACCACCACACCAAAGCGTGGCTACCGAAGCGGCGAGACATGACTAGTCCGTTGAGAAAGGGGCAATCTGGCTTGAACATAGGGCTTACTTTCCCATACAGAGTCCCAAGATCTTGGTGTGATTTTGGTCCAGCCTTCTGATGATTGCTAGACGCTGCTCAGAACATATGCTAATCATCAGCGGAAGAAAACGGGATCGAAAAGAGTAACGGTCGACAGAGCCTGGATCGAACTGAGGACCTTCAGACGACAAAAAAAATTGCTCCAATCAATCGTTCGTGCACTTGACCGCTACACCAAGGTGTAGCTATCGAAGCGGCGACCTCTGATTGGTGCGTTATGTAAGGCATATCTTGTCTCCAATATGAAGCCTACTTTGTCACCGAATAGCTTGAGGTTCAGCTGCCATACAGCCGTTGCTTCCACTGAGCTGTTTCCAGGAGAGTGTTCCCCCTGGACAAGGTGCCGTGCTCATAAGCCGTGCTAAAGATGTCCAAGTCCTGAGACTATTCATGACCGACACATAGACACAGTCCAGAAGTCTATCAATATTCAGGCTTCGATTGGCCATCTTCCTGGGAGAAAAAGGATCCGGGTGGGTCATATCGCCAACATTGAAGGTCTCTGAGAAATCTGTTGGTCGACATCGAGCCTTGGGTCCGGATACCAGGATCTGAATGATATCGAGGATAGCAGACAAAGAAACTATACAGCTATGATACCTTTGTGAAGATATTCATGTTGGCTGCTGCCGAGGAAAAGTCAAGAGATCAAGAAAGCAGGAGCTGACGTTGGAAGAGGAGGTTGAAAGGGAGAGTCCGTGCACTTTCCATATTGGGTACCATCTCTTTTGCTATACGCAGACAATGCATGAACTGTAAAAATACACAGATATCTTCAGACTTAGGACTATCTCGAATGAGAGTACAAGAATTTTCCTACTCTCTATGGGAGACTCTGGAATGGCAAACATCATTGTGTGTTTTTATAGCACCCCTGGGAGAAAGGAGCAACGAGGAGATGCGAGCCCGACATCGATACTTTTGGTACATGACCATGATCTATAGCTTACAACTTAGAGACTGCCGATTCAGATGCCCGTTGCATCTTCTAGCACTCCATGCATCGAGGCAATCCCTCTACCAAACAGTGTATCCACCATCTACAACAATCTGACTACCTGTCAAATAGCTGCTGGCATCACTAGCAATATACACAGCAGTGCCTCTGAACTCTTCCGGCTTGGCAATTCTGTACAGAGGAATGTCTTTGATCCATCCTTTGCTGAGTTTCTCCATCTCCTCGCCTTCGTTGGCAGCGGTCTGGATGTAACCTGGTGAGATTGCATTGACGCGGATGCCGTGCTCGCCCCATTCGCTGGCGAAAGACTTCATCATCTGTACCACTGCTGCTTTTGACTGATAAAGAAGGTTAGAGATGTCAGCCAAGAATGGAGATCAAGGACTCACAGTGTTATAGGCAGATTGCTTCTGAGGGCGATTGACAATAACACCCGACATACTCGAGACCATAATGATCGATCCCTTAATGCCATTCTTGATCATATGATGACCAGCCTCTCTAGCAAACAAAAACGTGCCATTAACATTGACATCCAGCATACTCTTCCAATCGTTAAAGTCATAATCTTCAGCTGCAACACCACCAGTAATTCCAGCATTCAGGCACATAACATGAATTTTGCCGAAGTCCTTTTCGATCTGAGCCCAGGTTTTCTTGACGGCAGCTTCGTCGGCGGTGTTGCATTCATAGGGGCGCAGATTTGCTTCTGGGAGGCCTTTTTCTTTTACTTCGGCATTGATTGTTTGGATTGACTTGGCTGCGCTGTCGAGGGAAAGGTCGACGACTGCGCCATGGCCGCCAGATAGGCAGAAGGCTGCTAAGATTTGTTGGCCGAGACCTTGTGACGCGCTGAAGTTGGTGTCAATCGATCGTTGTTATACCTACTACTTGGATGGAGATGATTTACCCGGTCACGACGCAGACTTTGTTTTCGAGAGTGAAGCACGGTAAAGTACTGACACGACGGTAAGTTTCTCTTTGACGAAACACATGTTGATGAAGTTGTGAAGCTCTGGCAAGTGGACGAAGGAATCGCGAGAAGCGCACGTACGGTGGCATGGTGATGGTTGATGGAGAAGTTTGGAGATTGTCCTTTGCGATGAACCTGGGTACGATGAGGTGCTACGGTGTCGTGTGATGTTTCAATGATAAGGAAGTCACGTTCGCTCCTACCTACCTATCTCTCGTTCTCGTGGTTACACAAAGCCAAAAAGCTCTTGAAAGGTCGCGCGTCACAATTCGCTCATGCTGCAATCATATTCGCAAACGAACACTTTTGCCCGAGAAGCTTGGCTTGGGAACGAAAGAAGTAAGCCCCATCGTCGGGCAAGCTCGGTCACTCATCTGATCGTAGATATAGCTGGAATTATTCTTGACCAACAATGGTCGCTGTTGTGCACGGAGTGGGAGTGCGAGGTGGAAGAGGTGTGGTCGAAGCAAACGCGGAACAATTCCATGCTCGAGGTCCCCACTGCCGCTTCCCCAGCCGCGTTGGACAACGATGACGGAACTTAGTTGACATTTCTAATCAATACAATTACCTGCAGTCTGGAAGCTCAATTGTTCTACTCACAACCACCGGTGGAGCCCTCTTGTCCTTCAAGTCATTCACACATACCGCCAAGATGAGTTCAGACAAGGAGCAGCACCAAAACAACCCCACGGCGCAAGAGATGGAGCACACCAAATACGATGCCGAGAAGGAAGTCAAACGCAACCCCCACCCCGACTTCAAGAAAGTCGAAGCCTCGCGTCCAGACTGGCCAGAAGAGAACAAATGGCACTATACCAAGATTCGCAACCCAGACTGGAAGCTCGGCGACGGCGCAAACGACGGCGGTGAATGTCTAATGAAGGAACACGTCGAAATTGATCCTTACGCCGAGGGTCGTCCCGCCGTATTCAACTACAAGCTCTTGATCTCGGCCATCATCCCAAGACCTGTGGGTTTCGTGTCGACAAGAAGCAAAGATGGAAGCAGTACCAATTTGGCGCCTTTCTCATACACACAACTGGTCAACCACGACCCGCCTGTTTTCGTCATTGGATATGCGGGTGGCATGAGTCAAGCAAAGGACTCGTTGAAGAACTTGACAGAGACTGGCGAGTGTGTTCTCAACATCATCTCTGAGCACTTCATCGAGGCCGCCAACAGCACTTCTATCAATGCTCCCTATGGTGTCTCTGAATGGGCATTGAGTGGCTTGACCCCCGCACCTTGCACTCAAGTCAAGGCCAGTCGTGTCAAAGAGGCCATCTTCGCTGCAGAGTGCAAGTTGATGAACACGCAAGAATTTGAGAGCAGAGCCACTCCTGGCAAGAAGACTGGTGTGCTTGCTATTGTCGAGGGTGTCAGATTCTGGGCTCGCGAGGACGCAATCAACGACGACCAGAACTTGATTGATCCTGCCGTACTCAAGCCCATTGCCAGACTTGGTGGTATCACTTACTCACGTATCACAGAGGGCTTTGAGGTCCCTCGTCCGGATTGGAACGAGAACAAGGATTCGGTTGACAAGCTCGCAAAGCCAAAGGTTGATGGTCAATAAACATATACATAGACAAACACACATGGGAAAGCATAATCAAATCGTTGCCGGAATCTTCCTTAAATTCTGTTGTTCTTGACGAAGCTCGGACTTTCTCCTTGAGTCCCTCTTACTACCCTATTCTATCCTTCGCGAAATGCCCCAGATTCGTAAACCTTCGACCGAAGGGTTCTTCCTGCCTCATTAAAAACCCACTGGGAAAATAGGACGAACATCCAGTGGGAAAAGAGTTACGAAGAAGACCGTGAAACACAAGCATCTTTAAAGATGACAAGTTATGACTGTTAATTCCCGTTTTCTCTGCCATCAAACTCGTGTTGTCCTTTCTACCCCTGTTTCAGGGTGTGATAGTGCACAACACTCTAGCAGGTTTTGTATTGGAGCAGAAAGCATGGTCTAAATTTCCATACGCTCAAATCGTCAGCCTCAGTCATGATCAAGATCATCTTCACCAACGTGTCTTGGTAGAACTAGAGGCGGTTGCACTCGAGGCAGTTGCACTCGAGGTAGTTGAACTCGAGTCGTCGCAATATTCTGCAGGATAAGGATAGATATCGCAAGCACTGGGTGGAGTTGAAGTTGTGCTAGAGCTGGTAGAGCTCGTAGATGTAGATGTTGTGGATGTCGTGGATGTGGTGAATCCGACAGGTTTGACGGACTTCTCAGTTCGTACTGCTGTCACAGGGATGTCAACATCAGTAGTGTATGGTGATGTGAAGTGGTAGCGTGTCATGGAAACAGTTGAGTTTGTCGACTTGATTGACTTGTGGGTAGGCTCAACGTAACCAGATGGTAGTGCTGTCAAGGGAATGTCCACAACAGTAGTGTATGGGTATGTAAGGTGAATGCGTGTCATGGAGGCGGTTGAGGTTGTGGACTTGATCTTGGTGGACTTGACTTTGGTGGACTTGACTTTGGTGGACTTGACCTTGGTACTCTCGGTAGGCTCAACGTGACCAGAGGCATCAGATATTGACTTCCCAGCTGAGAGTGGTGTCAAAGGGATTTCAACGTAAGTAGTGTATGGCGATGTGAGGTAAATGCGTGTCATGGAAGTGGTCTCGGTCAAGTTGACTTCTTCACGTCGGCTGATCGATGCCAGCTGGGGGAAGGGCGTGTGGTCAAGTGCTGGAGTAGAAACGTCAACACTGGACACAGCTGCAACAGTCTTGACGATAGTTACGAAGCTTGTGGCCTGCACAGCCATTTGGCTTGCGAAGCAGGACAAGATAACAGTGGTGAAACGCATCTTGTAATGTTGTTTTCGGAATTGAAGTTAACTTTGGAGTTGAAGTTGAAGTTGTTTGAAGTTGACCTTGACTTTTCGGGAACAGGTAAGTTGAGGATGGATGGTGAAAGTGAAAAGTTGTTCATGTGCGCGAAGTATTTATACTCGAGGCGACCGAGCGCAAGAGCCCTAAGCTTGAGAGTTCAGGCAACAGTCACACCGAGGCGGAGCATGAGAGTGTTTCTTGCAAGGAACATATCGAGGCGGAGCATGAGAGAGTTCATTCTCGCGTGGCAGGTTGTGGGGGCGGCGGATGAGCAAATATATCATCCAAAAATATCTCTTTGATACGGGGTATAAATCACTCATCCTCTTCATCTTCCTCAGCTTGCAGGTCTGGGTTCAGGACCTGACCAATAAGCTTCATGGTAGCATTAAGTGGTAGACCGACAACGTTGTCGTATGAACCGTCAATCTTCTCGACAAGGATGGCGCCCATGCCCTGGATACCATAGCCACCTGCCTTGTCGGCACCTTCGCGAGTCTTGACGTACGCGAGAATGAGTTCGTCGGATACTGTGGTCATGATCAGTAAAGTGTAGGAGAATGGCACAGTGAGACGGGGGTGAATATACCTGCAGAGTCAAACTTGACGTTGGTCTCTTCGACGTGTCTCTTCAAAGCATAGCCTGGGTCCATGGCACTTTCTAAGGGAGCCATACAGACGACAGCTGTGTAAACCTTGTGCCAGCCGCTGTTCCTCAAAGCCTTGAGGACTGAAATGTGCTCTCTCTCGCTTCTTGGCTTCTCCAGAATGTCGCCCATGGGGCTCACAACAACCGTGTCGGCAGCAATGACCAGGGCGGGTTCGCCTTTTTCAGAATCAATCTCTTGACGGTAGATCAAAGTGCATTTTTGCTCTGCTGTTTGTAGGACGTATTCGAAAGGAGCAAGCGTCTTGCTGAAGTCTTCCGGAGCTGTGCAGGGGATGATCTCCAGGTCTCGCAGGCCAATTTGGTTGAGAAGCTGCTTTCGTCGTGGCGAGGCGGATGCCAGAATGACTCTCTTGCCACGAAGAGCCCGTAGGGCGGGAAGCTCGAGGGGTAGAGGAGCGCGGGCAATTTGTTGGCGGACAGGAGCGGGTGCGCCAGCGACGAGAGGAGTGTGTTCCGAGTCGGCATCGTAGGCCGGCGGCGGCTCGAGAGGAGTCTTCTGGTCTGACATTGTGCTTGTGGATGTTGTGTTCTGTCGTTGTAAAATGCTGGTGCATCTCAACTTTCTTGTGCTCCTGTCGATGACTCGGGCCCGTTGTGCCGATCGACATCATCCCGCCCGCCATTCGTTTCACCCCGCCATCAACATGAACTACCTAGGTAACTATTTACAATTATCCCATCCATTCTTATATTTCTCCTCATTTCTAATGAACATAGCGTCGATCAAGGTATTCGAACCGGTTCTAGCACACTGAAACAATGGACAAGCTTCCAGATGAGATAGTACTCCAAGTACTTTCCTGTAAATGCACAAGCTTCGTAGCATGCAATTCAGATACTAACGTCTTCTAGTCTTGGAAGTCAAAGACCTTGTCAGATGCCAGTATCTATCTCGTCGCTTGCTAGACCTATGTCGAGATGACAATCTTTGGAAACTAGAATGCTTTGATGCGTCACGAGCAGAGTCAAGACGCAGACGCCAGAGAGTTGATCCTACAAACACCCAACTTCATACTTTAAGATCTGCTTTCAATGAATTCTCTGGACAGCCATCGCAAGCCCCCGATCAAGAAGCTACGCCTGAGCTATCGCCCGCTGCACAGACTCAACGTGCTTTCGCGAATTGGGATCCTTCTTATGGGAATGAAACTGTCAACTTCTATGATGAGTACATTCACCGCCATGCTCCCATCAATGTTGGCTGGATGTCCATGCCGGGTGACGAGCCTCTGGAAACCACTGGACTTGGTCTGATCCAAGATTCCGACGACAACCCCCAACACCTTGCGGCATCTTTGGATGATGGCAGTGTTTGCATATGGGATGTCCGACCAAGATATACAGACTCGGATCATTCACAGGGGCGCATTGTAGGCAAGAGCTCTCCGGGATTGCTTCTAGGTGGCTCTCATATGCGTCAGTCTCGTGAGGAGGTCAAAGCAATCATGACAGAAACAGGCGCGGTTGAGTCTGTGAGCATCGACAACAATAAAGGAAGAGGCTACTTCGCTCAGAATAGTACTCTCGTCGAGGTTGATCTTGCCACACTTCAAGTTATCTCAGAGGAAACGTTCCCTTTCCCTGTTGCTGCTCTGTCGCAATCTCGCGATTCAAGTCTCGTTGTAGGCACCAACTGGACCATCCACATTCACGACCCTCGCAACAAATCAAGATCAGCTGTGAATCCTTCTTTGCAGTGCGAGATCATAGGCGGACCTGCATCAAACCATGCTCTTCTTTCACAGCCTGGACCTCTTTCGATTTTAGATCGAGTACAAGACGAATCCATCTGGGTCGCTGGCAGATTTACCCACTTGCTGAATTATGACCGTCGATTCTTTCCGAAAGTACGCGGCACAGTACACTCTGGAGGACGCATATCATGTATCACAGAGACGGCACGACCGTATGTCCCACGCGCCTTGGACTTACTTCAAGATCCTACAATATCAATCTTGGATGTACATGCTGCAAAAACAGCTCCTGGTTCAACCATCTTGGCTGCGGGCGAATACAAAGGCAAAGGCAGTCTTGAATTCTACGGATTGGCACTGTCAAGCTCAGGATCAATTGTTACAGAGAGCTATCGAAATCGGCAAACAGCAGCTTCTACTCGACTACTATCGGTAACAGCACATGGAAGTTCTACAGTATTCAGTGATGGCGACGGCAACCTGAAATGGATCGAGCGAGATGGCATGACGACTATTCGAACATACAACATAAATGAGGCCAATGACACGCCTTCTTTCAACCAAGCACAGAGTGCAGCTCAAGGACCAGACGACGAGCCATCCCAAGGAGACATTGTACAAAAGATCATGCCTCTACAGATTTCGACAAGCTCGTGGTCCAGCAAGAGGCCAGATATCAACCAATCAGACCTGATACTCAAGACAGGCGACGGTCGGATAGGAGTGCTCGGATACGGCCACAAGACACTATATGCTGGAGAAGAAGAGGAAGTTATAGTGGAGACTACTGAGGAGAGGGTCAGAAGAGATGCTGAGAAGCAATACCGAGAGACGCTAGGACGAGCGTTACAGAGTCAGGCTGACGAAGTGAGGTTCATGAGAGGCCTAGGCATGGCATTTGGCATGAGTTAGGGGCTCTGGTAGATATGCAAGCTTCAATGGAGTGACTGGCCGAAGCTCTTCCAAGATTTGAGTGGTTTTACTGTGGTTACAATCCATACAACTTGATCCCTTATCAACAAGGCAAGCGTGTCACCGAGAACTGCCTCGACATCTGCCCGGTCAATCCAGCGTACGTTCCGTGGCATTGTATCAAATCTCCTTACTCTTTCTCGAAGACAATGCTCGTGCTTTCCATCCGTAGCTTCTATCGCCTGACTGACACCACAAGCGTCACTACAGAAAGCCGTATCGACATCGACCCGGCTATCGAACGTCGGTCGCACCAGCACCAGTTCTCATGGGCAGAGAAGGCGAGATGCTGGACGCAAAAGCCGGGACTGGTGAAGCGGGAGCAGAAGTCGAGCCCTGGTGAAGCAGAAGCTCGACTCGTTTGGATATGGTTGTTTAGCATACAGAATGTCTACTATATAGAATTCATGCTGCGTATAAAAGTCGAGCATGCGACAGGAAACCCTCAATGGAGTGACTGGCCCAAGCTCTTGAGCAGTTGAAGCAAGTGAGGGGCAAAGGGCAACTCTTCTCCACACTCTCACGTTTGCCCCACCATCGAACAAACAATCTTCTACCGCGATTCAATTTCATCGCAAGCAAATTCGATGGGTCTTAGGATGGATGATATACATGCGCCGACTGTGGCGTCGGGGCCCAGTAGCACACAAGCGAATGGAGCAGAAAGAGAGAAGTTGTCGCTGCCAGAGCTCATCGCAGAGAAGGATCGCGTCTGGAGCGAGCTGACTGCACTGGGCTCCGTCCTAGACAGCGTATGTCTCGCCTCGCTGGAGAAGTGGTATGCCTGAGCTAACGAGTTTGTGCGCAGCATGGAGTCAACATGAACACCCCACTGACCACATTCGACGGCTATCCTCGCCCTGACCTCGACATTGCCCAGATTCGCACGACACGCGCCCGCATCATCCCCTTGAAAAACGACTACAAAGACCTGATGGCTCGTATTGAGAAGGCCATGCATGCGCACTGGGAGAACGCCGCAGCAGCACCTCCGCCAGTGGCAGCAACACAACTTTCATCTCAAAGTGCCGAAGCAACACCAGGCTCGCGCATCGCACTAGAAGCACCTTTTGCCAAAGTAAACAGCGTAGTCGCATCATCACCAGCCGCAACAGCAGGTCTCAAGCCTGGCGACAAGATTACAAGATTTGGAAATGTGGATTGGATGAATCACGACAAGTTGAGCAAGGTAGCGCAGACAGTGCAGCAGAGTGAGGGTGTTGCCATCACCGTCAAGGTCATCAGGCCTGCAGCAGCAGGTGCTGGCGAGCAGAGATTGGAAATGCAGCTTACACCACGACACAACTGGGGAGGCAGGGGCATGTTGGGCTGTCATCTGTTGCCTCTGTGAGGATAGGCTAGGCAACAGCAGGCCGAGATTCAACAGAAAGAAAGACGCAGGTCGCTACGAAACTGCGGCAATACTACCCAACCTTCGTCTCAAGATAGCATGAGACAGCAATACCTCAGCTGAGAGATAGGCAGCAGCACGGCATCAGTCAGCGAAACAGCAGATGCCGATGAGAACAAGCTAAGCTGTATACCAAGACAGGACAAGACAAGGCAGAGCACATGACAGCATTCCATGGAGTTTGATTTCTGGGGAAATGGTATAGGGTTGGCATAATTGCAGCATTACAGCCTAATGCTTAGAAATCAAATTTGCACAGTTTTTCCCAATGAGAAGCCAGGATTGAACGATCATAACACTGACATCACGATGCAGCTTTTGTCTGCTGAGATCGAACGGTGAGGCAGCAATAGAGATCGGACCAGCAGTTTGCAGACTGAATTACTAAGACAGAAGACGTTGAGACAGGCAGACAAGGCCAAGTGAGAAGATGCTGGCTGAAAGGGTGGACAGAGAGACAGATTGTGTGGTAAGCAACGGATGTGTTTGTTGTTGACTGGGAAGCGGCGGCCAACGCAGACGCCAAGGCCTTGCGAGTGAGAGGAGAGAAAGGGAAAGGGCAGACGCTCGGACCATCAAAATGGGCTCGAAAAACATGATTGCCATCGACCGTCAACACCTCTTGCTCTTGTTCATCCACCACTCACCCATACCCATCTCTCCCGTCAGTTCCCTTGCCAGCCTTTATAAGCTAGCGTAGCATCCATCTCTGACTTTGTCCACAGCTTTGTCGCTTTACTTCACACTAAACCGACATCACAACAATGGCTGAAGTTCCCACCTTCAAGCTCGTCCTCGTTGGCGACGGCGGTACCGGCAAGGCACGTTTATCTCCCCGTCTCGATCTCGCTTTGTCCGACGACTTGCGCATCGTTTCCATCCGTTCACAGTGAAAGAGTCACCCAAAACTGACTGGATATCCGCAAAACAGACCACTTTCGTCAAGCGTCACTTGACTGGAGAGTTCGAGAAGAAGTACATCGCCACTCTCGGTGTCGAAGTTCACCCTCTCGGCTTCACCACCGTACGATTTCCCTCCTTGGCTCGATAAAATGCGCCAACCACTAACCCCTGTGACAACAGAACCTCGGCCAGATTCAGTTCGATGTCTGGGACACCGCAGGTCAGGAGAAGTTCGGTGGTCTCCGTGACGGTTACTACATCAACGGACAGTGCGGTATCATCATGTTCGATGTTACCTCGCGTATCACCTACAAGAACGTCCCCAACTGGCACCGTAAGCTCCAATCTCCTCCCAGCCCCGCCTTTTCAAGGGCCTAGGATTTCCAGCCCCGCTAACATGCCCCACCCACAGGTGACCTCGTCCGTGTCTGCGAGAACATCCCCATCGTTCTCTGCGGTAACAAGGTCGATGTCAAGGAGCGCAAGGTCAAGGCCAAGACCATCACCTTCCACCGCAAGAAGAACCTCCAGTACTACGACATCTCCGCCAAGTCCAACTACAACTTCGAGAAGCCCTTCCTGTGGCTCGCAAGAAAGCTTGTCGGCAACCAGACTCTTGTACGTCTTTTTCTGCAGTCTTCACGACTGTCGCGTGTTGCTAACATCGGTCCCAGGACTTCGTCGCTGCCCCCGCTCTTGCTCCCCCAGAGGTCCAGGTCGATGAGGCTGTTCTCAAGCAGTACCAGCAGGAGATGGAGGCTGCCTCCAACATGCCCCTCCCCGACGAGGACGATGCCGACCTCTAAGCGATTTCGCCATCATGGAATCGGGATTCGCTCATTCAATAGTCGAATTCCACATCTTCTAGATACCCAGCGGCACGCTCTTCCGTCATCAAAATGCACTTGCGGAGGAAATTGACTCGCGGCGGAAACACGAGGGCGGACCGCATCTTTGCGCGTCCATGGCTGATATTGACTTAATGACACTGGGGAGAAGGAATGGGTTTTTGCTTTCTTCCATCAATGAAAAAAACAACCACACCACACACATTCCGGCGGACCACCTTGAGCAGCCAAAGTAGACCCTGGCATTTTTTATTTGGAATCTGCAGCGTTTGTGCTTTCTTTTTTCTGTCCTTCCATCATCTCTACCAGCAGTCTCATTGCCCGAAAGAAACATACTTCACGTCGACGACCATCTAAGCATACTCTCAAAAAGTTACACAGAGATCGAGGAATAGAATGCACTCTTTCTGGTCTATGGTTTATCTTTCTGTTATGACTTGATATTAAATGACCTTGATGGTGGTCTCGTGAGCATATAGGTGAAGATAACACTATCGATGATGCCTTTGCATGTGCCCAAGGGTATGTTGAAAACAGTGAATCACTGTCTTATCGCTATAACGAGCATTTTTCCCAACCTGTAGAAACGACAAAAGTATGTTTGGTGTCAGAGAAGGTAAGAAATTAGTCCATATATATATTTCCTCGGGCATGACTCCGTTTCTCTGCATACAATGTTTTCGTATGATTGCCATTTTGTGAATAACACTATCGCGTGGCAGGACTGTCTTGGTGTTTCTCTGCATTCATGGACCTTTGAGAGTACGTTTGGCACAGAACTGGCACACAGCCGTGATCGAAGGAGGAGGGGTTTAGAAAATGATTTTGAGCGAAAAACGGTGAGGATGCGAGACTTGTGTCTCTATTCCTCACTTTTTTTTCGAAGAGAGAGAGGCATTCAAGAAATAAGTCTCTTCCCACACGGAACGTCTTTTTTTTTTCTAAAAATTCGATCATATACTTCATCTCTCTATTTTTCCTGTCGTTCGCGCAACTTTTCTGTAATGAGGTTTCAAATGCATAGCTGTGGCCGAGGCAGAAGATGGAATTTGACTAGACTCTGGTGCTGAAGGACGTATATCTGTCTTCTAATTTGTAGTATCTGAGAGGAAAGAGTCACCAGAATAGACCTTACCCCTAAGGGTACTTGGTTTATTTCTTTTAGTATACGGTATATACTCTTCTTCAAACCTGATTTGATGGTGCGCCCAATTAATATGCATTCAATTGTGTCATTTGACAAACTACTTGGCGACAGGCCGACTGGTTCTGTTGCTTCCTTCGCTTGAGCGGACTTCGAGGGGGAAATCTAAAGTGGCGATCAGAACTTGTGATCGAGGCAGAAGAAAGAGTTGACAAAAAAGCTCTAGTAAATGATAAAAGCTTGTGTTTTTCACTTTCTGGTATCTAAGAAGAGGGAGGCGGTCATCAGAGGTCATATCTCACCCTGAGCACACCACATGGTTCCATGCTCATGTGGTTGCTTCTCCTCTCTTTTGAGAGACTTTATGGTGTGGTAGGTGATATGTGTTTTTCTGTCTTTTGACCAACTTCCTTCTTCAAAGCTACTCGATTTGTTGCTTCTTTGCTTTCAGCGAGCTCCCAGAGGTATGTTTAATGCTAAAGCTGTGCTCGAAGAGAAAGCCAGAAATGACCCAAGGCTTTGGTGGTGAAGGATGCGTGTCTGTTCCTTGCCTGAGAACGGCTAGTGCATGTGTACGAAGATTCAAGTCATGATGTCAAATGTCTGCTCACAGAACCTCAACGGACGTGTCGCGGAAGCACAGGTGGATAAAGTTATCTTATAACAAGATATAGTGCTTTTAATCATCTAACTTGTGTCCTTTTAAATAAGAACTACTTCTTGTATCTACAGATCCTTAACCAAACTACCAGGACTAACATACTTCTTCGAACCACCAAAGTAGTAATATCCACCCGCGAGCACCCACATAGCACCCCAAATAACAATCGCCCAATTCATATCCGGTGCATCGGGATTGACATCTTCAGGGAAGAAAGAAAAGATGAAAGCGACAATCAAAAATGCTAATGCTGCATCATTGAGAGGGGCACCCCATCTACCCAGGTCAAATCGACGGGGCAGGAGAGGTTGGCCACGCCAACGCTTCAGACGCACACAGCCAATGCAAACGATATAGCTGAAAAGCAGTGCAGAGTTGGAGACTGACATGATGGCGTCGAGAGCAGTTTCAGAGCCATAGTTGATGGCGCCGAGGATGAGCGAGACGGCGAGACAGAGCAGCAGAGAATTGACGGGGACGTCCCAGCGAGGGTCCACGCGGCTAAGCCATTCGCTGAAGGGGAAGCCTCGATCTCTTGCGAAAGCCCAAGTTTGACGAGATGAAGATGCGATAGTGGTGATGGCGGAGAAGTATTGGAGAATCAAGAGGATGACGGTCATGACAGAGGTTCCAGCCTTGGAGCCTGTGACGTTGTAGAGCAGCTGCACGACAGGAATTCCAATGCTGCTGTTCATGATGTTGTCCAGGTTGTCGCCAGCAGCAAAGCAGAAACTGATAATCATGACACAACCGAGTGCACCGTTGATGACAGTCGCCCACATCATGGCTTTGGGGAGCACGCGAGAAGCATCGCGCAACTCCTCGCTCATGTGTGCGCCTGCATCAGGACCAATGAAACACCAGATAGGAGTGACAAGACCGACAAGACAGGAAACACCTTGGCTGCTCCAACCGCCACCATTAGTGAACTCGGTAAAAACAGTCTTGGCCGAGCCAACGTCAGCCATGACCCAAAAGACGATGAGGTAGGCGAAGAAAGCCAGAACGTGAAGCACAAGAATCATGCCTTCGGCAAGAGGCAATTTGTGCGAGAGAAAGATGTTGAAGCCAAAAGTGATGAAGAGGAAGGCATAGAGCAAAAGGCCGACCTGCCACAGGCTTCCAAGATCCGCGTTTGGGTTGTTGACGAGAACAAGACCTTCGACTTGATAGGCGAGGAATTGTGCGCAAGAGGGGATACCAGACACCCAACCCAGCCATGAACTCCAGCCGACAATGTATGAAAGAGGCTTCTCCAATGATGGTGGAGCAAACTCACTGACCCAGTGGTACTGTCATCAAGTCAGCGTGAAATTCAGTACCGTAGGAGATCATAGGACATACCTGACCGCCTGCAGTCGGTGCCATGGAAGCAAGCTCAGCCATTGACGCGATCATACATAGCGTGAAGAGCCATGTGATGATAAAAGTCCATACTGTGCCCGCTAGACCACCATTATGCAACGATTGGCTGTTAGACAGGAGGGCACCTTCCCAAGTCGACTGAAGAATGCAAATGAATCCGACAACTGAGATGAAGCGAAATTCTCTCTGTTGTGTCCTGTTAGCAGCTTGTCTCGGGAGATCCAAACAACTCAAGTTTGCATACTCTTAAGACTTGCTTCTTGCCCATTCTTGACATATCGGCAGCGTCGGCATCGGTGCCCTTCTTGACTTCGGGTAAAGAGCCATTCTCCGAAGGCACCTCCTCAAAGGAGAGCCTGTGAGCAGGCTTACCAGTCACGGACATGACTTCTGAGTTTGCGGTGTATAGAACAAAGAAGTTTCAAGAGAGTAGGAAAGCAAACGAGACTGTTGTGGCTTGACCACGACTTTTAGTCTCGAAATCTGCCTGTTTCCAGAGCAGTGGTTCTTTCGGTAGTATAAAGCATGGACGACGACAACGTGCTCGGCTGCGAACCATCCAGGTCCACGATATCAGAGACGATCATTTTGGAGAACTTTTTCCACCCGGGGCTATCGTCAAATGAGCAACGCGATGTTGAGCCGGCGTGCGTCCTAGACCGACCAGCCAAAGTAAGCGGTTCGCTACATCTTGCGCGATGGTGTGCCTCCAATTACAATTGTGGGGTCCAGAGAAAGTAAGGCAATCTGGAACAGTGGTGGAGTGATACCTTCGAACCTATTACCGAACAAATTCTCGGTAGTATCGGGTCGTCTTGACATTGCGTTAACCCTGTGGCTTGTCGCACAAGACTAGCTACTCAACCAAGCGGAGCAGACCCTTCCACTCCATGTCACCTGGGGCCCGGTCATAAGCTGTCGAGTTGATCGTCAGATTACGAAAGTGATTTTCCCATCGGCTTGTTGTCGCATATTGAGTCTCGGCCGCGTGTTGACTTTGCGCGATATGGCAGCGACAGCAATGTGGCGACTCGACAGAAGGTCGAATGCAAGGACCAAAGGTCAGTGTCCAACCCTCGACACACGGTCGACCTGGTGATATTATTGCTCGAAGGAACAATTGAGTTTTTTTGGTTATACGAGAAGTCGTGGTGGAGTCTGAGAGCCGCCAAACGACAGATTGCATGGTTCAAACAAGCATCCTTCCGAGCGCCGTGCCGAAAGCTAAGGACCAGTGAAGCGTTCGACGACCTGAACAATGCGCCCTAGTAGTCCGACTGAGCCTCTAGCAAGCGAGATTTAATAGATGAAGCTATCAAAAACAAGCAAATGTCGCGAGATGGGTTCGCCAAGCTCGTGCCGACCGGCCAGGTCCGAAGCGTCTTCTTGTCTTTCCCAACAGTGCTTGACCATGAGCGTTACTTCCTTGTCCTCTTCGTTCTAACACTACTGAGGCCGTGCGACATGGATTCAAAACCAGGAAAGTGCAAGGCTTCACATGATAGCCCAACTCTGGAAACATTACACGAGAGCTGCTCGATCGAAAGCAAAGTCCACGCTAGCTGCCTCCGTCGATCAATTTGTATGACTGAAGCTGGAAGGTCGATAGCCTGCAGCCCAGCAACATGGGTGAAACGCACACACGGCCGGCTGTTCGCCATGTGGATCACACACAGGTCAACAGAACTCGTGCAAGTTTCGGCATCCTACTAGTATCAGCCAAAATATGCCGCCTATGAACGAGCTGTCCCTCGTACGAGAAACAGCTCGGCATCATTCACTTGTAGGGCGTTTAAAAAATCACGAGATGCAAGCTATAGAAACCTCAGGGAACGGGTCTCAGCTTACTCTACAGAATCCACCTTGATGTCCGAGCGTCCTATAATATCGCCCTAGACAAGATATTATCCGGACAGCAATCTGACGATTCTGGCCCTCTGCGGCAGAGAATGACAGCAATCACACGCCCTGGCAAGGCGGAGACGCTATGTCTCATCAGTTTGTCGCCTTCACACCAGCTTGTCTTTCTGCTGCGTTGAACCCTGCCTCTTCTTGCTTCGGCTCCGGCAGTCGACGGAAAGATTATGGACCCGAGTGCATGTTACTGTAATCCCACTATCGCTGGAAGGTCGCCACATATTTGCTAAAGACACAAAGTGGAAAACGATAGCTTCGAGTCTATCCTTCCTTCCTTTGGACTTTTCTTACCTGAGCGCTGGTCGTTTTCGAGCCATACTGTTTCTATATTGCAGCACTACCGACCTGATTCATGTACTTTCTTTCTGCTCTCTGTCCCATCATCAGCCCTATGGATCCTTGTCAAGTGCTTCGGAAGTAAAGAACATAACAATGGCCACTGACAATTCAGGGTTGGTCCATCATCTTGGATATGCAGAATCTTTGAATGTCGCCATCAGCATCTGCTTAACATACACATTGATCTTCACATGCGTCCGCATACATCTTCGGCGAAGCAGTTTCGGTGCAGATGATGCTGTCGTGATCGTCGCTACTCTTGCTGCGATGGCGCATTTTGCAGCTTCGTATGCTTGTCTTACAGCTGGTCTGGGCAAGCCATACGAGATGATCAAGGAGCACATCGACCGACTGAGTTCTGTGAGTTGGGCGAGCTCGTGAAGCATGATTCAACACCAACTGATAGCAGCTTAACAGAGAACGATCGCAAGTGCTGTGACCTTTGTCCTTGCTCTCTATGTTGCAAAGATTGCTGCCTTGGTCTTCCTCATGCGTATTCAGTCGAAGACGCGCACTACCTTCTTTTATCCGATACTCGTCCTCTTATATACCATCTTGGGTGTCGCAAGCGCAATCACAGTCACAGCGGGGTGTCCATCAAAATCAGGCTACTACTGGAACTTCGAGGGAAACAAAGACTCGTGCCCTAGCGAAGATCGCAGATGGCAGGCCATGACAGCTCTGGATATCGTCTCTGAGATCATCCTTTTAGCACTACCAATCAACCTCGTATGGTCATTACAGATGCCTCGGAGTCGCAAAATCATGGTCGTCGTAACCTTCTGGACGCGAGCTCCGTAAGTCATACCTTCCTGTCCGCGAGGTTTTCACGATCCTCCAGCTAAACAACTTTACGCAGTACGATAGCACTCTCGGTCATCCGTCAAGTCTACACTTCAAAGCTCGCCTCTTCGTCTGTTACCGATACCTCCCTTGCTAGCACCCTAGTAGTCATCCTCATGGCCGTCGAACTCACCTACGCTTTGATATCCTGCACCCTCACAACCTCAAAAAACTTCACCGATGGCTTCAGCACAGGCTTTGGCATGGGCCACATCCCCGGTGCCGCAGAATCCTACAATCTCTCCGCCGTAGGATCTTCCAGCAACCCACGAACACATCGAGGCGGAGCTGGCTACAAAAGCAACAAGTCTACCATGAAAGGAACAAACCACGGAACACAACTCAGTGGACACAGATTTCATGTCAAGACACCTAGTTTTGAAGATGACATTGATGGACCTATGCAATTGAGACCTTCGTGTCAGGGATTGGAGAGTAGGACGACTGTGCAAGCAGGGGAACAGAGATATTGGGGTGAAGAGGGGAGTATAAGCAGTGATGGTGGCCATGATGATCTGGTTATCGTTAGGCATACTGAGTATACTGTCTCTCATGATGAGGCACCTATACTTCCCAAGAGCACAGTCTAGATAGGATGTGATTTGGCAAAACAGAAATTTGTCGAGTAGATCAGATAGATACCCAAATATTGTTCCAGTCCTCGTGATCGATCCGCTTCGTCCGAAGCGCCTTACTTTGCTTGTGTTTGCAAGTGTTATCTGCGTAGCGTCTTGACCACTGGACCAAAGCTGCTGGGATTGAAAGTGCTAGAAGTTTGTTTGGTGATATAGTTGATGAGGGGTGATGTTGGTGCTTTCCTAGCTTTGGTGGTTTAGAAAATGCTTGAAGCTTTCGGGCAAGAGCAGCCTTTCTAATCCCAAACCGCCTTGCCAATTTCAGGTCTTTGGGCACGGAAAGATCACTATCTTGTTCGAGAGAAGGTTGATGACTGTTCGTGACTTCCACCGTACTCCATCTACAGCTAAGAGCGAAATGTCGACTATCAAAAGGCACAATTTTTTCCGGAAGCAGAGGCATGTCCACCGAGAGTCGACAACTGAATGGCTCTCAGTGGATACCATCTTGTCCCCCATTACCATTATGCATTTCTATAGCTGTACGCTTTCCTCTTTAGTACATGGGGAGGTGGCTTCTAGCGTGTAGAAAAGACCTTGAAGGTCTGCACATCCCTCTTGATCCTGTATAAGTCACCCAGCTTCAACTGCCATGAGTCTACCCATCTAGTGTCGGTGATTTCTTTGATGTCTTCAATATCAACCCGATGGTGTTGTAACCATGCCTCAATGGCCTCTAGGTCTTCGGGTCGAGTTTGCCATGCCGTGGCACCTCTTTCGTACTCTATGAAGCTGTGCAGTCGTTGGTCCGGGTCATTGACTGGTGGAGGGAGTGCAGATGGCCTGTTCGTTGAGAGTTGTGGTTGGCCGTTGGTTGTTGGGGCAAAATTCGGTGTATTCGTGTAGTCTGTGTTTCCGCCGAGAGATTGGGAGGGAGTGTGCAGGATGTGATGGTTGGGTTGTTGTTGTTGTTGTTGTGGCCGTGGCTCGGGTCCTGGTTGCCGGCCGCTGTCTTGTAAACCATCAGGCTGCTCTTCTCCCGGCCTAGAATCGGCGTTGCTGGTAGTCAGCAGTCGTCCAGCGACCACTCCGCCGTCCCATTGGAACATGGCATTTGAGCCGACCCGCACATTCGGGTTGGAGAGATCGATGGTTGCATTCTGCAATTGTTGTGGTGACGGTTGCTGAGATTGTGGCTGGTTTGGAGAGCGGGTGTCACCGGGCCTTTCAATGCGCCATGGTCTCGTGAACTTTGCGCGTTTGGAGGGCGTGTATTGAACGCATTTGTCGAGGTGCTTGACCAGCTCGGTCGTGTGCCAGCTACGTTCTTTTTGGCAATGCTTGCATACTGCGCGTTCGGTCCTGTCGCCGGGTCCTGGCGGCAATCGCGTGAAATTCTCTTCTACCTCTGGTAATGGTGCGCGGCCACCCTTGCGCTTTTGACTGTTAGGCTGAGGGGTGATGTTGACTACAGTTGACATGATGGTGTGAGGTGTTGCATGATGGTCAAGGGAGCAGCCGCAGGGTAGCTCATCTATTTCAGGAAAATCATGATGCTCTGACGCAACGCCAAGTCTACATAAGCTCCGAGGACTATGTATAGATAAATGTTTATCGAGATACATCATGTATTTTTCTGGCAAGGCTTGGTGTAAAGATAATATTGTTCGGGGGTTATATTGTTTGTTTGAGGTTTCTACCTCGAGCATGTTGAACGCCTTGCTAGTCACATGTACGTAGCTATGGCTATGCTTATCTGCGGTAAAATGTCCTGAGCTAAGCCCATGCAGTGTTTATGCATCGTTATCGCATCATCAACTGGAATTTGGCTTGCTGCATCCACGAGTGTTGGTTGTGCGTGCTCCTCCGTGCTTTGAAGGTGCACGTACAAAAATGCTTTATATATGCCATGCTTGACACATAAGCTGGCTGGTTCGAACCATGCAAATGCGTCGGCCTGCATGTTGCTCTGATGTCGCCATCGCGGCTTGTGAACCATGGTCGATATAGGAAGACGAGTCTTGGACCTTGAATCGTACGATGGCCTCGAAACTCAGACACCGGTGCCAGGAAACGCGCCCTTCTTGTTGAGCACGACCATTCCGTGGGCTCTTGAAATGTATCCTTTCATCATGCCCTTGTATATCAGGTTGGCAAGCAGGCACTCGACCTCATCACCCTCAAGCTCGGTCTCCCCACCGAGTCTCAAGGCAGCCGCAAATTCTTTCAGAGGGATACGGCTTCTCCGCACTGCCTCTGCACCATCTTGACCCTCTTTTGGTGCTTCGAATTCGCCAGCAAGATAGACCTTTCGAACAAGATTGCGAAGGCAGATATCTCGGCCACGTTCGAGGGTGAGATAAACTCTGCGCTTGACAAACTCATCTTCTCCGGCTTGGAGAGCAGCATCAAAACCTGCCAGGTCACCCTTCTTGATGCAGGCACAAAGCGGAGCAAAAAGACGCTGCAGACTAGGGTATGGTGCCAACATTGCCTGGGTTGGTAGAACGTGCGCTGTGATGAGTCTGGTCGGGATAAGATACGTCATGATCAGTCTGATGTTGCGAGTAGAACCCGCCAATGCTTTATTGTAAGCAATGGTTAGGTGCTCCTCAGCCTTTGCGTAATCCTCGTGCAAGAATTTGAGAACACCAAGGTAGTAGTTGTAGGTGACTTGCTGCGAGCGAGGGAAGCGATCGAGTGGAGGCAAGTCGGTATTCGTCGCCGAGAGTGATCTGATGACATTTTGCGAAAGAGCAATCGAATTTAGCTGTCAAGTCGTGTTAGTATGGGTTGTTTGGTGGAAGGAAACATATTATCACCTTGAAGTATGTCTTGAACTGCAGGTTTGCAATATAGTAAGCACCCCATTTGCGAGAAGTCTCGATAGGAGATCTGTCACCGATACAAAGACTGAAGACTCTGTTGATCTGACGCGCAGCATCCTCAAGCTTCTCGTTTCCTCCCGCTGCGTCGCCGACATCCTCCTCGAAAGCGTTGAAGGAAGTTTGACCCTTTTGAAAAGCAGCATCGTCGGCTTTGATAGCAAAAACACGCAGAAACTTGCCCACCAGATAAAGACAAGGAATCGTCCAGGCGTCGAAAACTTCGATCTGGTAACCTCTCAAGAGTACATTGAGGAGATCCTTCCAGGCATTGTAGACTTTGTCCCAGTTGGCGACCTTGCTTTGAGGTTTCGAGGCATTCTTCCCTAGGTTAAGTGATTCTTCAGCAATTAGAATCTCGCCAACAGCCTTCCAGTACGCGACAAAGACGTCGGTCCAGGGATTGATTTCCTCTCTTTCCAACTTGCAAGCAGGGTTATGTGAGAGAGCATGACGGAAGTCTGACTGGACGCTGAAAGCATTGGATTCTCTGTGCAGAGCATACAAGCGTCCACTATCATGTTTGGGAGCAACTGGCGACAGTGTGCTTGCAAGCCCGTAGCCATCCCTTGCCATCATGGCACGCCCAAAGTCAATCATTATGTTGTTCATCTTGCTGACGAAGTCTGCGCAGCCGCAGAACAGTGTAATCGATGATTTAGAATGAGAGTCTCACGCAAAGACCTACACAGGGAGCCAGCGACAACAACTCTGGCATGTGACGATGATGGTCGATGATAGATGGTCTGAGCTCGACTCGAGGCCAAGTGACGGCGAAAAGTAAAGCCGATCCGAGCTCAACTCTGTTGCCAAGCAGAAGGCGCACTCGAGTGACGGCTTGTTCCGCTAAACGAGGAGTCTGGCGTCTGAACTCCACCGAGCGCGCAGGAATTTCTCTCTCCCAAGCGACTTGACAATTTACGTTGTACTAACCTTCCAGCAAACGCAACAGTGAGTCTATCCCATCTGTCCGTCTCCAATCTCAATACTGACAATCATCCAAGATGGGTAAGCAAATTATCTTCCAAACACGTCTTCCTACCGCCGAGTTCGATCCACCGCCAATTTTCCTCCTCCATCCGCCCTGCGCGCAACCGCATCTTCGATCGCATCGTCTGCAATTCTGAATATGGTCCAATTTGGCTACGACTGTTCCGCTTGCAAATGTTCCGACACTATCGAAGAGTTTGACTCGGGTCACGGAGGAAACGAAAAACGCGCAAGAAAGAGGAGGGATGTGAAGGATCGAATCGGCTGGCTTCGTCGACTGTCAGCATCAAAGAGCAAGGATCATTGGGCTAATACCATACTGCCGTACAGGTCGCCTTCAAGAATACCAGGTCGTTGGCCGTCTGTTGCCCACCGATGCCAACCCTACCCCCAAGCTCTACCGCATGCGCGTCTTCGCTCCCAACGAGGTCGTCGCCAAGAGCAGATTCTGGTACTTCTTGTCTCAGCTGAGAAAGGTCAAGAAGGCAAACGGCGAGATCGTCACCCTCAACCAGGTACGACCATTCTCAAACCTCTACAATGCTATCTCCCGGAAATGGGCTGCAGCGATTGGCGTTAAGTGACGCGATTAACACGCGCCTGCAGATTCATGAGAAGCGCCCCCAGAAGGTCAAGAACTTCGGTATCTGGATCCGCTACGACTCTCGCTCTGGTACCCACAACATGTACAAGGAGTACCGTGAGATGTCCCGCTGCGAGGCTGTCCAGGCCCTCTACCAGGACATGGCCGCCCGCCACCGTGCCCGCTTCCGATCGATCCACGTACGTCCATCTCAATGCTGGCCTCGTGTCGCCCGCCCCTTGCTAACAAGCACTGCAGATCATCAAGGTCGTCGAGGTCGAGAAGGCCGATGACATCCGCCGCCCTTACATCAAGCAGCTCCTCACCAAGAACCTCAAGTTCCCCCTTCCCCACCGTGTCCCCAAGACCGCTGGCAAGAAGGTCTTCGCTGCCCACCGCCCTGCCACTTTCTTCTAAGCGTGTCGCTTCCGTATGTTGCTGCGTACTGCTGGTTGGGAATTGGCGTGGAAAACGGATGGAGGGCTTTTTGACCGTGGAAAGAATAATCCTCTTTTGCTCGCAGAGAGCCTACGCCGGCCAAAGAATCAAAAAGAACTTTTTTTCGCAAGTCTACTTTTTTCTCACGACAATTATTCATGACTTCCTCCTAACTCTGCAGTCTTCCTTTTCTCTTGCTCCCTCTTCTTTTTATCACCCATCCATTCCCTTGACTAGTGACCTTGTGTATTCAATGTGTATACACACCCCAGCGATGCAGCTCGTAGGAGTTGCCCGAGCTACTTGCTATTCAGCGCAAGAAGCTCGGAACGGAGCGTTGGTAGATTGAACCACTGGTTGAGAAAGAGAGGAGTGCCTTACGTCGCTTTTATCTTTTTCTTCTGGAGGGGAACGAAGAGATTTGGCCTCGATCCCGTGGGTCTATGTCTAAGAGAACCCCCTAACATCTCATCATCGTTTGTATGAGATTTATTGAGTAGTTTTGTTAGATGTGTAATGAAAGACTTTGATTTCGAATATCTTGATGGCCTCCTGTATGCCTTGTGAGCTGTGACTGGTGTTTGATAACTTCAACTGGGTATTAATGAATCTTCTTTGTTCAAAGATTTGATCAATTATCTACTCTTTCAAGTCTATTCTTCAGGATTCAAGTCCTGGTCTTCGCCAAACTCAATAACGACCCACTGACAGAACTTTTCAAAGTCCTTGGCCCACTGCTGCATCCTCTTTGCCCTCTCGCCCTTACCATAAGCACCATCTTTGAGTTCCTGTTGCCATTGCTGTGTATTCAGATCTTCAAATGATGCCCATCTGACACTGTTCTCTGCCAATGAGGCAAGCCCTTCCAAACCTAAGTTCTCCCATCCTTGCAGTGCTTGCCAGAAGTCGTGTGTCATGCCGCTATGTCCATGACCAAGGATTGCAGGGTCGTCGTTGCAGAGGGAGACGGGTACGCCGCGAGCGAGCAGAGCTGGCAGAGGATGCGACATGATGCTGCCAGTGAGGCGAAGCACCTCGTTACTAATCGGACAACTCTCGATGAGTATCTTCTTCTCCTTGACCATGTCGACAAGTAAAGGGTGTTTGTAGAGTGAAAAGGCATGACCGATACGGCGGGTACCTAGAAGAATTGCATCGAAAAGGTTTTCATCTGTTTCGTCGCCATCACCCAGGGTTTCGCCGGCGTGGAAGTAGAAGGGTATGTCGACTTTGTTTTGGGCGCACGCTTTTTTGAACCAGAAGAGTTCGGGTGTTAGATCCGCTAGAGAGCGGCCCAAGTCTTCTTGGCCTACAAGGTCGAAACCGCAGATTAGCTCTGGGTAGAGGATTTTCATATCGATACACTCTTGCATGCTCTCGATGATTTTGCGCGAGTCAAAGCTACGGAGAGTGGTGTAGATCAGTCTTGCGCCCCAGAAGCCCTTGCCCAAAGCTTTGAAATTCTCGACTTCCTCGTCTAGGATATCGATCATGAGTTCGTTGTTTGGCTCGGGCTCTTCTGATCCTTCCTTGTAGAAGGGGTCGAGGAATGTGCTGCGGATGTCGACGTATTGGACACCGTCCTCGACCAGGTCTTCAAACATGCGGCGGAGGAAAGTACGGAATGTTGGCTCATAGTGAAGTAAGCTGGAGATGATACCGAAACATGACTGGAACTTGCGCCAGATGTCGTTGGGACCGTGCATGTGCTGTACAGATTCGTCCAAGGTAATGGTGATGCGCTCCTTGAGCCACTTTTCGAAGCCTTTGCGTCCACCATGCGGGAAGGCGTCGGCTGCAGTGTCAATTGGAATCCATTGGCCAACGGCGTAAGACTTGTCCCATATCGAGGATGATTCGGCAGAGCGGTTCTTGAGCCATTTGAAGACGAAAGGTACTGTGGACTGAGCATCCTCAGAGTCAAGAGGTTGACCAGCCTGGATATGCATGCCCTTTACATTGAACGCCTCCTCAATGAGCCAGTCCATGTTGACCATGGCTTCCAGGTGGCAGTGCAAGAGGGCACCCTTGGGCATCTTTTTGACAATCTTCCAAAGCTTCGACTGTTCAATCTTGGGGCGAGCTAGAGTAAACATCATTCCAGGATATATGTCTCTAGAGTCTGAAGCTAGACTGTCCTCATAGTCCTTGGTCCAGAGTGTTTGCTGCTCCTCGAACCTAATGGCGGACACAATGGCACATGCCTCGCGTGCCATTGGGGACAGGGTCTCCCGGAAAGCATGGTCTTGGGAGAGTTAGATGTGCATTTACTCATTTTTGACAAGCGTAACGAACCACTGCGTTGCTTCTTCTCTTGGTTGATCAGAGCATCTCTGCCTTGGAGGTATTTCTGGAGAAAAGGCTCTTCAAATGACGGAACACCTCTCTCGGCAAGCCATTGAGCATCAGCATCGTCTTGAATGCTGAGTTGATCCATATTCTCAACCACTACCGCACAATTAAATCTTTCCACAACAACGCAGAAGCCGCTATGAAGAATGAGATGGAATTACTCAAGGATCTTCGTTCTTGAGAACGGTATAAGGTGGATATGTTGCACTGTATCGTCTGTTGCTTCGCGAGCAATCGAGAGAGAAATACAGAAGGGACCGCCCACGCGCGATTGGCCAGAGGCCGTGTGCACAGACAATGAAGGCCAAGACAGGTAACGATCGACGGGTCTGATGAGGGAGGCCTCTCGGTGATAACGGGGGTGACGTTGCGGAGAGTGACCCAACTCTAACGTGGATGTCTTTGACAGTCAGGTGCACGCTACCCTGCAAATAAAGCGGTGACAAAGACACTAGCATCGTCTGTGAGCCGTGTGAGAAGCAGCGCCAGACCAAAGACGAAACAGTATCCAGGCGACACATAATCCTTTCCTCCCAACGCTCTCCCTCATGTACCCCGCGAGTTGTCGTTGGTGTACCGTAACATGAATATACGAACAACGAGCATGCTGGGCTGAGCGCGACTTTTGCTTCTTCACACTCAGGCATCATGGCTTCGTGGATGCCAGCCTACTTCCAGAAGCGTCTGCTCCGGACTGCTCTATCGCGTATCGCTTTGCTGGATGTAGACTCGTTGGATCTCGACTCCTTGGGCGTGAAGATCGGCAGGTCCAGCACTGTCGAGCTCAAGAATGTCGGTCTCCGTGTCCAGGTATACACGCCTTTCACCGTGCCTTCCGTTGCAAGACTGTCTAACACGCCTTAGGAACTCTCTGCCCTGCTGCAACTTCCACCCAACCTTCGCCTTCAGATCGCCCGTGTCTTGTCGCTACGCCTAACTGTCCCTGCCAACTTCTTCCAACAGAGCATCGTCGCCGAAGTAGATGGTATCGAGATCCAAGTTATGGCAGACGTGCCTGCTAGTCCCGACGACAATGTCGCCGACGCAAAGGTCCCAGACCATCGCAAGACGAACCGACGAATACACTCTCCAAGCCCTCCTTACCATGACAGTGGCGGTCTACCTTCCGCCCAGAAACTCGCTCAGTCTATCTTGCTCGAAGAACCGGCCGAAGAGAAACAAGAGTTGGAGGCTCGCTATATGGCCAAGTCATCTATGAGCGATTCAAGCGATGATCTAGGCACTGGCACAAGTCTGGGTCTTCCAGGTATCATTGCCACTTTTCTGCAAGGAATTGTGGATCGTATACAAGTCAGAATCAAGGACGTCAGCATCAGGCTGTCTCTCCACGATTCGACTCCTGAAGCATCGCCAATGACCTTCATTGCTCATCTGGCAGACATTCATGTCAATGCTGCTGTTCCATCTAGTGCTGAAAACGATAAGGGTCACCAACTGCCTGCTGGAAAGCGAAGGCAGATCGCTCTGGATGGGCTCAGCATTCACCTCGTGCGCGAGGAACGATACGCTCACACGCATACATCCGTAGCTGATTTGTTTGCATCTTATACCTCGAGTAGCACAAGCAAAAATGAGAGACGAAAGAGTAACGATTTCTCAGAACAAGAGCCGGCTCTGGCAGAATCTGGTGTCTTGCCACAAATCGATTTCCCAGCTCATGCATATCTATCCGACTCGGACCACGAAAGCTTACCAGATGAGATGACGCAAAGCACTGCATCTTTTGACATTCGTCCTGGTGAAGACAACATTTCTTGGGCATCTAGACGTAGCCGAGGGTCTTCCGATCACGATCAAATATGGTCTTCGTTCGCCCCCGAAGATGATCGATCTGCCTCTGAACTACTCCAGGATTTGTCGTCTTCGGTTTTCATGAGTACAATTGATGCTCGAGAATCTTCTAGCGTCATGTCACAATCGACCATTGGACAGTCATTCACAAGTGCACAGGCGCCACAGACCGCTTCGAGTTCGAGGCTCATAAACCACGATGCGGACTTTGGCCCCAATCGCGAGACCGAAAACGAGAGCTTTGACGCTGATACTACTCCGCTTTTGTCTCCTCTCGAACCAGAAGATGGACCTGATTTGACAGAATCTGTGGTCTACAGTCATGCTGAAGCGGAGAGCATGTACATGAGTGCCGTGGGCCAAGAGCCAGGATCTCCAGATATCAAAGCGTTGCCAGGAGGCTGGAACTCTGTCATAGAAGACGAAGACTTGGATCCTCCATTCTTGTCGCAGCACTTAAATGAACAACCCGGCTATGAGTTTGAAGACAGAGCTCCTACACCAACCTTGAGAAACCAGTCACCTGAATTGGGGCGCCAGTCTGCTATCGAAGGACAGGACTCAAAGGAGACATCTCTCACGTATGTCTCAAAAGAGATTCTAATTATGCGCGGGCTGAAAATTGGCATCTGTCAATTTCCACGCAAGAACAAACAGGTGCACCAGGTAGAAGACTCGATTTCGCAGAGTTTGATGACAACTTCTGCCTTTCAGCAAGCCCCGGGTGCATTCTCGATCTATGCTGGATCTGGCCGTCCATCTGTGCGGTTCAACCCGCCCCTTGCACCTGACGTAGCCATGGTGCCTGACGAAGGTGAGGCGATAGACACAACGATCGAGATTGACGTGACTCCGATTACGTTGCAGTTGGATGCTGGTACTATCCGTTCTTTGATCACGGTAGCAGAGATAGCGAAAGGCCCAGGTCAAACTTCAGCAACGGGGGACAGTCCTGACCAGAATGATGCGGCTGTTGATCAGGACTTACCGGGTCTTGCATTGCACCTGGAATCGTTCTGCGTGTCCTTATTCGAAAATCTCCCGGAGTCATTGGCAGAGTTCATCGACCTGTCTGCGTGGCGACCTAGACCATATCCCGAACATGAGAAGAGAGCGCTGCTGCAACTTCAGCTACAACGATTTGACCTCGAAATGGACAATCATCCTCCTCCTGCAGAGGTCAAGCTCAGTATTGGCAATTTCACGTTCACGGCTGGTACCAATGACATTGTCTCATTCGATCTTACAAAGCCCCAATCAGAATCAAGGAGTTCTCAACACGCGATCACCGCTACATCTACCACAAATACAACGCTCACAGGGGAAAACGTGAGGAGGATAGAAGCCGAACTACTTCCACTCCGTATCAATTTGAACCTGGTGAAATTTGACGAAGACTTCAACACACTAGGTGGTATGATTGGCATCGTTGAGATGAGCTCCTCCTTGTTCTCAAGTGGATACTTTTCCAACAAGCAAGAAGCCTCCACACCGCCACGCAGAGGGGTCCGTTTCCAAGAATCAATGACCAACGAGAGCACTGCGCCTGAGACAAAGTTTAATGCACGACTGGCCAGGATCGATGTAATGTTGATCTCGAAGTCATGTGCTGTGGAATTGCAAGCATCCTCGACAAAAGTTGTACATCGACAAAGTGGTGTCATTGTTGGCATTGACAAATTGTCTCTCGCTTTACCCGCATTAGACACTTCGGCTGTTCCTTCCGACCTCGACATCGCTATGAGACAGGTTAAAATGGTCTATACCTTCTTGCCATCACAACAAGATCTGAGTCGCCTTATATCTCTTGTTACTCCGTCAAAGAACAAGTACGAGAACGATGATGATATCTTGATCGATACGCTTCTCAGGCAGAGGAGGAAAGGGTCAGTTTTGAACGTACAAGCATCGTCTTTCCAGACGTGTATTCACCAGTGGGACTTTGTACCACATCTCCAGTCACTCGGCGAAGAGCTCATTAAACTATCGGCGGTCACGAAATACTTGCCTGAGGACGACGCTCCTGGAATCCTGTTCCTAGTTAAGCTCGCCAACACAAAACTCACAGTACCTGTCCATGAGAGATTCGGACTTTTGCATGTTTCTTTGATAAACATACAGATTGCTCATGTCGGTCTACCCGCCCTCTCTGCCCTCTCTGTGGGGAACATCAGCTTGATTTCTGCAGGGGGCAAAGAGATTGTCCATGACATGCTTCCCGGAGCTTGCTCAGAGGATTATCCTATGCTTATGATGCGCATGGTCGGTGACGAGGTAGAACCCGTGGTGAAGTTAAAGCTTTTCAACATCTGCATAGAGTACGACGTTCCCACGCTCCTATCTCTCACCAACACCGAGACCGCTTCAGAGGTAGAGCAGAAAGTACAAGATCTTGCCGCGTCTGCTCTTGACATATCCACTCTAGAGCTTAAGAAGACATCACAGTCTGCACCCGTAGCCAAAAGACCATCCGAGAGTACTAAGAAAAAGCTCGCCATTGACGTCTTACTACATGGTTGCGGTTTTGGTTTACAACCTAGAGAATTGGAGTCAAAAGGCCTTCTCTTACTGAATGACACAAAATTCGGCACTTCGGTTCCACCGGACGAGTCCTTTGAGGCTGTCCTCAACATTCGACAAGCAACCCTTTACGTCGTTGACCACGAAGTCGTGCCATCTGCCAAGGGACCAGCCTCTCCTACTTCATCTCCTCAGCCCAATCACTCGTTACATCTCCAAACTTATCTTCTCAATAAGGGCTATGTTGCCGTCAGTTCAATCAGATCCGCTCAAGCCATTGTGTGCGTTCTTGAAGAAGGGCCCAGTCGCGACAGATTCATAGATGTCGAATTGCGCGACGAATTCTTCTTGTTGGAGACGTGCGCAGATTCTACACAGACTTTGATTGCTGTCCTTAATGGTCTATCGCCCCCTGCAGTCGCCAATAATAATCCCAAGTTTCGTCCTCAGCCTGACACTGGGCTCATGACGTTGGACGATATGGTAAATTCATTCTCGGGTGAAGCGTTCGTCAAACCTGGCCCTACTCCCTCTGCGTTGTTTGATGCTGATATAGACCTGCCACTATCTGACGAAGACAGTCTGATGGTTGGCACGGATACGGCATTGGATTCGATGGATGAAGGCATGGATTTCGAAGATGCAGACTTCTACAGCGGAGGCAACCTTCAATCAGACACTGTCGAAAGTCTTCTCGAGCAGGATCCTTTCGAAATTACGAGCTCACCGCAATTCGGCGACGACGCCTTGTTGCGTAATCTGCGAAAAGAGCTTGGTAGTTCGGACCTGGCAACCGTAACAACTCCTGCGGTTTTAACGCCATTCTACCAGGACGATCGACAGCTCGACAAGATCTACGGTGGATCGAGAGCACTTGGTGAAGCCCACGAGCAGCAGAAACAGTTCCCAGTGCAAGTCCGGGTTCGAGAGGTCAACATCATCTGGAATCTGTACGATGGCTACGATTGGCAACGTACCCGCGAAACGATCACTCAGGCGGTCGAAGTTGTGGAAATGAAGCTCGAAGAACGTAAGTCGAACAGACGAAGATCCAACACCTTCGAGGAGGACACCGAGACGGTCATTGGTGATTGCTTGTTCAATTCAATCTACATAGGTGTTCCGTCGGCTCGCGAACCAGCCGACCTTCGCCATTCGATCAGCAACCTGATAAATCAAGGAAATGAGGCTGCTAGTGAGACGGAGAGTTATGCCACTACTGGCATTTCCAGGCCCAGCCAAGCCGACATCAGCCGCCAGAAAAAGCTTCGAAAAAAGCGACTTCGTCTTCAACGTGGTGCATCCCACAAACTCGGATTTGAGCTCAAAGGGGTCTCCCTTGATTTCTTGATACATCCACCTGATAGCGGCGAAGCGCAAAGCTCTGTTGATGTCAGGGTGACAAACTTCGAAATCTTTGATCATGTACCGACCTCGACCTGGAAGAAGTTCTTAACGCTCCACAACGATAAGAAAAACATGCGCGAGATGATGAAGCCTATGATACATCTGGAACTCTTGAATGTTCGACCTGTGCCAGAATTAGTAGCCACCGAGATGACTATTCGTGTAAGTAGCGGTGCGTCTATTGACCGTTCTTAAAGCTGACAGTAATTTAGGCTTCTGTTCTACCGCTACGCCTGCATGTCGACCAAGACGCACTGGAGTTTATGACCCGCTTCTTCGATTTCAAAGACGACTCGCAAAGGCCTGCCGATGCTCCTGCCGAGCCACCATTCATACAGCGGCTGGAGGTCAATACTGTCAATCTGTGCCTCGACTACAAGCCGAAGAAAGTCGATTATGTCGGTCTGCGAGGTGGTCGCATGTCTGAGTTCAAGAATTTCGTGACTCTCGAAAAGGCTGATATCAAGCTGAAGCATGCGATCATCTACGGTCTGAGAGGGTTTGACACGCTGCATGACACTTTGAGCGACATCTGGACACCCGATGTGATACACAATCAGCTCCGTGGAGTGCTTGCTGGTATTGGGATGACGAGACCCCTGGTTGAACTTGGCATGGGTATTCGTGACATTGTTGCAGTCCCTGTCGCTGAGATTAGGAAAGACGGTTTCAAGGTTCGCAGCGTGCAGAAAGGGGCCGTCAAAGCACTGAGCACGACTTCATCCGGGTTTGCACGCCTCATTGCCAAGGTTGCAATCGGTACGGGGACTAGATTGCAAGAGGTCGAAGATATGCTCTCCCCGGGTCAGCGCCCCCACACTAACCAAGGGCTGTCAAGTGTTGAGGAAGAATACGAGCAGCTCGAACCGCGTCAGTTCAGCAACTATGCAGATCAACCTTTGGGTGTGCTCCAAGGGTTGCATTCTGCCCGTCGCTATCTCGAGCGAGATCTGACAACTGCACGGGATGCTATCATTGCTGTTCAGGCAGACTTCATAGCCAGTGGTACTGCCGCAGGGGCTGTTCAAGCGGTGGCTCGACATGCGCCAACCATCTTGCTCCAACCTGTCATTGGAGTCAGCCGGGCAGTCGGTCAGACGTTCAAAGGTGTTGGCAATCAAGTCGACCGTGACCACATCAAGAAGTCGGAAGATGTAAGTTTGTCTTGAGCCTCCTTTCTTGCCCACAACATTGTCTTCGCGCCACAACGGAATTGTGTGTACTAAATGCTAACGTGGTTTACGAAAACAGAAGTACAAACATCATTGACACCGATAGTTACCTAGCTATATCGGAGACGTCCGGAGATGGTAGCATGTGTCCATTTACAGGCATTCGGAGCGAGCATACCAGATGAGGAATTTCAAGAGAAAGGTAGATAGCAGGAGATCACGAAGACGGACGTTTGATCTGTAGCTCATCATGCTGGTCTCGTATCCAGATTCAGCTGAGTGTCTTCTTCATTGACTTTTGCAGTGTCCTGTGAGAAGGCGCACGGCGGTCTGACGAATAAGGTCAGCATGTCAACCGCTCTTTCTTCCGCTTGCGAGTAGCCATGACCTGAAGTCCAACTATGCTTTCTACTTGAGGCTCTTCTCGCATCCGACATGTAGCGTGTTTCATCAACAGTTCGGCTCTCTTGACGTGTTCCATGTCCTTTCTCCACAACAAGCTGGGGGGGCCTAAAAGTGCTTGTCTCTCTACGTCAGGTCCCCTCTCGGCAAATGTTGACTTTGTCATAATTGGCGTTGACAGCGACAGAAGACAAAAGATCGAGAAGTTCTCTGCCCTAACGTGCTTTAAGCTTGTTTGCATGTATGCTTTTGCTTTTTGTGGACCTTTTTCTGGATGTAGTCGGTCATTCTTGGCTTTTGATTGGATAGACTGGGCTTTAGGGCAAGGTGTCGATTTGAACAACGTTATGATGGAGAAGTGTCGTACTTAGGGCAATGCGCAACGTACTGAGCATAAAATAGCGATCTTGTCGTACTGTTTCTATTGTTGTTCTAGAGTTGTGGAGTAGAAGGCTTTGCGGCGATGGTTCGGCAGATGGTTGTACATGGAAGGGCTATCAAGTCGTTGTTTCATTGACCAAGAGAAAGATAGGTTTGAGCTAGGAGACGTTCGGCGATCGAGAAGAGAAATGGCAATGTCTCTACAGATTTTGCATCTGCCGAGAGGATTGGCATCGTGGCCATGAATTGATGATGGTCATTGATCTCATCAAGGGCTCAAAGATCTTAGGGCAAGCCGATATTCATCAATGTAGAACGATATCGTGTTACGTTCCTAAGCCCAGATCTCCCTGCTGTTGAAGTACGAGAGGGATGGTTCATTGAGCGAAAACTGGGTTGAGCTATTAAGACATTCGAGGATCAAGTAGCGAGATGGTCGTTTCTTTGCGAACCTTGCAGCTGCCGAAAGACATGTCTTCCTGCTGTCAAGGTACGAAATCAGTGGTCATTGACCACGCGAAAGATCTTGGACGAGACTGGAGACATGTTCGAGAATCGAATACGAGGTGATGGACTCAAATCTTAGAACTGCCGACTAGGATGATATTCTTAATCGAATCATCATTGGTTCATGGTTTAGGGGTTCATCAAAAGCACAACTTAGGGCAAGCAAGGTTCGTCGATATTGAATGACATCGTGTATCCATTCTAGATCTTCCTGATATAGAAGAAGTACGAGATCACCAGATTGTGGATTTTGCGCTTTGGCACACGGCAAACGCATGAATTAGTTTTCCGTGAGAGTTGCCCGTGGTTCGAGACGCGGCTCATCGTGGTCTGAGAAGCCGCTCAGGGTCAAGGAGATATCATGCATCGAGGAAGCCATCGTGCCATCTACAAGTAAAGTTCCTTAGGAAGGAGCGAACAAGGAGCTTAGCAGAGCCTGAACCACTTAGCAGCTGCGGATTTCCTAGTGTGGACAGACCTCGTGTTTGCTTGGAGCCACGTGAAAGACACCAGGAATGCTTTGACCTCACGGCAATGTCTGAACGTTTTTTCAATTCGTATTGGCATGTTTCGGCAGGTCTGGTCTGTAGCTTTTAAGGTTGATTGTTGCGTTTTCCCCTCCAGGAGGCAGGGACGACTCTCCGAAACTCTTCTCCTGGTCCTTCAAAGCCCGACCAGCGGCGTTGTGAATCGTGTTTTTCTAGGTATGTATGGAAATAACGAACCTAGATGTGTTTGAGTGCGGTGCACGTTATGTTGCATTGACCAAATGAGATCGTCAAGTGACGGTTACCATCGCGGGCCGACAACATAATGTCCCATGACGCCGACTTCTTTTTACCCCTTCAAAGCCCGATAGACTCAGAAGTATGTCGCAGACTCGCAGTGTTTTTTTGGGTTTTTGATGTCGGTCGATGCATTCACAAAGTATGGCTGATCAAGAGACTCAAGAGTGGTAGATGATCATCATCCAGAATGGGAGACATGCCGCGAAAGGGACGACGATGAGAACGTTGTTGTACCGATCCCAATGGCGTTCCCAAAAATAGATCTTCAGAGGGGCAGGCAGGCGTGTGAGGATGAATAGACTTGTGATTTTGACTTCAGTCAGAGCCATGACAACGTTCGACTTTGGCTTCGACCAGTGGTGTAGTTTCTGGTCTTTCCACGCAACCCCTCAGCGCCAACAGCCGGATGGCGTTTTTGATGTTTGATCTTCATATGTCTACAAAACAGAAAAAGGCCATTGGAAGTGACAGATGCGTGGGGGAAATGGAAAATTGCGAAAGGACTCGGCCTGAAATACACACCTTTAGCAGACAATTCAGCCGAGCAAAAAAGTCTGGAGCAAAACAGCCTGGACATTTGAGGCACGAAAGTACGCCCCCACCGGAATCGAGCGAGGAGAGAGCTGCGAGCAGCAACTTGCAGCAGGGGCGCCGGTTGGACCTGCTAGAATAAGTGAAAAGTGAATCTGAGATCTCAAGCGACTCATGCGACTCGAAGCGATGACTAAATGATGTGTGGTCTGCGAGGAGCCAGAGCGAAGGAAGCAAAAGAAAAAGAAGGTCTCTTTCGACCTGCCTTGTTCGATCACAGACATCATGCCGTCCACGCCGAAATCTTGCGGGGTTACGCGAGGAAGAGCAACCGATGCGCAGGTGCATGTTATAAAGCTGCAACTTGCAAGCCCCCGGTCCTGCTGCGATTTGCAAAGGATTCAGAAATTGGACCGAGGTGTAGGCGCATATACACCGAACATAAGTTCAGCTTCCTTCGAGGGGCAGGTTGTTCAATTGGGAGCAGGTTGCGAAGCCAAAATTCATGTGGATATGTTTGGTCTGAACTTTGAATGCGCCCACGCTTCCGAGCTCTCGCCAAGGGAGAACACATGGCCAGCGCCGAGGCTAAGAGAATCAGAATAGATGCACCTTCTTTTAGCTGCTACCTAATTATGCGCTCATCACTGTCCGGCTTCCTCTTTTTCTGCAATCAAGAACGAGATCGAGGGGCAGACTGGCCGTAGCAAACCGGTCTGTCGACCGGAGCGACTCACATTGGTCCTTGGCTCGATTTTTGTATCGGCTTGGGAATCTCGCTTCCCATTCTGACCAGTTCCCATGATGAATCCCAAGCCGGTAAACCGCAAGCTGCCGAGATTGCAATAGTAATTGGTCTCGCAGGCGTTGATAATCCCAGGAAGACTAGTCAGACCCGTGCCAGACCCGTGGTCTCCTTCGGCATCCTATACTACGTACAAGATATTTCGGCAGGATTAACTGATCTCGAGAAGGGGCCAAGGGTTTCTGGATGCAGCGCTGTTGAGTGGTTGGTGATCTACAATGCCTTAGGACAGGGCACGGATCGAAGCACAGATGACTGGTCATGGCAAATGGTGCCATTGATACAGACGATTCTGCATGGTGCACGTTGAACTTGGAGACCGTTTACTTGCTTGAAAAGCATAGACTTCAATCGCTGCGCGCGGACCGCCGACGCCCTGTCGAGCTGCCAACCTCGTCTGCAGACTGGCTGGAGGGAACTGCCAGCCTCAAGGTTAGAGACATGCTTCCATGAATAGTCAGAGCCGCAAGCTCGTGACTGAGAGTGTCAGCCTGTCTCGCAGTCTGACATTATTGGCTTGCCGGCTGATTTGCGCAAGAGAGGTCGACGCTTAGTAGTACCGCCGGTGGGATGGATGCGACTGTAGATCCTGCGGCAACTCGGTCCGTTCATGACATTGGAGGATTTTGTTGGCAGAGGACCATGATGCAGATTAGAGCAACCCTAGAAGAGGCAACGCTACAGTGCCATACGCATTGATTGTGCGATAAGCAGCATTCGACTAAGCAGAGGGCACCTGTATGATGCCTCAAAGATTGAAGGGTCACTGATAGCGTCACATTCTTCTAGCCTGGTATAACTGCAGAGCCTGATCGCAGCGATGTTACTGCATCGCTAGCGTAGCCGGTGCGTGCCATAGAAATCGCAGGGCCAAAAAGCTACCATCATTCATTTCATGACAAACAAGAAATGTCGGATGTCGGATGGCGGAAAATCGTAGCTCCCCGCCACGTGAATTCCTTCACTATCTTAAAGAGAGGTTGGAGCACAGGAAATACCGGTGGGCGATGGCACTAATTCCGTAGGGCGCAACGGCAGCGCAGGCTTCCGATTGAACCAAACGCAAAATAAGAATTCTATTGTTTGCGCGAATTGCAGTGTTTCTGGCAGGAGGTCAAGACTGAATCTAGTCAACGCCTAAAGACTCTAAAGTGGCAACCTCGAACGATTGGTGGAGAGTGACTTTGGTCGCTACTAAAAATAGCCACAAGCCGACGATAGCTACCATTCTTTTACTCACTCGGATGGAACCTCAGCACGTGTGATCAGCAAGTCATAGTTTGATGGCTCTTCCAGAATCAGCTGGAGAAAAAGGGTTCAGGCGGCGACCTGGCTCAATGCCCAAGGTGGGCTCACAGTCAACGTCGTACAGCGAGGTGATGGTATGGACGACCACCTCCGTGAGTCCGGGCGGAAGGGTGCGCCTGTCAGAGGGCCAAGGGCTCCGAACATCAGACTGGACTGTGCTGGGAGTCATGAGAATAAAAAGATCTGTGAGAGTTTTTGCCGGGGCCTAAACTGCTTTGGTGGTTGCCATGCCCTGAACAAGCTCATCCTCCGGTTTGGGTAGCAGCTCGGGCAGACTCTCCTTCGTCCCCAGAAGAGCTATGTCATGCGACGGGTTCGACCCGTTGCCAGTTGGCAGGTCCCTTCGGTAAAAATAGTACCTTCGACGGGTTCCCGTCGAACACTATGTATACCGCCTTTGCGTTCTTGACCAGTTCGTCCTGAACCATAGGAGAAAAGCATTCGGGGTCCACTTATTACCGGGCCCATTCACTCGCTTCCCTGCACATCATCAAGCACGCTCGCTGCCTAGTTCTTTCCTACCTACCACTTTCCCATTTCCCGCATTTTGCCTTTTTGCGAACCTCACGCGTCTGCTGGCCCTTCTAGACTTTCTTTCCTTTCTTCTCCTTTATCATCAACCAAATCTCCCACCGATCTGGGATTTCAATTATTATCAAGGAGCAAGGCTCTTTCTATACAGAAATTGTTGCACACTCGGTCAATCGGTTCGAGACACTATGGCTGGTCAAGGCGCTGGACCCTCGAGGCGCAGTCACACCAAGAGCAGAACAGGATGCAAGACATGCAAGCGTAGACATATCAGATGTGATGAGACGTTCCCTCAATGGTGAGCAGACACGCCCGTGTCACCTCGCGCCGCGTCGATTGCTAATGCTCTCGTTAGTCGTAATTGCACAAAGCACCAGGTTCGCTGTGATTACATGGACCAGCAACGTCCTGAAGCAGATATACAGGCACCGCGAGATCAATTCCCGTTGCCCTCGTCACCTGGTGTTGAGCACATGCTCGACATTTGGCTTCAGACTGGCAACTTTCCTTATCCAGAGCTCCAAGTCTTCCCTTCGCCTAGACCACAAAGCCATTCTAGGGTTGAGCTGCGTCTGATCCAACATCTCTCATCCATTTCGAGGTCATTACTCTTGAACAGCACCAGCGACATGACAGTATGGGCTTCAAAGGTCCCAAAGTGCGTGTTACCCCTCTTCATTGTGATCACCCACCCCTAATTAACCCCGTTTAGGTATCTCAGTGTAGCGACCTCGTATTCATACGTCATGCAGGCATTCTTGGCGTTCTCTGCCAGCCATCTGGCATGGATGTCTCCCTCTCCAGATACGCGCAAGATTCAGATTCAGCATGGCGGTGTTGCACTACATGGTCTTCATGATGCCCTTAACTCATTTTCAAAGTCCAACGCAGACGCTATCCTGGCAACTTCCCTCCTTCTTATGACCCAAGCAAACGACTGGCGCACATGGTCTTCTCTCGAGACTGGCATCCGAACCGTTGTCAGTGCTATGGCTGGTTGGAACCATGAGTCGATTTTCGCAGATCTGATCAACTTGAGCCCCTACAAGCCTTCAGAGGACCCGCGCTCACTTCCCAGCATGCAAGAACGACACGGTATCCTTTCGAATGTCCTGGCCTCTCTCCAGCGCCTGCAGCCCGTTTTGATCACCCACAGTCCCGAAGCCTACTGGATCGAGCAGCTACTAGGTTATATATCATATCTCCTGAACACTTCGCCCGCGCAAACAGCTGCTGAGCAATTTGAGCAACTTTATAGCCTTCGCAAGTGGGTTCTCTTTGTTCCTAGTCTGCTCCTGGATAAACCGATGGTTGATGGCCCCTCAACACTTGTGGTAGCCCATCTTTATGCCACGGCCCTTGCATTAGAGCCTTTATTCCCATCTCTTGGCGCATCGTTTTGCGCCGCGATCAGCTTACCTCCGCTCGAAAGGATCATCCAAATGACTGCTCCTATGCAAACTGATGGTCAATTTGGTCAGCACGCACTGGAGATCAGCTCCCTCATGCACTTCCCACAGCAAGCAGCATCTACCTACCGCGCTCGTCTGGCATGGTCAAAACAACACTTGGAACAGATACAACTTCAACACACACCTCAGCAGTCTCCGTATACCCCTGTTTTCAACCTGGACGGTGTTAATACCCCCTTCATGAGTTTTGGGAATCTCAGCCCTGGTTTTGTCCCCTCGTCAGTCGACCATGTTCGTGAGGAGAATCGCATGTCTTCGAGCTCACTAGCGGGCTCGCCCTACCTTGGAGTACCCACACGTACACCGTCCTACGATAGTGGCTATACCGATGGCACCAGTAGCTGGGGTACCGCACATTCGCCTGCCTTCAATCCGAACCATTACACGGGAGGCGGGCACGAGCATGGATATGATTCATATGAATTTGAGCAACTAGAAGCACCTCATGGAGGTTTCCGAGGCGGGTTCGTAGTTCCCCCGACCATCTGGGCATGACCAACACATCCCAAGGATTAGAACAAGACTAAAATACGCTGCGCGATCCAGGACTCCTTCTACTCGGCATACACCAGACTCCCGGAGCTATAGCCAATGAGCCTTGCACCAGCCTTCGAGCAAAACGCCCTCTTCCTTTCGTTCTGTTTTCGCTACGCGAGCATTGTCTGAGCCCAGGCAACCTTTCTCGGTCTTCTTTTTCCCACTTCGACTTTGATCTTTCCGTTGCACCTATGAGCGCGCATGATACCCTCCATTTTTTCGATATCGACAGTCCACTGAGCACAAAAAGCAACCGACATTCGAACCTTCCCATTTTACGCAAGAAAACTCACAACCGCTCGATTTTCCCACTATCGTTACGAATTTTGTTTTTCCTCGACTCCTTGTACGAAGCATATACCTCTTTTCTGAACATTGCATACATCGGTTATCCCAAAAAGGAGTTTTTGATGCATTGCGCATATCGCGTTTACAACTTTGGGCATGAAAGGGATGGCAAACGAATGTACGGTGTATGTATACATCGCTTTTCTTCTTCGCTTCCTCGGTTCATCTTGAACAGGGATTTTGACTCCCTCCTTCGTTCGCCGTTCTCGTTTCTGTCTGCTTCTTGTAGAGCTTCTCTTCACGTATACTACACTGAAACAAACCAGAAGTTATCAACTACTGCAATATCCCACACTTGACTCTTTCCAGACAGCCGCTTTATGGATTGACTCGTCGTCAACCTTTCGACCCTTTGTCTTGATTTTTTTTTTTTTTCCTTTTATTTCTAAGTCATGTCATGCCAGTCATGGTCATCGACTTCTCATCGACCTCGCCTTCCGTGGAGCCCACGTCCGCCGGGCCGGACGAGGCGGGACCACATCCGAAAGGAGACACTCGCCGACAAAGCATCACATCTCCTGAAAAACCAACATCTCGTCGCTAATCACCTTCCACAATCAAGATCATCGACAACGTCAAGAGATTGTACGCGCGTACATGTATAGGCCCTTTTACATCAGAGAAAAGCCAATCGTTGTTATTGCCGGCGCTTGATATTTCTCAATCCTTCCGGAAGTTGCGGCAGCGTTCGGCGCGCACCGTCAGCTCAGCGGGTTCCCATAACGTCAATAATCAAAGCAAGAAAACAAAAATAAGACCTCGAGCTATCGAAGCAAGGAGGCGAGGAACGATGAACTTAGGGGACCTCGAAAAGTGACGAACAAGCGAGCTGCTGGTATTTATAGCTACATTGTTTTGTTTTATACATAGCAGCATTTATATCATTGTTGACATATTGTTAGGGCTGGCTGCTTAGACGAGGAAGACATTCAAGCGAAGGAGAATTGACCAGGCAAGTCTGAGTCGTCAAATTTTTTCGTCAATCTATGACGATATACACGTTGTCGCTTCAACAAGAAGAGTAGTATTGAATGGTGGTGGTGTACGAAAGAGGTCAAAAGTCGAAAAAAAAAATAATGGTCGTTGGCCTGGCCACCCTGGCAGTTCAGCGCTTGACCATGTTCGACGTCAACCACATTCTTTCTACAGTGAATCAGATTTCAAGGCATTGGTTCTGATGAACAGCACATCTTGGATGTATAGACTGTGCCAAAATGAAGTTGCCTATGACATGGTGAGGTTGCAATCTCCAAGCATCATTGGGCGCAGTAAACAGCAGCAAAATCCTATTGCACAAGAGCGTAAATTTTTTGACAACAGGCACGGGGGTAGATCTGTCGTGAGATCAATTGTCCAATGTATTGTATTAACAGGTTCTATCGGGGTATATATAAACGTAACAAAACACCCATACATCCAAGCAATGCATCCAAAAGAGTCAAATGGTAGTAGGAAAGTAGCAAGTCGGGTACGATGCCGACAGCCTCTTGCGATAAAATCCCCGTCAGGTGCTCCTTCTACTTTTGGTCATCAGTCGCACGATTGATTGCCTCGTCTATTGCTTCCATTTTCGTGCCTGATTGCGTGTCCGGTGGGTTGGATCAAAAGGAGCGCGTTCATGCAAGGAATCTCGGATTTGCGAGGTGCGTCTGCAGAAAGACTGCAGGACGAATGTAACACTGCAGATGAGTAGGCAGCAGTGTTCCGTCCTAATGGCCTGGACCCTCGACACAGGTCGCATGTGATTGTGGTCATGCTAGTATCGAATCGCTCTGGCAATGGTCGTTTGAGACACCAAGATAGCCCTCAGGACAGGGTCACCCCCAAAATTTGGTCCAGGTTCCGACGAGGTTGAAAGTCGATACTTAAGCAGAGAGCTTGGGTGCCCAAAGACGAACGACCTCATCAAGACGAGCCAACATCTCATCTTTTCTGGCCTGAGAGCACCAGCTGCCCTCGATACCAGCGCGGCAAATGCTTGTCCACTCGGCCACCGACAGGTTGAAAGCCTCGTGCACAGCGCAGTGGTTGTCCAGGATATAGCCGCCAAAGTAAGCCGGGTCATCACTGTTGATGCTGAACTTGACACCAGCGTCCAGGAACTTGCGAATGGGGACTTCCTTGACCTCCTTGACGCAGCGTAGCAGCACGTTGCTGAGTGGACATACGGAAAGCATAGTGCCATCCTTGGCGATCCTCTGGAGCAAAGCCTCGTCCTCGATCAGGCGGATACCGTGGTCGATGCGCTCAACCTTGAGAATGTCCAGAGCGTCAGAGATGAAGGTGGATGGGCCTTCCTCACCAGCGTGGGCAGTGCGACGAAGACCGAGCTCCTTGGCACCAGCGTAGATTTCCTCAAACAGAGCAGGTGGGAAAGGTTTCTCGCTAGAATCAAGGCCAATACCAGTGACGGAACCGTTCTTGAAGCTGGCCTGGACATCGGCATCCTTGAACATAGAGACACAGTTAGGCACAGGCAAGTGACGCAGGAAGCAGCAGATCAGCTCGCTGGTAATGCCAAACTCCTTCTGAGCACGAGCACGAGCCGCGCTAAAGCCCTTGAGAACAGTGTTGTAAGAGATGCCACGTTCAAGGTGTGCCTGGGGATCGAAGAAAACTTCGGCGTGAGCGACACCATCTGCTGCAGCGTGGCGGAAGTAGTCCATAGCGAGATCCTCAAAGTCCGAGTCCGAGATCAAAACGGACATACCGATGTAGTAGTAGTGCAAGAAATCGTCAAGAGAGGTAAAGCGGTCATAACGTGCCAGGAGGGTCTCCGGGGACTTGAAAGCATCGTCATCTTGGGGCAGAGTGATGTTGTTACGCTTAGCCAATGTGAACAGAACCTCAGGAGAGAGGGAGCCTTCCAGGTGCATGTGATGCTCGCATTTGGGGAGCTCCTGAAGGAATGAGTGGAAAGTGGATTTGCACATGTTGCTGTCGATGTATGAAAGTCGTGATTATGGTCGAATGGTATTATGATCCGCAAACCCAGGATACAAAGACAAAGATCAGAAGTGTGTAAAAAGTTTTGAAAGCTTCTCTATTCGAGAAAGATGGGCTTTTATTATTGTCAGAAATCGGTATCTATGTTTGCTTGTAACTAGAAGAAATCTTTACTGATTTTTTCTCACCAGTTGCGAAGCACGGCCGAGCAAGAGGGCCTGGAGCTTGAACGTTTCGGCCGGCTCCGACAGCGTTTGTTGTGAGGGCAGCACGGTCAGTCATCAAACAATCTGTCAAAACCATTCCTAGCAAGACACTATGAGCTGGTAGGAAGCTGGTATATATGCCTGGCATTCAAGTGCCGAGAGACACTCTGAGCCCTGGGTTATGCGGTGCACTGCGGAATTGAACACGTGAGGTCAGACTGTTGGCTGTCGAAACGGCAGAGGACAGAGTGTGGATTTGAGCGGTCTGACTAGTGCACCGTCTAACTTCTAAGCAGTTGTCGGTCTACGACGGAACGAACTCTACGAGCCGTTTGACGGCAGCTCAGGGTGTCGCAAGTCAGCGGTGAGCTCGAATGGCTGGAGCTGTGCGATGATGCCACCAGGGTCCCCGAAATAAGAAGGCTTGGAGGCTTGAACTTCCTACTCCAGCAAGCGAGGACGCGAGAGCCTACCGGAAAAGATATGCTTGTCCTTCAGACACAGTTGTCGGCTTACAAAGCGACGTATATGCACACGTATATGCATTTTCACGAACGTCTCAGAATCATCGTGGGACGAATTTCACCAGCTCATCTGTAGCGTTTCGGACAAGACTTGCATGTTTCGGAGAGAGGCCATACCCGAATCCTACTGTCCGACGGGCCGGCGGGTGGATGACACGATGTCGCTCGATGCAAGCGACAAGCGAGGTCTTCGGAAAGACTGCCAGGGTTCCGGAAGGCCCGATTCGCTCGGCTCAGTCAGCCGTGATTGACCGCATCCTTCTACCATGCATGCACTCGATGCTGTCAAGTCCGAGGTGATCTCTCCATCGTTTGTCAAGCGAGTTGTCGCCAGCAGCTACATTTGTCGCAGTTCCTAGGGTTGTCAAAGCCAAAAGTACCCTTACCTGCAACGGTACCCGGCGCGAACCAGAGTTTGAGCTGAAAGGATCGTGCAGCCAACTTGACTAGGACAATGCAAATAAAATAATGCTCAAGTCATGGTTCCATGATTCCACATTCGAAGCTTACAAGAACGGATGCGCACACCTCCTTTGATGAATAATCAAAGCGCAAATGCGAAACAAAGATCAAAAGTTCTGGACCGCGCCAGAAGCTTCACAGCCGGCCATAGCGCTATCACATATAGAAAGGTTTGCTTGATGAGCACAAGTGCAAACATCGAATCTGCGATTGCTCAGCAGCATGCATCTGATGCAAGAACACAATACAGGCGCGAGAACCCAAGACTCGCCAGTGATTGATTTGGGGTATGGACTAGCTCTCGAGACGCGTAGTGTTCTGGAACTATGCATGGAACCATGGGACCAGCAAGAGTGATGGCAGCCATGTGTTTCGTGAAGCACTGTTGTTGCTTCGCAATTCGGCAAGAAAGCTTCTACAAGTGCCGTGGAAAACGTCCGGCTGCGGGGGGCCCCAGCCTTCACTCTCAGGTCAAACAACTGGAATCTGGTTGTCGCTCCACACTTTCTCGCTCGGACAACCGACCGATGGTGACACGGTGTGCGAGAAATGATGGTTTGGTTAGTGTGGTGGCCGCTAGGTTCACGGATGGAAGGCGCTGTCACACACTTTCGGCTCAGACAGAACAGAGTGAACCGACTGGCCAAATCCACAAGCGAGTAGATGTGGCAGTGACGCTCGGTTGGAACTACCGACCATTACGATGAGACCTCCTGTTGAGAGGTGGACTGCGCTTTTTAGATGAGGTGCAGAGGTAGCGGGACACAAAGGTTGCGTTCCGATCCCAGGCTATGACGACGATCACAACGGATAGATCCATAGTCTCCCAAAGAACGGCTGTGTGTACCGATGCAAGGTGCCGCACGCGGTCATCTCCACGGTGGGTAGGGCTTCGCAGTGACTCGCAAGACGGGACAGAGCCAAAGCGCTGGGATATACCTATTGGCGGCTGAAAAACTTGGCTTCGCAAAAAGCCACTGCAGTCACAGAGCAAATCGGCAGTCTGCGCGAACCGGACCAGTGGTGACGAAGCAACAAGTGACGAATACACACAAGGCTGCAAGGAACGAGAGGATTTCGGAAGGAAGCGAAAACGTAAAGGCGAAGAGTAAGCTTACTGAGAAAGCGAATTTGCGACGATCAGTCGCTCGTGCAAAGTAGGCCGTTGCTTGGTGAAACAATGGATTATTCTCCTGAAAACTCACAGAACCGGTCGGCACTGCCATGTCAAGTCCACGGCAACGTGGTAAATGGCTGTTGCTGCGCTCGGTCTTGTATTGGTCAGCTATGCAAATAGGTAGGCAGGGTTTCTATGAAGGCCCGACATGGTCGGATAGGCCACGAGACGGCCAAGGTGCCATCCGGCAACGCTAGGCAAGTTCCAAAAGTGGCCGCTACCTAGGTATCGCCATGCCGTCGAGTTTTGGGGAGCGCAAGCAATCTTATAGCGCCATGCCAGGAGGATTTGTCGATGCTGACTCGACGCCGTCAGGTCAGCGAAAAGGGGGCTGAACAATAATCTGCAATGCACACAAGACTCGCAGCTGCTGCAAGGGCGCACCGGACTGTGAGAAGCTGCGTACTCGTAGCCTCGCTCCATCGCGATGGTCGATTCTTGTTGGATGTCATCACCCACGCCAAGTGTACACTACGAGGCGGGAAGCATGGTAGCGGCAGTTGTCATTGAGCAAACGGTACGAAATCTAGGGTTTAGACTTTTGAGTGATTCTAGTGGTAGAAGCAGTGCCACTGTGCCGGTAAGCCCAAGAGACAGTCTCTGACACGCATAGAGCAGATGAAGACCAACAGCAGTGATGCGCGGCCCTGGAGACGGTCAGATCGCGTCGGGAGAGTGCGCTGGCATGGGCGCAGCAAAGTAAGAAGAGCAGAGAATTCACGCTGGGCCACCGAGGTGCACAAGTGCTGAAGCAGCCGAACTATGCATGCAGAGCGAACTACAGCAAGGCGAGATTAGCCGCCGCCGTGCACGTTGACGGCGGCCGCATGGCCATGCGAAAGGGAGCGCGGCGGGAGGGCCTGTGCTGAACCTGCCTCTGAATAATAATAATAATCTTTTGAGGTTTGTCGAGCAACCCAATTCTTCCATTTATGCCTTGTTCGGATGTCGCGCTGACGTCTTGAGTCTGTCGCTGTGTGGCTTTTTCAGTTCGACGGCTTGGTGGGATCTCTTTTGAGCGAACCCTCCTTCTCTTTTTACCTACAGCGTTCCGCGTGTTTGCGCACTTCCCTCCTCCACCTTCCCCGACACCTTCCTCATCAAAGCTTCCACCCGCCTTGTCAATCGCGAACGCGGCAACCCATCGCGTCGTGCAATCCGCCCTGCTCTCGCCTTTCATTGTCTCGTCCGGCGAGTAGCGGTGTGTATTATAGTGCTATTTGGACGTGTTCGCTCCTTCTGTGTTGCGTCGTCTCAAGATTCGGGCTTCCTGCCACACGTCACTTTTTGGCCACCTTTGAGTCGAGCATGACATTGGCCTGTCCTTGACCTCTTACGCACTTTTGGAACCCACTTGACCTCGTTGCTACTGGTCGCCGAACCCGATGAACGACCAGAAGCATCTGGCTCCCGAGGCTGCCATGTCTAATGATGGGCGGAGGCCGGTAAGCCAGCAACCCGAGCATTACCCACCTCAACCTCAGTATGTTGGCAATGGAGCCTCTCCGACGGTAGCCCACCACAATGGCCCCATGCAACCATCTCCCATGAATTATGCCATGCCTGGTCCTCCCCATTCTGGTCCCGGCCCTAATCCTGGACCTTTTCACCCCGCTGTAACCTCTGGACCACCTCCGCAGATGTCCATGCAGACATCCCTTCCGCCAGCGCCCTATCCTTCTGCTTACCCCATGCCCCCAGCTCCCAACGCACCCGTGACTGGCGGCATGCCTGAGGCCATGATGTTGCATGATCCTAACATGGGTGCGCCTGGCATGTCACCCAGGCATCATTCGGCTGCTATGCTCTCCGCGCACAAAAGAGCATATCGCCAGCGCCGTAAAGACCCCAGCTGCGACGCGTGTCGTGAACGCAAAGTTAAAGTAGGTCTCGAGAGCTGGAGCACGTGGCACGGGGGACCTAGCACTAACACCACCGCAGTGTGATGCTACCGACACTTCCAGCTGCACCGAATGCTCAAGCAGGAGCGTCAAGTGTCAATTTACCAAGGAAACCAACAGACGCATGTCCTCGATGAAGTGAGATGATTGCTCTCGGCAATTTGAGCTGAAGCTAACAAGCACTAGGCATGCTCAAGATCTCGAACGCCAGCTCGAGGAAACCAGACAGGAGAATCGACAATTACGCAACATGCTCAGCGATCAAGGCGGCGCAGCTGCAGGTGCATCTGCAGCGCCTCCATCGACCAGTGTTTCGGGTCCACCCGAGTTCACTCCTAGCAAGCAAAGAAATGGACGCCCAATTGCCATGAACAGTTTTGATGGGGTTAGAGCAAACCTTCGCAAGTTCAGCCAGGGTATCTTCAAACCGCCGCATCCTTACAGCAAGCCTACCGTACAGGTCCAGTGCGCCGATTCGACGACGCCGCTGCCTCCCAAGCAGATGGTAGACAATCTCTTGCAGAACTACCACACGGTACTGCAGCCGCTCTGCCCCTTCCTCCATTGGCCCACCTTCATCGACGAATGCGAACAGCTGTACAGAAGAGGAACTTTCCAAGGGCTGCGCCAGATCTGGAAAGCTCTTTTCTTCGCAGTTCTTGCGTGTGGCTGTAGCATACAAGATGCGAGAGGATCTACGCATCCCGAGTCTGAATGCATCAAGTTCGCCGAGGTGGCCAAGTACTGCACGAAGTCGGTGGATGATGATATCTCGCCCGATCATGTGCGCACGTCCCTGCTTCTAAGTATTTGCTTCTCGAACATGAACCGTAAAGCAGCAAGTTGGTTCTGGCTCGGCTCGGGTGTGAGATTTGCGCAGTTACTGGGCCTACATCGAGAGCACGGTCAGCTACCACAATTCGAGGCCGAGATGCAAACCCGTCTTTGGTGGTCTGTCTACAATTGGGATAGAATCCTCTCTCTCGAACTCGGCCAAGTACCCATCATCGACGATTCTGATGTTGATGTCAGCGAACCTACACCTATTGACGACTCAAGCATAGGACCTGGACTCGGCAATTCCGGTGCTCGTCCAAGCTCACTAATAGTCTTTGTGCCTGTTGTACGCATCATATACCCACTAAAGAAGACATTGAAGTCTCGAACCATAACGCCCTCGACCTTGAACGCCTACGACGAACACTTCCGCTCTATCATGGGTTCTTGGCCCGATCCGTACCCGATCCACTCGAACGCCCCGCTCGATCCTGTATACTTCAGTGCTGTGTTCCTACTGCAAATCGCCCGCTTCCACCTTTACCGCCACAACTTGGCTCCTGCCTGTCGTCCCCAGGAGCGCAAGGACGCCCTCTACCGATGCCTTTCCGTTGCCAAAGATACAGCTGTCTACCTACAACGCTCGATCCAAACCTCGCCGGGCCCACCTCGCTACTCAGCTCAACCTTTAAGCCCAAGTCCTGAGTGGAACGCACGGATGGCCAACAGTTCACCTTTCTTCCTCGTCTTCCACTTTTGGCGTTGCACTCTGGTGGCTGCTCTCTGCGGAGATTATGCGACTGCCATAGTTTGCGTAATGCCATTGAGCGCGATTGGCACGCGTGCCATAGTCAACTCGGCCTGTGGACGCTATATCTCTTTCTTCTTGGATTGTCTGGTGGAGCGCGTTCAAAATGGCAAAGGCAGTCTTGAGATGTTGGAAGTAGATGAAGAGATGCTAGCCTACGCCAGCGCTGATATGCAAGGCTCACACGAGACTGCTTGGGCTTGGACTGGAGGCGAGGTGTTGCAAAGAACATTGGATCACACTGCCACTGCTGCAGAAGGAGCAACCAGCGCATATGATCAATCTATAGGAGAAGAGCCGGAATGGAATGGATGGAACCGCGTGATGGATATTCTGTCTCAACTCGAACAAGAGCAGCATCGCAGTATGCAGCAACAAGGCCCACCGCCTCCACAGTCACAGGCTCTCTCACAGCAGCAGCAACAGCCGCAGCAGCAGACGCAACAACAACATCCTCCACCACCACCACCACCACCACCACCACCACCACCACCACCACCATCGCAGTATGCAGCACAGCACATGCCACCACAGTATGCTCAGCCTCAACAACAAGCGCCATCCGCGCCATACTTCCAATCACCCCGAGCGCCTACACCGCTCATGACCCCTGCGCCGGGCAATGCAGGGCCATCCACTGCTCCAACACCAGGCACCAGCTCTCGCATCAGCATAAAATATATTATTTAGACGACCAGGCACGCTTATGACATACACGCATTTCTCGTTAATGATTTTGTCATTTCTTTCTTCAAAGCGAATGCATAGCCCGAGGAGAAAGGTAAACATCCCAAAGGAGGCTGGGAATGGGTCGGGAGTTTTCTTATTTGCTTCAGCTTGTCTTGATTGGCTTGCCGGTTAAAACGCATTGTTCACTACTACGAAGATCACGGTTGTCGCTTTGAATGTCCATCTCTTTCCTCATGCTGTAAAGCCGTTTCGTGTTTTTGGGCGTAACGATATGACGATCTCTGTTCAGCTTCCCTTTTCTGTACGGCCGGCATATTCGTTGAGCGACCCAAGTCAGGATGTTCAAAAGCCGAGATTTTGAGTTTTTGTCGCTTGCGTGTTCGGATCTTCATATGTAGATCTTATTCTCTACCTACCTAGTCCATTTGATCGCTCTGCTCGTCTCGAGACACCAGGTCTGAGAAGGGCGAGATATGACCGGTGGTGATAGCAATATCAATACAAGAAGAAGGTTCACACCAGCACATATTTAGAGTTGTTCGGACTGACCGATAACTTAGACTTTGCGACGTGAACTATGTACTGGCATGCCGACATCGTTCTGACTCTTGACGGATATAACAGGGTTCGAGCGTGGACGAGTAAGGAGAATGTCAGTGTCGTATGTGGAAGGTGCACCAGCATCGAGATCTTGGAAAGGTAACGTGTCTACAGCGCTTTAACAGTGACCGCTGAGACCTAACTTAATACCAACCACCACTCTGCCCTGGATATCAATGCAGATGCCTCGGCAGGGTTCGATGGCCCAAGAAATGGTGTATTTATGTATTTGTTTACATGCAAAACAATGCATTTTCTAGCAAGTCGTTCTCGGAGCACCTTCCGCGCCAGAGAGCGAATGGACAGAAGTCAAGCAGCCACGGAAGATACCGGCTTCTTGAGCAGAGTCCCTTCCTCACCGCCTTGTTGGCCCTTTTGAAAATCTTCACCTTCGTTCGCTTCTGCAGTGTCGCGTGTGGTTCATTCTCTCTTCTGCTCTGCCTCCGCAAGCCAACTTCCACCGTTTATCAAACAGGGCAAAGCAGGGCCCTCTTCTCATCGCTCGCTCGCCCTATTACTGCATGAGTGACATGCCATTGAGCTAGGTCAACAGACCAGAGCTTCTCTGAGAGGGCTGATGCGAGGAAGTTGCAAGCTACACGCTAACTTAGGGCTTTGCTTTGTCTAAAAGAAGAAGGTGCGACTGAGCGACGAGATGAAGGCTCCTCCACGCGTTGGCATTGGACTACTTGGCAGACCTGCTTTTCTCTCTTGAGTCTTGACATGGAAAAAGTCAAAACTTTTTTGCTTTACGATGAACGAAACCAGGCATGCAAGTCTTTGCTCCATCGTCTTACAGGTAAGTTGGGTAAGATGGTTGACTGCCTTTCCTCTCCTCGTCCACAACTGTCTCTTCTTGTTAGAGGTATGGCGAGTCGTCATGATCATCTTCACATCGCCCTTGATGCATGGACTGGATGATATCGGGTTGTTGCTACACTCGCTTCGTAAGAGCTGAGGATATGCATCCATTCTATCATACTATTCATGCCTCTAATCACTTCCCTTACCGTCCCTATCACCTACGGCAGGTGAGCAGTAGAGCAGATAGCTCAACCACTACCTGCCCTTGTAGCTCTCTCTCTACTCCCCCC